CTGCACGGGGCAGAGAGATCACCCATGTGGTCTCCAGATCAGAATCAACTGTGTTCCTTGAGAGTATGTACCTTAAAGGTCTGTCACCTGTTTGGCTTTAACTTCATCAGCAACAGCAATGTCGGTAATGTCAATTGTCAATCCTTCTGTCACGGCGAGCGTACTGAGGAGCTGCGATATGGCCGGCAGCAAGCAGCTACTACTCTATTGACGAGAATATCAAGACTAGAGAGGAAAGGAAGAGAGAGAGAGATAGGTACAATGGGAGGTTGCCCCTTTAAGGGGATCCTCTCGTCAGATCCTTCCCCTATTAGGAAGTATCCACTTGTTATGTAGAAAGGTCTGTGCAGGCCGTCACACTACTCCCCCCCGCCCCCCCCCCTTTATGGCCGTATGGCGCAATGGTCAAATGCGCCTGGTTGTGTTCTCGTTTGTGCGGTGGGCGACAAGAACAAGTGGGTTCGAATCCTGCTATGGCCCCCTTCTGACCCGGCTTGTGCGAGTCGACAGCCAGCACATGACAGTGGAGAGGCCTCTTATCGCAGAGCCTGATAGCCAAACAGCTTGTCTCTATAACACCCATTCCTGCGAGGTTTTTCCCCTTGTGGTTTCCCTCGCTAGCAGATAACAAACACCTACTTCACCCACCAATGCGACATATATCAAACGGCTACTGGAACGATGTGTGCACCAGAGGACTGAGGTTCACTGGGTCGCTTAGTCACTGGACAGGAGGTTTTTCTGACAGAATCGTGTTTAGGTATTGACTAAAACCATCTGGTCACTCCAGATTGGTACCGTTATAGCGAGGATAGGCTTGTGCGCGGATCTGAATGTGTCTAGACTGACACCTCTACAACCTTGCGATGCAATGGCTCTGGGAGGCGTGGTTTGCCCTATGGAGGGACTGCACCCACGATAAACACAATCAATCAATCAATCTACTCCCCCCTTTATCAAAGTCAGTTTATGACGATGATTTCTTCCGAGTTCTTCTTACTCCTTGTGCAGAGCCTTTTACAGGCAGGTTGTCTTCCTCAAGATCAGTTAGGTCATGATCATCAGCAGCAGCCTCTATCCATTGCTATAACCTTTAAGGGGGACCTGGCGCCTTAGGATTTGTGTCATGAAACTCTTTGACGCGTACAGCTGAGTTTCTAAAGTTAGCTTCTGGGTATCACATTGGGTCAGGATCATGACCTGTCCATTCAGCCTGGTACTCCAGCTTGCCCCGGGTTAGGCGGGAGGACAGAATCTTGTTAACTTCCCACTCAGGAACCCCATCCACATCGATGGGCGGCGGTGGAGGGATCACCTGACCTGGGACAGGGTCATTTGGTGACCGTACTAAGCAGCTTGCATTGATGACCCGATGAGCGTTTATCCCAGGGGGTAAGTCAATCTCAAAGGCGTTCTCATTGATCTGTTTGATAACCCGATATGGTCCCATATAGGGGTTGTCCAATCCATCATGTGGGCGGTCAGTACGCCATGCTCCTTTACGGACATATACCATATCGTCTGGCTTCCAGTCAATTGATCGTCGGGATTTGTCAGCCTGCTTCTTGTATTTTGTTTGTGCCTTAAAGAGGTTGGTTTTGGCCCATGCCACGGCCTGTGCCCGGCGTTCAGCAAACTCTTGAGCATCTGAACGGCTTAGCCGCTCTGTAATAGGCGTCTTTCTTAAGAGGGAACTGCGTTTATTCCAGTCAAATGTCATGATTGGAAGAAACCCTATTTCAACCTCAGCTGGAGATAAGCCGGTACTTGCATGAGATTGTGTGGCATAAGCAAAATCAAGACAGGGCAACAGTTGAGACCAGTCATCCTGAAAGTGGCTTATAAAGGGTCGGAGCTTGGTCTAAAGAAACTGGTTAATGATCTCTGTCTGACCATCTGTCTGAGGGTGCTCTGCAGTAGAGCGGCATAGGTCCATCCCTATGAGCTTGGCTAGTTTATCTAAAAAGGCAGCAATGAACTGGGGACCACGGTCTGAAGTCACAGTCTCAGGGGTGCCATAGACCCTCCAAGGTCCATTAAAGTATAAGGTGGCAAGGTCCTTGGCTGTACATGTCTTATATGTCGGAATAGACCACGGGCGTTTGCCTAGTCAGTCTACCACTACATAGATTGTGTCATAGCCTAGCTTGTCTTTTGGTATGGTCTTAAAGTCCATAGAGACATATTGCCAAGGACGATCTGGTATAGGCAGAGGTTGTAGCAAGCCGGCTGGCTTGAGACGGGAATTGCGGCCTCTTCCACATTCTGGGCAATGAGCGCAATAGCGGTCTATAAAAGCACCCATACCTGGCCAGGAATAACGCTCTGCTACTAAGGCACGCATCTTGTTCCGGCCAGGGTGTGCACCAGAAGGTTCTTCCCTGAATCTGGAAATTTGCTGCAACTGCTGTGTTGACAATCTATGAATGTCCCTTGCCAAAGCCATTCAGGGTGGCGGGCTCATCAAAATGTCTTTGAGGGAGTTCCCATCGTTGAGCCAAAGGGCTCATGATTGAACGGCTGCCTAAAAGATAAACCTCTGCTCCGGTATCAATCAAAACTTTCACACACACTGCAATTCCATTCCATCGGATGGTTGCAGTCATCACAAAGGTACTGCCGCCAATCAAGCCAGAGAGGTCTGATCGAAGTGATGGAATTTCAAGGGAGTGGTGAGCCAGTTGATTAATAGTACATTGGAGGCCTAGGTGGGAGACTTCCCCTAGACCTTTGAGTTTTCTGACTGGCTGTCAGAAGTAACATCCCGGGTCAGACCAGAAGAGGTCTCATTGTCTTCTTCCAGAAAATGTACATGAGGGGTTCTTTTGTCTGGACACTTGGGAGCAATATGACCCTCTTTGCCACACAAGTAACATGTGATACTTTCTGTCTTGTGGGGGTGCGCGTGACCGGTCAATGTGCTTCTTTTCAGGGACTGCAGAGAGATGGGGAGTCTTCTGATCAGGTGATGCTCTTGCTGGTTGGAAGGTAGTGTCAATTGCTTGGTTGGACAAAGCTTGGGTTGGTAGGCTTCTGATGAACTGCTGGGGTTCAGGTGCCACAGTGATGGTATGGCGAGAGGAAGCTTTTAAGAAGCTTTGGCGCTGCTTCTTGACTCATTTAATCTCTGCAAGCTGTTAAGTATTGCTAGAACAGATATTTCGAAATTGGTTGAAAGAAATATTAAAGTCAAGGTAAGAAGCCATTACTTGTATCCTCAAGGGTGGTGTCAGCTTTCGGTTCAGTTCATACTTCCATTCTGTCCGGGACAGGCCTGCCTTGCTGGTTAAGAGAACCCATGTGGAACAAAAGGAGTAAAAGTCTTGTGCTGGTTCCATCCACAGATTATAAAGCTGGTCTCTGGCTTGAGCAGCTGCGTCAGGATTGCTGTAAGAGGACCTAAGAAGGTCATACACCTCTTCAATGGTAGTAAGTGACTCAGTGTTCTTTTCAGAGATGAATGGTTCCAATGCTATAGCTGCATCACCTTCTATTAGCATGCAAAGCCAGTCAAACTTTGATTCTTCTGTAATGAAGAGCCACTAGTTGGTCCGTAGCTTGCGTTGGGTGCTGTTCTTCCACTGTTCAAAGGTTGGGCTTTGACCGTCACTCAGCTTTGCAGGGTCTGCCAGCTTGATAGAATGTCGCATAGCATTTGAGGTTGATGCTATAGAAGCTGGGGTCGTTGTGTGTAGAGAACTTGTTTCCAAAGAAGGAAAGGCTCGTTCTGTTGTGTGTCTTGGTGGCTCAGACCTCAGGATCCGGGTGTGTAGTTCGGTTTGCAGTCTGGCTAGCTGCTCTGGCGTAAGCGTATCCAGGTTGAAGAGCAAGGGGTCGTTTGATCGGCCCATAGCACCGCTCATGGTTGGTGCCATGGCTGGGTCTGTGGGTCCTGGGATGTGATCCTAGAGGAAGATGGAGACGATGAAGCGTTTGAGGGAGATTTGCTGTGGGTCAAAGCGGCCCTTGATTGCGTGTTTGGCTTGCTCTGGCCCCCTCGCGCCTTGGTTCTCTGTTTCTTTGGTTCTTTGTTTGGGAGAAGGTTGTTGGTATTGGGGGATGTTTGGATAGGTTGGGCTGGTCTTCCAGTCCCTTCAGAACTATCCTGATGTTCTGGAATGATAATGGTACTCATTGTCACAATGTGTTGGACAGAATCAGTAGTAATGATAGATGGGATAATAAAGGGGTAATAAAGTCTTGGGATAGGTGGGTGTTCAGAGACACTGCACCTGTCACTGTTAGAGGCAAAACTCCTTACAGTGGTGATCTGAAGACAAGGCTTCTAATCTGGTATGGAGGAGTCTTGATATTATGTCACGGCGAGCGTACTGAGGAGCTGGGACATGGCCGGCAGCAAGCAGCTATTACTCTATTAACGAGAATATCAAGACTAGAGAGGAAAGGAAGAGAGAGAGAGATAGGTACAGTGGGAGGTTGCCCCTTTAAGGGGATCCTCTGGTCAGATCCTTCCCCTATTAGGAAGTATCCACTTGTCATGTGGAAAGGTCTGTGCAGGCCGTCACAGAGCCTGGGTCACGTGACTAAGAATTTGGATCACTGGATCACCTTGGATCACCGGTGATCCAGGGTGAGCCACCTAATCAGTGAGGGAGAGATTGGATATATAAGAACAGACATTTCCCAACCAGATAGATAGACAGTCTCTACCTCAGTGATCAATCTAAGCATCTTAGCCAACCATAAGGTGGGAGAAATCTCCTGACGACTCGACTACACAGTGAACCCAGTTCAGACCAAGCCCCAGCATCTGAGTGTCTTCTAGTTGACAGAAGCCTCTATCGTTCTTTGTGTTGACTTACCTTGGAACATAAACCCTATAGAACCCTTAAGCCTTATAGGTTAGACAGCTCGTCACATATAGTTTACAAACATCGTACTTAAATCCCGTATATATTAATTAAACAAAAATTCCACCTTTTTAATTAACGCCAGGCGCGTCTCCCCGCAATCCTCGCCCAGACAGGTCACATTCGCACGATACGCCCTCTCCGCACAAACCGCCGCGCGCGCTCTATCGCCATGTCCAGCAAAGATCTGGAACGCCATCATGTGCACATGCGCCGCAAACGCGCCCAAACGAGCATACTCCCCCTGCTCCTCGACCACCCCCTCCAGGAGGCTGCGGCAATCAGTTAGACAAGCGCCCGGATCCTCGCGCACGCGCTCCCGGTCGTTGAGCGCCAGCAGCAGGGTCTGGAACATGCGATTGCGCTCATCACTGCGCGCCAGCCGGTCGGGCGGCAGCGCGCAGACCTCGCAGCGACAATCGAAGTCGAACGCGGCGCGCAGCTTGGCCTGGCGCTGTTCGGAAGGGCCGCACGCCGGGTAGGTGATGGCGAGTTCCTCGCCGGCGGCGATGGGGCGCGCGGCATGGAGCGTCATGTGGCCGAGGTCGCCGTTCCAGTTTTGGTGCGCGTTGGGCGCGCAGCTGTGGTTGAGCTGGCACAGCCTCAGGTAGAAACAGGCGGTCGTGGATCCCGGGCCGCATGGCATGCATTTCGTCTTGGCGATGCCGGCGAAGGGGTGCGCGCCCGGGAGACGGTTGTGCATGGATAGGAACTGGCACTGGTAGGCCCTGGGGAGAACCTTGAGCTTGGCGGCGAGGAGCGCGTTGAGGAGGGCGTCGGGCATGGTGTGGAGGGCGAAGAGAGGCTTTTCGCCGATGATGCGGGTGCCTAGGGGGATGTCTGTGAGGGCCACGAGGCCGCTTCCTTTGGCTGGTATCGGTTGGACCTCGAAGAGCGTTGATTCAATGGGAGTTGGCATGGCTGGGCCGTGAGGCTCGTCCGGCTATGATGCACGATATCAGTAATCATCCTCGAAAAAGTGACAGTAGCTAGCACCGTCTCGTAGAACTTGTAGGATTCCTTGACCTCGCGCTTTTCGTAGCTACACTGTTCCTTGCGTCCTTCGTTCCAGTACTGGGCCCGATGGCCAAAGATGCCCTGTGCGATTCTGGTGACCGCGTTGACGTACTTATCCATTTCGGTGGTCTCGCCATTTGCGCGTTGAATCTTGGAGCTGAAGCGCAGGAACTTGTGGCCTTCAAAAGGCAGCTTCCGGTGATCGTCAAGCTTGAATTCGATCCAGTAGGGCTTGTTCTCGACCTGGGCATCGTCGTTGAAGTGGGTTTGAGTGGAATGGATGAACTTCTCCCATAGGGCCTTCTCCTCTACGCTCTGAGAGAGGCGGGGCACCATATCGAAGCCGGCGTTGATCCCTATCTTGGTCATCTTCTTGAAGGAGGTGTTGCTTAATAGCTCCGTGATGTTGCAGTGTTGTCACAGCTGAAGTCGAGCTATTGATAAGTGTGTCGATTTGTTGTTTGGGATGGTTCGTTTGCACTTGGGTGGATGCACAACGTCCACAAAGGGGTAGATGCCTGGGGCAAGAGTTGAGGCAGACACGCGTCGCAAAGGAGTCTAAGTCCCGTCTGAGGATCCCACAATGAACTCGCCAAATAAAGTAGATTCTCTACTCGCACTGCTGGTACGGGTAATGTCAGCGAAGGGGTATATTATGCAGTTGATACATAATTGAGGTGTTGAATGAAGAAGAGTTCCCTCTTACAACACCACACAAGTTGCCTCGTCCGGAGGCGTTGAGCCTTCTATCCACGCGATGCCAATGCAAATGCAAATGCAAATGCCAATGTCAATCGCCACCCAGTCACCAAGCCGATGTTGAGATCCCAATGCTTTCAGCTCCATAAACGCCCGAAAAGCAGTCACCCAAACTCACTTGCTTGTCGCCGTGGTGTCTTGTTCCCGGTCTACCTCTGGCCCCTGCTGAGACCGATCAAGCTAAGGAACTCGTTTCTTGTCTTTTCTTTCTTTTCAAAGCAACCCAAGACACAGCTGGTGATGGTACTAGCTGTTGTCTTCTGAACACCTCTCATGACCATACACAAGTGACTCGACTCCATAATGACTGCTACGCCTTGTGGTTTCAAGACCTCCATGATGGCGTTCGCAACCTCCTTAGTGAGGCGCTCTTGAACCTGAAGGCGACGACTGAACATCTCAGCGATGCGGGGAAGCTTGGAGATTCCGATGACGTTGTCGGCGGGAATATAACCGATGTGCATCTATCACGGTTAGAAGACACACCACAGGCATGCCCGTCTTGCTTACCTTTCCCGTGAATGGCACCAGGTGGTGTTCGCATAGACTGAATATCTCGATGTCCTTTACGATGACCATCTCGTTGTGACCTTCGTGGAAAATGGCATTGTTGACAATATCCTTGACATTCTGCTGGTAACCCTGGGTGAAGAACAGCATAGCTTCGGCGTATCGAGTCGGTGTATCTAGAACTCCTTCTCTGTCTGGATCTTCGCCGACGCATTCCATAATAGTTCGTACCGCAACGCGCATCTTCTCGAGTCGCTCGGCCGCTTGCTCGGGGCTCTCTTCTAGTCGTTCTCTGGTACCGCGGCCTGCCCGTAGTCAGTAGGGATTGCAGGACAAGAGATACGCCACACTTCACGTACTTGGTCGGCTTAACCCATCAAAGTCAATGACTGGGCTAGGTGATCTGGTTTGTACCCCTTCTTTCTTGGCCTTCTTGCGCTTCTTCCTGGACGGCTCGTCCCTGGGATCTCTGGCTGCTTTGCTTAGACTGTTCCTCCTCTTCAACGATGCGGCATCCCCGTTGACTTCTGCGCTGCCTGCATCTTTCGCCCTTCTCTTCTTCTTCTTTTTGCTCGCTTTCTTCTCGTCTCGCTCGTCGCCATGTCCTCGCTTTCCGCTGCCATTGACGGACTCATCGGCATCCGACAGGCTCAAGAAGGAGCTGTTGGACGTGTCTAGAGCGGAGTCCTGGTCTTTCCGCTTCGTCTGGGCGGGTTGCGCCATTTTGTGCTTGGCTGTGTTCACGGTATCGAATGGTTCTGGAGCATGTTGGAAGGGTCGAGGATGGCCTGACTCAGGATCGCGGAGAGATTTTGTCGATTGTCGCTAGCTGGGATGCCCAGCCCAGGCTGCGTAGGACTGATTGGGGCCGAACAGCTGAATCTTTGGAAAGCGCAGGAAGCAAAGCACGCTAGCGAACCTGTATAATCATTCTCCCCCTTGTTCCTCGTGTGAAATGTCCCCCAGGTCAAGGCCAAACGCAGCGCTGGATTTAATTATTCGACCTCTTGTCTGGCCCGTTATCGTGACTGAAACCTAAGGAGTTTCTTGAATGCCCCACCAGTTTAATTTTAGTAGGCCACCTGCAGCCTGCATACACATGGCGGGGCCACTACCAATATAGAAGACGCGGGGTCACACTTGCTCTACTCTACAGGCAATGCCATTGAAGATTCCGGCACCAGCTCCTCCATACCACAATTGGTCGTCACTTCTGTTACGTCGTCTTGTCCACACAGCATCACGCCCATCCACCAACTACCTTAGTCCGACCCCGAACCCGACTAGCACCCCGTCACATACCAGTAGTCCCAATCGCCATTAAATTTAGTGCATTTTCCCTCAGGAAGCACGGTTACGATCTCGCGGTAGTCTTCGAAGTTGACCTCGCAGCCATGGAGTGAGCTAGCCTTTACGGTCATTGGACTTCCGGGGATTATCGACGTCTCTTGTTTTCTACTTGTGTATTTGCGCCCGCTTGCGTCGAAGATGTTGTGGTGTTCGCTGCATTCTTTGTCGCCGTAGACTTTGAGCTGCCAGGGCGATGGCCAGGAGGACTGTTCTAGGCAGCATGGTTGCAGTTACGAGAAATAAGGGATCAAGAAAGGTATTGTTCTGATCAGGAGTTTCGCTTATGATACGATGAGCTTACGATAGTTTCGGTTTTGGGCGGACGAGAAGGGTGGGAAGATTGTGTTGAGCTTGATGAACGTTCTAGGGTTTACTGTCCTCGAGACGACACCGGCCTACTTATACCTGTTTCACTGTATCTATCAATGACATGGCTCTTCTTATTATAGAGACAGTGTCATAGTTAAATTTGGAGTCCTGGTACAGATGTCCAGGATAGTAAATCGTAGCATCCTCCAAGTTGACCACCCCAGTTATCTATATATGTAAGTACTAACACAGCAATAGCCGTCCGGATGTGACTAGGTAGCAACGATGACACAAATCTAAGAGCATATGTATATCCTGCTATAAGTTGGGTGCGCGCGTTACCTATCCACATGACTGGGGCGGTAGAGGGCCATCCTGGACATCTATATTTGCACCTTACCAAGACTCCTTAATATGAGAATTGCTATTTCCAGAGTATCCGATTTCCACAGTACGCCACTTCCCCACCCCTCATTCTGGAAATAGCAATCCTCCTTATTGGCAAACCTTAGTGGGGTCGCCCACCTGCTAGCCAGCTGCAGCGCGTCTGCCAGGCTAGATGGCCACCACGATCGAGTTCATATGGAAATGCCATACATTTTCAGATCATCACGTCCTTCGCAGCTGAATACATTGATCTGCTTAATTGGTTTGGTCGCGTTCAATTAGATGACGATAAGTCGCGTTCAATTAGATAACCATTGGTCGCGTTCAATGAAGCCGCTTCCAAAGGCGAATGGCTACCTCCTGTTTTGTGAGGAGACGGTGACTATCTCGATAAGCAGATAAGGCGCTGTAACCCCAAACGGTCAGCTGTTATCGATTAGAACGGCAGATCCACTTTGTAGCTGAAGCTCTCGTGGGTTGATTCCCTCCCTCCCTGTCCGCCAAACAACCAATCCTCTCGACCACAGATTTACATCTACATCCTTCTCAATACGACCTCGTGCCGGTTCTCTGCTTCGCGATCAGTTATAACCCACATCTACAGCCGAACGGGTCGTGTCTGAAGCCTCTCAGTGATTGCGACAACGCAGGCCTCGGTCTTTTACGAGCCCTCACCATACGTGCCATCGACAATCCCTCGTCTCCGCATCGATCTCGAAGATATCCGAGATCATCCAAATCTGCGCCGCCAAGGTCGAGCAGAACTACTCATCAGACGACTTTCTGCCGACAAGATGGCGTCTCCTCCCCACAACTACTCGCCCGCGGGCTCTCCTCCCTACCCGCCACATTCGCAGCTGCCATCCAAGAAGCGTACCTCCGGAGCTGCCGACCTTTCGGTACAATCATCGTCACTCAAACGACGTAAGGCATCTACGATGTCCGTTGCATCTGCCGGCTCCGCTCACCCGCTCCGACAAACCTCGTTTCCCCCGGACGAAGTATCTTTCTCCCCATCTCAACGATCGCCAAGTATCGGTGCCGCGAGTCTAGTAAGCGGTAGCCAAGTGAGTGCCGCTCCGAAGAAGAAGCGCGGCCGCAAATCCAAAGCCGAGCGTGCGAGTGAGGCTGCTGCCGAGGCAGCCCTGCGAGATGGCGCCTCGAGCGTTGCTGGGGGTCGCGCAGCCACTGTATTGAGCAATGTGAGCGGTTACGCTGGCAAGGATGGCGATGGTGATGGCGGTAGAGACGGTGAAGGCGACGGCGCCTTCGAAATCCCCGAGAACATGGCCAGTAAAGCGGCCGCACGTACCAAGGAGCAAATCGAGGAAGAGAAAGAGCTCCTTGCACTTCTTAAATCCCGCCTGGACCCCCAGCAGTTCACAAGGTACGAGGTCTGGCATCGTGCTACGCTTAAGAACCCAGATATCAAGAGAGTACGTCGAGTTCCTATCATGCTATTGAATCAATGCGCCAGCGAGAACTAACTGCCTCGTTTCAGCATATCAACAGCGTTACGTCCCAGTCGTGTCCCACCAATGTCCATCAGATGATGCAAGTCGTCTGTAAGATGTACCTGGGCGACATCGTGGAGTCAGCGCGAGACATTCAACAAGAGTGGATTAAATTAGGAGAGAAGCAAACCGACCTATCCGACGATGACCTGCAGCCGTCCAACGAATTATCCGCACATTGTCGACAAGCTCCCCTGAGACCGGAACATCTAAGAGAGGCGTACAGACGTCGCAAGGCCGCGGCCGAGAGCGGCGGTGCATTGGGAACTCTGATGGTGTGGAACCAGCAAGTACAGAACGGGGGAGAGAGGTTCGCCGCGCGCGCTGGAGGACGCCGAGTCTTCAAGTGAACCATATTCGTGGTCTTTGAACGGACGGACTTCCGCGAGGGGGATTGCCACAGCTGCGACTGGAACATTCACCGACAACCGACCAGGTGGACATGATGGCAGCAGCGGGATAATGGCAACCCACCATGGGGTTTCGGGTTATACAATGCCCGACGACTGGTATCATATCTGGCTATGAGGAAGCTGAATCACGCGCAATGAGTGCGTTACATACTTCGACGCTCACATCCGCTCTCAGCTTCTCGGAAGCCATGGTTGGAGCCGGGAGGGCACCGGCATGACTCTAGGGAAGCGCTCAGTATACGAGTAGCAGTAATTCCCAGGGCGGCTCTCTCTATGGGGAGCGTGCATGAGCATGTGGTTCTTGTAACATGGACGAAAGATGCCGTACCGAATAATCTCGGGCTGTGGCTTGTGGGGTTCCGGCTACTCCTATAGCGGGTATTTGGAACGGAGGTATACAGAGCTTCGATGAGTAATCACCTTGAGAGTGCGTCGCACCGCTGCTCGGGCTTCCAATGATCATATGTGTGTTTGTGGGGCTCCAGCCGTGCAGCTTTTACTGTGACTCACGTTTGTGTCGGCGGTGGCGGGTGATGTGTTTTGCGTCCGTTTTGGACACAGCCACCCCGGTGTAATGAGATGCAGGTTCGAGTCACAGCTGAAAAGGGGAGAGGGCACCGAGACTTGAAGAAGCGCGACCGATAGAGACCCCCAGAACGTCGGAACGTCACGTGAATGATGCTCATTCTGAATTAACCAACAAACCCTGCTTAGCTGAGATGCTAATCCATTATTCGTGTTGCGCCATCCATCGTATCCTGCTCCATGGATTATGAGTCTCATTGGCAACGTCGCCTGCTGCGGCTTCTTTGACGCAAGATGGGTTGACATTCAGCGAAGGCCCGGCGTGTGCCAGTGGTGAAGGAATCGATCGGGCTGAGACGATAAAAGGTCGAAGCCCGCTTCTTCTTAGAGACCTGCTTCCTCAACTCATTCCCTTCATAGCAAACTGCATCCCGAATTCGACCAACCCCCTTTCCATTCACACTAGACACCACAGAGACAGAGATAGAAACCTACTTCATGCCACTACTCGGCGATACAACCTCCGGACAACAAACCCACCAGCACACAATGGATTCAGACTACCCGATTCCGCCAGGCTTACACGCCATCCCGGCAGAGCTCCTCGACCTCCGGCCCGACGCCGAGGTGGACCACGACCTGCTGCACCCCAAGCCGGTGTCCGACTCGGAGAAGAACATCTGGTTCTTCTGGCACAGCGGCTACGCCAACATGCACCCGTACACCCAGCGCAATATCCGCGCCTGGCACCGCCGCTTCTTCAGGCACGGCTGGACGATCCGCGTGATGGACCGGCAGCCGGGGTCGCCGCTGAACGTGGCCAACTACCTCGACATTGCCGACACGGCGACGTTCCCGCGCGCCTTTGTCGCCGGCACCATCGGCGGCGACCACGCGCCCCAGCACACGTCGGACATGGTACGGTTCCCGCTGCTGCTCCGGTACGGCGGCGTCTATGTTGACGTCGGCCTCATGCAGATCGGCGACCTGGACCGCTTATGGAGCACCACCGTCGGCGATCCGACGTCCCGCTACGAGCTGCTCTCTTACGGGGCCGAGGACCGCCAGTTGACGAACTACTTCCTGGCGGCGCGCCGCGACAACCCGCTCTTCGCACGCGCGCACAGGCTGCTGCTGGCGCTCTGGGCCGCGGACGGCGGCAAGACGAGCACGGACGGCTTGCACCGCAGCGCGATGCTGGCGGGCGTGCCGCTACAGGGCCAGAGCTTCGGCGACGCGACGAGCAGGGAGCTGACGGACTACATCATCCAGGGCCAGGTGCTGACGCTGGTGATGGGGCTAGTCGACGAGCAGGGCGGCTGGAACGGGCCGGAGTACTGTGCGCGCCATATCTATGCTATCGAGTACATGGTCGGGTCGCAGCTCATCAACGAATACACGGACTGGGATGGCCCGGAGGCGTTCCGGCTCATGTCGCTGCGTCTGCCGGCGCGCGGCGAGGCTGAGAGCGCGGAACAGAAGAGGGCGAGGGAGGTTGTGGAGGGGTGCTTGGGGCGGAGCTTTGGGTTCAAGCTGGCGCATGGGCTGATATTGAAGGTGATGGGGGAGACGCTGGGGTCGCTGTGGAGGAGCCATGAGGGCGCGGATGATGTGCCCGGCACTTATGCGCATTGGTTGCGGCATGGGACGATTTACTGGAATCAGGACGATGTGCCGCCGGGGCTGGAGTTTGAGGTTATTGAGCCGTATAGAACGGGGCCGTTGCTGGGTGAGTCTTAGAGGCACTATAGAGGTTCAGAAGTCCAAGAGCATTTGTGTGGCGTATCATGGGTAGAGAGGCATTTGGAGCGGACAATGGAATCTTCAGCCGATAGCAACGGAACTTCACCGATTAGGAGCATCTATGTTTATACTGATCAGTCATATCGTGATTTCTGTTGTATTTTTTCATGCCTAGCGTACCTAGGTAGGTTGTGAGTTGACCCAAGTTTCCATTGTGTGTCCACTGGCCGATCAACCTTCAATAACGTCATCATTCTAGGCTAGCCTCCCTCCTTTTCAACACCAAATTGACTCTTAGTTCCAAGCCATATCAGAAGTTGGGAGTTGAGTCTCACCACACACTTTCTCTTCCTATCTCCCAAGGCATTACATACTCCCTAGTCGGATCTCATTATTCATTCGCTTCTATTTCACCCCTCCTGGAAGCTCGCCTCGCCGATAGAGTTCATCACCGAAATGGGTGCCGGCGACGAAGCCGAGTCATCGACAAATACGGGCAGCATCAACTTAACGCGCAGGTCAGATCTCTCGCCACTCTACAAGGTGCTGCGGAAAGTGATACGTCCCCTGCGACCACGCCTCGTGTCATCCGACGAGCGCTGTCCAGCTGGGTCTCCGCGTCTCGAGAAGCATCCTCGGAGCGTCAACAAAGTCGACATCACGGAACGCAAAATCGAGCTTCTTCCAAACTTGTCCTCGGATGTCAATGGCGACAGAAAGTCGGGGGATCTGTTATGGGTCTATGACTTCCAACCTTCAAACGAGATATTTTCATCCGGCGACGGCAACCGCGGGATACATACAATGTACTACTTCGCGGGCGGAGGTTTCCAATCCCCCCCGTCTTCCGAACACTGGAAGCTCTGCGCCCACCTCGCTTCCACACCGGCTTCGACGGGAGGCCGGGTGGTTCTTGTCTCCTACCCGCTTGCCCCGGGCTCCCCGGCCAAAGACTCTTTACCGCTGCTTCGGCGCTGGCTTGCACAAGCCTTACGCGATGCGGAAGCGCAAAATGGCATCGTGTCCCTGCTCGGCGACAGCGCCGGCGCGAACGTGGCCCTGTCGTTGGGACTTTGGTGCGCTGACCAGCTCGCGCTAGCCAAGGTGAATACAAATACGGAGGCAGCGGACTCCCTATCCCGCCTCCGGTCCGTTATGGCAATCTCGCCACCGACGGATATGCGGAACCAGAACCCGGCTGTGCCTCTCGCCGACGCGACCGATCCAGTCCTCGCGAAGTCCGTCACGGACGGCGCGGCGGAGGCATGGTCAAAGGGCTCTGACAAAGAGGATCCGTACTTGAGTCCGAATCTTGCGGATTTGAAGAATGTGGCGGCAGGTGGCATGCGGTTGAACGGTGTGATAGGGACGTCGGATGTCTTGGCTCCAGATGCGTTGGTGTTTCTTGAGAAGTGTAAAGATGAGGGTGTGAAGGGTGATTGGTTGGTCTGGGAGGGTCAGATGCATTGTTTTCCGCTGGCTGCTTGTTATGGGCTCAGAGAGAGCAAGGAGTCCCGAGACTGGGTTGAGAAGACCCTCGGAGAAATCAAGTGAGAGGAGACCAGTCGAGAGCATAGATTCTGAATGGAGATAAACCACGACAACTAATTTCTTTCTTGGGCCGACTTCCAGTCGCCCAATAATTGCGCTCGTATGGATTCCATCGACTATTCGACCGACAATGAACTCGCGTTCATTCTTGACACCCCCGGCTCAGCTTTCGAGAGATCTCCACAGTGAGGCTCACATCGATCTGGAACCATCATGATTTGCTGAGAGGAAAGCCAATGGACCCCCATGGCCTGACTTGTTTGAGACATGCGCGGATGCCTTACCCTGATAGTTTCAGCTGCCTAAAACCTTACAGCGCCACCAACGTGGGCTTCACAATCCTGCACCTCTTTTGACTTACCTCGAGTCCCGCTACATTCCCTTCGAACGGATGTAGTTGCACGGGTAAGTCTAGGCTGACAGATCAACCCACCTTGGCACGGTTTTCGGGTTGGCCTATAGGTTATAACTCCTGACGTCCCGAGGATCTGGTTATTGGTCGGGACGTGGGATGTTGGCGGGGCAGGGTGGCATCACATCTCGACCAACCCCTCATCGTGATACTCCCAGAATCTCGTCGGTGTGGTTTTGACTTCTTCGCTATCTTTCCAGGAAGCTTTCCCCAGGCTAGTTGTTCCAACGCGCTTCGATAATCGTTAACATAAGCTATTTGGATGTGAACAAGATTGTGGCTCCCAGGTCTTGATCACGCTTCATATCGAATTTCCCAAAGACAGTTCGCCAACAGGATCAAGAGGAATAGACGACCACCTCCCATCAACTCCCAAGCACAGCCGACCAATCCAGTCTTCACCCCCGCCCCAATCATGTTTCGTGCGACCAGTCCCAAGCTCCGAGCTGCGAAGCTCGGCAACGAACCACCTGGTGCCATCTACCACACCCTCTTCAAGTGCGGAAAGATAGAGCCGGGGATCGGGCAAGGACGAGCCTGGGGCATGTCGGCCGAATACCCACGCGTGAAGCGCTACGCCAAAGCACACAAGATCCAGTTCGTCCTGGTCAAGATCCACAACCGACCTGGCTGGATTTACGCTGAGCATACCGACGCAGGGTTCCGAAAAACTTAACGGATATTAACATGTTGGTTGAGTTGACGTTAATATTTAGTGCACCATCAAACCAAACGCACTAACATAAGAGACAGCTATCATTGTATGAAGGAACAAAAGGTCATCTTGTCATGACAGCAAATGGCTTGCGGCTAGGGCAAACGCTACAAGAGCTACTATTACGAGCAAACTCAAGCCACTCCATCTCCTTAACTTCTACAAGGGCGAAGCCGCTGATACTAACGACTGAAGCGCCTCTTACTCCCTCTCTCGTTGTAACGTTCCAGAGTTCGTGTTCCCAACCTAGTAGATCCAGATAGTATTGATAATGTGGAATTAATTCAGGCTCTGGCGTAACGTTGAGCAAATTCCCGAAACCCCCGCTTTTTTTTTCTTGGTGGCTCATAGCTGAACTCTGTTTATCTTCTCTTTTAACCTTACCGCTAATATGGGACCAGCGAAACCTTCGCTTCTTCGATAAGTCGCGAGAGCTCTATATAAGCACAAGTCCTCGCACCGATGTTTTAAAAGATTACCTCCACCTAAAAAAAATCTCAGTTCCACCACTCTCGTGTAACGAGCCGTCTAACCTATAAGTCTAAAAGGTTTTATAAGGTTTATATTTTAAAGTAAATTAATATAAAGGATGATTAAGGCTTTTATTAATTAAAAGATACTTAAATGCTAGGGCTTATGCCATGGTCTGGTACAGGTAGCCCATGTGGTGAGTCCTGGAGCCTGGACATGAGTACACGTACCACCATTGAATGTCAAGCTGCCACGCTTGATATTCGACATCCTTTTGGGAGGAACTGTTGAATGGGAGCCGGAGATAGACCCCGGAAGATCTCCAGTGGGGCAGAGACGCACAGGGCATCTGACCCACCAAGAAGACAGATGATCAATCTCTGCACGCAGAGCAGAATAATCCATAGCATCAATCAACATCCGTGTATTCAACAGGAACAGCCGTGGCATGGTGGTTATGGTGAGCGTTCCGTCACAGCTTAGTTTAAACCAGGGCTTATTAAATAATCGAATCGTTAAAAGATTTTTCTTACTTTCACGTTAGTTAAAACGCTTAAATTAATTACTAAATTAAAGATTGTTTATTTATTCTAACTAATAAACATCTATCTTTATATATCTAATCTCTTCCTTATTAATAAAATAGGATTTTCTTATCTTAAAGTGATACTTACTAGCTTATATCTTGATCTAATAATACTTACTGGCTTATTTCCTAATCTAGTGATCTTCGCAGGCTCACTTTGTAATCTAGTAATCCATCACGTAACCCTCATTATGTAATCCGTAATAACCATTGTTCCGTTCCTGGCCTCTGATTCCATTGGCTCTCGGTGTATTCCCCTTAGCCTTCTAACGTGCCGTGGTACTTGTTGGTTCTTAACATCTCGCTTGCTAATTCGCCATGATCACCAGCTTGCCCTTCTTCCCCTCACAGCTTTAGCTCATCGCTGCTAACGCAAAATGGCTTGCCAACCCACCCTTATCGGTCTTCCTCCTGAGATGAAGGCCGAGATTGTTACTCACCTCGAGTTCCGCGACACCATCTCCCTGAAATCGACATGCAAGCAATTCTACCATGCCGTCCCGGCCCTGAATATGGACGGACTCATCGCCGCAGAACGGAAAAAATCCGCCCACGATAACGACCTCTGGGCCTGCTCCGTCTGCCTGCGCGTCAGAAAGGGCGAGCATTTCGCCGACACGCAAAGAAACAAGCGATCAAAGCTGGGGTCCAAGGCGAACAAGCGCTTTTGTATCGAGTGCGGGACCAAAATCCAGTCCAACGGAACTTCGCGCTACTTACCGGGCTCATTGATCTTTAACAAAGGCAGAATATACGTCGTGTGCCCGAAGTGCAAGCGCTGGGGATTGGTTGGCTGCGAGACCTATATACGATGGGTTGGCTGCGAGTCCTATGCACAAGAAGTGGCGGCAGCCCGCCGTTCTTGTAAGACTTGTTGTGAGTCTGCTCTTCGCGCTCGTCTCGCTGAGTGGGATGGTAGGTTGCAGTATTTAACGTCGGACTGGTCGATGCGAAGCTTCAAACTAGTTGATTGGCTACCAAAGAATGATGCAGGTTACCTGGAACAGGATGTGGAGGGGGTTGCAGATTTCGGGCCAGAGCGATACATCGGCATGAAGCATCAATTGACGACGAAACGATAGTTAGACCTTTCCTTCGAAGTCTAGATCATAAAATCTTGAGCAGCTATTCACTGACATTGAAATGTATTGTTTAATAAGTCCCACCTCGGGTCGTTCACAGCACGGAATTGCGGTCGTCTCGTATGCCCGTTTGTCCCGTTGGGACTTCAGAGGCCTCGTTCACCTTCTGCCCACGTTACCCCAAGCAGTGACGCCGGTAAACGTCTTACCCTCTTTGATAACATGCCCCTTGCCGTGATCAAGAAACAGCTGCACATCAGTCGATTTCATGACTCGACTAACGCTGCAGGTTGAAGACCCGGCATCGTTGTGGCTGCACACCGGGGCTCTGCTTTTTGTTGTCTTTTAGGGTATTTGGGTTTGGCACCTCCCTTCGGTCGAAGAGCTTAAAAATAAAAACAAATCGTTATCGATATAAAAAGTCCGGGCAAGGTTCCGACTAATTTGATCCAGATTAACGAGACCCTTTCGTTAAGTAGATTGCTAAGCTTTTAAAATTAATTAATTGAGTAAACTAACGTTAATTAATAAGAAGTTTTTATTAATATTAATTAACGTTTATTAATATAAAAACTAGTTATTTATAAAAAAGTTTTATGAGGCGAAAAATATCTTAATATAACTTATTTAAAACCGGAATAGTTTATATAATTAAAAGAAAATTATATCCATTTACGATATTTACGTAAATATTAACCTACGAAAGCTTCCTCATTAAGTTAATTATTAAAGCTATAAGGGTCTTCGTAAATCAATTTAATATAAATATCTACGTTAATATTAATTTACCGTTAATATTTGTTAACTTATTGGGGACTTTAGGTCCGAGTTTACTTTAGCATACCTAGACCGCATTAAGCCTCCCATTCCAGGACTTTGGCCAGGCCAATAAACCTGACATGGAAGCTTCAATGGCGAGAAGGTCATTGAATACCTCCTGGGTACAGCTGCAGACTTTTCTAAAGGGGAGAATACGCTTGTGAAACCCAGGAGTACAACCGAAGGTGGCGTTACCCATGTTATACCATGTCGATTTCTTCGCAGAGGAAGGATCTTTCCTTATGGTTACAGGTAGTCAGGTACGTGACGCTTCTCACCCATTCTTGCCAATATGCTGTGGCGACGCAAACCAGGGATGACGTGGATGAGGTTTCTCTGGTACCCCGCTCGGCAGTAGATCTGAAGAACGGCCCCGAAGTCGCCATAAATCTCCATAACAGACTCCGGAGAGAGGCCCAATAACATAGTTTGGCTTGTCAGTACGAAGCATCGGTGCTGATGTGTCATGGACAACTTCGAGTGCTTCCCCTGCGGCCAGAAGCCCGCACCGTCCAGATATGAAAGCCTTTAGGGAATTCAAGTAGGGTTCAGTTGACTTGTTGAGTGTTAGACTTGGTGGTATCATTGGGTGCTGTATCTTGAGACAATTACAGCGCAAAGCTCTCGGCCAAACGCAGGACGAGGCTGCCCTCAGAGCCAAGAACATCTCATCTGGCCTGTCACATGCGACTTGGATTTCGACAAAATGATGGTGGCCATTATTGGAGGCAGGCAAACTATGATCAAAGCGGACTGGACGTAAAAAGTTGGGAGTGAAAGGGACCACCATGAGTTACTCATTAGCTAGAAGCTGCCGCACACCAACTGGATCCATAAAGCGCCTCCTTCTGCGACGCTGTCGAGCATGAAGTGCACTCAAAGGAGGATCTTGAACCATGTATTCGTCGTCGTTTGGAATATTCAAGTCGACCAGACTGAAAATGCAGTCCAGGATTTCTGGCGATTGCGCCAGAGTCTCTTCCCAGCACATGCTCGCTTCTTCGTATTGTTCCGCATCGACTGATTGCTGTGCCTTGTCCTCTTCCGCCAGATCATTATTTAAAGCAGCGCGCTTGTTGAACCCCATTGCTTTTTTCAGACAGTCCCTCGCCCGCGAAGCGACCCATGCTCGGGCTTCCACAAGTTGACCTTTTTGCCAAGAATTCCGCCTCTGCCTGCCTGATTGAGAATTCGAGGGCCTTTGGTTCACAATCACAACTAAATTGTGCAGGCAGATGACATATGGCACAGCAAGGATCAAAAGTTGACCATAGCTTTACTCGGGAAGGAATAGCGACGACTGTGGTGTCCAGATCGAAGTCCTGGCCGATCTGGTTTCGAGTGGAGACTCGTTTGGCGTCAGCATATATTTTTTTTTCGTTTTTCCATCCAAGCTTATCCGAAGTAGTGCTATCGTAGGAAGCGTGGCTGGCTTCTTGCAGCTCCGCGAGCGACTCGTCGTCGCTGGCTTCGAGCTGCACTCCGAGCCACTTGTCGAGATCTGCCGTCTATCACCCCACGATTTCTGCACCCAGAATCGTTGTTGCGGCAGAATACTGTTGCCGCCATTCGTTCCTCACATGTGGCTTGGGAATGAATACCACCATTCCCTGGGCAAGCTAGTCATGCGATCATCTGAAGAGGGAGTAAGATAGGGATCGTCGCTGTCTTCTGGCAGAACAGACAGCCATCGCTGAATCGCCAGGTTCCCTTGATCAGTGCTTGCTTCATCCGCAATCGAAAGTACATCGAGCCCTAAGAGTAGAGGTGAGTCTGACGGTCGTTGAAGACGCGTACGGCATATCCATTCCTCCAGGAGCGTATATTCCTCGATAAAACTGGAACCATCATAATCACGACATCGGAGAATGTGCGTCAGGTGCATAGTTGCTTGTTGGTCCTCGGTGAAGTCGTTGCATTGGCGAAACTCCGTACCACCTCGATCCAGGGCTCTGTAGAATCTCGTCGGTTGGTTCAACTGGAGCACAATCTCTTTTTGGTTATTTTGTAGCCGAAGTTCCATAATATTTTCGAAGTCGCACACAATCTTGTACTCATCGCAACCGGTGCCGATGTAATATGTGACAGCTGATTCTGGATCGAGAATGGAGTAGTAGACCATACAGGTGCGGTCATACGTACGCCCCGGGTTGTAGGTCCACCGTCCGATGGACAGGGAATCGTAAAACGTCTTATTTGTACTGTACCCGTTCCTGTATACCTGGTATGGGGTCTCTATCTCTGTATAGTTCTCAGTCACTCATTACGGCACACAAACAGTTTGGGGTTCACATACCCATTTTCAAAAAGTAAAAGTCCTCCAACACTGATGCCTGGCGCCCACGCATCTGAGCATTGTGGTTGTCCGCCGAATGCACGGATATGTCACCATCATCAACGTCTCCTTGGGCTACAGGCATCGCCAGCAGTGCAAGTCGCTCCAGATGAAAGAGTACGTGCTTTTGCATTTCAGTGATATCTGGAAAGGCAATCGGGCAGAATGGACAATCTCGATGTGGCAAATTCGAAGGACCAACTGCAGCGCCTAAAAGCTCATCGGATAGCTGTTCGGGTGGTTTCTCGGGGTGCACACTCTTGAGATGTTGAACAAAGTCAGGCTGCGTTTCGAACTCGCTCTCAACATCCTGGCAATGCCATACTCGCGAATGTCGGTTTTCGTGGGCCATTTATTCATCCCGTGTCCCGTACAGCCGATTAGGGTCCTGACAGTGTTCGTAGGTGCAGTGGTACGGCTGCAGGTCATGAATGAGGTGCAATCTGGACGAAAATCTCAATGGCAAGGTCTGTGGATAAAATAGGGCGGGTTTTCACTTACCTCCAGGAGTCCACTTGCAAGTACCTAGAGGGACAGATAGTTCTACAATGAGGACATTCAAAGTATTCACTATGCATGATCGGCTGAGGTGGTGTAGGCCAGCATAGTCTCTTGCCTGAGAGATCAACGGTAGTGGAAACACGGGAGTAATGGGAGATGACGGATTTCAGGTCATCGGGCTTCAGCAAGTTGCCGGCAGAAAGCTTGATTGCTGAGGCAGCAAGAGACAGAACCATAGGACCTGGAGCATTCGGCGTGGTGAGCGGCACACTTGTTTCTGCAACCTGGCCGCGTTTGGGATCCACTGGTTTCACGTGCCCAGGCTTGCTCACAGCGGCGCTGAGTCGGATCGCATGGTTTTTCCAGTAGACGAATTGTTGTTTCCGTCTGGCGTTTGCAATACCGGTCCGGCGAACTAGCCAGTTGGTGGGAGAAGCGTAATGTGAGCAAAAGGCATCTGTGTCCTCTGTCGCGATGCTTGTCTGGATGTCCTGCCTCTGGATATAGGCGACAATATTGACTTCGACTTCTTCACGTTCGCTGACGTAGGCAGATCGAGCGTTCCCGGGGACAATGCTGTAGAGATGGTCGGTTGTACGCGATGGTCGGTTGCGTGGATTTCTTATATCTGTTGCTATACTGTACAGTGTGTCCAGACTCTCGGTCAGAGTGCGAAGCCGGTAATTGACCTCGTGGAAAGAGCTTCCTGTGCTGGATATGTGACTTTCATCTGTGCCAGAGCTGGAGGCACTGTCAGAAGAGCTCCCCCTATCAGAAGAACTCTGCCTGTCAGATCGGGAAGCCTCCTGTTCAAAAGGTGGACGTTGGCCTCGAGGGACCAACAGTAGGTTATCCAGGTGCTCGAGCATTCCACCCAGGACCTCGGTCAACCGTTCTTTCACGACCGCGGCGTCCCTTAATCGATAATCAAGAGATGCATGTCCTTGATGATGCAGCCCCAAACTGTGAGCCCATAGCTCGAATCGCTGGGCATCAGGGTTAGACGACGGCACCCCGGGAAGTCGATGTCTGTCTCGATGTTGTCCAGATCATGGAAGGCGCTTGCGAGACGAGCCCCGATCTCGTTTAGCTGTACCGAATCCATTGGGATACGTCAGAAATTGCGCTGCCCCAGAGAAGCGCCATGAACACAGGCCGGACAGTGTCCGTGTCTGGTCAGCGCACTTGTCAGCTGGCATTGCGGAAAGTGTAGGGTTAGGTTCAGTTGAGAAGGCTGAGAAGATCCATGCTGACCATGTTTGCTGCGATTCCGAGGAAGCAGCGAGGGAGACTCAAGAAGATAAAATGGAAGTCACACCTGAACATACAAAGAGGGGTCGTATGCATGCGACCAACCAACCAACCAACCAACCATACGGCACGCAGACGATTTGTCATGCTCGGGTACGACCAACATCAACGGCCAACCCCGCTCCTGCGTCCTCGAAGCACAGGGCAGATCTCCTTCAACGGAGCACACAACGCCGCCCTGATCTGATACACCTAAGTAGCAGTCTGACAGTCTACCTCTGATGCCTGCTTCACCCGAAGAATTACCACTGGGACCCCGTCCGACACAGAATACGGTAGAGCCGAATGATAACAAGCAGTTCAGATGTCCGGCTTCGAGATCGCGGGGGTCGTTCTTGGGGTCATCCCTCTCCTGATCTCGGCGATTGAGGATTACAAGTCAGGCAAAAGCACCATGGCCGCATTCGTCCAGTATAGAGGCCACCTCGAGACATTGACGTTCCGGCTCAAATATCAGAAGCTCGCCTTCTACTTCGACATTCTGGAGCTGCTGAGGAGTGCCCAGGTCAGAGAAGCAGAGATCGGGGCGGATATGACGGAACAGGAGTGCTTGATGGTTCTTAACGATGCCAAAAACGGTACACAGGTGCGGGAGTACCTTGGCATACATTATGATGCTTTCATCGGTGTATTGAGAAGATACGAAGAATGCCTCCAAACCATCGCTAGGAAACTAAGGCATATCACGCGTCTCCCACAGGTAAGTCCGCCGCTAGGCGTGCGTTCTTTGCTAATGTGGATAGATGGCTAAAGACGACCTTCAAGCATTGATTACCGCTAACCCTCCTATCAATGGGAAATTCGACTTCAAAGGGGGGGTATCGTTTACGATGAGAAGGGATGCACTAAAAGGGCTAGTTGAAGAGTTGAAAGAAGACCGCCTTTCTCTCAAAGTTATCCTCAAAGGCACGAGGACTCAACATGAGAGGGCTATTTCGAATCCCTCGAACGATTCACGGATCTTGGCAGGAGCTCTGAGAAAGTTTCAGGCTTATGCGAAGACACTGTTTGGGGCCATGTGCCGAAGCTGTGCCTGTGCTTGCCAAGGAGAACACAAGGTCCTGTTGCAGCTCCATAATCGGGTTATGCAGCCAAACACGACCAAAACACCAAGAGTAAAGCCACCGGATGCAGCCGCCTTCAATCTCATCTTCGATCTTGGAGACTACCTTCAAGAAGCTTCTGTGAAGGCTAACCACCCAAATCCGGTTTCAAGGGTGGCGTTCGTTGACCATGGTGAGCTGACACAGCCCTCCATCTTCCTCCCTTGTCAAGTTCCAAGGCCCTGTTCAACGGCTAACATCCCGAAGCCAACAGACGTCAGTCAAGTCGAACCCTGTCATCGTGATCTCTGCGTGGAAAATGCCACAACCAGTCATGTCCGGGGAAAGCCTTCGAGCATCTGTGATATGGCAGCCCGAGCGCGCATCACGGGCAGCGTCCTGAATCTGGTCATGGACGGAGGCTCCTTTGACCTTATTGAAGGCCCACTTGAATCACAGCGGAAGCTTGAAGCTTCAACCACTCTCGAGAACTTTCTACGCATCGGTGCCGCCGATGAAGACTTGCGATTGACACCGAAACAGCAAACCCTACTGCCCTTGACATTGCAGCTTCGATCATCCAGCTGCAACAGACGGACTGGTCCGACCCGTCCTTGTGTAGTAAAGTCGTCAAGTTCGTGGTTCCCAAAGGATGCAACAACGTTACCTCTTCCTCGGTCCCATACGTCGAGCAAACTCCCGTTTCGCAGCCCATGAACAACACTACGGGACCAGACCCCAAGATGGTTCTTACCGAAATCGCCATTCTATTGTCGGAAATCTGGCACCACAAACCCCTTGAGATGTGGGCTGCCGAGGCTGGTGTCGATAACACGACGACTACCGAAGCTCGGATGGTAGCTGCCATACGCTGGTTTCAGGTAACATCAGAGCGTCTGCCGCCACATCACTTCGACGCCATTGAGCATTGCTTAGAAATATGCGCGGGAAGACCTCGATACTGGCACGAGGAGGAGTTCCTGTGGCTGTACTGCGAGAACATCATCAAGCCGCTGCAGAACAGTTGCAAGACCTGGGAGGTTGCTGGGCCTTACGCATTATCAGTCAGAGAATGGGTGGGCTTGGTAATGTTGGATAGCCACGGCGAGGTTCTCGTTGCGCCACGATGTGGATCAGAATTTAGTTTGGATTAGGCATATTAAGTACACTGTGAGTTAGCCCACGCCGATGCTAACTCTATCCTCATTACTTCTTCAAGCATATCCTTTGGGGCTAGGGTTGTGCCTTGTGGTAGCGGTATCCAGAATAAGGACCAGGGTCACGAATGGTGGCTGTTGGTCTGTATTCTGGAAGTTGCTTGATTGAAAGAAGGGATGGGTGGTGTCCCCATCCCAGAAGTAGCTATCATCCCAGTTGGGTACGAATCTGGTACGAACGGGTACCAGTTGGGCTCCAAGGTACCTTGTACCCTGGTCCGAGACCCATCCGTCATTGTGGCTGGAAAATGGGTTGAGGAGCCACAGGGTGGGGTCGTTTCCGGTTACTTACAAAATTTCTAAGCTGCGAGGTAAGGCCTGATTGGAGTCAGTGGATGAAAAAATTACCTAGGTAGGTAAGTACCCTGAGCATCAAAGTATCCCCTATCCGTATGCCTACTTGAGGCGTCGTATTTTGAGGAGTTCTTTTTTCAAGTTCGTAAACTTGAAACTAATCATTCCAGGGCCTTACAAGAGTGTACGCCGCAACTACTTAAAGTTCAAACTCAAAATTCCGCCTTTGGGTCTTTTAATTGTGGTACGCACACTTTTCCAGCCGTGACTCCGTCTTTCATATTCCTCTCCTGCTCATATAAGCCTGAGGTCGGTCATCAATACCTGTTATCCATTTCTTCGCAACCACTCTGGGGCAACAACACAAACCCCAACTACTCATTCGCCACCTCTTCTGAGTCCCAGTACGCATCACACTAGATGCTCCCTGACGAGATGCATTCTGAAGCATTTACCCCCAGTCAGCTGGAGAGTCTTCCTGTCGAACTGCTTGTCAAGATCATGAAGAACCTCGACATCAATGACCTTCCCACCATGGCCCTCCTAGGGCCCGTCATCTACGACGGGTTCAAGCAGTCCCCAAGGCCTTATCATGTACCAGATCACAATCAACAAGATCGGTTCTGATACTCCGCCGGTTGCTTTGGCACGCTACGCCGCATTAGTGATCAAACAGTCACGATGGAACGCTTCCACCAATATCGTCACCGTCCCGATCGAATTGCAGGCATCCAACGCAAAAGAGTTCCACACAAAGTTTCTGTCGGCCGGCACGAAAGCGCTGAACATACCCAAGTCCTGTTTTTCATACCATATGGCTCGATCCATCATCTCGTACCACGCCACCGTTGGGAAAATCGTGAACAGACTCGGAACATACTTGATCAAAGGCTTGTCCAGCAAGCCATCAAAACAGCGAGAAGAAGGCTGCACAAAAACCGAAAACCACCGGATCCAGAAAGCCGTACACGTACTGGTCCTAACCTTGGAGACAGCTTATCTTGAGGGAGACGATGTATTTGTCGAGACCACGCTCCGGGATATTCTTCCGCCATGGGAGTATGACCAGGTCCTGTGCGTCCTGGTATTGAACTCGTATGGCGAAGCCATGCAGTACGTCGGAGGTTCAGAGCGCAACTTGGTGCCCGACCGGCGAACCAGCCAATTTCGGCATATCAACGAAGCAACATGCCGTATTCTCAACAGATTCAGGCTATATCGCGGAACCGAGACAGAATAGAACACCGTACACGGCTACGCCCAGGACTTTCTGCGTCATTTGCGTCAAACCGAGTACCAAAGACGATTTCGCGTGGGGAGGTACAGCATGCCCTTGGGGAGATACGACATGGCGGATTCTCTCAACCGGGACGACCTACACGCCGGCGTACGACTCTACTCACTCTTCCATACGTCCGGGGTACGTAGAGTTCCGTTGATTACATCATCTGCCTCGGATTCAGCTTTGGAAGCATCGGATGAAGAGTATACGGGACCCCGGAGTGTCTGGCTCTGGGAGCACGCTTGCCACAGGATGGACATCTCAGGCTTCCGTATGCTCGGTGAGCACCAAGACCCGAAAGGTATGACTGCACTTTCCATGGGCAATGTGTTCATGGACCGCGAGAGACTGGATGCGCGTACATCATCTACCCTCCCAAGCTGGGATGACATGCGGCTGGCTATGGGATTATAAAGGGCAAGCCGAGCGGGATACGAAAAGGCGCAGATAACTAGAAAAGAGCGTACATACTTATCACCCCAACTAGATGATTACAGGGGTGGCAGGGTGACATAGTCAAGGAATCAGTTTACTCGTTCCGTGATAAAAGATTACTTCAAAAGTTCCGTCCTTCATCCAGCATCATCAAGGCCGAATCCCCCCTCAACTCCCCTTTCACTGTGCTGGCGTCCTGTCACGCGGAACTCCCTCAGACCCTCGCCATCTTCTCGCTACCTTCAGCCTAACGGACATGAGCCCAAAGCCTGCATACCAGACCTTTGTCGGCCCGCCGCTGAACGCCGCGGCTCTCCATGGTCTTGGAAGCACTACCTCGAGCTCGAGATCTACCAGGAACCTACCCAGACACGCAAGTCCCCTCACTTTCAGAATGGCAGAGGGCTCGCTTTCCCGCGCTCACGAAAGTCGGCTACTCAGCCCCGGGCATCCTATTCCCTTGTTAACAACGACTTCGCACAGGAGCGGGAAGTCAAACAGAGTGCGCTTGGAGGAGTCAGGTGAAGAAGAAGAGTAGTCCGTCCGCGATCGGCGCGCGGGGATCGATAGCATGGTTTTAGCGGGTACATGAAGAAGCGAGGGAAAAGGAGAGAGATCGTGTGTAGTTCGATGAACTCTTGCAACCATGTATGATGAAACGAATGACTGGTGACTAGAACATGAGCGACCTTGGTGTGCCCCTGGCCTCCTGTACTCCCAAGTACCCTTTACACCCAAGCCCAAGCCCAAGCCAAACCCCGTTTCTATTCCTCTTCCCGTGGTCAATATATCACATCCCCCGCCACATTATGATATATCGTTCGCTGACTGTCGTAACGGGTAGGAATCCATTTGCTGGCCTCCTCCTTGTCCTTCTTGTTGGCCTTTTCTTCCTTCTCCCAGGCGTCATACTTTTCGCGGTAGGTCTCGTTGATGAGATTGACTTTGAGACTGCCGTTATCAGTCTTAAGTATCACCGGACCAAACGACATGGCACGAAAAGTTTTCCCCTCGCCCAGATAGTCGTAGATCTGGACAATAAACTTCTGCAGGGATTTGTGCTTTATCATGAGCTCCACCAGTGTCTTCTGCAACCCCTCCCAAGCCTCCTTCCTTGCGTCCCCAAAATTGTCACCACCTTCCCCAGCACCTGGAGGGGATCGAATGTAGATCGCGGGCGCACGAAACCCGACACAGGCGCCCCAGTTCTCTGGATGGATCTCGTGCACAGAGAAGTCGGGGCTCACAATGGCCTGTGTTACCCCGTACGCGATGCATGGGGAGGTTCGGTCTGACGCCTCTTCGGGTGTAAGTGCTCTGCATTTGAAGAAACCGTAGGCCTGCTTGGTTATTTCGTCCTTGAGTGTTTTGTGGATGAGGTTCGCTACCGACGGGACCTCGACTCCGTGCTCTGGTGTTGATTCCCCTAGCCACGGGAGCTCGACTCCGTGCTTGGGTGTTAGGTCCGCTGCCGACGGGGCCTCGACACCGTTTTTTGGTGTTGAGTATTGTGTAACGCTTGGAGGCGTCGTGTCTGGCATGATTTCTGACAGATCCGGGCGAGATTGACTGAGGTATATCAAGTGCTGATAATTGTACTGATCAACTGAGAAGTCCAGCAAGGGGGTGGTGCAGTGCCCAAAGAAAGCCATGGCAGCAAACACAGCGTTCTTATGCCTGCGCAGAAGGCCAAAGCTCGAGTCGGCCTGTTGGTGAGCCTCGGCCGCAAGCGTCCCAACAGTGCCCTCATGTTTGTGACCACTGACCACTGACCACTGACCTACCGCGAGAGCCAACCAACCTGTTCGAGAAGCACCGAAAGCCGCATGCCAGGGCGCCTGAGTACCTATATATAGATGGCCATGTGCTTGCGGCGTGGTGTGTGTGGTTCTGGAATGACTTGCTCGCATGACCGACCCACTTGCAGTCCCGGTTTTTGAATATCGCTTACTTGAATAAGGACTGTCCAATCTGCATTGCCGGTGAATTTGGAAGTAGGTACATATGTCCGCGCGGCATCCCAACCTGCCGGCACCTCGTGGATCATGTTCGTCGTCCGTTCCATCTTACACCGCCAGGTAGCTAGAGGTTTACCTCGTGGCGGTTCGCGGAACTTCCGCCTGTCCAAGTCCACCGGGTCCCGCATGAGGTGCCAGTGCGGACGGCGCGTGGCATCTCGAGTGTGTCTCTTGGAGCGCGACCGGGCGGCGTGCTGGAGTGCCGGAACCCGTTGACCGAGAATTCAGCAAGTCGGGAGGTCCACGGGTCTTGTCTTGGTTCCGCACGTGTGGACGGGGCCCGCATCCGGTGTCATCCGGTTTGCTGCCGCTAGAGACGGAGGAGGAGGAGGAAAGCCCACGTGACTGAGGTTCGGCATGTCGGACTTTTCACCGTCTTACATCGTCTTTTTGTAGCGTCGGAGGAGCCCTATGATAAACAGGCACAGAGCACCATGCCGTTTCGAGCTCGTATTCACTGTCTCATCGGCAAGACCGTAGTGCGACCCTGGGCTGTGGAGCGAACAGCTTCATACAGTCAATGATGGTCGGGAGCGAGAGAAGTCGTTACTGCAATGTATGGCATGGTTTGTATTCCTGTAGAACCCACACCTCGCTTTCCGGCATGGGGCATCCAAGGGGTATCAGGCAGTCGGGATTTTACTACAATTTACTTGAATTCTTTCTCAAGAACCGAAGCCAGGCCGAGAAGCAGCTGAACCGGATGCTACACCACGCGTCTCCCTGTAGTAGAAGCTGTGACTGGCACACTTATCAATCGAGCGACACGTCAGATATCCTAGCCTTGATAGTACACTCTTCCCCTCTTTCCTTCTCCTCCTACGTCTTCCTCTTCCCCTTTGGATCGCGCCGTCTCTCCCATATCTGCAGGTACGACTCGCCGAGGTACAGCAATTCCTTCTGGGTCTGCTCGACGAACAAGTCCTGACACACCACCCACTCGTCGCGGCCCTTGTCCTTCAGCTGCACCTTCCATGTCTTCCGCTCCTCGCCCGTGTCCGCAACGTCCTCCTTTGCCCTCACGGCCTCGTGGGTGACGTTGGCGACCAGGTCGTACCAGATCGGCTCTCCCGGCGGATAGTCCGCGGAGCTCGGTTGCACGTAAGGTGAAGCGTCGAGGCCGACGCGGGCGTCGAAGGTGACAATCGTTGGGTTGCGCTCGGAGACGAATTTGTTTGTTGAGAAACGCTTGATGTGGAACATTAAGTAGGGTGGCAACGGGTGCATCAGTCTGTAGCGTTTCCTCTGTGCCAGGTGTTCTTGTGCCTTGACGCCGTCGTACTTCGACAAGATCGTCGTCAACGGCACTTGCGGAATGATGTTACGCTCCAGTTCGTCTTGGAACAGAGGGGCTGGGGGCAGATCGAGGGTCAGGAGCAGGAACCGGTTGACGTCTGTCTTGACCTCTGCTGCTTCTTCGAATCGTAGTCGGTCGCCCGCATCTGCCTTTGCTGTGATGGCCTGCGACTCCATTTTCAGCTTGCCCTGGAAAATCCGCTGCACGATGCTGCTACCTGGTTTCGTCTTGCTCCCTCCCAGACCCAGGTGTAGATTGTTGAGAAACCACGACAAGAAGTCGACCGGGTCAGATTGTACTGTCAGGTTGAACTTTTTGTTCGATTTCAAGGAGATCTCTTGTAGCAGTTCGTGCGGCGATACGTGGTTCTTGAAGGCTCGAGGGTTCCAGATCTTTCGGAAGAGGATGGCGCACCGCTTGACCAGTTCGGGACGCGACGAGAGGTCTTCCAGCAGAAAGTAGTTTCGCAGCGGCGCGACATGCGATAAGGCTTGTACCACGACGTTTAGGTAGTCGTTCTCCTTGATGTTGTTCATTCCCACATAGCCCGGCGTGTACTGCTTCCCACCAAGTGTCCACGCGCTCCTGGGCTTGCGATCCAGCTCCATGACCTCCTGCTTCGAGTATCGGGGGTCGGATACGTATTTGATGTCATCCAGAGACTTGCTCTTCACCTCGTAGCCCTCGGGCAGCACGTAGACCTTCTGGGTCTCCATGTTGATGAAGACGTGGTGTCCGTCGTTGAGGGAATGGAAATAGGCATGCGACTTCGGCCCTCTGCCCTGGAAGTACTTGCCGCACACCAGGCAGGCATATACGTTGATGTTGGACAGGCTGATGGAACAGAGCTTCTCGAAGTCAAAGTCCAGGACGTTGCGATCTATCGTGTCTAGGTAGAGGTCGTCGTACCCAGCTGTGGGTGCAGACTGGCGTACGGGCGCCTTCGCAGGCTCATCTTCCAGGTCATCTCCTTCCATCTCCCCTTCCTCGGTTGCAATCGTTTCGGGCCTCTCGTCTGGCGTCAACATGCCATTGCCATTGCCATTCAGTTCTGGGCCTTCGTCGAATCGCGACCTTTTCGAGGCAGGTGAGTCGACGCCATGCAGCTCCTCGAGAGCCTCGGAAGCATGTCTTTTGGCCATGGCAGTGTAGACTCGTGACGTCGGTTTCTATTATGGTTATTGCGTCGGGTTAGGAGAAACGGCGACGAGTTTTGCGGATGTCAGTTGACTCTGTAAGGCCACTGAAGCTCCAAGTCGGATCGCAAAAGTCCAAAGTTCAAGCTTATTTTCCGACGCCCCTCCATCACTAACGCCACCACCCTAGCAACTTATGTGACCTTAGACCCACCCCCTCTGCCCCTGAGCACTTCTCATACCCAAGACTTACATGTACCCCAAAGCAAAAGCATGCATCACGTAGTGCTTGAATGAATGCAACAGTGGTTGTCAATGATGCATGTCACATTCAAGAAGGAGGGCTTGCACGCACACATGGTTTCGTCACACGGCTGGAATGTCTAAGGGGGTAGCTGGCAGGACCAAATGATCCAATCTAACTATATAGGGATATCATAGGGTGGTTTGTCGTAGTCTCGTATTTATGTTCATCGTGTCCTCATTGTTTCGGTCATCATTTCGATACTTGCTTCAGCCTGGAGCCTTTGGTTCTTGCTGGTGTATTCTGCCCGAACGGAGTCCGGGGTGTGCCTCCCGGACTTCCTCCTATCTTGGTCCAAAGACGTCGCGCTGCTGGTGTCAGTCCTCCCGTAACGCGAGGGCTACTTGGAAACTTTGGAACAGGCGTCTGATCGACCTTGCCGGTCATACCCAGTTTGGAGGACATCCTGTTGGACTGGGATATCCGATCGACCATGCGATGATGGAGTGCCTCTCTCTTGCTTTGCTCCTTGATGATGAAGGGATTAGGTGTCGCATCGCCAGGACCCAAATCGATCTGAGGGGCTGGCGCCTGCTCGTACTCGGGCTCTTCGTCGTCCACAAACGCATAGCCGTTGACCCTCGGGGTTTCGCTTCCCGCTGTAGTCGACCCTGCGTCGCTTGCGTGTCTCCTCTCAGCGATGGCATCCCGGACGGCGGATAGTGACGGCGACGAGGGAACAGACTCATCATCCGTGATTTTTGGAGCCGGCAGTCTGGTGTTCTGATAGTTGACTGCCTTCGGGGCTGCTCGAGATTCCGCCTCGGCCTTCTGGAGCCTGGTTTCCATCAAATCCTCCACACCTTCGGGGTTGAACATCAGTGCGTTGTTCGGTAGAGCTTTCCATGTGTCAGGCTGGGCCGGTCTCTCGTCCTTGTCCTTGATCGCTAGCCTGTCCTTCTCAAATCCATCGTCCGTCAGGCTTTGACTCTCCATGAGTTTCGCCTCTATCTGCTCCTGCTTCAATTGCATCTTTGACGGTAGCTTGTTTCCTGACCATAGCCATGCATATTTCTCGGCTTGCTTGGAATTCTGCTTGTCCAGGAGCTTGTAGAAGCTCTCATTGTCCTCGCTCGTGTACTTGGATTGGAATGTACCCAGGCTCATGTTGGTGTCGATCTCGGACTTTTCCTCGGTGGCAGATGAAGCGGATATGGCAGTAACAGACACGGGGGTATCGCCGGCGAAGCTGCGTGGTGTTTGCGCCCCGGGAGGCAACAATGTCCCCCTCCTCGATCTCTTGCGCCCAGGAGTCATGACATGCTGGAGGCGTCGACCGGCGCTTGAAATCCACGCCGGGTCTTTCGATGCAACGGCATCAAGGTACTCCTGCTGAGTCTCGCTCTCCAATAGTCCCGGGAAGAAATCCCTGGCAATGATCTGCGATAAGGCGTCTGTGTAGCTGTCTTCGTCGATGACTTTCTTTGGTCTCTTTATCCGTTTCGATGGTGGAGGCGGGGGCATCAAGTCGGTATCGTCTCTCTTGCGAGTAAGAGCCGTCGAGGCACCCTTGACGGAGTCCATGTCGTCGAAAAACCGTCCCTGGGGACGTGATGCTGCATCAATGGCGAGTAGATTGAAGTCGTGGTTGATGGCCAAAGAGACAACTTAGGTTCGGGACATGCCAAGCCCTGGAACGACGAAAAAGTGGAGAGAGGAGGTTCCGAACAATAGCCGGCGCAGTATCGTTACGAGAATAGCCCCTCAGTATGCATTCATGCATGAAAGCCAGGATTGTGCCTTCTGGCAGGGGCCCAGAATACCATGTTACGATGACTAGTATTCTGGATGTTCTGCTTGCTGTCTAGAAGGATGGGAGCGTGTCTCATCCGAAAGATCACTTAAGTACTAGATACAGTGCAAACGGTACCTTGTCCCTTGGGCAACAATCCGGCCCAACCGACAAGACACCTAACACCTGGAACCAGCTGGATCCACAGGATCCTTGCTAGCTGCATGTGCCAGTCGTCGACTCATTCCAAAATCATTCTCAGGGTTAGGACTTAGGGCTAGGGCTAGGGTTAGGGTTAGGGTTAGGGTTAGGGTTGTCGCAGGGGCTGTGTCATCTAATCCAAGGGCATAACTGGGAACTGTACGACACAGGAGGCAATGGTACTTCACATCTGCCAGTTGAACGGCTTGCTATAGACATACCCCATCTCAGCTTGCTCATCCGCAAGGGGCATGCCAATGCTCGCTGCAGATTGTAGGAGCTGATTCTGCTCAGTCGTGTGCACCAACGCGTGGGTCTTTTCCAGAAGAGGCTCACGATGGTTAGGAAATCGGCGCGGAAGAAGAGCTTGAGCCTTTTCCAAGTGGCAGCGCGCCGACAGTCGGAGACATCTTTATTAGCCCCGGGACAATCTTCGATACACAGATGAAGCCACTTCAGAGGAATGATAATAAAATAAATTGATACCCATCGCGGGTCTTCAAAGTCACTGACTTCCTTGCAATCATTCCACGCCGAACGCGCCTGAACGTTAACACCTCTTCACACCTTGGCAACATTCTCCTCCACATTCGGCTGCGACAGAATGTCCTTGAGCTCACGAGCAGCCTTCGCAATGTCGCCCCCCGCCTCCCACTCCTTCTTGGAGTTGTCCCCGAGCTTGCCCTCGATGGCAGCGAACAGGTCCGGGCCTCGGCCGCCGGAGAAGGCCAGCGTCGGGCGCGTCTCGCAGACATTGAGCCCCACGCCGGTAAGGCAGTCCTTGACCTGCTCGTTGGCCTTGGTGCCGCCTTGCACGCCGTAGCTGACGATGACGACGGGCTTGCCCTTCCACTCGTTGACGAGGTAGTCGATGGCGTTCTTGGTGCCGCCGGCCACTGTAGTGGTGGATTGTCAGTGACTTGTGTCTTTGGAAGGCCTCTAGGGAAAGCAGCACTCAGGGGCAGGCTATATTCCGCCCAGAGAGTAGCAGTTGCGCCTGCAGAATGACTACTGCCGCACGAAAGAATGAAGGCAAAACCCAGCCACTGTTGCCAATACGTACCTCCATAGTTGTATTCTGGGATGACCAGAATGTAGCCGTCGTGCTTGGAAATCTCGGCGCTCCAGGCCTTGGAGTGTTCGTACTGGAACTGCGCCTTCTCCGGCACCATGGCGGGTATCACCGACTCGTTGTACACGGGCAGGTTGAACTTGCCCAGGTCGACGGGTGATACCGTGATGTTGGCCTCGCCGAGCGGCTTCTCGACGACGGTGTTGACGAAGGCGGCCACGTTGGGGCCCACGCGGACGCCGCGCGTGCTCATGGTGATGAGAGCGACGGATTTGGAGGCCATCGTGATGATGTCGTTCAGCGGGGCTGGGGGGACTTGTTCAAGTGGTCGGATGGAGCAGCGGTCTTGGTGTTGAAGGTTTGAAGCGGATGTGTGCTGCTGCCCGTGGTCTTTTACCACCGCCCCCCCCCCCCCCCCGAGGACGGCCCTTTATACAAGGTCCTCAGGCCCGCAATGTCGAAGACAACCATGGACAACCAACCGCGATGGCGGCACTCATCCCTAGTCGCTCCTCCAAGCCAGGATTCTGATTTGTAAGGACAGTAAGGTGATAACCCGCCTACTACATCCTCTGTCCTTCCGCAACCAGCCGGGCCGGACTACGAAGGCCTCAGTACTGCATGTCTGCGCGGTAACGGCTCTGATTGGCTGCAGCAGAGCAGATTGGGATGAACGCGGCAGAGGCAGGGCGAGCCGAGAGGAAGTGAAAGTCGTGCCGGGGAACTTCTGGGCGTTATCGGCTGTGATTGGACAGCTCTCCACTGCGCCCGAAGGCTGAAGCTCCTCATCGACATCATCATCCTGTCTGCCTGTCCATTGAGATGTTCATTGCCCGCCGGGGATCAACACCAATGTTGCAAACGATTAATAAGCATCAGCTGGTGGCTTCTCGAGGTGGGATGGGAATGATCCTGAAGCGGGACTCGCATCACTCGGGGCAGGGGTGCTTCTCGGGAGTCGGCTGCACTCGAACCGGAACAATTGGTTGCGTCCTTACGTTGGATCAAGAGCCAGAGGCTCACTCCCTCTCCCCTTGATAAGCCGACATCCGAGCAATTTCTGCCACATACGACCATACAGGTGTCCAGGATGGTAATGATTAGCGGGTCCACGTATATCTGCAATGTCAATAGGTAGAACTTTACACGATAGGAACTTTCTCGTGGAAGTTTTTCATCATAGCGGGCATTATATTGGATTCAGACCCATAACCTAGAACCGCTAACCGTTACCATCCTTGCTACCTACCTGTAGGATCAGGAGAACTTGGCATCCCGTCCGCTCTACCTTGAATAAACCTGATACCACCGGATTAATAGTTAGATCGGTGACGACCAGCGAATCCCCGGTGTTGTATGTTTTGTCTTTTTGAATACTCGTTCTTTTTCCTTTTTGTTATTCCGACAAGGCTACGAGATCACGATTGGATGGCTGCTTGATATTCACAGCGAGATCGGGTCTCATTCAAGATCAATTCTGACATGAAGGTGACCGCGTTCTTTTTTCGGCAGCAAGGTGCCGATATACAGCAGGGGCTCAGCTCGTAAAGTATCCCTCAGAGTGAGTGAAGAGGTCGCTGCACTAGCATAGGGGTCAGCTGAAGGTGCTATGAGTCGCGAAGCGGGAACAAGTCAAGTGAACATGGGAGTTGGTGTAAGTCCAGACGGCCAGAGAGGGCGATATCAGACACATGAACGAGGGCCAGTACCTTTTTGCATGGCTTGCACGAAGGACCATGAACACGAGGGGGGAAACTGTTGGATTCTGGGCTACGTTAGCCCATCCATAGTCATCCTTCAGGATCACCATCCCCATCTGTGACTCTGTCACATACGTGGCCACATAAGGCCACGTATCCTTTCCTTTAGTATCTTGGATATATAGGGCCACTCTGGCCGCTCCAGAGTAGCTGGAATTCCTCTCCTTAATAGAACACTTTGAAATCTCACAGAAACTGGGGTTCTCTTCAGGATGGAAACCAAGCACTTGGTTTGTCGGGTGCTGTCGAGCCTGCGAGCTTGTGACTGAGTTCGGACTGACTTAGGTTTGCTTCATTCGGTGGCAGCTGACGTTCAAAGCAAACTTCAGATATGGGTCAGGAGGACAAAGGGGAACTTGAGCATGAATCCACATGAAGCTGAAGAGGCGGGGAATAGAAGTAATGGATATACCTATACCCGGCGTATGGATCCCGAGCGGGACGAGCTCAAATCCCATTCCAGTTGACGAGTTTATAGTCCTGCACTAATGTCGGTTTGAAGGAAGGGATATGATTATAGATCCCAGCTGCAGTTTTATGATTAACGAGGAGGTTGTAGTGGCTATTCATTCCACGTTCCTACATTTTCGTGGTCCTGAGATCAAGTGTGTGAGAGGTTCCACTGAGAGAAGTGTTGCATGTTGGCTGTTGGTGTTTCGAGAGCCGAGAAATAAATCATGTTGGTCGGTCGGGTCATGGGAATTTTCGCACAACGTGCCACAGGGCCAAACAAAGAACTGACATGAACCCGCCATCCTCGAGGTCATGACCTCCTTACGGTGTTAATGCCAAACAATTGGCACCTAGACGCCCACAGGTCTAATGCATACCTCGATACCATACCTTGTCCAATGGGACAGGGCGTACTACATACGCAAGTTAAGTAGCAAGTCGACGCAACTTCGGACTACTCTCAGGCAGGACGTCCCGTATACCGTACGCCTAATACCACGAAGCACTCCTCCTTTTGTAAGGGTGCACTTACAGAATTTGCAGTCGAGGCCTTTGGTATATCTCGACAACCGACTAGGATCACTGGGGCAAATGAGCACAGATGTTTCCGTCGCTCAAACCGCAATGTAAACCACGTGACCCAGGGACCCGAAGGACGAGAGGTCTTCCTGCCGGCCAAGGTCAGATACTGAGTGCTCACAAGCTCAATGTTGAAACGGAATGCTGGTCAGGTCGGTGGAAATCTTCATACAGCCCGTTAAACCAACACGCGGGTGACCTGATATATGTTGCACCAGGGCAATGGGCCATGTATTATCTCATTGCCGATGGGCTTATAAAAGCCTGGCACCTTTCCAACTATCTGCTATGCCACTCACCACGACCCTTCGCATACCAATCTCCAAGCAGCCGGTAAAGACATTACAACTTCAGCAATGAGTCAAAGACAACTAATCGCGTATGGAAAAGCGGAAGAGGAGGAAGAGAGCGACACCACTCAGTATATCGATGTCTATGAGGAATACGAATCAGAGGAAGAGAAGAAACAGAGGAAAGCGTGGGAAGCGCAACGTGAGAAGGAACGGCCGTGGGTGGCGGAGACACGGAAGGAAATAGAGAGGGCACGGAGAGAAGAATGGGCACCAGTGGGAGAGCATCAACGGAAGGGACATGAGGGCAAGAAGGACAGGAGAGGAAAAGGAAAGGGGAAGAAGGAGGATACACACGAATCCCGTCCCGGTCGCCGTCCCCGTCACCGCGACAGTCGTGGCGAAAGCTCTCGCACTGCTCAAGCTGCCCCGACCTTCCTCCCTGACAATGCCCCCTACGAAGGCTCAAACGAAGCGTCTTATGCGAGAGACGTGCAGGATGTCCAATTCGTCAGCATCATAGACCCACATACCGGCCTTCAGGTCAATGCTGAGGAACCAGGCTCAAACGAAGCGTCCTATGCGAGAGACGTGCAGGATGTCCAAGAGGTCAGCATCGTAGAACCAGATACCGGCCATCAGGTCAATGTGGAATCAGGCTCGTACGACCCGTATTATGCGCAGGACCCTTATTATGCGCAGGACAATGCAGGAGGGCAGGATGTCCATTCCGCCAGCCACCCAGACTACACCGGCCATCAGGTCAATTATATGGAATCAGACTCCGGGCATTATGAGCAAGCCAGGCATCACGAGCATCGCAGGCATCACAGGCGTCATTAGCAGAGCCCGGGGAAGCACAAGAGCCTCAAGGGGGGTCTGCTACAGCAAACTCACACGCATGGGAACTAACGTGCGCGCTACACGGTCGCTTTTCAGATATGGCTCGAGAATGGATCGCACACGAGAATAGAGCCGGAGGGGATGGTCACGGATTCATCTGTCAGGGAGGGTTTTGTCCTGTTTTGTTTCTTAAGTCCTGGCGGGAGGCCTGGCCGCAATTATTGCCTTTGGGGTATTGGCGTTTGCACACACGTTCGTTCAAGGGATTGTGCCTATTCGAAAGGCAAATTATTTTTAGGAAGCGGTTTTGTTTCTGTTGGCTGTGTGGAGTTGCCGTGAACAATGTTGTTGTTATTTCGGTTCCACCGCTACAGCTGACAGCTACGCGGAAGGCCTGATCTAGCTACAGGGCACGGACCACGTGACCTCCAACAGTTTCCTTTCCTAAGTCCTGGCAGGAGCCCTGGCCGCGAATCTCACATTTGGGATGTCAGCCTTTGAACACACAGTCGTTCAGACTAGCACTAGATAGCTTCCATATCCATTCGTTTCTCTCCTACTGCCTTGAAGATTCAGCGCAGATGCAAGGCCGTGAAACCCTGCTACTAAGCTGTCTGTCGCGGCACTAGACAGCCTCACAGGATCAACCCCGATATATACCAGATCATGTCTCCAAGCTAGCTTCATAGTTTGCTTTCTTCTTCATATACAACGAAAAGTTCAATTCTGGAGCCATCAGAACTTGAACTGTGACAGTATCATTACATTGGATGTCTAGTAAGTGCCCTTCGCCAACGGTAGCCAGCCTCGGAATCCGAACGCGGCACATGCACAGGTGCGAGTGAACGCATAGACATGCTCAACCTAAAATTACCCAAGACGAAGATATAACAATAAAGACCTCATAGAACATTAAGATTAGCTACGGTCACCCGAGGAGCCCATACGCCTCACATAGCTTGTACGCCTTGAATGCCTCACACACAAGCTACTAACTATAAACCGGCTTCCCCTGATACCCCTGAATCAGGATATACTTGGTGCACCAGTAATTGACTTAGCGTACAGCACGGGGGCTCTGCCTTTTGATGTATTTTAGGATATTTGGGTGTGGCTCTTCTCTTGCAGTCAAAGAGCTTAATAATGAAATGAAGCCTGGTGGACTAACAATGCACCACTGACCATCTATTGCTGATGGATCGGAGACAGCCGCATTATAACATTGTCCCCAAGATGGACTCAGCCGCCAGGCCGTAACTTACAACCTCCTTGTCTCACAGCAAGGAAACATACGGGTATCACTCTGTTTCTCGCACCAGCATAGTCAGCTCTGCACATCATCTTATCATGTGATCGTTGAATTATTGTTCAGAAAGCAGACGAGAGGCTCCGTTCTCGCCTTGCACAGTCATTAATACGCCCCTAACTTTTGATCTACCTAGAGAACGATGGAATCTATCTCAAGACACATACATGGCCAACGCCTGCTTACCCTCATCGGATAGGCGATCCATGTACCCAGCAATGGCTCCATTATGTCGCGCGTTGGCATCCGTCAAATACTGACGAACCCACGGCTGTATTTCCTGAACCTCGGGGAAGTCATCACGCGGCGACTTCTTGCATGTGTTGAGCGGCGTGAAACCCAAGCCGAAACCAATGTCGTCCACATCCGCCTCGTGGACCACCTCATCGCCGGCACCCATCGTCACCTTCGGCGGGTTCATGAGCATCTTCAGCATAGCCTCACACGTAAAACGCCAGCCCTTCACGTAGCGTTGCCCAAAGGATTGACTGTCTCCCATCGACTTCGCGAAAGAAATGACAGCTGATTTGCGGTCGACGGGACGGACGAGCTGCTCTGAAGTGGGCAGGATGATGGTCAAGTAGATCTGAACAAAAAGGTTGTACTGAACCAGGTCTACTTGACTAACGAAGAAGTCAGTGCCTAGACCTGCCTCCACTCGAGCTGATACAAGGTGATAAAATCGCGTGAATCGCAGCTTGAACGAGTCGGACGGGTTGTTTTGAAGCTTGGTGAAGAGAAGCTGCAAGATGTCCTTGAAGTACGGCTCAAGCGAATTGCTGCAACATATTCAGTTAATACATATCCCGATACTGTCATAGCAAGGGACATACCGGGGTATCGAAAGCACGACTGCTTCCAGCAAATCGAATGCATTCTGCTCGGTCTTCTTGCCTTGGAGCAGACCCTGGAAGATGCCAAGGATAGGTTGCACTTGGTTTTCCGCCGCAATGGACTGCGCTGCTCGAGGTATGATGGCAGCCAACAGTCTCGTCAGAGCCGGAACATTTCCTCTGCTCTCCCACGTCGCGGGCATCATCAAGGGTGGTACGAGCGCCTGGTAGTGGTTGGGCAGCGCTCCAGAGGGATCGAGCTCTAGAAGCTTGGCGAACAGCTGGAATACATAGGGCATGAATTCTGTAGCAATTCGTCAGTATGGTGACAGCCATGGTAGTGCTTCTATGGGTTCCTACCGTTCACTTCATCTGTGATGACCAAGTTGAGAGGTTCCCACAGGCGATCCTCCAGCTTTGAAGTGCCTTGGGGCGAGCCGCAGCTGCGATTCGTTAGTTGGTGATTACCCGGCCTGCTTGGGACGATATCTTACCTAACAACAGCGCCCAGAGCCTCGAAGTGGAAATAATAGAACCGGGGGTTGCTGGGGTTCTCCTTGATGACATTCGTGATCCGTACCAAATGATCGAGGACCATGTCCACGAATGGCAGGATACCAGTGTTCATAACGATGAGAACCCGCATGATGCAACGCATGAGGAACTCGTTCTCCTGCATCTTGGCTGGGGAGCGTTCCTTCTCGACAAGCTTAAAGAGGTGGTCAAGGAGGTCTTTGGCAAAAGGCTCGATGTCAGCCCGGCCAAAGATGCGCGCGCCGGCGTCGTTGGTCAGATACAAGAGTCTCTCGACAGCAATGGCTGCGTATGTGTATACGACGTAGTTCGAGGAGAGCATGTTCTGAATTAAGGGCTGGAAAGCAGCCTGCCACTGCTCCTTGGTCAATTGACTTCGGAATGTGTACAAGTATTTGATTGCGTCCACTTTGGCGATGGGCTCGCCGGCGTCGGAGACTAAATCATTCGCAACATGTTGTTGAAAGAAGTCGACGACGTCAACCAGAGGATTGACGGTTTTGACACCGTGTGCTGCTGTTACAGCACCCTTGGCTGCGATGGAAAGGAAGAGGGAGATAGCAGTGTCCTTGTCCTTCCAGTTCGTCTTACCCTGTTCCAAATAGTGATTGATGTATCTGCCAGCCACATTGGTGACCAGAGTCTCGAATCTACCTTGGAGTTGTCTCAAGAAGTCTGTCGCTGCTCGCCTCCGTGAGTCTGTATCCGATCCTTCGAGGTCTCGTCGAATGAACTCGATAGGCTCATCCTCGAAAAGCTCAATGTCGGATTCCCTCAGAGCGACGTTAGGCAGTACCACCTTCTCCACAACCTGACTGAGTACGTTCTCATCATTAAAGGCGGCCGAGTGCTGCAGCGTCCCAGCAATAGCAGTCAGAAAGTGTAGGGCGCGGCTAACGAGACCATCGTACTTGGTCTCGGGCCCGATTGCCGAGAGCAGATTCCACACCTTGGAGATGAAGACTTGGGTGTATTTGCCGAAATCGTCGTCGAACTTTTGGACGTATAGCTCCAAGACTTCACAAATATCCGCCCTGACCGTGTCGACCACGCCCGCTTCCGAGTCGTCGTCAGTCGCCAGTAAGGGGTTCTCATAGCTGAGGTACTTGTGGAACAACGTGGAAATATGCTCTAGATTTGACTCGAACTGCGGCGGCATATCCTGGCAAGACAAATCGTAGAAGACCTTGATGAGGAGGCTCATGGTGTCGAAGTAGCCCTTGAGATTGTCCTTGTTGCCCTGGTTCGCCTCGATCTGGTGGTCCGTAGCCTATGCCAGCGTCAGCTGCGTGGAGCGAGCAAACGGAGGGATGAAAGCGCAATGACTTACATTCAACAGCTCGAGGAAGGGCACGGCGAAAGTGTTCAGCACATGGTTGATCTCGGCATATAGGTCGTCGGAGCGGTACAGCGGCCGCCAACGCACGAATATGGAATGCGCAACCTCCAAGACTCCATTATTGACCTTGTAGTTGTCGGGGGTGAATCGCGAAACGAGGTCCTGAACAAGCGTGTCCCACCGATCCCAGAAATCAGAGTCGGCGATGATGCTGATAGCATCTCCCAGCTGGGTCTGGATGGTGGGCGGGCATGCGATCATGAGCCCAATGAGCTCCTGCTTGATAGTGTTGACCTCATCGATGGGGAGCTTGTAGTTCCGGTCCTCGTCGACGTAATTGTGGCGGATGAAGTTCTTGAAACAAAGAGCTGCGGAGAGACGGATCTTGGGTTCGAAGTCGGCGGCGACGATCTTGAGAAGCTGAAGCGAGAACTGGGGCTTCTTTTCCTCCAGCTTCAGGGCTTCCTCGGCTGTACTCACAGGTTAGGCTTGAGACTTGGGAATAGTGGCATCGACTTGAAGGCTGCAGCGGGGCAGGGAGGGAGCTGTTTCGTACGTACCCTCCTTGTGTTTGGTATGGTCAAGGGTCGCAGCCAGCAGCTGGGCTATTTGGCCAACGTCAGAAGCCATGATGCCTGTTGCGAGGCTGTGAGTAGGAGGTGGGAGGTGGGAGGTGGACGTGTTCGCGAAGGGAAAGTTATGTCACAGCGATCGGGAGGTTTTGTTGACCTTGCAGGCCGTTTCTTGACAGTTCCAAACTTCCAACCCGGCGACGAGGCAACCTCACAGGCACACCAGGCCCCAGGGCGGACCTGTAGACGCTAGAAGAAGCCACTAAAGGAGGGGCAAGATGGGAAACTGCATGCACCTTGTGCTTTGTGTGGCGCCTGCTTCACATCTAGGTACCCGTGCCCCGCACCACTTTCCACCTCGCTAGGGCTCACCACGTAAAGTGGTGCTCACCACAGTAGCACAAGAACCACAATAACACACCAATATGAGGTTATTTAGCATTAAAATTTACGTAGCGACCGCATCTTCTTGCCAGATTCGTAGATATCAGCAGCAGGTAGTCTCTTAGTAATCCTCCAATGCCTGGCCAACTTTGCTGCCTCCTTAGCGAGGGTTTTTCGTAATTGGAGCTCTTTCTTCGCTAGGGCATCTGCCTTCTTCTGGAGGCCTGTCGCGGTCTCCTGCTCCTTTTTCCTCGCTATCTGACGCCCAATTTCAATTGTGAGGACTCTTCCTGATTGGAGAGGAGTGTTCTTTGCAGACTTGCGCTGTTTGTTAACTCGAGAGGCTAATTTGGTCCTTCCAAGATCCCTTTTGGTCTGGACTAGCTGGGAGGCGTGGAAGCGCGCCCCCTTGGATAGGAGCCTGATCCTCTCAATATCTTCAGGAGTAAGATCCTCGCCATCGTCCAGGTTGTTCAAGGCCTTGTCTACTTGATATGCGACCTTGTGAATCTGCCGCATTGTAGCTGGGGTGGTAACTGGAGAGGAACCAGGCTGGTTAGGGGGGGGTGACGGGGTCCTCGCGCGAGCTTCGCGTTCCTTCAACTGATTAATCACAACGGACGGTTTGAAAGGATAGATGCCTGTTTTCTTGAAGGCAGAGAGGATAGTGGTCTTCTTAAAAGCTTGCTGGCGAACCCCTTTAATACACGATAGGAACTCGATCTTCCCGATGTGCGTGAGACCATCACGCACCATAATATCCAGGGCTTTAACATGGTAGTGCTTCAAGGGCTGGAAAACCACCACATCGAGCGGCTGCAGTAAATGCGTCATCTTTGGAGGGAGACCAAAAGGGATAATGCCGTTGTCGTCACAATATCTAATGAATTGTATCGTGTGGTGGCTACCGTGACCGTCGATGATTATGAGCCTCTTTATACCAACTTGAGAGGTTTTAGAGTGCTTATTGAAGTGCTTAATCCACTCTAAGCTGATCTCGTCGTTCGAATAACCACTCTCCGCGGTTACAATCGCCATCCTGGGGTCTAATTTGGGTACCTTGTACCATGGAGACATATAGAGGGTGCCAGAGAGGATAAGGAAGCCTGGGATAACCTCGCCGGCGGCAGAGATAGCTTCTATGCCAGTAGCAGACTCCCTATTTTCTGGTATTCCAAAATAATGGGCTCTTTTTCGCTTGGTAACGACCATCTGGTCCTTTCCAACCCCTAATCAAAAGCCAGTCTCGTCCATGTTTCACAGGTTGTCAGGGAGGATGCCCTCCTCCCTGATGACCCTCCCCAGCTTCTGGAAGTATTCTTCAGTGCGTTTTGAGTCTTCAGCAGCTTGCCGATCTTGTGAAAGAACCTTCTGAGGCTGCTTGAAGTATCCGTGGCGCTTGATGAAGCGGGAGGCCCAATTCTTGCCAACTGTAGGTAGTTCCATAACCGCGGTACTCGCCGACTCCTGGAGCAGCAAGTTGGCAGCCTCTGTGATGAATTCTGGCCTTACAGAGAGATTAATGGCATCTAGGCGGTCGATATAAGCACAGACGGCTTTTTCTTGTATCGCATTCAGCTTGATGGGTGGTTCTCGTGGTCCTTTTTTGGAAGGGATGCCCTACAGGCGGTTGCGGAAGCGCTCTCTTGGAACCCTAAATTGGCGGCAGATACCGCGTTTGGAGGCATCCGGATGCTTGTCGGCATATTCTACGGCTTCGTAAATACGGGATTCCATCACGAAAGAGTCGTCTGTCCAAAGAGATAATGACTTTGGTGTGGTTTTGGCTGGAGGGTGGTTATTTTGGAAGACTGGTGTGTTATTGTGGTTGGTGTGCTACTGTGGTGAGCACCACTTTACGTGGTGAGCCCTAGCGAGGTGGAAAGTGGTGCGGGGCACGCGTACGCACAATTGAATGGAATAAGCACCAAACTGCTGCTTATGCCACTGCCCTCAAACATTTCATATTGAAGGGGTGTTATAGGGTATAAGCGCGACTTAAACTAATTGCACCTAATAGCTATGCTAGCATAATGTAGATAAAGTATACCTCAAGCTATATAGCTGCCCCAATCCCCAGCCTTGACGTTGGTGATTTCTTGATTTCTTGAACAGTTCCTCAGAAGTAGACAATATACACGTTCATTACATGCAATTCCATCATGTCGATGTAGATAGCTCTCAAAGCAATAGGGACTCAGCCAAGAATAGCTTGAGCTTGGGCTCGGGTCGATCTAGGGCTGAGGCACAGTGCCGTGCACCTTCTGTAAGGTTCACCGCAGGTGTGAGGTCCACTGGTCTGTCTCCCGCCATTGGCCATGACGGAAAAGAGATAGTGCGACTCGTGCGAGGGGGAGCCAGCTCCAGCTGCAGCCTCGGGCCCGCGGGGGCGGGGCCGCATGGACCCGACGAGAGGATCCACTAGGTCAGCGGGGCAGCCCCCAGGCTCCAGAGCTCCACGTCTAGGCACTGTGGAGATTCTTCGTGGCGAACCTCGTTCAACCTGCTTCCAAGATTTCATCTTCATCTTCATCTTCATCCAGCGAACCCAGCCTGCCAGACCTGCCAGCCCTGCCAGCCCTGCCGGCCGCGCTCTCAGCTACCACTGCCATCGACCTGCCGCTCCCCTCGGTGACGGTGACGGAGTCTGTCATCTCAATGTACGACTACGCTCCTCGATTACGTCGCACGCGAAGCAACGCCCACCACCGACACACATACTAGCCCAGCGTCCAAACGAGCATCCGAACTGTATACCGAACCGATCCTGTAGTACGACCTACACATCTATACCTGCCTGCCTGTCCACCTACCTACCTTGTTGGCCTTGGGACGTGGATGTGGCGCTTGGCCTGGACCGGAGCGAGCTTCTTCCTTTTCATAGAGTTGTTATAATCGGCTGAGCTACTCCTGCTGCAGCACGGCTGTCTGCATCTGCTGGATGCTTGACATTGTGCCTGCCTTCCATACCTGAACCTTTGATTCCACCCCATGCGACACCTGTGCCTGGTTTGCTTGTAAGTCAGCTTTCCTCAACAGACCTGCTGCATATCAGCTTTTCCCTTCATCTCATGTCGGGTGCCTGCCGCGGTGTAGCTGCTACACGTTGTTAGTCCCTCTACATACATGTAGTACATCCTACATACATTTGTGGTAGTGGTAGTTGACTGCGGACTGCCGTGTCACGTTTCCCGGTGCCACCATACCAACTGCATGGCACCCTGATCCGCTGGCCAGTATTCTCTCTGCCTCTAACTCCTACCATATCCCCACGGGTTGTTCTGTGCCTACTACCCATGGCTCTGCAGCTGACATGTTGCGCCGAATAGTGTCCTTTGGCCAGTCGGCTGGTGAAGGCCCGCCGCAAGCCATGTCTCCGTCGCCTGGAGATGACGGCAAGTCTCATCATGATTCCAAGACTTCTGGAGGCCTGGCCAGCATCTTCAAGGGCCTCACCGGAGCTGCCAAACTGACCAGGTCTCCCTCGCATGCGGCGCTCCCTTCCGGTCCCTCGATAAACGCCCACGTCGCCGAACACCTTGGCTCTGTACCCACAGTCACCCGCGGCCTGCCGCAGCAGCATACTGAGGCGTTCGAACAGCTGAAGAATGGGGCCCTGGACGAGCAGATCGCGGCAGCACATGCGCTGCGGTCCGTTGTTGCCGACTACCCACTCTGCCCAGTATGTTCGATCCTATTCGAAAGCTTCTGGGAGCGCGACCCACTGACTGACCGGCGCTCTAGGTGTTGGATATCTGGTATGCCGCGAAAGACCTCATTGAGCCATCGAAAGACTGGAACGCGCGCACTGCCGGGTGGGAGCTCCTTGCAGTGTGTGTGAAACATCCCTCGTCGTCCGATCTCGAGAGGAAGGAGTATTTCCAGACGATATCCGCCCCGGCGAACCCAGAAGACTTCCAGTATCAACTCACTGCGCTTGCCGAGCTTACAAAACATGGGCGCGATGTCTCCGGATTCGACTACGACATATTCCCACTTCTGTCCACCTGGCTTCAGTCCACCTTCAGTTCCGTGCGGGCCGCTAGAAACGCTGCAAAGAAGCAAGAGTCGCGAGCGAGGGAGAAGGCGCTGACAACCGACGGAGACGGAAATACCGACGAACATGGAAATTTTGCTGGTCTTTTCGCCTTCATTACGGATGTGATTAAGTTCAATTTCATAGTCGCCAACGACGAAGCCGCCGGGTCAATGATCGATGTCCTGGTCAGGATTTGCTTGAGTAGCAGTTTCGAAGAAGATCTGCGGGCCTGCATTGGGGTCTTGGAAGCCATTGTGACATTCGGATCGCTGCCTGCGGACAAACTGAATAGTTGTGTACTGGTCCTTTCCTCTATCCACGCAATTGTGCACTCACTTCGAAAGAAGTCTTGGCATACGATCAGTATGCTATGTCGCTCTCATAATGGACAAGCGATTGTGAGGATCCTGCTGGAGGTTATGATCAGTCCGTCTGCGGATACAGACGTGGAAAACCAGGGCGTTCGAGAAGTACTGGGCGTTGTTTCGGTTCTCACCAAACTGATATCGAAAAGCGCGGAGAAGGGCTACCCATTGGTTCCGTATGCTCTTCTCGTCGACGGGCTATCCAAGGTGGTCGAGATTACATCTCAGTGGAGGGTCCATGTCGAGATACTGAGGCTTGTCAACGCCCTCCTTTGCGATGCCGAAGGTAAGGTGGACAGCATGCTCACTGACGAGGACTGGACTCCTATTTTCGACATCGCCGTGGCATCTTCAGCTGGTCTTGTCACTCTCGTGTCCAGAACTGACGAGGACATCATACCGCGATTGCTTCGAGAAGAGGTCGACAACGCGCGAAGTTTGTTAGCTAAAGAGCTAATGAAGATGGTATACCGACTCGAGAACATCCTCAAAGGGCAGCAAAGCATGTTTATCCAGAGACAAGCCTGCATCGACTTCTTCATCAAGGTTCATCCCGTAGTCCCTGACTCGGTGGCCCTATTGATTCTCGATTACTTCAGAGAATTTCGGTGTTGCTTCCCAACGGATGCGCAATGGGAGACGAATCTGGGGCTGGTGCTAGATACGTTCTTCACGAACAAGAAACGATCGACAGAGGTGCGACTACAGGCCTTGCATAATATCACAGAGGTCTATGACATGGTGGAGCTCGTCAACGACCAGGTTGAGCCCGAGTTCGTCCCTAGGCTCGTGAAACGTCTTCTTGCCGGCGTGGCGGAAGAACGCGATGTTCTCTTGTTGCAGGACATTGTGTCCTTTGCCGTCACGGTTGCAACCGCGACGAGTTACACGTTGTTCTGTCATATTATGGGTGCACTACGCGGCATCGTGGGTAACGGCCGGCTGCGTTTGCCCGGCACTCCTCCAGTCGATACAGGAGTGTCAACATCTCTCGAATCTGCGAAATCAACCAAATACCAAACACCCTCGAGCGTTGTGACGAGGGGTTACGTGCAGATTTTCTTGCGGGTTATGAACCTCGATGTCGCGAAAGCAACCCGCCTCTTCCACTCATTGGTCTCGATAGCCAAGTCCACCAATAGTGAGACAGATGCTCGTGTTACTGCCATGCAACTACTATTCCGCTTGAGAGCTGACTGGGCTCGTCGGATATTCGTCACCCCGCATACTGAGACTGACAGTCTCGCCACAACATTAAATCGCACGGAAGACTCTATATCGCGAAAACTTGCTGAGGAAACGTCACAACCCACCAGGCTATCAAGAGCTGATCTTGGAGGAGCGGCTCGCTCATCACGTGGTGTGTCTTTCTCCCACGGACAGACACAAGATCGAGCCTATCCACTCAGGTCAGCAAGTGGTTCCAAGCCAGTGCCAAGTGCGAGTCAGGCTCTGTGGTTTGCATCTGATCCGGACGCCTTACCCGAGGTCCCCTCTCCAGGCGCAAGCCCCGTGCTGTACTCTGGGCGTTCCGACGCTGCTCCCGGACTTAACAACTCGCCAGAGCAGGAATCCATCTTACCGATGGGACTGTGGCTTGACACGGTCCTGAATTTGATACAGCAGAAGGATTGTGACTGGGAAGTTTACAGCTTCGTCCTAGTACATCTTCCTTCGCAGTTGAGTAATCACGCTATCTTTGAAAGCGCTGTGCCGCAGCTACAGGAGTTACGAAAGACTGTCTGCGATCAGATCAGGCTGAATAGTTTCGACGAGTCCCAGAAAGCTCCTTTGGGGGTGCGCCGAGGTGAAATTGCCATCTGCCTCTTCCATACCCTGACAATGATCTTGAGTTATCACCGGTACTTTCAAAAGGCAGAAGAGGATGAGATTGTGCGCACCTTCGTGCATGGCATCGTCGCATGGGAGCGCAGTGCAAAATGCTGCATACACGCTCTCACAATCTGCTGTCATGAGCTACCTTCCTCGACAAGCAAAGCCTTGGTCACGATTCTGCAACGCATGGCACAGATCATAACTCAACCCGCCGTTGCAATGCACATTCTAGAGTTTCTTGCCTGTCTGAGCAGACTCCCTTCATTGTACGTCAATTTTCGGGAGGACGAGTATCGGATCGTCTTTGGGATATCCTTTCGATACCTACAGTACGTCAGAGGTAGGAAACAGAACTATAGGTCCAGCTCGATCGCCGACTCTAATCCTGCCGCGGGGGCTTCCAGCTTGGCCGAGAACCAGGCACACTCAAATGCATCAGATGATCTTCCGCAGTATGTCTACACATTGGCGTACCACATTGTGCTCTTTTGGTTCTTGGCCTTGAGGCTCCCGGATCGAGCAAACCATGTTGGGTGGATTGCCAAAAATCTCTTCACAGACGTCGATGGCTCACAAGTAGCGGACGAACAGGCGCAGATCACGATTGACTTCATGCAAAGGGTTGCCTATGCTGACATTGATGAATCTGCTGCTGATCCTCTGTTCACTGCTGACAGATTTGGCGAGATCCTGAAGAAGAGATGGTTGATTGGCAACAGCATAGTCACGGTTGAGCAAGCTGTCACGACGGGCTGGGCTCAAATCACGAAGCGCCAGCCGTCAGGCACCTCGTGCTACACGATCCGCGAACTATTCCGGCCACCGCCGGCACATCAACAGCCCGCGAATGATATGCCACGGGACAGCCAGCCTGCTTCGACGAATAGTGTATTGCCTAGTCATCTGCTTGTGCAGTTGCTGTCCTCAATGCCTCAGGGCAGCGACGCGGGGCGACCTGTGCCTCTTCCCGAAGACGACGCGGTGGACAGAGCTATCCGGGTATTCGACCACAATAGTACAGTAGACGGTCACAAAGTCGGCGTGATCTATATCGGAGAGGACCAAACCAACGAGTCGGAGATCCTGGCCAATGTATCTGGTAGTCGCGACTATGTGGAGTTTCTGAACGGCCTCGGGACGTTGACCAAACTGAAGGGCGCCACTTTCAATACCCAAGGTCTGGATCGACAGTACGATACGGATGGCGAGTACACTTTTTGCTGGAGAGACAGAGTGACAGAGCTCGTCTTCCACGTTACCACGCAGATGCCTACAAACTTGAATCACGATCCCCAATGTACGCTGAAGAAGCGACATATAGGCAATGATTTTGTCAACATCATCTTCAACGACTCTGGATTCCCCTTCAAGTTCGATACTTTCCCATCCGAATTCAATTTCGTCAACATTGTCATTACTCCCGAATCCCGTGCTTCTTTCGTCGCTACTAGGCAGAGGACACCGAAGGACGTGAGGGAATCGTTTTATCAAGTCCACGTCTTGAGCGAACCCGGGTTCCCTGAAATCTCACCAGCCTCCGAGCCAAAGATCGTCAGTCTGAAGGCTTTGCCTGATTTCATTCGACTTCTTGCGCTCAACGCATCGGTATTCGCGCTGGTTTGGGCGAATCGCGAGGGCGGCGAGCATATCTCGCCGTGGCGCAATCGACTGAGGGAGATAAACAGACTGCGGGAGAAATACAGTCTCAAATATGTGCCGACGCCTTCACCACCGGGGACAGCTATGAGCCACGGCAACGCGGTAATCAACACGTCTTTGCCTCAGCTCGAGGTAGTCAGGCCAGGCAACACGGTTCGCGACAGTTTCACCAGCCTGAGGCGATCATCAGTCGCCACATTCTTCTCCAACTCGAGCGAGCAAAACTCGCATCGCTCTTCGATGCTATCAACTGCGCCCACCGATAACACCGAAGTCATGACAAGTAACGGACTAGACTCGCTAGTCGACAGCGTCGATTTCTCTAAGTGGGCATAGTGATTACAATCTGCCTTCACATTCAATCATCAATAAGCCGACCTCCTCGCGTGGCTTTCAGGAGGTCTTGCATACCAAGAACGTGTCTATGAAAAGTGTATGGTCGGCTGGGGTCAACGAAAAGTTCTGGGCGGTTTGCGACGGCGTCTGGATACGGAGGATACCACTAGAGTTCTTGATTTCATTTGGCTTTTCTGACTTGCTTCTCCCCACATTCAGGGTCCATGCCAGGTTGGCATCCAAGCCAAAGGCGCGGCGAGATGGCGATGGGGCGGAGCTGGGGTGAAAAAAAAAAGTGAAACATTGACCTTTCTGTACACTTTCTATTATATACGAGAAACCCCGGGGTCGGGCTCGTCCACTCCTTCCCACAAGGAACCAACCTGTGGTGTCTGTACAACTAGTAGACTAGGGAGCGTTACGTCTTTTACGAAGAATCAATTCTCCAGCTGTACATATACATACACGCACACAAACTCACACAGCAGCTGATCTGTTGGCTGCTGCAACGTGAGACGCCCGTGCTTTGCCCATCGACTGTGAATGCGCCCGTGAGACTGCTACCATTATGTCCGTTACGATGGTCGGTTGCACGACATGTGGATAGCAAGTGGGGAGAATGAGCTTGTGCACGACACCTTCGGGTAGATCGGGTCAGGTCAGGTCGGACGGCCAAGCCATGCACGGTTCTGCTGTCGGCATGCTAGTTCCGAAGAGATGGGATCATGGACGGAGGTTCTTCTGCGATGTAGGGAATAAAGCAGGAAAAGTATAAATGATGGTGATGATGATGTCGGTCACAAGATGAGAAGATGAAGGAGGTGAGATGATGAGGTGAGGTAAGCTGAGACGAGACGAGTTGAGATGAATTGGGATTAGGGTAGGGTGTCATGGTTGGTGGGTGACACAGGAGTAAGCCGGCTGCATGGTCGTCTTTTCAATTCGAATAAGGGAGAGGGTCGATCCTTGGAGATGGCATCAGATGAGGTGCTTGGGGGCAAGAATGCAGGTTTTTATATTCGAGACGCCGTCTGTTCGCTGTGGGTGCGGCTGGCAATCTGCGCTGTTACGCGGAAGAGAGGTGCGAGAGGGGTCCATTGGTACTTGGGATCTCGGGGTCTTGTTTGTTGTGTGGCTGTCTTTGTGTTTTTGGGATACAGTGACGGTGGCAGGAAAGAGGAGCAAATAATCATGGCGCGTAGACAACATCATCGCAATAGTGAATGTTGTCTCAAAGTCTTCAAAAATGTGTCTTATGTGTGCCTCTGTTCGGGTTCAAGGGGTAGATAGATACATTGTTGCTCATGTTGCCAGGATGGACAGGCTGACTGTGAGAGCATCCAAAAACTTGCTTGACCGACTCTTCGTACCCGAGCTTAGCAAGAAGTTACATAGGTCTTCTAGCTGAGCTGGCCGCATCTCACTCTCAGCGCGAGAGAAGGCAAAGGGCAGGCGAGAGACCTTGAAATGTAGAGTGTGAGGTTAGAACGTCACAAAGCTGCACAGATAATCATCAGTGGATGCATCATACGGGAACCGCGTTATTCACACGAAGCAAGACGCTGGGTGAGGTGATCAATCGTCCCACCTTCCTCCCATCATTGCTTCCTCTCTGCTTCGATGCGCCGTCGATGGAGGTGGGCAGGGAGTCGGTCATGCGGTGACACGAAAGTCTCGGTGACCAAGCATGAGTAAGAATGCCACGCACACCGTGGTGGTGACACAAACCCAGGATGGGGGAAAACTCTGGTCGGAGTCTTCGGCTCACCCAGAACACGCAAGGCCCGGCCATTGGCCGGGATCGGCAGGAGCAGATCGAACTTCATCGGTGCGGGTTGTGATGGTGATATTCGGATGGTGGGGATGCAGCCGCTCGATCTGGAAGTCAAGGAAACCTGTGTTACCCTCCTTCTTTCCCGCCAGTGCCATTGGCATCGCGGTAGCTTGGGCGGTCACTGGGTATATCCTGGGGTTGCAAGATTACTTCACCCACGGCTGACTGGCTTACTGCTCTGCGCCTCTCGGCCCGTAGCCTAGCTACGCAAAGCCCTGTCCAACCGCACCGGCAGTATCGGAATATTGTCGACTGGATCCTCAAGGCATTCCAGGTACACACATTAAGTGAACGCAGCATCGCCAGGCTAACCCTGCTTCACTTTGAGGGTGATGAGAGAAAAGGGGAATACGCCGACGGCGCCTGGATCGGACGCAAGTTTCTCAGAACGCGGGAGTTGGGAGTGCATATGTCAGCTGCCTAGGCTGCATCTTCAGCACGCCGCCTGCATGTGCTGCTGTACGTACTCCGTAGCGTCCCTTGTGTCGTACACGCACGTAATCCGTCGGGATGTTTGGGCCGGCAGCCCTAAACCGCTGCAGTATCCGGGACTAGTTCGTGGAGTTTTCAGTCCTCGTGGTTCACTGAACTGCAGTGAGCATCACTCGCCATCCGAGCACACAGCATGCAAGGCAGCTTGACAAGAGAACATCGAGAAGGGCGTGATTTAGGTCAAGATGTCTATCCGCCAAAAAGCTCCTACTTCCTCTTCGGGATCTCTCTACTTGAATTGGAAAATGCTGTCAGCCGCCGGAGTTGCGAATCGTAGGCATATTCGCTTCTGTATAACCGCGGCATATGCGCCTGGTTCGTTTTTTGTATGGACTGTATTTCCGACACTGCGGAGTGTGGGCTACCACAGGAGGTCATCCAGCAAACGGATTGTGGGGAAAGGCGAACCAACAACGGCACCGCCAGTCTGCAGCAGTGACGGGACCTGCCGAACGGAAGTAGCTCCGACCGTTGAAGTCGGACATGCATTGAGCAGGCTTTTGAGGCCGTCATAACCAATGAAGATGTTGGGTGGCTGGTTGGGAAGTACCAGCAGTAAGGATGCGCTTACGTTGTTGCATGGTGATGCCGATGGCGATGCAACACAGCTGACCTCAGTGACTGGCATTGTGCTCCATTCAGTATTCTGTCCGAAGAGATATTGATCGTAGACGGCGGGTCCTGTTCTCCAAATCATCGCGCTTGTATCAGTGAGTCGGTACTACCGGATAAACAATGCATAAGGTATTCTTCAGTAACAGAGCTCCCCAGTGCAATGCAACGGTGCGGCCGCGGTTGTACGACCATTTGCAGTCGCTCATTGGCGCGTGAAGGTTGCCGCAGACGAAGTGTTCTGGCGTTGTCAAGCTTCCCTCACACCGTCCGGCGTCGTCTCGTGACACAGAGCATCGAGGCGGTATGGCCATGCAAAGATGGTGTGGTAACGCAAAAATATCGGTACAGTGAGCTGTCCTCACGGGGGTCAGACAAAGTTTAGAGGCCGCTTGAGTTGCAGATTACAGCTGATTTGTCCTACCACAGCGATCGGAGTTGCTGACATGCAGTAGCTACCTCAACTTGAACCGGCATGCCGTGCAGTCAGGCAGTATCAATGTAACATAGAGTGTAGGGATCGGCTGAAGGCCCGTAGCGTTGAGTCATAGGGCGTTTTGTGACGTTTTGGTCCTCCCCGGACTCACGATACCGTCATAGCGGAGGGAGTAATCGTGAAGCCCACTCATGTCAGGGTGTTTCGGGCACTGCTACGGTTCTCTGGTCTTCCCAATATCTTTCGGCATCTCAGGCGCATTTCGGACGGGACGGCACTAGCACGTCTGCAATGTTGAATGCGGTAAGATTGGCTTCCAAATTGGGTGATTACCGAGGACGATTCCGCCCCCAACCTGCCCCCGCTCAGGCCGAAGAATTTCGTAGGCGTGCCTCTAAGGGTATCAAGTCATGGTGTCGCGTGCTGGTCCCGTATCGCCTGCTCAGATTGGGGGTGTAGAGACACTAATCAGCCGATCGTGAGCCGTAGTTGGCATATTTGCACTGGAGACCAGGTGCCCTCGAACCGCAACAATCCATCAGGCATTGATGAATGCTCTAGCTGCGATGAAATGATGAAGGGTGCTTTGGTTGCAAGCATCTGACCGGCTCACCAGGTATATCGAGTACCACGGTTGGAGTCGGATTCATGGCGTGAGTTTGGGCTCGAATTCGGATCGTATAGGATGCCATACCTCACCAGGGCCGGGAACTAGGGCATTGACCCAAGATACATACCTTGACTGCCTAACCATATTTGGCTCTACCCACGGACGTTGTTTTGCAAAATGTTCTTCACTTTGAGCTGAAGGAGGTACAGATGCTTGACTTGGTTGAGTCTGACTGTTTCAACACAAGCTAGTCCTCCACCAGAAGTCTTGTCTGGGGTAGTGTTTGGTCTCAAAGCTTCCTCTTGTCGTTGTTCTTGCCCGGACCAGAAATGGGCGCCTGATTCCGAGCCTATTCTCTCAAGTCCGGGTCATTGGGGTGGCATAGTAAAGCAACCACTCGTACGCTGTTGGCCAAGGCGTTCAGTGGCTTCGAAATTAGAATGAGACACTGCTGCCAGGGTGAAACGGTGAAGTTTGCGGTCTGTACTAGGGAACCTCGCGCGGCCCAGGTGAACTGTCCACTTCTCCCTAAACCTAAATCGCCACCTTTTTGCGTCTGCACCTTGAGCTGTAAGTTTCACCGTATCTGAGGCTAGGTGAGGCAGGGGGGACGCCCAGTCGCTGGGTGTTCGTATGAGTATCGGACTGCGAAGAGACTTTTCAGGAGGGAGCGACTTGGTGGCGAAACTGTTGTTAGAGCCGAATCCACAGGGGAATCGTCCTGCATTGCGTTTTGAGGGAATTGAGGGCGCATAGTCATGTTGGTTGCCAAACCTCCCTGTATGTAGCCCATTTTTGGAATCCTTGACGACGTCAATCCAGTGGGCTTTTGCTTGGAGGGGAAATCTTACCCATCGACTGGAACCCTTCGTCGCCACCTCTGACCGCATCGAGATAAACCCGCTTCATCCCCTGCTCTTTCAACACCGAAATACAGGCGTCGAGTAGCCTGATCATAATGGTATCTTTGCTAATCGATATCGCAGTATTGTGGTCTAATGCTCAGGTTACTATCGCCCCTCAACGAATTGTGCATTTATGAGCGAACTGACCTGAAATACAGATACATGTCACACCTCCCACGTCAGGGCCAATACTCCGTGACCATGGCAGGTCTAACGCTAATGAGCTGCCTTCGTGTGGCGTGTAGACCAGAGCGGCAGCGACAATATCCGAGTGTTCGAGTCCCAAAACAATATCATTGAGTCGACCGTCCTGTGCAAGGTTCATGTACTGGTCATACCAGCCCGTGTGGTCCTTGCGGGTAGTCTCCTTTTCGATGAACCTCGAAATCGAGTCGAAATCATCAAATGTGCCCTGGCGAAAAAGCAACCCTCCAGCGACCGTCGAAAACCCACCACTCGGCCAATCGTCAATGCTCAATAACCAGTCGCAGATGTCTTGCCCGTGGCCAGGAGCCTGTCGATCCATCTGCCAGCCACGCCTCTTGAACCACTCTTCCGAGGCGAAGCCAGCCGGGATGCCGCTTAGAAGCCGGGGAAACGTAGAGCCCAACTGAACGCGGTCCACTCCTCGTGTTCGTTTAAGTTGCTTGAGAGCGTGTTCATAGAGGCTTAGCCCGATCCCTCTCCTCCGGTAAGAAGGTTTGACAATAATCAATGCGAGGGATCCTATCAACCGCTCGCCAGCCTTATCAACAAACGTAGTATATGTGGCACAAAATCCTACCATCTCACGGGTCTCGGGGAGCCTAACCACGAAATGCATCGCATAACCATCTCGTTGCAGAATAGACTGCAGTGGGAACTTGTCAAGACGAAACTGTTCCGGGAGACATTGATTCCAGAGACCTTGTATAGGAGTGACATCGAGGCCGTCCCAGTTCTCCGGCGGCCAGAACTTGGGCGCCATGATGAGTTCGCGCATATTCATCCCACTCGTGCCGGCCGGTTCAGCTTCGCCGAGTAACAGAGCAGCTGCAGCCTGTAAATCTGCCGGTGAGTACCCGGGCAACTGGACCACGGTAGAAAAATCAGCCTCCACGAGACCCAGGTCTTGTATGTCTCTGCATGCTACGACAATCTGGGGGCGCTGATCACCAGCCATCCGCGCTTTATGAGCGATCTCGACTTGTGACGACTGCCCCGCGGCCGGTGGACCTGATATGACGAAGATCGCCGTCTTGGCCCTCTTTATGAAGCTGACATGTGTGCTCGTCATACCGTTTCGTGCGGTATATGGAACATGGCGGATCCAGGGGTGTTTTGCGGCCAGCGCTCTGCCTAACGGCTCGAACGGGTCGCTGCCATCAGCAGCTTTCGGGTGAGAAGGTGCAACGACGGGCGTGAGTAGCACGACGATATCACCGTCACCGAGAATCCTCGTAAGAGGAATGCAAGATTGGTGATCCCTGACGAGGGTAACTCGTGGTTGGCGAGAACCTCCGCGATGTCCGGAAGCAGTGACAGGATGGCCTGGAAGCATTTTTGAGGGTTGACAATTGTTTCAGAAAGAGTGACGTCCTTTATTCAAAATTGTCTACGTTGATATCAGCGCGGTTTTGCAGAGGCATTTTGGGGTGACTAATGACTGATGCTCACTTACTAGACCACTGTAAGATAGTTGTGACATAAGCATCCTCGACTGGGAGGGTTTTGTACAAGCCTTGTAGGGATAGCTTCGAAGCTCAACACGGCTGAGCAGCGCCTCGACAGCCAAAGGCGAGAAGGATGCGGCGCTGGACCTAGGAACTAGAGTTCACTGCCAGGTTTATCAGCTGGGTGTTGGATTCTAGCTAGCGCTGATTATTACAGCGAATGGAGATGTAATGGTGGCGGTGTGGGCACAGGGGCCGGGGGTGACACTCGACATGACAGGTGAAGGATGCATAAAGGCCAAACACGCAACTAGGTGGCATCTGAATGATAGGAGCTGCCGAAGGGAAGGGAGGACCCGACACGGATGCGTTGCCGCAGTCGACGATCAAAACATACCTAGCATAAGCGCCACACGCAAGATGTATGGCCAACCTGTCAGCCTTTCCAATGAACAGAACAGCAGTCCTATTCCCCAGTGCTGAGTTTCGGCAGTAGAGCGGTAGCGGCGAAGTTCGTAATCGGACCAATCCCACACGCAGGCTTGGTTCTCGCGTCCAGCGGAGGATCGGGAGTGTTCTAAGGTTACGCGTTAAGACTCCGGCACCCGGTCTATAGCACAACTGGGGTTGACTGACGTTGGGAGACACAGAAGATGGCGGGTAGCAGCTGAGATACCTTATGTGGTGAGCAGATAGGCTTACTAAGTTGTGTACTCCGAAGTGTATGGTCATCCAGAATCATCCTTCCCTGCTTTCTGCTGTAATGGTTACACGCAAGGAAAGCGAATGGTCTACGCCGAGTGAGGCACATCATGGCACAGCATGGTGTCGCACGCACTCTAGCAGAGATCCAATGGCAAGTCCCTGGAACTCGCATGACCAGGCGTGTGTGTGTGTGTGCGGCGCGCCTGTGTGGTCATGGATGGAGGCCTTGCCGTCTCCAACGGGCCAAGATGAGCCCACTGGGACTCTCTCGCCCATCTTTACCCTCGATCGGTAGAATCGACAGATCAGGGTCGCGGCAAGCTGGGCTGGCCAGCACTGGGCACTGCCCAGTGGGGGGTTACTGTAGTATTGAACGGCCATTTCCGCGGCCGAGCATTTCGCACATTCGCCTCTGTATGCCGCACTGGAGGTGTGCGTAGGTAGTCTATACGCGCTGTGGGCATCGTATGCCTCGCCGAGAGTGCAGAGCATGAAGGGCCATATTGGCCTGGTCGCACAATGGCACACAGGTGCGGCGGGCATGTCGACACTGCTCCTGGAGACACAGAACAGTGGAAGAGGATGAGCGGTGCTAATTCACTGCTGGATTGATTGACTCCTTGATTCGCCGGGGTTATGCACCTCGTAGGCTGAGTCTGACTCTGACTCTGACGCATTGAGGTGGCTGGTAGCACAACCTGTGCGATGCTGCAACGCTGCCATATCACCGGGCGAATCGACTGGGGGCAGGCGAAGGGGATGGTGATGGTGATGACAGTAGGTGGTAGATGAAAGAGAGAGAGACGGATCGAGGTGGAAATAGTGGTAGCACAAGGCACTTTTAGTGGGTGAAACACACTCGTGATGTTGAAATCTCTGGCTGTTGGTTGACACAGAACAGCGACTTCCTTATTGTAGGTAGGTAGACTGACTGACACAGACGCCCCTGCCGCCCCTGCCGTCCCTCCCTCTTTGGCGCTTTGGGCAGGTGGTGGACCCCGTGCCGTTCCACTGCCAGGCGCCTAATAAATCGCCGCGGCTTTCGTGTACAACCTCGGTACAACTTGGCTGTGCGTGTACAACAATATTGGGGTGACCGACGAGCCATCCCTGATTTTCTTTCCAGTATCTTACATACATGATCTTACATAAGTAGATACTCAATATTGCAGCTCACGTGTCCATTTCTTCGCGCATGACCACACGAGATCTCACACAATTGTGCGGTCTTACCGCAGAACGATGGACTCGAACGAATAGTTAATGAGTGAGCCACACCGGTTGCCACATACTTTCATTCCAGTATATTCTGGAATTGATAGAATCGGCAATACACGGGACTGTTATTGTATAACCGTCTTCGTTCCCGCTTCTGCCATGAAGGACTGGCACGGTAGCATCAATGCCACTGCATTCCCATGCAAAGAAGACATTATTGATAGAGGCGACGCTTGGAACACTTGAGCCGTTGGGGATGCATTTTCGACCGGAAGACTTCCCGGCCCCTTAACCGAACGATCCGCACCGTCCAATCTGTCCATGATGCCCATTCCCCTCGTCCAATTTGGGTACCTGTAACAGCCAAGGCTGGTATCAACCCCTTCGCTATCTGATGGTATCAGTAGCAGGCACTCTAGAAAGTAACGGCACGTCAAGTGTCACATCAACGCTGGCGGCCTAGAACGCAAGATCGCGAAGTTGTTGTGGACACATCACCCCCGGGCACGCATGGATACATAATCTCATTCTTTGACATTCTGACCGGCGTTAATCGCTTCCTGTCTGGGCCAAACCGGTACAGCTGCTGCTCCGTGCCAGGTTGCCATCGCGTGAGCAACAGAGTTGCTTTGGAATCCCTTACTTTCGGGCGGCGGACACCCAGTAGGAGGCGAGGATGTCCAAGACTCGGTCCTTTCAATGAGGTATTAAGATTTGAGACACCTTCAATACTGTCGGTCAGGCGATACCATCTTTTGAAGGTGAAAAGAGGCATGGGAAAGGCGACCAGACAGACTTCCGCTTCAATGCGTGTGGCAAGCGGATGGCTATCGCCCTTGGTGTTGGCGATCAAGGCTCGAGGCCGGTTTTCTTGGCTTGGGCCTCAATATGTTGATACATCCTAGTGGTAATCTCTGGAGGCTGCTCTTGTTCGTCGTTCAACACTAGTTGCTCAATGCCCTCCTTAAATTCTGCCATTTTCTTATTGACAACCCGAACCGATCGCAGTCGAAAGTCAACCTGCACACCAGCAGTAATGCTTGCTTCAGGCTCGAGGCACTACCTTGATATGCGCCAGGTTCGGGAAGGGGCCATAGTTCAACGGAATTCAGCGATCGAATCACCCTTCCAAGTGCTTGTGCCCATGTCGTTTCAAGATCAAGGGAAGTCCGGGGCTGATTGATGAGCGCTTCCACCCAGGATTTGAAAGGCTTAAGCAAAAAAGCGATGAGGCTGACCTGGCGACCTTGACAGCGTCTATGGCTCGCAAGTTAGCAAGTTAGCGGGGCTAGGAAAGAGAAAAAAGTGCGTCCATGTACATACCGCCGGCCCCTGGCGGCTCCATAAAAGTAGAAAAGAGAGATGTAAGCTGTTGTGAATCACCCAATGGACCGACCGATTCAGTCTCCGCCGCGGGTTCTTCCTTGAACTCTGCTGGAGCAGGGGCGAGAAGGAGAGCCCCATGGGTGTCCATAGAACTGGACCACGCCATTTGTCTGAAAAGCCTTTCGAATTCGTCTTGGTGACCCAGCTCCCACATGATCCAGAGTCGCTGCTCTAGACTGTCAGATGATTCAACGCTATCTGAATCTTGCACATCCGTTGAGGTAATCAGGCTTGCTATCCAGTGCCGAGCCCACGGCCGCAGGCTGGATGTGAGATCATACTTGTCGGTAAGGACAGTAATGTCGTAAAGAGCATCCAGCCCGAGAGACCCATCGTGCGGTACCTTGTCGAACCGGCTGTGAGGATATTGAGGACCACCAACATGGCGTCAGGATCATCTTCGGGAAGGTCGACAGTCCACAACTGGTCTCCGGAGGGTTTTGATTCCGCAAATCCGCCGTACAACAGTGTCTTCCAGGCGGCGGACGCACGCGATAGGGTCTTCGAGCAAACCGTATATCTCACGGGTGCAGATACAGACTCTTGGCCTACAATGAGTACCAAGTCGCCGTCCTCGTCTATGTCGACGTGAGACTGTGATGACGTAGCCCCAGGAGCTGAGCGCCTGCGACGACTACGTGAGGTCGCTAGGGAATCCTGTTCATCAGCCGCACTCCGGCGCCTCTTGTTGCAGGGCATGCCCTCAATCAGATACTGATGTGCCTGTTCTTGTGCTTTTTCGACGGGAGATTGGAATATTGCGAGATGAATTTGTTCACGGCGCGTGCCACTCGACCGACGCGTCGGGCAAAGCCGCAAAGGCAATGGGGCGAGCCTCTCAGCAGCACCCGCTTGGCATGGAGCCCCACCCTTTGGCACGATAAGGCGACAGGTGTCCGTCAGATGGCAGCTTCGCATGTCAATAAACGATATGACCCTAATGCCATGCATCAGGTGCACACTTCGCAACGCGCCACCGAGTCGCATTGATTCTGGATGTTGACCTGCCAACCCACTGACAGGACCTTCGAGAACAAGCCTGAGAGAAACTTCAGTATCAAATGGATGTGGATGTCCCACAACATTGCCACAGCATAGGCCACAATGTCTTCACAGCAAGATGATGGTCATTCAGAGGGTTCGCCTGGACTCCAAGAGCACCTTTCGGAGGTGGTTCAGGGTAATTGCTCCGCTGCATCGATATCGCTCATGTCCTTGCAGTCAATGGCCTCGCTAACAAGTCACAGCGTCCAAATTGACGGCGAAGCAACGGGGCAGCAGCGTGAAGCCTGCAGTGGAGGCCTTGACGTCGCTGTCCTACGACCAGGGGCTCCTGCCGGCGGACCTGAACGAACTGATCGATCTGATCACGACTCCGAGTTTCCTTGACCAAGCCAGCCTCGCAAGTATTGTGCGAAGCCTGTACCCCGCAACCACTGTAGGCGATGAGATCGTGATCAAGGCGGTCGGGTGTCTTGGGCACGGCCAATTGAAGCCATCCCTTACTATTCAAGGTGCACTGCTCAAATGGCTTATCATGATCCACCATATCATGGAGAAGCAGGACGTCTTGTCTCAGATGTACTCGGTGCTGTTCAACCTCCTTGACACTGCCGCTATTAGGTGGGCAATGCCACCGCCATCCGGACTGTCCTAGCTGATCACCTCCAGGCCTCAACTGTGCCACCTTCTGGCCTTGATTACACGCCGTCGTCATGTTCGGCCGCACAGAATCCAGACTCTGTACGCAAATATATCTAGTGAATCCCAAAGATGCGGTGCTAATGAATATCCAGGCTGTCGTTATCGAGGCAAACAGGCAATGATCCCACGTTGACGGGTCTGCTTCGAGTCTACAAAGACTACTACCCTGAGATAATCGTGGGAGAAGCCACTCGAGGCAAGGCTTCGGCTTTCAAGGTACGCCCTCTATTCGCTCTCTGAACAATCATATGAATGTCCACTCACTGGACTAGCATCCGGATCCCCGGTGGCGCGAGAGGCTGGATGAGATCCAACAAGCACATGCCCAACGTGCCACTTCCAGGTCGGAAAGGCCTCTGGATTCTTTCAGAGTCGCACGCCACAGACAAAACGGCAAGAAGGGTAATCTGATACCGGAGGTGCACACCTCACACGCTACCGAGGTAAGTACTGCGAACTTCGTCGTTTGTGCAAGACCCGGCTAAACATACTAGCAATCGGTCACCCTTGAGGAGATCGAAAACGTTGATGGACTTGTGAAGAAGCTGGAGACCATCGAGTTGCCGAACCAGCTGATAGCGGTCCTTGGTGACCCGCTACTCCAGAAGGTTATGCTCTTAAGACCACAGGCTGAAGCGCAGCAGAGAGCTAGCAACTGGCTGAACTCGTATGCTCATGACCTGATGAGTGGGGACGCCGTCAACCTCGTAGACATCCTGGAAGCTCTAAAGGCTTATGTGTCAGCTACAAAGGTATGTAATGCACCGTTGAACGTCAAACGCATGATACTGATCGTGTTCCTACCTTCTAAACAGACCATCCCTCCCGTGTTCTTTCCATTCTTCAACGACTATATGAAGATCTGGGGTGGCCGCGACGGCAAGGACTTAGTTCTGGATATTCTGACATACACGCCTTTGTTAGACTTCCAAGGTAAGAGCCTTGAAAGATACGACCGCATTCCGCTAACGAGGCACAGAGCTATACTCGGGTATCTTCAAATCTCTTGAAACTAGTATTCTCGACAATACTGCCAAGTCTCAAATAGACTTGCTAAGGTTCTACACGGGCCTGCTCCAGCGTTGGACGATATATTTGGCATCACTGGAGGATGATGCGAGTGTGCCTCACTCGTCGTCTACCATTGCTGCTCTATCGACTCACGTCAATGACCTTTGCCTGACCGTACTCCAGACAGCACCTGGCATTGCGACGCACTCGGAAGTCTTGAACTTCTACGAACAAGCAGTGATCATATCATCCGACCCTACACTGCCGATGCACACTCGGATCATCATCCCGCCTCCTCCCCTCGTCTACATCTTGCTTTTCAGTGGCTCTGCAGCAACAGTATCCCGTCTGTGCGCCGTACTTGCGAAGTACAAAGATAGTCTCAAGGAAGCGACGAAAGTACCCAACGCGGACTATCCTCCGGAATATGTCAACAAGTTCAATGGTTTCCTCATGGATATCGCCAACTGCTTCTGGCGTTCACGCGCTTTTAACAGCAAGGACCAAAATGCTCACGGCTGTCTGATGCCCGGGCCACAGGTCGACCATCTATCGTCCTACATCAACAGCCTCAATATGGGCGTCTCGCTCGAGTCCCTCTTCTCCCTCTCCTATTCACCGGTGCTCGGGCTATTTGCGATCTCGTGCTTCCGCGAGCTGGAAGACGCTGAGCTGGAGCGAGGATCAGGCGAGCTCGACACTAGACATGCCGGCCCTGTCACTCGTACCAGTCTGAGGGCACTGGCCAAGAAGGGGGGCTTGAGACTGGACTGGGATGACTATCGCTTGTACGTGCTCGACCACCTCGAGGAGAACGGCCTGGGTGGTATCAAAGAGATATTGAGCAAGACGATGAAGACCATCATGAGAAGAAATTCGGCGCAGCAAGAGTAGGGCGGCTCTGGATGGAAGTACTGCCCGGAAATATTAATCACCAAACCGTTGCAGCCCTCGCGCCATCATCGGGGTTGTGAAGCTGGCTTGTTGAGCTCTCCTCGTGCGCGCTGGCTGGTGTGTCTAGTGATCCTTCAAGGCCCTGGGATGCATCTACCTGGACCCCTTCAGGAGCTGGCACCGGCTCCTCGCTGTGAAGCGACGCAGCACTTTCACCGTTACGGCCGAACAAGACACCCGGAAAGAATCGCACGTTCGCAACGGCCCAGACCATATACTCGTAATCCATTAATTAGCTTCAATTTCTGAAGTCGCTGTCTGTTCTATTCTAGCCTTTGTTGAAAGGGTATCTCAAGTGTCATCGAAAATTCGTTCCCAAGCCCGTTCTCATGGCAGCGGTGATGAGACCATCTGCGTCACAGTGTCATTCCTTCTTTAACGCCCAATGATGACCGCCTCGTTCCGTGTTGAAATCACGCCCGTAAATGCAAGTTAAGTGCATCTCTGAACGCCGCCATAATGCGATACCCTCCTCTTTGCATCTTTCCACCCGTCCCGTAAGCTGGACGAGGACCCGGACGTGGTGATACCCTCCGACCTAATCCTTATGCTCAAGGCCATACCCGCCAAGCCCCCCAACGGAGTACGTCATGCCCTCAGTACCCATACTGTTCTGATTCCGCGGGCCCCTCTCCTCCAGATCCTTCCTCAACCACCCGAGCACCAGCTCACCAAGACGGCTATTCCCCGTGCTCTCCAGCGCAGCCGTCTCGCCCAAGAACCGATCGGCGGTGCCCCACTCGCGAACGCGGCCGAGGTGCATATGAACAAGATGAGTAGGCCAACCAGCCAAGTTATCGAGGATGTGCGTGGCGTAGACAATAGTGCACTCGCGGATCTCCGTCTCGCGCTTGAGCCAGGCGAGGAACTCGGCGCGCGACAGCACGTCGAGGTCGACGGTGATCTCGTCGAGCAGCAGGACCGTCCAGGGGCGCACGAGCCCCATCGCCAGCTGCACGCGGCGCCGCTCGCCGTCGCTGACGGCGCTCATGCGCCACCGCACGTCGATGTCCAGGACCCCCACCAGCTCGTCGCGCCGCGCCGGGTACGCGTCCCCGCCCACCGAACGTAGGAGTTCGGACACGCCGATGTCGGTCCGCACGATCGGGTTCAGCACCCATTCTAGGCCGAGGTACGTCACGCCCTCGAGGCCGTCTTTGAAGGGGTCCACGCCCGAGACGTTGATGGTGCCGCTCGGCGCGAGGCGCTTGCCGGCTAGCAGGCGCAGGAGCGTGGTCTTGCCGGCGCCGTTGGCGCCGATGAGGAGCGTGCGGCTGCGGGGGGGCACCGAGAGCGAGATGTTGCGTATGCCGGTTGGGTAGTTGGGGAATTTGTAGGTCAGGTCGTTGACCTTGATCTCCGGGGGAGCCATCTTGGCTGTGCCTTTGATTCTGGAAAGGTGGCGGGTCCGGAAGAGTTCAGGCGAAAGGGTCTATGAGGTGTATGAGGCGAGTTGAGTTTGATGACAGACTGATGTTGTCTTCCTCTCGAGGATTCTGGCCCTTTATGTAGTTTTCTGATGCTGCAATTGTGGAGTCGTGATGCGGTGATGCGGTGATCTGGTACGGTAGTTTATACACAGTGCGTTGTCGGCTTCCAGCACTGTACCGACCGTCGGAGATCGCAGGAGCTTCCCGCTCGATGCTGTTGCCGTGAGTTTTCTATTGAAACACCCACATGCTTATTTCGCGCCATGGCTTACGAACTTCCGACTCTCTCTCTCCTCTTTACACGGCATGTCAAACAACCACATTACAGTATTCGTTCAAGATAAACCACCTCGCGAGTCGCCCGCAAGTACTTGTCTCTGTGAAATGGGGTCTCCCAGAGCGAGGAGTCCCTTCCGAGCTGGCAGCGGTACAGTGACCGCTGGGATCTCGTCGACCGTCAATCGCCTGAACTACGTGTGAACAGATCCTCAACCACCCATGAGTCCTGTCCCCATCAAAATTGGCAGTCACAAGTAGTGTCCATCTACATGCGCTGGCGTCCCGGGCCTTTTGCCTCCGCTATTTCGACTAGCAGCACAATCTTCGTGTCGCGGTGATGCTTTCTGGTCGCCACAACAAACGGCGTTTCGCCATACTCATTGTCAGCATCCGCATCGGCTTCACCGGAGCTCAGTGTGGCCATGCTTCAGTAGTGTGATTCAGTTCTGATTGCTTCGCGAGCCATCACCATGCGGGTCATTTCTTACGGCAAGGCACTGCCTTCGATGCCTATTGGACTCAATTTACTACCTACTTCAAGGTACATATGAGCAGCTACGATACCATCATCATTTGAAGGCCAGGCCATCGAACTAAGTTCAAGTACGAAGGGACACTACACATCCATCCATGCATGACACCACCAGCGTCAAGTTCTGCCTCTCGTGTCCTATCTCGGTATCAGGTTCAGTGCTTGGGACCTCGATCTTCGGGAATAGCTGCATCAGACGCACAATAGTGTACGAAGCTTCCAGCAGCGCGAATTCCTCTACAATATATGTCAGTCGCCAGCACGATGGGAGTCTTGGAGATTCTCCATAGGATAGTAGATTCACAGCACTTACGTCCAAGGCAAACTCGAGGTCCGCCATTGAAGGGCAGATAGGCGTAGTTGTGGATGTTCTTCAACTCGTCGCCTTCCCATCTCTCCGTCCTGAATTTCTCGGCGTCCTCGCCGTAGATGTCTTTCCGTCGGTGCATCACGTAGACGCAGTAGGCGACCGCTTGACCCTTCTTCACGAAGACGGGGAATTTGCCGTCGGGCCCACCGCCGGTTGGGAGCGTCGTCATCTTGACTGCCGCTCGGGAGTTTACTGGTACGGAGGGATATAGACAAAGAACTGTCAGGAGGGAGCGTTAGCTGCCAGTGCATTCTAGGCCAGATTCACCAACTTGTGAGGTAAGGTTGATTTACCTTCTTTCAGAACCATGGCCAGTTAGGACATTCGCTTCAATGCGTCTCTTGTTGGAGGTTGGGAGTCCGACCCAAACCAGCCACCTCTTTGATCTCGTTTCTGAGCCGCTCGAGCACAGGCTGATGTCGTGCCAGCAATCGTCTAGATAAAGAGTCAACGAAGCTCGAGACAGAGAGCGCTGGATTGAGGTTCCTCACATGGTCCAGCTGAGACAACATCCAGTGGTGTCACGCCCTGCGAGCAGCACATTCAAGCGCTGGTCTCTCAAGATGGTAGGATTCCTCGTCTGCTGCACCAACGCGTCAATGAAGACGTAGTTGCCCTCGTCGTCATCATTATCTATGTTGCCCTTCCCAGCCTCCAGCGCTTTCCCTACCGTTGCGTCGATGAAGTCGTGGCAGATCTTGCAAGCGTCGTGGAACTTCTTATCGTTGAAGAGCCAGTACATGTCGCCCAGCCTTCCGCGGTGCGCGAGATAGTCCTGCGCAAGGTTGAACGCGCCGGCAAAGGTGGATTCCTTCTCAGTCACCTCGCCCAGGTTGTAGGCATGTTTACTGAAGAGGAGGAACATGGTGATTTCGAAGGTGAGCTTGAAGAATAGGGGTTGCAGATCGACTACGCCGTTCCCCGGGATCGAGTCGACAAGTCGTTGTACGCATTCCTGGATCTCGACGAAATTATGCGCTCTGTTAGATGCGAATTGGGGACGCAACAGTTGACGGGAGTGTATCCACTCACTCCATCCTGCGTGAAGATTCCGCTGCCTAGCAAGGCCCGGAAGGTCATCGGGCGGAGGCCTAGGTCATAGTCTGGATCATGAAAACGGTCAGTCTTCGAGTCCCTCGGCTCTAAACACGCAGTTGGATTCTTCCGTTACCGTTGAAGTTGGTCGATAAGAGTGCCTCGATATTCTCTGGATCAAGGGTATCGATGCCGGGCACTCCGAGCAGATGCTGCATGAATGTGGACCCGCACTCGTTAACGATGCCGTTGAAGTACTTCAGTATGCGTCCCTCTTTGGACGCGGCCAGGGCACCAAAGAGAACATCAAGGCCGAGCGGCCACTTAGCATTCCATGGTCAGAGAGGCTTGCAGCCTCGTTCGAGTGCGAAAGCGCGCTCGGTCTACGTCGGTGTTAGCCAGAAAGAGTGATGTGTGAGACGCACTGGAACTTGCCCGTTGTTTCTGCCACCGTCTCCACGCGTACCAGGTTACAACAGCGGTCCAGTTATCCACACGAGTGTGTGGACGATGTCTGGAAGAAAGCCTTGCGCCATCGCGAGCAACACTGCGGGTATGATACGGATTTGGGGGAAACGACTTCTCGATCGCGTAGTTCTTGGGAAGTACAAATCGTGGCGGATTCAGTAACTAACTGTCAGGTCTACGATTAATTCCTCGGGTTACAAGGAAAGGTCATTCGATGGGAGTCACCGCAGCAAAGTTGGAGCAAGGCTCGCAAAGTTGCACATTCACCACTCTGCTGGCGTCTTGCGCCCCCAGTCAGCCCGGCGGCAGATGCTGGTCGCCGCCATGCCGTGGTGCATATCTATCACCCTCGATGTTCAGGTCTGGAGGCTACCTGGCGACTTCCGCTGCGCTTCGTTTCTCATCTGACATACTTCGTCTGACGTTGTGCTCAGACCTCCTACTCTGCCGCTTCTGCGATTCGAATTCTCACAAACGGACAAACATACACATGCCCAGCCGAACAAGGCGAAGTGGGAGAAATCTCGACGTCCCAAACCCACGGCTGCTGGAACAATCGCCCTGCACACCCAAGGACCGATCGAGCATACTGTGCTAGGTACAAGCCTTCGGCGTTTCCCAGTCTTGCCCTAGCTTCTTACAAGCGATTGCGGGTCGTCTCTGGCTGCACGCGGAGTTGATAGCTTACTATTCCTGTCCAAAACATTGCCTCAGCCCGACTTTCTGCTTTCCAAGCTGGGAATTGCAGGACATATTCCTCATTACGCCCGCTGCAGGGCGGGTGTCGAACCCACTATGTGCGGTAGAGTGGCTTGCATTCGACCTTCCGAAGATCGGTTGATCTTGACATCCGGTTGTCGAGACGATGGCTGAAGCCTTTGGCATCATTACCGGGGCTGCCGGGCTTATTGACGTATGTATTCGCCTGGGGATATACGTGCGAGAAGTGAGGAAGGGGGCAACAACTATCCAGCAAGAGCTCGACTCACTGCTGAAAGAAGTGTCACTACTCGAGACCATCTCCAAGGCTGTCAAGGATACTTACATTATAGAGTCGCGCAACTTACCAGCATCGCCGCGAACAGGGCCACCTTATGATACTGCCGGGTTTGTCAATACGCCGCCTCATGTGTGGAAAGACTTCGGGCGGACGATTGACCATTGTTCCGTCATTATCGCAAAGCTGTACGAGATTGTCAAGGAAATATGTGGCTCGGAGAACGTGCTGAAAAGGGTTCACAAGAGGAGGTCGAAGGAGGATGACTTACGACGCTGTAAAAGTGAGCTGGTACTATACTATGGCCACATCCAGATCCTATTTTCTATCATCAGTCGGTATGAGTCTCTGTCCTTGCCCTATAGGCTATGGTTTCATGCAGAAATTCACTGACTGGAGCCATACAGTGAAGACACACGGTATTCGCAGAAGCATAGTGCGAAGTCGTTCGATGACTTAACAGGACAAATGCAGACCATTCAAGGTCAGATCTCTGACTTATCACAGTCTATGGCAGCAACTGGTGATTCGGACTATGATAAAAAAGCGTTGGAAGCTCTCAGGGACCTGCATGCATCTATCACGTCGGCTACTGAAATGATCGCGCCTTCGACCAATAACGAGTTCTTTTCTACCCCTAAATCTGTCAGCAGCATCTTTACCGGGCGCGAAACGCTTCTTTACGAACTCACCGAGGCATTCATCCAGACCCCTGGATTGTTTCGCAACCAGTTGCAACGACGATTTGTCGTCCATGGCATGGGTGGATCGGGTAAGACGCAATTTTGTTGCAAGTTCGCGGAAGATAATCGCGACCGGTAAGTAGATACATCACTACCACACCTATCCAACGATGTAGCTGACTCGATGGAGGTTCTGGGGCGTGTTCTGGATCGATGGAAGCTCGGAGGAGAGAATCAAGAAGAGCCTCGGCGAGATCGCGAAGCTAGCTGGCCGGCATGTGAACCCGAACGCAGCACTTCACTGGCTATCTAACATTGAGAAGCCATGGCTTCTGTTGATTGACAACGCCGATGATCCTGATATCACGCTCGAAGATTACTTCCTAAAGGGGAAACGGGGTCACATCCTCATTACCACGAGGAACCCAGGGTTCCGAAATCTGGGGAACATCGAGCCACGTTATTACGACTTCAGTGGCTTACAGCTCAAAGAAGCTTCCAGTCTACTCTTGAAAGCCTCCGAACTTCCCGTGCCGTGGGAGTCCACTGTGGAGGACCTTGCTTCAACCATCACTAAAGCTCTTGGACATCTTGTCCTAGCCATCGTCCAAGCTGGCGCAGCAATTAGATCGAAACTATGCAGCCTTCAAAAATACCTGGATTTCCACGAGCGGAGCTTGCTAAAGCTTCGCAAAGACAAGCGAGTCAAACTGGATCCCAATTACCAAGCTGTTTGGGCCAACTTTGAGTTGGGCTACGAGAAGCTCGAGGCAAGGAGGGACATCGAGCCTAGATTCTTTGATGCCCTGGAGTTGTTACATGTCTTCGCGTTCTTTTACCGTGAGAGGCTATCGCCTGACGTATTCACTAGGGCGATACAGAACGCCCAGCTCGAGATTGAACAACAGGAGAAAACCGAAGTAGATGAACGCTCGAGCCCTCATCGAAGATCGCCCACGATGATGGAGCGGTTTCAGCCGAAGCTGGGGGCTCTGGTCTTGACTGTTCTGGGGAAGAACACGCCTACGCCTTTCCCACGCTTGATACGAGAGGGTAGGCGAACTGGTGGACTCGAGCTTTCGAGGACCGCATTCGCGTCGCGCTGAATGAGCTGGTGGAGATATCACTGATAGACTGCAACGAGGCCGATGGGACGTATAGCATGCACCCAGTAGTTCATAACTGGGCAAGGAAACGCCCGCAGATGAGCCTTGCCGACCAGGCCTTGTGGGCAGATATGGCTGGTTATGTCCTTGCCGCCTCGATCCTCCTGCCGCCGTTGGGGACGAGTACTGAGGACGAGCAATATCACGTCAGCCTGAAAACACATATCGAGCACGTCCAAACATGCCGGGAAGATATCGTAAGCCAACTGGTTACGAACTCTGCCTCATTGTGGCTGCCGTCGTTCGTAACGTCCACCGCTGATGCAGACCGGCTGCGCATGTATGCGAAGTTCAGCCTGGTTTATGCGCAATGCGGGCAAGTCAACAAGGCTAAACCACTTCTGAAGGAGGTCGCGGGTTTCCTGAACCATTTTCTTGGACCTCAGAACAAGAGAACCAGGGATGCGCACGAGGCCCTGTCGGCTATATATTGGATATTGGGTAAGGTTGACAAAGCACTTACATTACAGCGAGGACTCTTCGCTGCCTGTGAAAAACACCTCGGCCGCGATCATCCGGATACGTTGAGGGCCCTGCATAAGCTGGGCGTGACACTTTAGCAACAGGGCAAGTTTACGGAAGCGCAAGGTCTACAGCTTGAGGCAGTGGAAGGACTCACAAGACACCTGGGGCGCAAACATCTCCATACTCTCGAAGCGATCGATGACCTGGGCCGTACGGTGAGCAAGTTCTGGCGGGAAAGTCCATCTGAAGGAAGCGTACGCTCTATTCGAAGAAGCAGTCAAGGGAATGGATGAAGTTCTAGGTCTGCATCACCTGCGCACCACTTACGCAAAGGAGAACCTCGCTCGCGTGTCGAGTCTCATCGGCGAGCCGTACCTGGACAAAGCACTCGGGTACATGGACGAGGTCGTTGAGATGCGCAAGACGCGGCAGGGCAAAGAAGCGCCGTGGACCCTGATGGGGATGGCAAGCAAGGCTGTAGTACTGTGCGCGCTGGGCAGGACGCAGGACGCCGAACGCATCATGCTTGAGATCCTGCCCATCGCGGAGCGCAATTTCGGCAATGACCACGTCGGGATGCTCTTTGGACGGCAGGTTCTGGCTACTATATTCATTCAACAGGGCCGCTATGCCGAGGCGGAGAAGGTCCTGCTCGAGGTCGCCGACAGCCAGAAGCGCATGTCGTCGCGGCGCGGCGACTACCACCCAGACCGCATCGCAACGCTCATTGAGCTGGCGCGGTGCTACCAGCTACAGGGAAGGCTGGACGAGAGCATCGTGATCTGCGACGACACGATTCAGGGGCTCGAAAGCATCAGTGTAGTGCGGCAGCCCTTTACAGAGACGATGGTCGCTGCACGTGCGAAGGTAGTGGAGCTGAAGGAGGTAAGGGGAGCTGACGGCGCTGAGTCTTCTGGCACTGCCGGGGCGGATATCAAGTTTCCGGAGCATTTGTTTAGGGCGCCTCGGACGGCGGTGCGGGACACTTCTTCTGAGTAAATTGAGTGCGGTGCTGTGATATTGTAACGCTATGGGATTGTGATCTGGTCTGCTACTGGAGAGATCTGATGGTTTTGCTTATCTAGAATACGGAGGCTCGAGTGTGGCCAACTTGGGGCATCATACCCTCGCTTACCCTGACAACTTGGAGAATTGAGCCTCGAGAGCAGTGTGGCCCCAATCGTCAGTATCTCGAGTTCTACGGGCTCATGGAAAGTATCGCCGTAAGGACAGCGGACCATGAAGCCACATCTCCTTCAATGTCACAGCCTTAAATGCCACAGAGGAAGGCAGAAGCCTATTGATCGCCCCAAATGAGCTATCGAGGAACTCCGGGAGGAACTGAGCCGCGCGTTCATTCGGTACTCCTCAGCGAGTGGGCAGGCGTACGAAGCACTCGGTGAGAGCATGGTTGCTGGCGGAGACATTGTTTTGATCCCTTGCCTGAAAGGAGATTTCTTCCGCCCATTTCTGGCAAATAAGTACCTAAACGAATGGCCTGGTCCGGAATCCTCTGACTAACAAAGGGTGGTCTCGGAATGCTGGTCTCTTGGGACACCATATTAGTGTGTGGTAACTAAGGTTTGGTCCCTTTCAAGCATCAGGTTAAGAACAGGGTGTGTGGGCCTTGTCCACTCACATGGTGCCCCAAGCACTACGAAAGAAAACACTTTATGCAAGACAAGCACAAAACGTCTTACAGAGGCAAGCAAACAAACATGCTCATGCCTTCTTGTCCAGCAGGTTTCTATTTGGAATAGCCGGTTGTTGTTACTTCCAGAATGTGGCCATATCCAGTGCACCTGCCCCCTTTGAAAGAGGTCGTGGCTTCTTCCTCGGGTTGCTCAACACCCAATCGCATCACTGGGTAGCAGCTTCCCTCCACCCACCGACGGACTTCATCCAGACTGCCGTGGGCGGAATCCTACTCAACCAGAGTGTGTGACAACTCTGACCATAGACATCTTCCCAAACCTCATCACCGATATTGTCATCTCATCAACCTGCACTTGTCCTTCGCGTTGCATAATTCCTTCGCGTTGCATAATTCCTTCGCGTTGCATAATCGATCTCGTATCATGGAGGATCATCACACCAATGGCCAGAGTGAGCCGGAAGCTGGAGAGTGGTCTGGTCCTTGGGAGGTGAGATCGGGAGTACCAGACGACGACAATGATAGTCATAACCATCAGAGCGACAGGTCAGTACTTACTCATACCTCGAACTAAGATGAAATGGTCCTTCTCACCAACATTACAGCACCATAATCATAATGCCCCCTTCCGCTCTTCACTCGCAGGGCCTCAGCCGGTATGAAGTCGAGAGCCGTTCAACTCCTCACGCCATCACCCACCAAGGCGCAGCTCAGTCTAGCCGATGGCCTGCCACCATCACCGGACATTTGCCGCACAGGGATGAGTCCGCATGCGCTATGGATCAATCCTGGGATAACCACCATAACCTCATGGGATCGTACGGTGCCAAATCTCCCGCTGAAGAGGGACATGTGGAGGCCAAGCTGGCAGCAGACCGCATGCAGCAGTGCGACTTGGAGACCTTGCAGCTCGGATCCCACAGGCCTGGAGTTTGTGAAGCCCATGGTCAGCAAGAACGTCTGGGACATGACGGCACTGGTATGTCTCACGAAGATGTCTATCAATTCAGAGACCGCTTGGTCGATGGACATGCTGACGCTGCTGACGCTCCATCACTGCGGCTCGGGTGGATTGACGAGGAAGCTGATGTTCACTTGAATAATAGCGGAGATGACGGTAAGACGGATGGTAGTCGCAACCCGGAAGACGCTCAAGTGCAGGAGGGCCAGAGCAATGGTGGCAAGAGTGACGAGCAGAGTGGATCGAAACCAGACGTCAATAACGGCCCTGTTGAAGAGGGTATGAGCAGCACCAGCAGCAGTGACGAGCAGAAAGAATCCAAGCCAAAGGTCAGCTCCGGCCTGGTTCAGGAGGGCGATAGCAGCGGTGACAGCAGCGCCGAGCAGAAGAAAACGAAGCCAGACGTCAATCCCAGCCCTGTTAAAGAGGAAGAGAGCAGCAGTGGCAGCAATGACAGAAGCGAGGAACGTGGGCAGTGGTGCCCTGCTGGCTATCGCGATGGGGACATCACCGACGACGAAGACGACGATAGAATGAGTTTAGACGACGAGCGAGAGGAGGAGGACCCTGACGCAGATGACGAGCACAACGGCCTCGATGAGGGCGGGGGCCCAGACATGGGCGGGTTTCCAGACGACGACGACGACGACGACGATGGAGAAGCAGGTGGCTTTACGGAGAGCGGGGCCGACGAATATTGAGTTTCTAGGACTGCGAAATTTGACGGTTTGCTGTGTGCGGGTTTCGCTCTCTTCTGCGATGGGAGCAGCTTGTCCATGAGGCTTGTTTTATTCAGGATCGACGGCTTCATGTTAGATTTGCTGTCATCGACGATGTCCTGGCTGCTAATATAAGTACTATTCACGTGTTGACCTTTGACGATATGGCTCGAACTTGGAAACGTTTCCATGATGTGATGTGCTCTATTAGTGCTGAGGGAAATCGTGATGTCGTATCACGAGACTTTGGTTCTCCAATCACCGAATAGTCGGACTTCTGATCTACAAGTCCAACGTCCGCTCCCCTATGCTTCAACTGCGTCCATAGCCTCCAAGGCCTGCGTCATCCTATAAGTAGTAATGGCTCTATCAAGCCCCAGACTGTCAGCATCGGCCCTCAGCTCCGAGAACCGCTTCTTCCAAAAAGCCCATCGCTTAAGGCTCAGCGGAGTTTCGCCGTCGCAGAGCGATCCTGTCCTAAGCGACCGCGCGGTACTCTCACCGAGCTGAGAGCCTGTTTTCATATCCTCGTAAATAACATCTGCGCAATGGAGGATCCACTCGCTCGCCACCCACAACCGGCAATTCATTGCTGCACTTTTCACTGGTGGTTCCTCGAGCGCCTCGCGTAGTTGCCAGATCGGCAGGTTAAGCCAAGGGGCAAATCCGGTATACGTAAGTCGAGCAATAAAGGAGTTCAAGTTCTTCCATTTCGCAAATTCCTCCTCGCCTACGTCTTCGCCGGTTCCGGTCGAATCTGGTAAGGTATTAGCAGTCATTTCGAGAGACAGGATATGTTCTAGGGCAGTACCATCCCATTTCTCTCTCACGGAAGCCGACAGGACGGGGAGGTCTTGCCATGACCATGAGGTTAGGTGCTTAATGATATCAGCTTAGCTCATGGCCAGGACCGTGTTTTTTCATGGCTAGCATCTCTCACCTCGTCGTATTCCGAGATAGGACCATCACGGTGACGAAGATTGTCCAGGGCCTGGACCAGACTGATTTGCCAAACATGCCCCGGTGGCACACAGCCGACAATATCAAGAACCACACCCCAGACATACCAGAAGGTATCACCAATTCCCGCTCCTTGCTCGGCTGCGTTGATAAAGAAGCGGATGTCGTCGGTGAGTTTGACGGCTTTCGCTTGCGGATTGGCTGGGTACCGAAGGGTAGCCTTGAGCACGTCGAAGATTGCCCTTTCCAGATCGAGCAAGTTGGTGTCTTCGATGGATTGCAGATTGACCTCCATCCTGTATTGAGATATTGAGTGATTCTGGTGGGTGATGGTGGAGAAGGGGTCGCGACAAGATTGGGATAGAATTGTAAAGTTATGTTTGAAGCTGGGAGGCCAGTGAGTGGAGTAGCAACAATGATGATGTCTTGCCTTCTCGGCATGTGCCATGGTGTACTACCAACCAAAGGTTCACATAAAAGGAAGTGACACTGCATACGATCCACCAACATGGTATTATGCTCTTCGCGCTTGCCTAGGGGCTGCTCAGCGCTTGTTATGATCTATTATGAGCAGTATTATTGGTCATCTTGCGGTATCACATGTTAACTGTCACTTAGGTAAGTAGGAAGGTACACTGAACCCTCATAAGTCTCCGTACGCGACCCTTCCAACAAACCACGGTAAATCCATCATATCGGTATAAGCATACCGGAATAAGCAGTTAGATCTTTATTAGCCGTCCCTGACGCTTATTCCAGGGTGCTTATTCCAGTATTTCTAACTATCCCACTGCTTTGCTGGAATCTTGCCAACATGGGCGTACGGAGACTTATGAGGGCTAAGTGTACCCCCTTCAGGTACCAAGTACGTTTCGCGGCGCCTAGTAGTGTAACTTGATGTCAGCAAGTGAACAATATTGTCTTCATCGTTACCATCATCAGGTACCGAGCCTCGTGTGCTTCATGGCATCTAGGCGGAGAACTTGAACGATCCATGATACGCCCCGAAGTAGTAGAGCTTGTATAAGTTGAAGGTGGCAAGAGTGAGTCAAGATGAGCATCAGGTGTGTGGAAAGTAACATGCGCGGATTGCGGCCGGCCGTGTCACCGGGAGTGTTCCTGCAGCTGGAGTATGCGTCACACCGTTGACTCGGCTCGCTCGCAGCACGACACCCGGCCGAGTTTCTACTCCACCACATCCGAACTGAGGAACAGAAGCGGCTGCAGGCGGGCACGAAATGGTGAATTGACCAGAAGAGTCCGGTGCCCTCGACGCCTTGCACCTGCAAACCATGAAGCTAATGACCTCTTTGGTATTTCACGTAGCGCCCTACCTCAGTAACCCTGGCCAGCATGTTGGGCAGAGGCGGCGGATGACCGGATGTGAGTTCCATCATGGACAGTCCGGTGCTCGTGCAGCAGAATCTATATGCCATTGCGGAATATGATAGAGGACCGGATGAACAACCCACGCCTGCGCTCAGCGAGAGAATAGACGAAGGTTAGCAACGTAGCACATCTCAAGCCGTGTAGTCGAGTCAAGAGACACGACGTCTTGGTACTAACTTAGGTACTCGAGGTCAGGATAACTCTGTACTCGTCGGCACCAGCAACAAACCGTCGGTTAAACTTGAGAACAGATGGCTGGATGGTGTCTGACCTGACGTAGTAAATCCTGCACCAAGAGTTGATGCTGTGGCACAGCTGGTGAAGGGCTCCTTGGAGGTGCTATTCCTGTGACCGAAGTTCCTTCAGGAAGAGTAGGGTCCTCCAGGCAGGCGCAGAGACTTTCGGACATTCCGATGACCATAATCAATCTTGATGTGCCTGGATGCGTGGATGCGGGGATTCCGTGGATGCGGCACAGGTTTCTTTGAACTTTCGAATCCGTGGCTGCTCCCTGCTTCAAAGTTCGCATTGAAGACAAAAATAACGGCGGCGTTGGTTGGTCGAGATTGGGGTGGTCAGTGCTCAAGCTATCCACCCCTTTTCTCAAGAGTCAAGACCCGGGACACGTCAATCAATCTTCAATCTGGAACAGGCCAGGATTCCAACCGGTCAACCTAGCAACGTTTGAACTTATAATACCACCAAGCCATTACCTACGACACTCATGACACTACACTCTCTCAAACAGGTCTTACTGCGCAGGTAGTCAGTCAGTCACTCCCCGCTCCCACTGCAACAAAACCCACCATGCCCGTCAAGTCGTATCACCGGTCGCGGCCGTCCGTCGACCGCGTCTTGGACCTGCTGGCAGACCTCGACGAGAACCAGGTCGAGGCCCTCCTACTCGAAGCCGAAAGCACCATAGCGAGCAACATACCCGTCGCCAAGGGCATCGACTTCTTCGAACGCCCCACCTCCACCCAGCCACCGCGCCGGAAATTCCTCACCTCCCTCTCGCTGCGAAAACAGTCGAGTCTGCGGCGGAGGCCGAGCAAACGCGCCGCATCTGCCCAGGAACCCATGACGACCAGCGCCGCGTTAATGAGGAATTCCAGCGAGCCCACGCAGAACATGAAGAAGACGCCTCGATCGTACAAGAGGATCAGCCGGCCGCTGCTCTCCCTCCCGTCGCCGACAGCCACCGCCGACCTCTCCGAAATGCTGGCTGCGTACCTGCTCGATGCGACGAAGACGTTGCCCTCGTCGCCGGCAACAGCCCACGGACCGACGTTGTCTCCCGTCTCCCCGACCGAAACGGACGCTCCGGGTATCGACTTGCTCGAACCCTCGCCGGCGAGGGCTACGCGACCGCTTGACACCTTTGGGAACCCTACGAAAGCGCCGTCGCGCAATATCAGCGGCATCTTTGAAGTCTTGGACGATGAAGTCCCGAGGGGTTTACGGTGATGACAATGAGTGAGCCGTGTAGACAATGTTTTGGACCAGACCCTAGCTGAAGAGCACTTACGCTTCTTGTCCTGTTGTATTATCGATGATATCTTGGAGATGTTTGGTTGGAGATGAAGATACCCATATTGAGATTTCGGGGCGCTTGGAGGCGGAGTTTTGGCTTCTACCTGTACCACTGTATTCCTTGGTGTTGAGATGAGTTTAATGCATGTTACTGGCCTTTCCTTGAGAGACTCACTATGGACTTGGCAGTGAAACAGTCACGATCAAGGCTTTGTTTGAATGAGCGATGTCCACAGCACAAGCTCGTCCCGTGGCCGTGAATGTGCAGTTCAGGGTCGACACACATTGTGCGTGGTGACGCACGTCTAGTACACCAGTTAACCACAGGGGCGGAAGCTGTGCCATCATCTGAAGGGATATCACAAGGCACGGAGCCGCTCATTCTTGGTGACACCATCGAAGTCAACGCTCATTCGACTCCTGAGCCGCAGTGATGAGACTGCCCGGCGACTGCATGTGTACATTCAACGGGCTGTCAATCGCCGCAGCGATCACCGCAGGCTTTTTCGTTGGAAGCCTCTTTGTTACCTACATCTAAGCGCCAAATGTCCGTGATTATCATCCGAGCCTCGAGGACAATTGCCCGATGTCGCACGTGGGTGTGCTTGTTTCTGGTGTGACTATCCTCGAGGACCATTCCAATTAATCACACGAGCAACGGGGTAGGTTCACTGCTCGACCATCAAGGTTGCAAACTTTCTTCCATTTAGTCGACAATATCTTCTTCTGCCTCTCATTCAAACATAAAGAAGCTGCTATATATTTCCTCGATTATCGTTTCCCGTTCTGCTTGCCCTCGATCAACAATATCCCCTGTCACCTTGAGACGACATCACGAATATCCTCGAAGACTTTGGCAACTCGCATCCTTGCTAAACATGTTCAAGCGCTGCGATCGAAGCCGTGGCGACCGCAAAGTTCGCTTGGCTGGCCATGACGAGTCCGAGTCAGAGTCCGAGTTCGACACTCATGAGTCCGCAACAAGCCAAAGTGAGGCAGAATCCGCAGTCCCTTCACCAAATCCCGAATTCGACGGACCTTTCTCAGGAGGAGCAGCCCAGGGAGACTCCCATCATGGACGCCCCGAAACGTGGCTGCCGCTGAAGCCCAACCCGGCTCGTCACCATGCCTACGACCACGATGAATTCGACTTTTCCGAGTCCGCATCAAGCCAAGGCGAGTCAGAATCCACCGTCTCTTCACCGACAGCAGAAGATGTCTACAGAGAATCACGACATCATCACCATGACTACCACCGCGACGAAGCCGGAAGCCCCTCTCCTCAGGAAAGAAAACGCAGCAGAAGAGGCCGCCAAGCTGGCGACATCCGCACATTCTCGTCGATAAGCCAGCTACGGGACCGCTCTGGTGACTCCAAAGACCTCAGCTCAGGTGGTAGTGGTGATGGTCCGACCATCAACATCTCAGGACCGGGAGTTGATGACCCGTCCGGGGGACCATCGCCTTACCATCTGTACGACGACACTTATCTGGTGCCCGCAGCAACTCGGACCCGGACCGCGACCGCATTTCTCGTGCCCGCCTCCCAGCTGGACCGCATCACGAGCGAGGCCTTGCGAGAAGGGCGACAGCACTTTGACTCCTCCTCCAAGAAGAAGAAGTCCAGCAAGAAGGACAAGAACGAGTATGTCGAAAAAGAAGAGTACTACGAGAACAAAACCCCGTCTTCCTCATCAGGCCAGCACCATCAAGATTCTATCACCTGCTCCGTCTGCCACGAAGCACTGAGCCGCGAGGACTTCTCGGCCGACGAGCTCAAGTACAAGAACGCAAAGTGCGGGATGCACACCGATATCAAGCGGATCGATAACTTCCTGTTGAAGTACTGCGCGCAGTGCCGCACGTACCGGCCGCTGCGCAATTTCTGCGACCTTGAGGATGCGGATTGTCGGGACCATGATGTTGGATAGACCGAGGGGGGGAAGAGGGTGAGGGTGCGAGCGGGAGTTTGGTGGCTGATGGGTAGATGACGAGATCGGGAGGACGGTAGAGGTAGATGGGGTGGGCCTTCTTGGGCTGGGGATGTGTTGTTGCTAGTTGGCTGGTGGTGGTGGTGGTGGTGGTAATGGATAAATTTCTCTTCATTGTTATAGACATCCTTAATAATGTGATGAATAATGGTTACGGGGCATAGTGAGGCCACGTCCAGTCGTCTCTCCTTCGCTTTCGCAATCTGGGAACGGTAGCTAGCAAAAACGGTAACCAATTATACGACCTCCACCCCTCCTTCGGGTGTTGCTACATGGAATATATAAGTATCTGCTATTGTTATCGTCTAGTCCCTTTCTTCTATGGATGTAGGCATCCAATCGACCCTATATGCCCTCGACGGGCCCTGTATACCCCTCTTCGGCCTAATATCCCTCCTAAAAGTTACGACCCCTGACATACAGTCACAAGGTATTACGGTGTTTTCCTCTCGGTGTTTTCGTACTATATCTTCATATCACAACTCTCGGCGCCTAGTCCTTCACGACAATCGCTTGTGAGATACCGTCTTTGTATTCTCTGGACCCTGTTCTCTGGGTTTAGATAGATGTCCTCTGAGTAGCAATTCCCTGGGTAGATTGTCGGTCTTACACATAGCCCAACGTATTGGTCATGCGGACTTACCGGCCTCCCACACCGTAGGAGGTGACTAATAATGCTTGTCTGACTAAGCTATAGCGAGGTTTCTCCTGCTTGCGAGCAGCGAGTCTTTTCCCCTTTAGATCTCCAGGACTGTAAACGGTGCCGAAGGAGCGCCGGCGGCTGCCCGGTGACAGACGCCATTGGCTGGTCTATCCTGGGGTATGCGGCGATGTAACCTGATCAGAATATATCAACTGGGGATTTCGCTCCAGACCCCGCGATCTTACTCATGGCTAACTGCTTATGATCTTTGGAGTATAATCTAGAATTTCAGTCAATGCAATAGGACCCTTCAGGTTTTTGCTATAAGTGCAGCATGTCCTCGCTCAACTTCCGCTGCATTAACAAGGACATCCAGTCAACATGTTCATGATGCTGCTTTCCCTTCTCTTCGCGACGCTGAGTTTGGCTGAGCCCCTGGAACTCACATTCCGACAGAGCACAGCCTGCGACAGCCGACCATGGCGAAGAGACCTAGCCCTCCCTCTACACAATGAACTCGCGTACCAGGTCCATGACATCCTCCTCTTGATACCTGACAGTGTAGACTGACTCCTGCCCAGCGCTACACTCTGGACATCACAGTCGGCACGCCCCCGCTGCCCTATTCTCTCACCGTCGACACGGCCAGCAGCTACCTCTGGGTGCCGCTGGCGAACTCTTCAGGCTGCGCCCCAGACCCCTGTCCCGCAGGTGGATTCGACCCAGAGGACTCGTCGACATCGATTGCGACGGGCGTGCCGTTCGACGTGTCGTACGGCCTAGAGCCTGGGCACACTGTCTTGGGCCAGTTCTACAATGACACCGTGACTGTAGGCGGGGCAGTGATGCCCAACATGACGGTGCGTGTGTGAAGCGCCCTACCATTGCTCTCCTTGACTGACCGGTGTCCGTTTCGCGCGCACAGATCGGCGCCTGCGATGTCCCGCCCGACATCTTCGGCAGCGGCATCTGGGGCCTCATCGGCCTGGGCCCTCCCGTGTCCCCAGACGGCCAAGCCAACGACACGATCCCGCCGCTCTGGCAGTCGCTGTACCAGCACGGGTACGCGTCGAAGCAACTGTTCAGTCTGTGGCTGAACAGGCAGTCGGCCGAGACCGGCAGCATCCTCTTCGGAGGGATCGACGAGACCAAGTTCGAGGGCGAGCTGAAGAGCCTCCCGGTGGTCACGCAGGGCCGGGATAGGGTTTGGTCCGAATGGGCAGTCAACCTGACGTCCGTGGCGTATGTGGGCGCGGATGGGACGGCTGTGAATCTGACGGGCGAGGGGAGGAATATCACCACTGTGCTCGACTCGGCGGCGCCGAATATGTACCTGCCGACCGAAATCTACGACGATGTTGCGGCGCGGATGAATGCGACAATCGTGCAGACCTTTCCGTACGTGTCCTGCGAGCTTCGGAACTCGACCAAAGGCCTCGAGTTCGGATTTGGCTTCGAGTCGGGTGGGCCGCGGGTCAGGGTGCCGTATGGCGAGGTGATCTACCCGTTCGGAGACCCTGCCAATATCGGAGAGATCACGGATGATGAGGGTCGTGAGCTGTGTTATCTGGGCCTTATTGGCACGCCGGGGCCGATTTTCCTACTCGGCGCTACTTTTATCAGGAGCGTGTATTTGGTCTTTGATTATGACGAGGGGAAGATCTCTATGGGGTCTGTGAAGTATGATTGAAGATAGGGGGTATGGATTTGAGATTCATCTTGACCTTTCCAGTGGCATGGCCTTGCTTTGGTGCTCATATGTGATGTCCAATCCTCAGACTTGTCAGAATACCTTCGATGCGGCTTGCTGAATAACCTTGGGTTCCGGTACCTTGTGCACAATATAGCCCCCCTAAGGCAGCTTGGAAGACGCCGTATGACATGTTCAGCAGAGCCACCCCTGAGGATATGAAGCCGAAGGCCCCGTTATGAGCAACGCTTTGAAGCAGGTATTCACCATGTAAGGCGAACATTTCGGTATCAGCAACACCTGATCGTACTGCCTCGCACTTATAGTGACTCTCATACACGCCGCAGTGGCGATGGTGCACATGCTATGGACTCACTGGAGGTGCTGGACTTCGGCCGCCGGGAACTCGTTCGCCGGATATGCATCCTTTGACCACGGGTATGGTACACTTGTCCCACATAAGTCTCCGTACGCTAGCCCCAATTCAATCTTCTGACCAAAACAACAACGCGACACCCTCATCTTGCGATAATTCATAATAAAATCAATTCGCCATGGATATTAACGAAATGGGTACCGTTTTGAGCGGCACTCGCCAGCCGAACGGCGAATTTACTTCGGAGGCGCTTGCAGGCATTATTGCGGCGCGCGCGGAGGGCCGCAGTCGTAGGGATGTCGCACGCGCCTACGGCACAGAACGTGTCGAAACCATCTCTGAGATTTGCTCACGTGTCAACACTACCAAAACCACGCGCACTGCGCGAAGGAAGGGAACTCCTAGGCTTCTTTCGTATTGGCAAGAACGCCATCTAGTTGATTTGGCGCGGAGGTTCCCTCGTCTCTCGTGAGAGGCGCTCAAAGCCAAAGCACGCGTTACCTGCCACACGGAGACCATCGTGAGGGCTCTCCGCCGCCATGGCCTCAATAAATGGCGCACAGCAAAACGAATCTCTCTCACGGAGGATGACGCCGCGAAACGGCTTGCTTGGGCGTGAAAATACCGCACATAGCGCGCTCAAAAGGAGTTGATGATGGCCCTCTTCTCCGACGAATGCACCATCCAGAATGATCCCGATAGACCTGGCGAATGGTCATCTGCCTCTCCAACGAACGGTACCGCAAGGATCTTATGAACCCACAGAGCCACGGGAGAGCTCGTATTTCGATAATAGTTTGGGGTTTGATGTGGTTACGTAACGACGAAGATGGCCTAGGCAAGCTGGTCTTCTGCGAAGGAGATCCGGATTCACCACGCGGAGGAGTCTCTGTTAGGTGCTATCAACAGGTCCTGAAGGAAGGTCTTCTTCCGTTCTATAAGGCAGGGAACCCTTTTCAGTAAGATAATGCTCCTATGCATGTCAAAGAAGGCTCGCCGGAGTGGTTAGAGGAGCACGGGATCTGGACTATCGACTGGCCTCCTCACAGCCCCGATTTGAACCCTATCGAGCACATTTGGGCAGCTCTAAAGAAAAAGATAAGGGAAATAGAGCCTCGTTTTCAAGACCTGAAGGACAATATCGCTCACCAGGCATGGACTAAAGAGATAATCCAAGCCGCGTGGTCAGAGTTGGATCCCGACCTCCCGAAGAAGCTCATCAAATCTCTCCCTGACCGGATTGCCACAGTGGTCCGGGCGCGCGGCTGGTACAACCACTACTAAACCGCTATCAAATGCATATTTTGTTATAATTTTCGGCCTCGTGATGCCTTCGCAATTGAGCAGTGAATGTGGTGGTGACGGTGTGTGGATGGGGCCGTACGGAGCTTGTGTGGGGTTAGTGTAGTTCGAAGTTGTATTCGACACCTCCAGAGTGAATCTCATGCGGGCCGTCATGCTGGGCCCAGTCGTACCGGGTACAGTAGGCACATCACGTATCCCGCCTCATGAAAAAGAGGGTTGTTGGATACTAGGTACCATCGACTGAAGTTGCAAAGCAACAATAGGTACATCATGTGTAGCGGCTATACTGATATCAGAGATCAGTACACCGTGCCACTTTTCCAGCCGTGCTGACTTCTGGTCCCTTGTTACCATGTGAGCCAGGTTCAGAAGATTATAACTACATATGACCATATTCTTCAGGGTGTTCGCCGAATCGAACTAGCTAGAGGGTCACCACCGCCACTCAGCACTAATAAGGAGCCGGTTCCTACATGGAAAGCCAATGCATAAAAGGCAGGCGGGTTCCGGGGCGGCAACTTGCAAGCAGCGGAATGTGGGAGCGTTTATTTTAGATCCGGGGTCGTGTGGACTGAATACATGTATGGCCTGGGCGGAACGGTGTCGAGACTAGGGGTCATCGGGTTCGAACTGACAGTTTCCCCACGATTCACGGTACTAAATTCTGGTACCACAGGATCCAAGTGAGTGACCGGCTTATGGAGGAAGATGACTCTTCCACCCTTGACATCTCAAGTAATGCCCGAATATCCAGCGCCTTTCCCAGCTCTGCTAATCCCCATGGGCGATCATTGCAGAAAAAGGGCATGGCCCGCCACTTCGTGCGGCCGGCGCGAGTCTTACTATGCGGGTGCTTCCTGGGGATCATCACGTCGTTGAACTCTAATCGGCCTCACGATTCAGGCACATCTAGACCGATCTTTCGGTATTGGCAGTCGAAACTCTATCAGCATCTGCCGTCAGTCTAGTACAAGCGATCTACGGACCCTGAATTCTTCATTGTCGCATTCTCTCGACGTCTTGTTGTACTGATGCTCTTTTCGTCAATGGGTATCACAGCTTGAGACCACGATCGCTTTTCTTGAAGCGAAAGCCGCAATCATGGCAGGCTTCCTTGTCCCCGACCACTTTGAAAAGGAGGAGATGGACGAGTACTCGATTATGATAGCCAGCATATTTTTGGGATTTACGATCGCTTTCGCCATATTCTCCGCGGCGACAGCAGCCCGGCAGACGTTACAATCGTGGAGGCGCGCCCGCCGGGTCAGCATATACGTTTCGATGATCTGGGGCCACTGGCTGGTGAATAACATAATGGCAATAATCAGCTTTCTGTATCTTCGGGATATCATACAAGCGAGGTATGTAATGGTGATCCTCACCCAGAAGAGGTTGTGACGGATGGAAGCTGATATGATACTGTATACCACAGTTTCTGGCTATGGTTTTTCATCAGTAAGCTGAACCTTGCCCCTATATGCTTCTCTCGACTCCCGAACCCGATCATCATGGCTTACCAAACTGTCCAACAGTCGTACTATGGGTGTTCCAGTCTCAACTCATCATCCAAATCATTACGAACCGAATATCGCTGTTGATCATGGTGCGGCGCCGTGCGAGGAAACTGAAATGGGCGGTCTTCGGTGTCATGACGTTCATCAACGTCGCCGTCTTCATCATCTGGATACCGGCACGTCTCGAAATAAACGACACCTGGATCGACATCAACGAGGTGTGGGATCGGATTGAAAAGACCATCTTCTTGATCTTGGACCTCGGTAAGACCTGAAGAGCCCGCTCCCGACTGAGCACCAGGCGCTGACTGACTGGCAAGGGCTCAACGTTTACTTCATTTACCTGGTTCGACACCAGCTTATTTCCAACGGCTTGAAGAAATACGTTCCGCTGTTCCGGTTCAACATCTTCATGGTTGCGATGTCGATTTCATGTGATGTACGTCTAGCCTGCTATATTTTAGGTCATGAACCATCTAATTGGGGGCCAGGTTATCTTGATCGGTCTCATGTCTTTGCCGAACGATTTGATGTACGTCACGTACCCCTAGCCCGTGGCATCTGCAGCTGACACATGTCATACACAGCTACCTCCAATTCCAATCCGTCGCATACGCCGTGAAGCTGCACATCGAGATGAACATGGCAGACTTGATCAAGAAGATCGTACGCGCCTCGAACGTCAACACGGAAGGGTTGTCGTCAGGGATCGAAGCGAAGGGCAAGATGAATGAAATTAGGAGGAGCCCCACCTATGGCAACAACCTCGACTTCATAACCGATATAACACGGGGATCAAATTATCCTTATGCAGAGGACATCACTATACATATCGAGCTCGACAGTACAGATGACCTCCCATGCCCGGGCAGGCTGGGGGCGCATACGAGTGACCTGGAGGGTGGTGTCGAGAAGACGGCCGTGCCGACACAATCTGTGGGCAGAAGATCCGTGGAGGACGAAGAGTTTAGTGAAGCGGGCTCGGAACGGGGACTGAAAGACCCTGCCGAACCCTGAGAATATATTGCCTTACTTAGCGAGAAATACACCCGTTTTCCGTCTTTGAACGGTAGCTAGCGACTTGAGATGTCTCTTTGTGCCCTCTCGTCCCGGTCAAACCAATCCAAACGCTATGAGGGATGATCCCAGTCCATCATCAGGCTGATGTCTAGCGTTCGCTCATGACTGCTTAACACGGAAGTTGGCGCCGTCTCATCCCTGAATAGATTCTTTTCGGGCGAGTAGTGAGCGCAAGAGACCTTGTCACGCAATACCCGCCCGCTCCCACTCTGTTGGCTTTCGCCCTTGGGAGGAGCTCATGGACTTGAGGCGTATTTCCCATAGTTGACTATTCTCTACTACCATCGCGCTTCCCTATAGTCCAAAGGCGGCGGGCTTTGACATGAAGGTTCATGTCTGACCCCTGTCCCACTGCCGCCATCTCAGGGGGCTTTGGCAAATAGGGGTATCCATCACGACAAAGACATAGAGCGCTCGACAAAGACCCTCGTTCCAAAGCCGATCCTATGGGGGCATATATGGTATTCCATTGTCAATAAGAAGGCATTTGTTACCCGACACAATCCTATTGTATGGCCATCTCGAGGCAACAGGTGGTAGGCGTACAGAGGCATGATTGTCCCCAACCATGGCACAAGTTAAGGGGAACAGTGTCCTTGTCAACGTCGCATCAAGACACTGTCCTTGTCGACATAGCATCAAGTGAAGTTTTCAGGGCCTGGAGACATACATAAGTATTCGAGTACTCGTTGACTGAATCTGCAATACCATCATAACCACCCAGTCTCCAGATCCAATCTTCAGATCCAATCTTCAGATCCAATCTGCTCAGATCAGATCATATCCCAACAGACAGACCTACCTACACACAGATATACAAAACCCCCATCACCCAACTAACCCAACAGACCGCAACCATGACCAACCGCCATGCCCTCCCCACCATCGAATCCCACGCCCTAATCCTCCATCCCCAAGCCCCCGAGAACCGCGAGCTCGAGCTCCTCGAGCCGTACGGTCTCGGCCCCAAACCTTACAACTTCGTCTGGGCCTGCATCACGCTCCCGCCGCCATCCCCGGATCCCTCCGCCCCGGCCGCCGTCCGCAGCAGAAGCACCGGCGGCGTCCTAAACACCTACGCCACGTCGCCGACCTCCGGGGCGTACCTAACCCTCTTCGTCGCCCTGACCCAGGGCGACCAGCCCAACTCGCCGCGTCTGACAAGCATGCGCTACCGCGACATGCTCGCCGCAAACCACGTCGCGGCCGGCGGGTCGTTGCGCACGCTGCGCCTGATCGGCACGGCCAGCATCCTCAACCGTCCCGCGCGCGAGGCTATATCACAAGTGTTCCGGCGCGCGGGGCGCGACTGGCTCGTCCGCGAACGCGTCGAGGTGTACCCCTCCGACCTTGGGTACGCCGAGCTGGCGGCTATGAACCCGTTTATGCGTGGGGTGCTGGCGCTGCTGCGGGAGCGTGGGCAGAGCGAGATGTGCGGCGCGTTTGTGGAGAGGTTTATTTTCATCTCGGAGGGGTATGATGCACCGCCTGGGAGCACCGGCAGGGTGCCCCGGCTTGAACCGCCGTTGCATATGGTGACTGTATTTGGGCGTCCGGATGCTGCTGGAGCAGATGATGCTAATGCTGATAACGCTGCAGGTGGTGGCGCTGGCGTTGGCGCTGGCTCACGGTGTGGGTTTCGCATGAGCTCGGCAAGAACGTGAGTGACTAATTGAGACTGCCAGATGAACCGATCAAGGAGAAAGAGAAAGGGTGTCATACCATTGTAAGTGGTTATATGTGACACTACGAAACCAAATGTAAGTTGTTTCATATGTAAAGCATCCCCCTAATTAAATGTCAATATTAACATAACGTGATCGTTTACAATGTGATACGGACTAAGGTTAGAAAACTGGTTGGACTTACAGGCAAATCTAGAACTGATTCGATGTGATTCGCATATAAATTTTCTAAGGTAGACAGCTCGTGTGGCGTGTCCAGCTCGTTGGAGATATTAACATAACCCACCCTATCCTACACCGATCGCTGACTACTCGCAATCAATACATATGTAGTGTACATGATCAAGAGGCGCAGTGGCCTTAGTCCTCCTTCTTTTTCTCCTCTTCGGGACTACTGTTGGCTGCTTCCTCAGGTATGGCGTCTTCTGTACCTTTGTCCGTCGCGTCCGTTTCCACGTTCTGAGCTTTCTCCGAGTCCGCCTCCTTGTTGCTCTCTGTGTCCGCTTCCTGAGTACCCTCTTTGTTCACCTCCTGCTTAATCTCCGTGTTCACGTCGTGAGCAGTGTCCATGTCCACATCCTGAGCAGTTTCCGTGTCCGCCTCCTGAGCCTGGCTATCCACCTCCGGCAGCGTTGCTTCAGCAGGCTCGACCTCGGGAGCCAACTCTATGACCTGCTCATCCTCTGTGTGGTTCTCAACCTCCGTACTCTCCAAGTCCGAGCCCTCCGGCTCGTCCATGAGATCATCCACATCGTCATTCTCCATGTCGTACTCAGAAGTCTCCTCAAGCGGCTGCTCTTCTTCTGGCAGCTCCCCAAAGACATCTTCATACTTGAGAGGCATGTCCTGGTCCACTACGTGGACTGGACGTCCCGCAGCATTTTTGGACTCCTTGGCTCTGAATCTTCGGCCACGTTGGGTGCGCTCGTCGAGTTGACCGCGGAACATCTTGTACCATTCCTTCTCTTTATCTCCAGTGTCCTCGAATGTCTTGCGACGCCTTTCCTGGACCTGGCTGTAAATTTTGCGTGCACGCTCATCTGGTATTTCCTCGATGTTGTACTGGACAAGCCACTCGTCCCGCTTTGTGAGCCTCTCGGGTCGGTCTTCGTATTTTCCATTCACTTTGTTCTTCACAGTCAAGACCATTCCCAAGAGCTCGCCTTGCTCGAGATCCTCCTCGACTGGCTGATCCCGAGCCCCAGCATCGCCTTGTGTCGTCGCTGCTGGTTGCTTGTCTTGTGTGTTGGGTTTATCAATCAACTGGGCGTCTGCCTGCTCCACTTCGTCATTGGAGTTTGTCTTCGATCTCGTGTTTGCTTCTGGCGTTGACTCGATAGACCCCTGCTCGACCACGTTGACCCTGGATCGAGATATCAGATCTCCCAAGATCCGTTCAAATGCTCTTAGCTTGGAAGAGTCGTCGAGTTCGTCGATGCCGTCACGCTTGGAAACCACTCTCTCGTCGATTCTCTGAGCCATACGCAGAATGAGATCTCTCAAATGTGACATGTCTGCAGGACTCGTCTCCCCCTTTGAACCGCCATCTTCCAGATCGTCTCCTTCCTCCTCCTCCTCTTCTTCTTCTTCGACTTTCTCTTCCATTTCTCTTGTGGCGCTGGTGCTTGTCTGGTCCATGACGGTCTCACCAGGGGACAGTGAGCCCCTCGTCCCAAATGAGCCATCGTCATGCTCCTCTTTGAGAGTGCCTAGCTTGTGTGTTGCTTCGACTTGAGCCTGTTCAGACGACTCTGTTGCGGCTTGACGAGATTCGGGACTGGATTCTGAGCTCTCCTCGTGCGCGCTGGCCGGCGTGTCGGGTGATCCCTCAAGGCCCTTGGATGCATCTACCTGGACGTCTTCAGAGACGCGCAGCGGCTCCTCGCTATGCAGCTCCGTTGACTGAAGAGGCTCGTCGATATTTGTCGAGGTAGAGTCCCCAGGCTCGTGATCATTCTCGGACGCGTCTTCGTGCGCATCTTCTTCCACCGCAAGGACCGACGGAGAATCGGCTAGGTCAGAAGGTGCCTTGCCAGTGATGGCCCCCAACAGTGCGTCGACGTATTCCCGCGCCTCTGTCGAAGACCTCGCGCGCAAGATCCCACTTTGTTCGAGCGCGTCTTCAATCGCTTCACGGACTGTTCCGACGCCCAATTCATCATCATCCATGGCATCCTCAACCATCTGGCGCGCTTCTTCCCATGCAGCGAAGGTTGTCATTTCTTCAGCGGCGGGATCCTCTTCCTCCTCGATATCCTCTTCGATAGCTTCATCGTTCTGGGCCACCGGCCCGGACTGAGTCTCAGTCACGTCCTTGCTCATGCCGAGAATGTCCCTCTCGAAAGCCTCCACAGAAGCCTTTCCAGCGCTTTGTACCTGTTCAATCTCGCCGGGTTGAACCGGCTTGGCAAAGACGTACATGAATGGCGCAGTAGTAGAAGTTCTCGTCTCGAAGTGCAGTCGCAGCGACTGCTCTGGGAACTTCTTGGTGGCGCGATTCAGAAGGTCGTTAAGGAGGCGCAGACTGAGCTTGAACTCCCTATCACCCAGAGTCGTATTGGAGGTACCATGTAATGACTCATCCATTTCAGAGAGCGGTATGTATTGGAAGCCGAAAATACGTTGGGTGTTGTGAAATGCGACAAAGATACCGTCCATGCGTCCCATGCGAACCTGGAGTGAATACTTCAGGAATGCAGACCGGATCATGTCATAGTATTCTCGCTCGAACGACTCCCACTGACCGAAACGGTTTCGAATTTCGTAGCCAAGGCCTTTCTGGTAACCTTTGGCGTCCATCCGAATTGATACAACCGCACGAGTCTTCAAGTCAAACATACCAGTGCCGGGGACTCTCGGGTCGTATGCGTCCAGCTGAGACCGCATCATGAAGTCACCGAAGCCTGTGTAGTGGTAGGCCTCCTCAGCATTGCGCTCCTCTTCCGTTATCTGGTCGGAGTTGACGTGACGGTACTTTTCGTAATCTTCCTTGGAGAGTGTCAAAAGCTTCTCCATAGATTTCCCAAGCATACTGAGGATGTTGGCAGTGTCGAACTCTTTGTCGGCGTCGATCGCGTAGGTCCCGTTCTTCCAATGCAAGAAGATGGCTGCCGGAGCCCTCATAATCTGGGTGAATCGCTTGGAATCGGGCTCGAAGTTTCTTGACAGCATATTCGTACTAATGTCCCGCCACGAGGACAGTAGATAGTGGAAATGGGAAAGCATCGATGTCATGCTAGACGTGGACCCCGTGTATTTCTTTTCGTTCTCTTTCGCAATCGATATTAGCGTGGTGTCCTTGGAAGATGTCACGTATTGCTTCAAAGCGTTGAAGTCAAACTCTTGAATCGGCATGATCTGAGACAGGTAGGGGTCAAAATTGTAGACACGGGATCGGGGGTCCTGAAGTTGATAAACGCCGGGATTGAACAACACCCTCTCCAACCCGTATGTCAATGTTGGGACGGCAGGTTGTTCGGTGCTCATAGGGACAAGCGCAGTCGCCTTGGGATTGATGGTGGAGATCTTTAAGCTTAGTCTCCCCGGTCTCGTTTTGCTCTCGCGACCATGCTTTCTCACCGGTCTCGCTTCGCTATCGAGATCATTCAATATGTCGGGGGGCGGTAGCTCGCCCGAAAAGGGCTTCCCCATGTATCTGGATGCAGCCTTCGAGGCATTTTCGCCTTTGATCTGCTTGCCCGCTATTTTGCGAATCTCTGGCGGGCCTTTGGTACATTGTTCTTTCGCCGTCGAAAAAGGGCTGGATTTCGTGTTGAAATCGTATGGCTCACCCGGGAAGGGGTTCTTGCTGGGCGCAGCTTGGGCTTGTTCAACCTCATGGCCAGAAGGAGATGCTGGAACTACCTCTTTTGAACGGGGTGTTCTCGCTTTCGACTTCGAGGCCTTGTTCCTTGATTTGACGAGGCGGACTATGTTGCCTGCGGTGGGTTTCGCTGGCTGTCCTTCTGTGGATGTCTGTCCATCCTCCTTCTCCGCAGTCGGGGTTGAGGTCTCTTCGGCGTTCCCCTTTTTCGGTTTCGATTTCGATTTCTTCTTAGTCCCCGGCTTTGTCGAAGGGGTGGCCGCGGTCTCTTGACTGGGCTTTCCAGTCTTCCCGATATCGATGTTCTGCGCAGCAAGGACCTTCTTCAGTGACGCAAGCGCCCCTTGCAAGACCTGTATTTGACGCTGCGCATCTGTTTCGGGTGTCGTGGTCGGAGGGTTTTTCGGCTTCGCTGCCCGGAGGTTGTTCTGGTTCGCACCGGATCCTGCAGGCGCTTTTGGCTTTGACTTTTTGGACTTCTTTCCTTTCTTGGGAGGTGGTTTTTTGGACGGAGGCTGCGGTTCGGCTACCTTGTCCGCGGCCTTGTCACTGGGAGCCGGGTCCTCGGTAATCGCCTCAGCTCTTCGTGGGATTGTTGTCGAGAATGGCCGGCCATGATGGCTAGGTATTATCGCGGCACGATGCGCGAACGAGGGCCGAGGTCTGGCTAGGCATGTAGCGCAAATATACGAAGCTCCGAGACGGCGTGCATTACGGCTGCCCAGTTGAAGCATCGCAAACGCCGTGGTTCAAGACAAAAAGCCCCTGAGTCCTGGTCCTGGTCCTGGGAATGGTCCTGGAAATGGTGACGCTAGAGACCTCCAGCTTTCGGGATGGAAGCTTTCAAAAATTTCTGGGCTTTCCGCGACGGCAGCGCGTCGGCAGCACCCACCTTAGCGCAGTCATACCCCTGGACCCAGCCCGACAGCGATAAGATAAGGACAGTGTACTTCACTGTGCTCCAAGTTGTTACACGCCTGCTGCCACTTCTCATGGCGCAAGGCCGTAAACTTTATTACCATTAGAGTTCACCCCGGTATTGCTAACTTCGAGAGCCCAACCAGTAGTCGCGCGATTTAAAAGGCTGCTGGGAAAGGACTTAGGAATCCATGAAACACACAACATTGAATAGTCGACCTCGTCTAAAGACCTTGGATTCATGCAACTCATAAGCGATCCATGATATCGTCACTATCATTGAGTCATGGACGCCGACTGCATGAAAAATGGCTTTCCCTGACAAGCCCATAGCACATCTGCTCGGGTCAAATGGTACGCCCATCTCATCTCATCACATCCCATCACTATACCTTCATATATCATCAAGACTAACACCACCCAGGCCCAGTCCACGCCCTCGCCTACTCAGCATCACCAGGCACATACATCCTAGCCGGCTCCTCAGACCGGTCGATCCGGCTCTACAACCCTTCACCCAGCACCTCCATCCACCCCTCCTCCGTCTCATCATCCAGTCTCACCACCAACAAGAAGCGCAGCACCTCCCCAATAATCCCCGAGGGCCGCCTGATCCAGACCTACGCCGCGCACGGCTACGAGGTGCTCTCCCTGACCGTGTCCTCGGACAACGCTTCCTTCGCCTCCTCAGGCGGCGACCGCTCCGTCTTCCTCTGGGACGTAGCGCGCGCACAGACGCTCCGGCGCTTCGGCGGCACCGCGCAGTCGCACAGCGCGCGCATCAACGCCGTGGCCTTCGGCGGCGAGTCCGACAGCCTGCTCGTCAGCGGCTCGCTCGACGCCAGCGTGCGCGTGTGGGACGTGCGCTCCAACTCGCTCAAGCCCGTGCAGGTCCTCACCGAGGCGCGCGACGCCGTCACGGCCGTCGCGGTGCGGGGGCCCGAGATCGTGAGCGGGAGCGTCGATGGAAGAGTCCGGAGTTATGATGTAAGAGTAGGGAGGTGCACGACTGATGTTGTTGGTCCTGCTGTTACCAGCGTGTGTCTGACGCGCGACGGCCGCGCGGCGCTGGTTGGGGGGTTGGATAGTAAGATCAGGCTGATGGACCGCGAGAGCGGCGGCTGTCTGAAGACGTACGCGGACGCGCGGTGGCGCAACGCCGACCTGCGCGTGCAGAGCATGCTCGGTGGCAAGGAGCAGTACGTCGTGGTCGGCGACGAGATGACGGCCACACAACCACACCCACCAAACACCACTACCACTACCACAAGCGGCGAGGGCAGGCTGTGGGCGTGGGACGTGCTGACGGGCGAGCTGAAGGCACAGGTGCGCGTGCCCTGGGGCCCGGCCGGCTCGGAGCCGAAGAAGATGGTTGGCCGGGATGGCAAGGAGAAGGAGCGCAGCAATGTCATCAGCTGCATGGCGTGGCGGGAGAACGGGTTCGGGGATCAGTTCTGTGTCAGTGGCACGTCTGGGGTTGTCACTGTCTATGGCTACCATTCAACAATCATATGATTGAGGGGTATCATGAAGTCCATCTGTGCAATACGCATTCTGGGATCAACAATGCTAGTCGCCTAACCAAGACAGCTGATGACCTTGCCAGAATACTTATTCCGACAAACAGATCTGTATTTCAGAACAGTATTAGGTGGGAGACGGGGACGTGGCCGGTGATATACCTGCCACAATCACCCCTTTCTCGTAATCCAACGGGCCAACCGGGTGATTGTTAGGAGCATAGTGCTATATTCGAAGTGATAGCCTCGTGGCCCCAGACCAGGGAGTGTACAGTCTCTACGCCCACACTTCATGCATACGATCTCTTCTATCAGTATATCATCCCTAGCCTTTTCCGGCAGTAATCATCGAATTAACGTTCACATAGCCCTCGTGCTCAGATCTTGAGTCTTGGTTGTACAGTATGTAAGTGGTATATCAATGCTATGTCTCGTGCAAAACCGATACCTCTCTAGATCAGAGCCCCTCTGCGCCAATAACACCGCAACCCGACGTCTTGCAAACCAGTGCCTATCCAATCGGAATCTACCCAGTCTCGGGGTATTTAGTACATCTGCGGACATTATGCGTAGACGTCATATGCAGCTGGCCAGGCACATATTCAAACGGAGCCATTCTGCTTGCCTCAACCCATATGCGCATATTTGAACCAGTTCGGCCGGCAGTCCTCCTTATTCAACCAAGCTTCGCCATCGGTCAAACGTCCCGTCACGCAGCCTCTGCATTTGGGCGAGTTGGGGCAGTTGAAGAACGGGATGTGCTGGTATCCGATGTCGCGGAACCTAATTCAAGCTGTCAGTACACCCAAGAGGGAACAAGTCTAGCTGGAATGTATGTTCTCACCAGTGGATCTTGCTCTTGTCCTCAAACAGGCCGAGGGCAATGCTGTGCACCGGCGCATCACCCCATCTTTCGTAGAAGAAGCCCCCGGCACGGTCCAGATGGTTGAAGTAATCCTCGTATGCTTGGCTTCGCCAGAAATTCATGTCTGCAATCTCGAAGTTGGTCCAGAAGTGGCAGGTCGAATAGCCGTTCGCTTGCTCATTGTGGATGGGTCGGCGGGTTCTGTCCGTCACCCAGCCCTCTGCCCGGTTCTCGTGTAGGTATTCGGGGTGCTGGGACACGAACTTGGTCGTCTCGGGCCATAGCGTAGGTATCGATTTCGGAGCGTCGTAGAGGGTGATGGTAAAGCCGTAAGTCTTGTTGTTGTCTTGCATGTACCGGAACACATCGTAATCGACGTCGCAAAAGAAGTGCACCTTCGGTTCAACGCGCCAGTAGAACTGTATGTCTTTCAGGGCCGGGTGTTTGTAGAAAAGCCCACTGTTCCAGCGACACATCTTGTGGTATGATATTTTATCCGCATATTGGATACCGTTCTCCTCCAATATCTTGACTGATTCTTCGTAGAGGTCATTGTTGATCCATGAGGGGGTATCCCAATGCTCGTTTGGAATAACCTCTATAACAGCCGCGCATTAGCAGCTGCTCACGCTCTATGTTCATATGACGCCAACATACCGTATCTGCATTCCGCATTTGTTGCAGCTTTCGTCTTGCGCTTGAATTCCTCGGTGAAGGGCACGTCATTGAAGAAGGTCCAGGGGTAGTTGAACTTGTTGTTCCACGTCCGCTCCAGGTCATGCATCGATTGCAGCATTCCGTCGATTTCTTCGTTTCGCACGAGTGCTAGGAGGGTGGCGGGGATTCGAGCGGTGCCGGCATTGCCGGGTTCGTAGCCTTCTGTCGCACGTACAAGGACGCCATCAGGTTCTCCTGTGACTACTTGGAGGTTAGACATGGGATTGGGGTCTGCGCCAAACAGCAAGGGGAGACTGACGGTCTAGGTTGGGATCCCTTTCGATAGTGCCCTTGAAGTCGGCCGAGGACTTCAGGTCTATGCCAGGTCGGAAAACGGTATATACACAGAAACAGAACACCACGATGGCGGCTAGCCCTAGGGCGCGAACCGGCCTTGCGATGGCCATGATAGTTCTAATGCTGCGCGGCGCTCATGAACTCGGAGGCGAAGGTGTGTCGGGTGGAGGCAGCGCCCCTTACTGGGAGGAGTGACCAGATGCAGTCGCAAGCCTAGTAGTACCTGTCACTAGACCGAGAGCGTCCGGGAATTGTCGAGTAATTGCGCGTGTTGTCAAAATTGAACAACTGAAATGATCAACAGAATAGAAGGTTTGGACCGATTGTCAGCCTCCCGTCAGGATGCGGTAAGACGTCTAGTGGACTGGACGTTTGGAAAATTCGATGACACGGGTGACGGCGGCACGCACGCTGCAGGGGCTGCAGGGGGCGTAAAGGGGCAGCTACAGTGCTAAAACAGGTTCGGGACAAGGCAGCCTGGCAGCCCACCTGCTCCTTGATTGGCCGACCTGAAATCCCGACTGCAGGACTAAACCTCCAATCGCTTAGTCGTCGCATAATCATCTCATCTCGACGATTACGACAGCCGTAAAGTGGTGGAATAATCATTAATCTGATGCTTATGCCTTTTTGAATTACTGTCCACTGTTTTATATTACCATACCGCTGTCCCGGGTAATACTTCTTTTAAGGCTAAACGTTAAGGTATTTTTAAAGAGTTATATATGTAAGTGTCAGATGTTAGATCCCAGATATGGTGCCCTTAGGTGCAGTACCCACTAGAGGGCTGTCAAGGGAACAATGGATACACCCTGGCATGGTGCAGTATGGTATTTAGCTGTAGATTAGCCCTGCTGAGCATACTTGAGAATGACAACAACGTTTGCAGCGACTGCTCACACCCCCAAGGCTTGTGACCCTCCTAGAATCTCACAGTAAGCTTAATATATGCTCTGCGCGGGGCTTATTATATTAAAGCTAGTAACGCGTTATATGCGCGTGTTATACTTAGCCTTTATAAGTATTTGTACGCGTTATATTAATAAGACTTTAAATTACTTATAAAAATCGAAATATTAAAATACCTATATATTAAAATTTAAGGTTTTATATAAGGTTAAAATGAAGGAGAATTAATTATGTAATCGTTTATTAAATCGAAAGATTAAATCTGGTATTAAATATATATTAAAGTATAAATATTTACTTATTGTGAGATTCTAGAAGGGTCACAAGCCTTGGAGGTGTGAGCGGTCGCTGCAAACGTTGTTAACATTCTCAAGTATGCTTGGTAGGGCTAATCTACAGCTAAATGCCATACTGCACTATGCCATGGTGTATCTACTGTTCCTTTGACGGCCCTATAGTGGGTACTGCACCTAAAGGCACCATATCCGGGATCCAACATCTGACAAGTATTAATAATATCATTTACAAAATCGCGAAGAAGTTGATTTTTAACATTATAACAACTTTTTAACCCAATTTTTCAACTCTTATTATAAAGCTTTTAATTTTCTTGTACTAATTAATTATAGTTTAATATATTAAAAGGTCGGGTAGTTTATAATTAAATATATATATTCTGAATATACTTTTTATTATCTTAATCGAAAATTAAGCTAGTATTTATTGTTCTAAAAAGCCTTAAATCGTTATAATTCTTATAATTATAGGCTTTTTGAACGCTCGGTATTATATTACAAGGCTATTAATGTTACGGGGTAGATACAAGCACAGGACAAAGATGCCTATCAATGACTTGTATTGTACGAAATTACTTTACTGGGGAAGGAAAGAAGGATCTGACATCCCACCAAAATCTGGTGGGGAGATAGATCATCAATCCCGCACCATTATAATCTATCTAGCTGTGCAGCGGGGCAACGCGTCCACCCTACCAAGTCACGTGGTAGGAGCGCACACACCATGATGGATGGCAAATCCATCACACTAGTTAATAAAGGCTTGTTTATTACTTTAAAAGCTATACTTTTAATATTTTCACTCTTTTTTCTCTCTTAACTACTTCTTATAGTTAGATATAGCTGCTTAACAGCCATTATTACATTTATATGACATTTAATATCTTATAGTATTGTCAGATGTTGGATCCCAGATATGGTGCCCTTAGGTGCAGTACCCACTATAGGGCCGTCAAGGGAACGGTGGATACACCCTGGCATGGTGCAGTATGGCATTTAGCTGTAGACTAGCCCTGCCGAGCATACTTGAGAATGACAACAACGTTTGCAGCGACCGCTCACACCCCCAAGGCTTGTGACCCTTCTAGAATCTCACAATTAGCTGTAAAATAAGCAGTATTTCGGTAGTTATGCCAGTCCTCGCCCACCTAACCACTATTAATCTACGTGATTATGTAATTTGTTCCTTGGGACCTCGACAGTTCAAGAGATTGAACGATATAAGGAAGATATTACAATGGTGTTTAGATTATCATCTAGGCTAATATTCCATTCCATTCCGCCTGCGCGTGGACCCGAGATGCCGTTTCCGAACCTATGCTATGCTAGAAACCAAGTATCATACTCGAATGCTTGTTGGGAATAGACGCGACTCTCACACCAGAGATGGCTTCTTCCTGATACCCAGGGCCGCCGCGTGATTCTTCTTCTTCTTGACCACCCGCTTGAACGAAGGCGGCGGCATATCCGTCGACACCGCGCTCGCAGTCTGTGCCGCTTCCGACTTGTGCGCTGCTTCGTTCGTCTCTGCTATCGATGGGAGCGTCGACGTAGACGCAGATGCCGACGTGGACGACGAAGCGGATGTATACGTAGTAACCCCACCGTCCTCGACAACGTCGTCCGTCATGCGATCAACCATCCGCGCAAACCCGAACGCCCGTCTCGCAGCCTCCGCATCCTCCCTCTCGAGCCGGTCCGCCTCGCTATCCAGCGGCATCTCGACACCAACCTCAATACCGTCCTTGTCCGCGCGCTCGACGCGCGCATTGCGCGTGCGAATCTCGTCTAGCGCATCCGCAACCGCCATCTCGCGCTTCGCATCCACCGTCTTGGCCTCTAGCTCGACCATCGCATTGCGCTCCTCCTCCTCCCTCTCCAACCGATCCAGGCGCTCCTCGTCCGTCTCCTCGCGCCCGACCTTCCAGGGCTCCGTGTTGCGCCGCGCGCCGCGCTCGCACGCGTAGTCGTTGTTGCGCGGGTCGGTCTTGAAGGTGATCTCGGCACTGCACCGCGTGCACTTGATGTAGAACCGGAAGATCTGGATGCCCAGGTACTTCTCGTCGGGCGGGACTTCCTTTCGAGCGTTGAACTTTCGGCCCCGGTAGATGTACTCGCCGCATTGTAGGCATTTCATCGAAAATGGCGCCATTAGGCGCACTGTCTGTACCTTGGGGCCCGCCTTCTTGGGCGCGCGTACGCGCGATACCTTTGACGGGTCGAAGTCGGGCGGGTAGTATTTGGCTACAGGCGGTTGTTAGCACATCGTGATGTCATTTGCGCGGCGTGGGTGGCTGATTATTGGGTTGGGGGGGGGGAAGGGCTTGACTTACTGAGGACTTTGCGTTCAGACATGATGGGCGATGGGAAATGTTGTGTCCGGCAGAAGCTGGAGATGGGGTTGTGGTGGGAAAGCTGGCGATATGTTGAATGGTGTTGAGTTTCGAAGAAACCTCTTTGATGACTAACAGATTATGGGAGGGGCATGCACGTTAAGGTGGGCCCCAACCTTAATGGCAGCTGTGGCGCGTCAAGTCACGTGCGCGTAGTTCAGCCTCAGTGACTGAGGCTCAGCTGAAAGCTAGGTCTGGACCGTCTGGTTGCCAATGCCGAGCGCATGCACAGACCAAGGGAAGTGCTTATTCCCGTTCCAGTGGGGTCCATGGAGCAATAACCGTTTGCTGTACCCACACCTCATGATGCACGCCAAGCAGCCTGCATGTCGTCCGTCTCGCTATGCCAACACCAGCATCTCGATGCCGAACTTGAGGGTCCAGGTCTCTTCCCCGGACACCATGTGCAGCATGTAATCCACAATCGCGACTAGACGCGCGGAAGGGTGTTAGGCAAGGGAGATGACAAGAGACGGAGTCATTAGCTTGGGGAAACATCTGGACCCTGAATCCTCTTCTCGCCTGGTAACCATGGCGAGTGGTTGGATGGTTGGACGGTCACTGCTCCATTCTCATCGATCGAAACGACATTTGGAAATCGTCGTCACTGGGCTCAGGGCTGAAGAGCATGCGCACGGTTATGACGATTGTCTGGCGAGACACATCCACGATCGACGGTGTTCCGGATTGGGACACCTTGGAGTAACCAGATGACATAATTCTGTGGGACACTCATTAACCAACAACAACGGCGATCTCGATGTACAGAGCTTGTACGGAGCTTGTCTTCGCACCGGACATCTGATATGGTCCAACCTGCCAACGAAACACCCGTCTCTGCTTTGGGACAGTGAAGGAATGGTCGACTACGGCATCAGTGATCCCCTTATTCCAACCTCCAGCATCTCTGCCAGCGTATCCCATTTGCTCGCAGCGTCGTTGCCGCTCGCCCTCGCGACACCCCTGAGACCGCCACAGATGAACTTGAGGTGCCTGTCGAAATCCGCCCGCACTTCGCTGAGGACCCCGGCGTACGTCTTCTCCGTGTCCAGCATCATCCCACTTTTATCCTGTTCGGACAGGAACGTCTCGTCCTCCTCCTCGCTCGCCTTGACATATATCTTCCTGTCGGCTTTCGTTGGCGAGGACATGACTGATAGCCGTGGCAACTCCTGGGTCTCTTCTTCTGGTCTCTCGGACTCGAGTCGTCGCGCATCTTGAAGCTTGATAGTAAGGTCGAATATGTCCAGGAAGCACTGGTGAATGGGATCCAGCTTGCTGCCGAGGCAGGTCTCGTCGATCATGCGCTTTGCGAAGGCTGAATGTGATGTGATCATAGCGTCCACATCCTCTGCCGCTTCCAGGTCATCGCGAAGCTTGCCTACGAGCGGCCCAAGGACTAGTGCTGTTAGGTACGACTGAAGTGTGTTGCAGAACCAGAGTAACCTCGTTCGAATGCCGTAGTATGTAGCTTGCTCCGGAACCATATCTGCTACACCGTCGGACATGAGGCGATGTTTGTTGAGCACCGAGTTGGCCCGTTGTAGTTGCAATAGGAATGTAAAGACCGATTGGTACTGGGTTAGGCTTTCGTCCGACAATATGACACGAGTTGGCCAGGACAAGCGATAAGCCACCCTGACTGAGGGTAGACCCTTTCGAACCGATTTCCGCGCGTCATTAACGTCGACATCAGCACCGCCTGTTGATACACTGACGGTTATCCGATGTGAGTCCACTAAGGTGTCAAAAGATTCCTGAGCCACAGCTGTCAGGATGAAACGATCATGCCAATTTGGATTGAGGAGGTCGATGTTGTTGAAGATAGCGCCGGCAAACATGTTGGAGCGAGAGCCATCAGACATCAGGTACACCTGCTGAAGGGCTTCCAAGACAGACCAGAGACTGCAAGTTTGAAACAAGGTCTTCCGGAGTATTGCAGAGGCGGTATGGTGTTTGCTCTGCATCCACTGCTCAAAAATACTGTTGAATATCTCTGAAAACGGAGCGAAACTGACAACTTCAGATGCGAGGCCCGCATCAAACTGGACAAGCGGCTGTGACGGCTGGTTACCAATTGACCGATGCTTCCCCAGAAGCTTCAACACGACGACGCTCTTGCCAGTCGTGAATATCTTAGACGCTGCCGGCTGCAGAAACCGTGGCACATAGAGTGTTCCTTCAGCAGTTCTCCGCAGCTTGAACTGGTCCGTCCAAACCTGCCGTTTGGGCACCTCGGTTGGAGTACTAGAGATGAAGAAGGTCTTGTCGCCATCAATGAGCTCTCCTCTCGCCATCCATAGGCGTATTGGTCTAAGATAAACCTCGAAGCACTCGAAGAAGAGCTTACTGAAGAACCCGTGAGTGTCCTCATTCCCCCCCATCTGAGCAACTGCAGCGGCGTCGAAGAGAAGCTCCAGATAATGGAATGGGCGAGGATGGTTGGCTTGCTGCAGCTCTTGAATCATTTCTGCAAGTGACGCCAAAGGTTGCAAGTGCGGCTTGATATCGTTGACGATTTTCGCAAGACTGACAACGACGTCTTGTGAGATACTGACATACTGGGTTTGTAACATCGATATGACGCTGTCAAATGACATCAGACGGTTGCCCACGGCATCTTGAAATACCTGCAGGAGTGGAATTCGCTGTGGGTGACTTGCAAAGCTGCGTAGAACGGATAGCTGCCGTCCAGCCTCGCCGAATGAGTTCAACAGTGCTTTGTAGACTCCCCAAGAGGAATGTGCCAATTGGAAGTTCAGGGACGGGACACCTTGTTTATCAAACAAACTGTTCTCCAGGCCATTGAGCATAGATAGAATCTCTCGCACTGCCTGCAGTTCTGTGATGGTAGTCTTCTGCGCTTTTCCTCTCGGGTCTCTGCTCGTTATCCCACTTCGCCAAGACTGACTCTTTTTGACCGTATCGAGTCCAGCCACGTCATGTAAATCGTCCAGGTATTCTGTGGCCCGCCTTCGATATCGGGCCTCGACGCTGAAAGGTGACGTGTCTTCGGATTCCACCGACGCATCGGATCCATCGTCAGCATTCTCGTCCTCGGAGCTGTAGCCTCCGAACTCGACGTTCTCCCACAATTCCCGCTCTTTGTCCCAGCCCTCTTCTCTGGCGATATCAGCCCACTTCAAGTCGGGCCCGGGGACGTCATCCGGATCCTTCAGCAGCTCAAGATCCGAGAGTCGGGATTTCTGGATGGGCTGGTCTGAAAGCAGAAGCAGGAGCTTGAGCGCCTCCGGTGTCCATTTGCTTAACTGTTCCGCGAGAGCATCCAGTCGCTCCCTCAAGGCATCAGCTAACCCATCGCGGTTCAGGACGCGGAAGTGTTCCTCGAATCCGTCGAGGGATTCCTGGACCTCGAACTGGTTGGTGCGCAGAAAGCTGTGATGGCGCAATTTCCGTAGACTTGACTCTCTCAGGAGATTGAAACGTGTTGGTTCCGACTAGTTGCGCAGTTTGGGCTTAGTCGCGAGGCCTTGCTGCGACGTTGAGTCACAGATGAGGGCTTGCTTACCTGGCTTGAGGTTGATGTGATGACTTCGACCAATTCCTGAGTCAGGGCTCCGAGTTCTGCTGCGAACGCCATCGTAACTGGCCAATCTCATAGACTAATGAGCAGTTAATCACGTAGAGTTCGCACGTGATAATTTATCGGAGCTGTATGGGCTGTATGCACGTGTCGAAACGATTTGTTTACTCTTGGTGATGGTCGCAATGCCGTGCCTCAACTACGAAGATGGTCCAAGCGTCCATGATAAGCCCCACTATCAAACGCACCGGATGCCGCCCCCTTGTCACCTTTCCACCACCAGCGATTCCAACCATAGAGTGAACTGTAACGCCATTAGGTCTTTAGCTAAACTTTCAGCAACACAGATTGTCAGACGGTTTCAGGCACATCATGTATATCTGTCAAATTAAATGTTTTCCGCCACCAAAATCTCACCTCAGTATTTGTATTCAAGCATCTAGCACCTTCTTTCCTCCCAGCTAGTATCCCGGGAAGAATATCATCAGTAACATTCACCTTGACCAGGGGAATTATAAGCATATTACTGTGAATCAACAACATGGCCCTGCAACCAGGCGGCGTCCCGACGACTGCCCCTGCACGAGAGGATCCGGACTCTCGAGTGGAATGGATGGGCATATTCGCGCAGCCGCTCGAGCCTTTACAAGCGAACCAACTGGCCCCTTACTACAGTTTCACCCTCCCGCCGGGAACGGAGCGCACTATCTCGAGAGGTGCAGAACTGCCCCCGACAGTGCAGAGCATGTGGGAGGCTCTTTTCAAGAAACATGTACGAATCAAGGCTTGCCATCTACCGTGAGACAGGACATTAATGCGTGAAACAGCACACGAACATATTGGTGGACTTGTGTCTTCGTATTCTCGCGGCTCTACGTTACTTGATGGAGACCTGGACTGAGTTTTGCGCCTGGTCAAGAGAGCGTCACGAACCTTGGGCCGAATGGTCCTTGCAGATCGGTTATGAACATACCTCTGAACCTTCTCAATGGTAAGCTGCGTCAGGAAGGCGTGGCGGGATCATCCCCCCATGCTTGCAGTACGTCAGTCAACTGTAAAAACTGACATGCTATTGACAGGCGAATGAAGAAGACTGTCCAGATCAAGAACTGGATGAGGCGCACGTGATGTTCTATCTGTCGCGGAAGAATGCAAAGTGGCAAGTGGCCCATCCATACCTATGTCTTCTATTAAGTTGAACTATGCACACTAACTACCGGTACGGGCATCCAGGGTATACAGTAGCTTCTTCAATGGCCACAACAGAAGGACGATATGTGTCAAGAAGAGGCCGGGAGACACAGATATGGTACCGACGGTTGCCCAGCCCCTTTGGTAATCATCATGGATCCAATGAAGGCGGAACGGGAGAGACGAACCTGATAGGGATGCGACTTTCGAGGTTGCTGCTACCTTTTGCGACTTCGCGGAGGCGGCACTCTAGATTACCAATGCATCTAGAATAACTCCCGTACAATCAATAACATGAGGTTCATGAACTTTCTTGGTGCTTACCCAAGACATGATTATTACCCCTGAGCGGTGCGAAAGAGGTAGCTGGGCGCATCTGCGCGGGGAAGCCTGGATTCTGTGACGGCCTGCACAGACCTTCCCACATGACAAGTGGATACTTCCTAATAGGGGAAGGATCTGACCAGAGGATCCCCTTAAAGGGGCAACCTCCCACTGTACCTATCTCTCTCTCTCTTCCTTTCCTCTCTAGTCTTGATATTCTCGTCAATAGAGTAATAGCTGCTTGCTGCCGGCCATGTCCCAGCTCCTCAGTACGCTCGCCGTGACAGATGCCATGCGGCTTTCTTCCTACATAGCCTCACTGTTCGAATTTAATTGCGAATAGTCGAGATAGCCAAATGTCAATTTAGGGTTGGCGTTACCGCCAATGATTCCATGCATTAACATCCACCTTGTTTAAGTGACTGCTTAATTTATAGATTTTTAATTAAAGAAATCTAGGTATAATAAGCCCTTTTAAGTCTTCGTATACCACCCGTTTAATAAATGACGGTATATTTATTAAATCGAAATAAACATTATAAAATAATTTTTAAAAATGGCGTATTAAACTGAAGCTATTAATTTTTATATACTTGTGAGATTCTAGGAGGGTCACAAGCCTTGGAGGTGTGAGCGGTCGCTGCAAATATTGTTGTCATTCTCAAGTATGCTTGGCAGGGCTAATCTACAGCTAAATACCATACTGCACTATGCCAGGGTGTATCCACTGTGCCCTTGACAACCCCATAGTGGGTACTGCACCTAAGGGCACCATATCTGGGATCTAACATCTGACAGTTATAAATTAAAAATAAGTATATTAATTATACAGTATAAAGATAATAAAAAAATTAAGCTAATAAATTACACGATAATATTGAAAAGTAAATTATTAAGTTATATAGATTATAAAAGTTACCAGCTATTAAAGGTTAGTGTGGAAATCCAGGGGTCAGAATGGGATAGATGATGGTCTGTGTCTTGTCTATAGATCCATGGGAGAGATTCCCACCTAAATACAGGTGTAACAGCTCTTTGATGCCCTGCTGCCTGACAGCGAATAACAAACCTGCCACTGGTCACTATAATGGACCTTTCACCCCCTTTGAGCCCCTTTCATCCCTTTCACCTGGCGGACAGCTGCAGCCTATACCTGACAGTACCAGAATGCTCACAGTCAGAAACTATACTAGCGCGCTTTTATAATACGAAGTATAAATGTAAAAGAAACGGTAAATGAATGGTTTAAATTTATAGCAATAATTTAACGTTCAAATCGAGAAAAAAATACGTTATTAATGCGAAGTAATATATCGAATAAATTAAACGATTACTATCAGCGTTAGGGTCGGCGCCAGCGCTTTAAACGGAGAGATATTTAGCCCTAAATTAGTTTAATTTGTGGTCGATTAACGACCGTCATAAATCCCGTAATATATTTATTAAAAACATAGAATAGACATATAATGAGGTAGTTTTAAGCCATACCCAGGGCATGACATCAGACATAACTTCCAGCTGGTATGTACCCTGAAGGAATATATATCCCTCCTCACTCCTCAATGAACTCACTGTTTCCTCCTGGATTTGTCGCTGCTGCAGACAGAAGCGCCTCGATCACGAAACCCTTATTATCTGCGGGCGGTATTCATCTATGTCATATGATGAGCGCTTCCTTCCCGTCTCACCTAGGGTCCAGGCCGAATAGAGTGTTCCTCCCTAGGTAAGACGGGAAGGAAGCGATCATCATATGACAAAGTAAGTTTTCCATCTCAAATACAACCGCGGATTTTGACCAGTTTTGTGTGGTTCCCCGTCTAGGTAGGTACCTACCTTGTTTCTTCCGGTTCGAGCTGCAGTGTTCGGAGATGCGCGCACGTTGCTTGATGCGGCAGTATGCTCGACATGAACTGCATCCCTCGAAAGGTGGTGATATAGTTTTTGGGTTGACTACGTGTGATTGACTGGATGATGGAGTCGGTTAAGGCGGTTGGATGCAATATATTCAATCGGAGCCAAACATATCACGTCAGTTGAAATTGTACATGATAGTAGTTGATGGTACGATTTATAGTAGCTGATGGTTCATTGCTCATAAATAATAGTACAGCAATCTAACAAGGTTCTCGAACCGCTCCCGATGAATGAGCGTGTACACCATGTTCTGACCCGTACAAATACGCCGTGCTGATGATGCTTCCAACTCTGTTCCTTCTTTTGCTTGTTTCAACTTTCGGGTTGGACGACTTGTGTCTGTGTCGTAACCTTCGTCTGATCGAAGGTGAATCCGTGCGTGTATGTACAACTCTCTGCCCCGACCACGGAAGATATGATAGTGGTAGGTGGTAGGTGATAGGCTGCTAAGCTCCCTGGGGGTAAGGGGCTGAGCCAAATATATTCAAAATAGTATCCTCAGGGAGGATGCGTGTGATTTCGTACTCATGGCGGATACATTGATTTAGTCGTGGTACTCGTGGGCGCCGTCGTCACTTCTCGACGATGATGAAGATGAAATCGACGAGGAGCCGTTGGGCATGCTGGGGACGGCTGACCGGCTTGATCGAGAACGGCGGGTGTTTGACATGTTGGCGGCTTCCATCTGTCTCTTGGTGTGCATGTGCATGGTCTTCGAGTAGCTGAGCAGGTCCGATGGTGGTGAGATGCTGGAAGAAGGCATGTTGACTGTAATACTGTTGCGAGAGTCGTTTGTAGTTGATACTTGAAGTTGAAGGTAGGCTCAAATGGAACAATAGAGTTCTTGAGTGTTTGGGAGATTGGAGACTGGTTGGCTGGTGGATGAGGCTGTAGTGTGTTTGCTGTGATGGCTTGGGATATCAAAAAAGCTGATGGAACGAGAGGATCCGACTTCCTTATATGCAAAAGCGATGATGAAAGAGGGGACGGCCTGGTTCGGGGGGAGGCGGGCTCTGACTTCAGAGGGTGTCCCAAAACGGGAGGGAATGGGTAGTGCTCCTGCCACCGATTGCATACAGGCTCTAGCCCCCAAGCCTCAGGGTCATGTACATGTACTGATCTGCAGAGATGGAGGCCGTTCTTGGTTGCCCCGGCCGGGAAAGGGAAGGGAAAGGGAAAGGGCTACCCATGCAGCTATGGCGTAGGGTGCCTGGGAGAGTGCCTGGGCGGGTGCAGTGAGCAGGTGTTCAGTGTTCACAGTGCTGCTGCTCCTTTGCCACGGCCCACAAGCAAGGCTGACCGGTGCTGGTAGATGATGATGATGATGATGCATTGTCCGTCCTAGCATGCCCCATTCCCCGTAGGCTGCGTGCCCTTGTCATTTGGTTTGGGTGGCACTAGGCCCACTAGCTCGGGATCTCGATAAGTGGGACTCGCATGTCATCCTGCATGCGTCGCCAATGGCAGACCGAGTACCCCCAACGAAAGGTGGAGGGGTGTCCAAACAGGACTGCGCACTTGCTCAAATCCGGAAAGACCCTGCAGATCTCGCTGCGACCCCGACTCCCTGAGACCTTTGAGGTCATCGCATTATGTCACTTCATTGGCCACTTCTCATCAGTTTTGGGCCGTGCCAAGGGGAAACCGACGGATGCCACTGGCCCACTCTAGAGTCTAGATTGGCTTCAATTACCTCCATACCTTCGAATTTGATATCTGTGTGGTTCACGACAGATTTCAGACTTAATGTCATGGGTCTCAATCTATCAAACACTGCCAGTTCATGGGGAGATAGTGTTTGTTAATGACATCATGTGCAGATGCTCGGTAAACGACACGGTTCAAGGTCAAGCAAACACGACGGCGAAGCAGTGAAAGCCACCGTCTCAGCCTCTTCTGCGCGTCTGCTGCCACTCGAGATTCAGGGTCCAAAGTACCATACCTGAGTGCCTCTAGTGACGAGGCTAGAGCTCACGGCTGTGATGTTAGTTCATGATAGTGCATAAGCACTCGAGCCTGGGCTGCCTGGTTTCCACTTTGATAGAGTGGCCATCAACTGGCCTGACATCGAGACTGGCCGATGAGCCCTAGCGACGTGCCTACTCAGCGTCAGCTCTGGTGCTACCTGTTTCCGATCTCTGTCGTTGGCTCGATATTTGATTCAGACACCTCTAGCGCATATCGAGATGGGCAGTTGCACATCGCGCCGCAACCCGTTGAGCTGGAATGAGGAGCTGGCCACAGGGATGATATCACGTAGTAGCCCGCCATTTCCGAGCTGTGAGGGTATTCCGACCATTCTCGACGCGCCCCAACCACTTGTCAGTTGTGGTCTCAAGCTAATAACCGAGTTCCTACCCGCACCTCATCGGCCGAGATATCGCAAGACGTCGGCGATCTGGATGTCCCCGCACATATCCAAGTCTAAGCGCAGTTCGCTGTACAGTAGTACACGAGCGAGTCAAGCATGATATCTGAATCCGATGCCCCAAGGGCCAACGGTAAACCGGGCCACTGTCAATTACGGATGTCTGCAGGCAGTCAGGGTCCAAGGGACACGACAGCATGGTGCATGATGCCGGTGACGCCACCGGCAAGGGACAACCGGGGATATTTGGTGGTGCACACATCCGTTTGGTGGTTGGTTGATGACGACTGACGAGTTGGAGATCACAATGATCGACGGAGTGCGAAAAGAGCTGCGCGGTGAATGAGGTCGCGGAAGGATGCAAACATCATTGCGATTCATTGGACTCGCCAGCAACGAAACACATCAGTGTTACATCGGGCTAATAATGGGGCATGTAGGTAGATTGTAGACATGCATGTGGCCGGGCTGGGAAAGTGACGCGGAGGTGGAGAGGGACATTGGAAGGTACCTAGGCACCGAGTGAGGTCAGAGACAAAGGTGGCCCGTGCTTTTTGCTGGCCGAAGGTTGGTTTGAGATGATGTCAGCTGCCAAGCCCCAGCTGTCTCTGAGCGGCACCTGCAGGCAGTGACAGGGAACAGGATGCAGCCCCTGACTCGGCACACCAGGCTCCCAAACCACCAGATGGAATCCAACCCTGGCAGGAGGGAGGATACGTTGAATATTATGGGAGGAGGAGGCTCCTCCCATTGGTGGCCCACAAGGACGTCGGCATAGGCGACCAGAAGGATTGCATGCCACATGGGACACGAAAGCATCCAGGGGCTGCCAGCTCTGCGGATCGGAATGACTCCCTCGCCGCTGACGACAGTGCCTGGCCACTGACCTCACTCAACCCGGCGATCCCACGTGATGACGAAACAGGAGGCAATCACATTGCTTCATTGCTCCAACGAACTGCCTCCCATGCAACCACTCATCCTTGCCCTGCGGCTACCGGTATCATATCACTTTTAGAGAAAATTCCATCAAACACCACATACGTGTCGATCTGACATCACAGCAGGGAAACAGCGCTCTTCGATCTGTCCGTGTCTGTAGCCTCGACAGTCTTGAGCGGTTTCGTATGTCCTTGATGCGAGCGTTCATCAGTGTACGGAATACTTGACGAATAGGCCAGCCTCCCGCGTACCTACCATCCGTTCAACCGTCACGCACCTTTCGGGAATCTTCTATGGCGGCGCCATACCCTGTGCTCACTTGCCGCTTTCACGAAAACCACCGCTGATCGATCCAAACCGTGGGGAAGAGCTACTGCAGTGTTGATCAGGTCATATAAAGTGCCACCTTTCTGACTAGGAGGATCGTCAAGGTTCCAACCTGTCTCACTGATACCCTCCGATGAGGATTTTCCAGCGCCGTACCAAGCATCTACACAACGCAACGCACCCCTTACTCGGTCCAATCTAGGTATCGGTCCCGTCCAATCCATCCAACATGTATCAGCTATATGTGCTGGGCATGCACCGTGACGGCAGTGGACGTCGGTCGTGGTCATACTTTACCGGGTTCTCCATTAGTCTCTGATAGGCCCTGCCTGCAGTGTCACTCCCTCAAGCTTTCGCCCTTGTGCCGCTTGTCAGTCACCTAGCTCGTCGCCGGTAAAGCAGCCTGCTACCGGGCCTCCACCGAACCTTGTTAGCCATGACGTACCTGTCCACTCTTCTCGATACTGCGGTCTGATTGCACCGTCACAAGCAAAACACTCGCCAATATCACATACTCACTCTGTCCAGTGATGTCAGTTGATCTACCAAGTAGCTGGTGCCACGAGGGAACGTGGGATTCAGGGAAGTCGCGACTATGCGATGGCATAGGGAACACCGAACATTCCCCTGACTGATTATTAGTCTAGCCATGTCACAACATTTCACCACCGCTACCCACACAAGGTGCCTTGATTTACGCCTTGCTTTACTTGGAGTTCGATGATCACCAGTATGACCGATCGAACTAACTTGAAGCAGGCAGGCTGGTGGACGTGCCACGGTACGAGGAGACTTACAACGATTCATAGCGCGCGGACATCCTTGAGGCCATGCCCTGCAGGTGGACAAGAATATCTTGTTGTGTCCGTGGAGTGAGTCATATACCGAGATTCAGCTTCGTCGAGGCTATGCTGGCACATCAGCCTCGACAGTGCCATGCACACGGGACATGTGCGTTGCTGCTCGCCAGTCATGGCTCATTCACATGCATCTCTAAAAACCTTCCAGCAATCACGCTCACCGACCTAACCTGTCAGCTTTGACGTCAACCAGTCGCTCGTCCGGTCCTAGCACTCGAGTTCCCCGACATCTCCAATCCTGCGGTCTTCGAACACGAGCCGACTAGCCATGTCAGATGCCATCACATAATGGGCTTCATCCAAAAATAATCTCTTCCACCCCTTGGTGATCCGACTACTGGCCAGTTGCAAGCCACCACAGGTCCAGGGGCTTCATGTGCGGTCGCCGGATATCCCCCAGCGGGAGAGATCGACAGAGCAGCTACGAGACACCTCCGACGTCATTCGACATGTAAAACCAACCCCTCCCAACAGTGCTTATAGGCAGGTAGGTCTCGCATCGCATCATAGGTGATTGGTTTGATTGGTTGGCTGGAAGGCTGCTGTTTTGATCGACGATGTTCGCATAGAAGCCTTCTTTCTCATGTGCGCAATGCATTTACAGACAAAGCGGGATAGCCGACGTTGGGCACTGGGTAGGACTACCTAATTGAGGTGACTGCTGAACTGCTCGAGGGGGGTTCGATGTTCTTGCTACCACCTCCCAAAAAACTTTGAGGTCGAGGGACTCGAACGCCAACGCTCGAATGCCCTCCAGGGCCCCCCTTATTAGGAAAACCCAGCTCAAAAGTTATAGTTTGGACTAATCAGACGCGCTGCGTCTAGTGAGTTCCCGAGAGCCGTATATCACTCTCCCTTCCCTCCGTCTGGTCCATTCGTCCAATGGAAGTCTTTTGCCTGGTGCCCACGAGACTGCTAGCATGCCGTTTAAAGCGAGATCTTTCTCCCTTATCTTGGCCTGGATGGTTGGTCTATATCACTTTCCAAGTGGAATCAGGTGCTCGTCGGTTTTCCGTTGAAGGAAGGTCACTTGGTGTCCAAGGAGGAGAGGTCATCTGATATCTCCTTTTCATCGGATGCCCCTCCAAGAGTTCTGAGACTGACATGATGGATTGTATGGAATTGCGCACTTCGACACTGTAGGGGTTCCTTCCCCCTAACAAGAGCTAAGTAGATGTACAGTCATTCCCAAATTGCTGATAGACACTCTTCACCCCAGGGATGACCAGCTTGTAGGTTGGCGGTATTTGTGTTCTATGCTTCGCTCCTCCCAGGCAATGTCACCGCTTGAAGTCCACAGGCCCAATACCTCCCCATCAATGGCTATCTTGAAAGCATGGCCTCGTATTTCATCATACTCGTAGCGGAACCATCTTGGCGTTGCCTCTGGCTGTGATGGGTTGAACGCGTTGATCTGGGACCACCCAAGGCGGTCTGCATCCCCCCACGAGACTTTCTTGATCGACGCTGGGTTGCCCCCCTTGATCAGTATGAGAGAAAGGGGCCCCGTCAAATCAACCTCCTGCTGAAAGGCCTGTTCGGTAGGCGGTAAGTTTTCCGACTGGAAGAACTCTGATTTCCCTACCTCGGAGCTGCCGTTGTCTTTGTTGACAGCATTGTTCAATGCTCGAGCGAGGTACAACCGAGCATACCCAGTCTACGTACTGAGGAGGAATACTCTCATCTTGTTGACATTGCTCTGGCGTCTCGCAGGGAGCGAGTCCCATCGCCTCAGAGATAGATGGACCAGCATCAGGTCCCAGCATGACGCGCTCTTTCAAGTCCCCCAGGATCTTGCTCTCGAGTATTGCGGAAAAGGTGCTGAGCGTAATGATGCAGTCGCCGCGAAATCTAGAGTTGACGAGATGCAGGTGGGACCCCCGTTCATACCAGTTCGAACTTCTGGGGATATTCGCTAAAGCGTCATGCAGGTCCTGGATAATCCCGAGTAGCTTCGAGGTATTTGAATGCGACGGTCTCTTGGAGAACTCATTGAGTCGTCCCCTTCTTAAAATCAGCTCCTCTTCGGCTCGCCTGATGAGATCCTCAAGCAAGTCCGACTCTTTCGTCGCGTCGAAGGCGGTACATGGTCCCCCGAGTGTTTCATCTACATGGCAGCACAGTGCTTCATTGAGGTAATCGTTTCAAAGATTGTTGGTGTTTGATGACTTCCAGGGGAGTTCTGCGTGTTGTGATGGAGCTTCCGCTCTCAGTTGCTAGCTTCAGATTGTTGGCAAGCAACCACCTTCTCATAAGGCCAGTGCGTTTGTTTTCGTCACGGATTCCCAGTACTCCCTGTAACGAGTTTGACTCGTTACGCAATAGGCGATGAAGACGGATACGCGCTGTCTCCTCCGGTGTTAATGACATTGGTGTCGGGACCTCGCCAACCCTGACGAGATCTGTAGGCTGTCCCTTCACCGGTTTCTTGGTCCGCCGGCGCACAGCAGAGTTGTCGACGTGCCCCTTGTTGTATCTGGGGTCCTTGTCATCGGAATCACTCCCGCTGTCGTTCTCATAGCCATTTCTCTGCTTCTTCCCGCGTTGTGGCTTGAAAGATTGGGTCTCTGGTTGGCCTTCGGATGTCGAGGTGGGTGGAGGTTCGGCCCTGACGCTTCGGTCGTTCCTGCGTCACACATCGCCAGCGACCTCTCGGAAGTTGGGCGCCGGCAAACTGACGCCGTTCTTGTCAAGATTGGCGGGTTCGAATGAGCTGGGGATTGCTTTCTTCAACTTGAGGGGGTGCGTAGTTGCCCGCGCCTGAGTTGCAGCTGTGAGATCCGCCATGATTATGGTTAATGATAGCTGGTGCCCCTGAGAGGAGAGTAGAACAGAAGCCAGCTCAGAACAAAGTCTTGATGGGAAGCGAGGCCGGATAATGACGCATGGCGACGCATGGCAAGATTGCACAAAGGCGAACCAGGAGGCTTCGCGGCTGCCTTGCAAGCCTACCTGCATCTGTTCGGGTTACATTACATGTGTAGCCACTGTACGCAGGCAGGGCGAAGCCTCGCTGTGAGAAGGCTGGGCGGTTCCTTGCAGAACACATTCTCGTATGGAGCTTACCCATGAGGTTGAAATGCATGCTGCCGGTTTTTATCGTCTATTCCGAAACAGCTTTCAAGAAAAGCAGTGTAATGTGTCCGTCATTTGGGACTTCTCTGCGTGGTCAAACATATATTGATTACGATGTGGTCAAGGCCCTCCAACGACACGTCGTGCTCGACAGCGACGGACCAGCAGTCGATGACGATCTCGGCGACCCGGGAAAATTCCAACAGTGATGAAAGCAGCAACGTAACAGCAGAAGACATACTAAGGAAGCCTTGGAAGTATGTTGGCTACCAAGGTTACGCCAGCTTCATCGCCGCCGACGATGACTTCCTCATCTTTCGATGTTTAAAGGACCTGAATGCCCGCATCGCTCTGTTATTCCAGGACGAACTATCGGTCCTGGAAAGGGACTTGTCCGAGTTGGACGAAAGGTACAGCCGGAAGGACGCGACAGACGTCAATAATGGGACTTTGAGGCACGATCAACTAATCGCACCGAACTACTCCATAGTATCAGAGACAAGATACGGCGGTACAGTAAGTCATGGATTGGAAAGCAAAGAAGACGAGAAACTGACAGGTCAAAGATGACTTCATCCTGCAACAGGCCGCGATGAAGAAGTATCAACAAGCACCATCCCGGGACGTGAAGTCCATCCGAAACTGGCACTACAACCACGACCACGTGGCCATCGATCTCGACGAACAGGCCTACCTCGACGAACAGGCCTACCTCGACGAACAGGCCTACCTCGACGAACAGGCCTACCTCGACGAAGCGGACGACCTGATCTGTCTGGCACAGAAGGACAAGACGCCCCTGCGCCGGCTGATCGACCACTCGCATCGCCTGCGCACGCTCTCCATATGGCGGCAGAGGCCAGAGACCAGCAAGACGCGAGATCATGACACCGACCCCGGCCCCGTTGCCTACTACTCGGACAAGCGCATCGACGGGTTCGCATCGGGCCTCATCGCCGCGGCCGGCGTCGCCGTGCTCATCACGCCGATCTGGATCGTGCAAGCGCTGGGCGACGCAACCGCCAAGCTGGTCATTATGACGGTGTTCATATTCGTGTTTCTCATCATCCTATCGTTCGCCATGGTCACGAAGCCGTTCGAGGCGCTGGGCGCGACTGCTGCGTATGTGTGGTCCACTCTCCCCCTCCCTCCCTCTCTACTTTGTTCTCTGCCTCCGGGTTTGTGTCGTGTACCCCTGACGGCTGGGAGCTGACGGCTGACTCGTTGTCGATAGGTATGCAGCGGTATTGATGGTGTTGCAGTTCGGTGGCAGCTCGACAACGTGACTGCTGATGCTTTACTGGATGATGCGTCGAAATGCATGCTGATACATTGGGCGCCCGTTTCTTTCAAGCCTGAAGGACTGGACGGGCCACGGCGCCGCCAATTCTCAAAGCCTCATATTGTGTGGTATAAAATTACATAGTCTGCATTAATAGCGCCAGTGACCATCAGCCACGAGATGCGGGATCACACAGGCGCAACGTGATGCAACATTGACGGCCTCGCCACAACACACAGTCTGCCTGCTACTTCGCCCTAGTGCAATCTTCCCGCACAAGATGCCCATTCGCCACTCGACTGGAGATACACGTTCTAGACCCCTGAGACTTGGAGGGCCCTCCCAGTCCTTCAACACCCAACAAGCCCCCAATCGTGCCCCTATTGCCCCTGAAGGCCGACTCCAACCGATTTTGTAGGCTCCGAAGCTTTGACAGGGACATCAAGATAGCATCAAGTTCAAATTGCTGTCGACTTCAAGAGACGGAGAGGTCGACCACTCCACTGAGATCCTACCCTGAAAGACGTCCAAACCCACCATCAAGCAAGGAGGAACGAACGCTGGTTTCATAGCCTGTTCTTTCCACACAATCACACATTCACGACGAGCAAGGAACTGGGGGAATGTTGAAGGTTGGTGGTAGATTGTCCAAACCCTCACTGATTCTAAGGTGGAGATTTGCACCGTTTCTGTAACGGAGGTAAAATGTGTCGACTCAAGAAAGGAGACGCTCAGTGGCTAGGGAAGCTTATAAAACGAAGATGATAATGAGGAATTGCAGAGTGAAGGGACATGAGGTCCGATTACCACTACCCTGCTCGAGCAATCTAGGTCGAAGACACCAGAATCGTCAACGCCTGTCAACGACCATAACATACTACCGGTACTTCTTCCAGACAGCATGTGAACTATCAGCAATACATGAGCATACATGGCAAGACAAGTTAAGAGGGCCATGTGTCTTCCACATTATATCATTCACGAGCACTCAAGGAAATAGGCAGTTGAGATTTTCTTTATTCAGCAATTGGAATAACATCCAGGGTATCTATCTAACAACTTTTGGCTCCAAACGCCTTTTTTTTCTGCAATCATGGTCTCGTGCTAATACAATCCGTCACCTCAAAGCCAAGCTTTCATCGTGATACAATTCGTCACCCCAAGCCAAGCTCTCATCGTGCTCACCCACTCTATGCGGCGAGATCGTAGTAAATACACTTCGTCGTTCTGAAGTTGTAGACGAAGGCGTGTCGACTGCCACCCTTTTCCTCACACGCCGATCTCCAGGTCGCCAACATGTCGTGGATTTCACGCATGTATTTTCTCTCATTCTTATCCACCGACTGCTCGGCCTTGCGCCAGCTCTCGGCCTCCGACAAGGCAGTACCTTGTATCAAGTCGAGGACGACGTCCGAGGTCTCCACAGCAGCTATGGGGCCGTCTAGAAAGCCCGATACCAAGCCCGCGGCATTAGCTTGGGCTTGGTCAATAACGGTGTGGCGGTTGAACTTCTTCGACTTGGTGCCAGCCACCAGCACACGCACTTCTTGTTGGGGGTTGACGGTAACGCTCCCACCAGGGGGGGCGGACGCCGAGCTGCTGCTGGTTTCGGCGTGTCGCGGAGAAACATGAAGACGAGAACCTCGGTCGCGTAATGCGGCTCGCAGCCAGGGTAGCAGCTGCGTTACTGATACCTCCGCATCTGGGATGTCCTTGCGGTCCATCGTCCTGATTTTGAGGGTATCCTGCTTGATGATTATGATCCAGGAGTAGGATTCATCGCGGTTTCTGGCTGTGAGCTCCTCTGGTGAACGGGAATCACGGGCCAGTTCGGCGCTGATATCATGCGACCACAAGGTTGAGACGATCTCTATACCGGTGGTGCGGAGGGTCTGGGCGTCGAAACTCGCTACAAGCACGTCACACTAGAAGGCCGTGTAAGCAACCAAGTATAGGGAGAAGCAAATAGGGTGCGACTTACTCGTTTCGCACTGAAGATGCCATGCGGCTCGTCGTCCGGCTTCTTCAGAAAGGCAGCCTTCGCACCAGGCTTGGGGAAGCGGGCCAGCTTCTCCCAAGCTAAGCTGAAGCCGACAGCATGGGGTCCTTCGACCTGGGTACCGCCTCGGGGCCGATGGGCTCTGATTAGACTATCATAGCGGCCACCGGCTGCAAAGACATCTCTAAACTTCTTGTCGTACAGGCATTGGAATAAGATACCACCGGAAAAGAAGTTCTCCTTGATGCTGCTCAATGGGCTGATGTAGATCTTTGCATGGACACCAAGACGTTTGGTGTATTCAATCACGCCTTTGAGGTGGGCAAGAGTCGATTGCAGCTTCTCATACGAGGGCGTTCCTTCGAACAAGGTCTTGAGCTTCGAGAATGCTTTTGCTGGGGTTTCTAGACAGCCGTCAGTGTTTAACACAGCAGCAGGTTTTCCGAAGATGGACTCACCTCGGAAGTCGAACCGGCGCAAGTCCTCGATACTCGTAGCTGATATACCAATCAAGGACCGAAGCTCAGCCCGGATTTTGTTAAAAGTCCAGGAATGAATGTTCAGCTTGCTCAGAATCTCTGCCGCAGGTTGTCTTGCGCTCAACTCGACGTTGCAATAGTCGAAAACGAGCTGCAATAGGTCGGAATGACTGAGATGAAAACACATCTGCGATGTGGAGGGGAAACTGTCAATGATCTCATCCAATACTTTGATCACTTCGGCCTCCTTCAAAGCCAGGTCCAAGGTGTCTGCGGAAACGATGTCAAAGTCAACTTCGCCTATCATCAATGGATGTCCACCGCTTCCTCTGTCTCTGTATACGCTCCCAAACGCGAAAGATCGACGGACTTCCGGCGCCTTGGCCATTTTGGCAAGGAACCTGGCATTGCCGAGCATGAGATCAAAAGGAAGCTGAAGCACAGCTCCGTTCGGATCCAATAGCTTGACACTATTCTGACTTGCCGAGTAGTGGGACGAGCGCGGATAGAGGGAACTCCTAGGAGCCTCGACGGCACCGTGACGGCGGAAGACCGACCTTAGCTCATCCTTCACTATGCCCTGGCAGAGAAGTTCGGTAGAAGTGGGATTCGAAGTAGACAGATCCCAGGCGTAATCCTTTGTTGGCTCCAATGGATTAGAGAACAAAACCGACAAGACCTTGGGATAGTATGGCGAACTGGTGTCACCGAGACTTGCGAGGGCTCTGCGTGTCGTTTCGTCCTCCATCTGGATAGGTAGCTTCCCACTCTGCAAGAGCTCCATGCTAGACGGCCTCTCCTTCACGTCATGCGTGACTAGAGACATCACTATGGTCCGATGAGCAGTATGACCTGGCTGGAAATCGTCCGGAAGTATGGATGATAGTCCCAACTTTCCAAGCTTGTCTGCTCTCTCCATGCCCACAATTGGGTGGTAACACATCTCGAAGAATATGATGCCAAGTGAGTACATCTACAGATAGGAAGTTAGATCATGCCAATGAGATTCAGACAGAAGAATGACTTACATCGACTTTCGAGGTATAGGACCCGCCGCCTTCTCTTCGCACCTCGGGGGCGACATAATAAGACGTGCCGACACTCCTTGTCAGATCAGGCGAGTCCATATTGGCGTTGTCAGGCTTATCGACCGCGAAATGACCAGTGGTTGCCAGTCCGAAATCGCCGATTTTGACATTGTTTAACCCATCAGGACCGACGCCGATGAAGACATTTTCCGGCTTCAGATCTCGATGTACGATGTTGAGACCGTGTATGTGAACTAAGCCCTCAAGTATCTGACGAAACAAGCGCCAGATCTCGTCGGTATCTCTTCGAAGGTTTCTTTGGATCAGATCGCGTAATGTCTGTGAAAGCGGATGGATGGTCAGTAAAGACGTAGAACTGTCATGGACATAGGTCAACGGGGATGTTAGGACTTACCCTTTTGTCGCAATATTCCATCGAGATGTACATGACAGTTCTGAAGAACCTCTGGGAACTGTGAATTCTCCTGGGCGAAGCAATGGAAGCCAAGGCATCATCTGCAGCTGAATCCTCGGCTTCGGAGTCAGTGTCGAAATCATCATCATCATCGTCATGTCCATTCTCGTACGCCTCGCCCTCGTTCTCGCTTTCCGAGTCGTCGTAGCCAAACTCTATGTTGGGATGGCCTGAAGAGATGAAGTCCAAGCCTCCGGTACTGGTGGCGAACTGTATATCAAGCTCTTGAAAAGCCGCGCCTTTCGAACCCCCGGTGTTGAAATATTCGGTTGCGGTATCGCCTTCAGCATCCGAATAATCAGGTATCTCCTCTAGCCAGGTGTTGTAGTATCGCACCACCGCTGGATGGCTTAGCTGAGATAGCAGTCTGACTTCCTTCAGAATCTCGGTCAGACTCGCTTGAGACGGTTGGATTATCTTCTTGATGGCGTATATCTGGCCGTCAAGCTTCTTTCTGGCTTTCACGACTTCGCCAAAGCCTCCCTTTCCCAATCTTCCCTCCTCAACAAAATCTTCCCGATACCTGGAGGATATTTGAGGACGACTGACGGAGTCGTGTCTTGGCCGAAGAGGGAAAGCTTGTGGAAGAGAATTCAGTGACTGAGAAGGAGACAACACCGTGAAGGAATCCTCAACGATGATCGGAGCATCAGTAGCGAGAAATTCACTGGAACCAAGCTCGGAAGCTCGAGGTCGTTTCTTAGGATCTGGTTTGAAGAATCTCGATACCAACTCGTGACAGGGGTCAGATAAGGATAGTGAATCCATAAGAGCTGTCGGGGACTGATATCTTTGGAAGACATCCAGGCCAAAGACCATTTGCAGAAAAACGACGCCAAGGTCCCAGACATCTGTCTTCTGTGTGAACTGAGGCCGCGAGTTCCCAGCGATCTCCGGAGGTAGCCAATAAGATGACCTCGCAGAGTTGACAGAGGAAATAGAGTGAGATTTGCGGCAGATCGCATGCATATCTCGTTGATATGCCACGTCCGAAAGCTTGGGAATGATATCACCTGTAGTTTCCCTGAAAAGAAGGATATTTCCAGGGTGGATGTCTTGGTGGATGATGCCGTGGCTGTGTAGATGACCTAATGCGTTGAGGAGATCTGCAGTCCACGAGCGTACCTTACTGACATCGAGATACCCTGCCATATCTAGCAGTTCCTCCAGTGGTCCCCTATCTGCGAGTGGTGTCAAAAGTCGCGCAACCCAGCCTAGCGAGGCCGACTCCTGGTCGCTATGATCGCGGTCGATGCGGTAGTTGATGAGCTCGAGGACGTTGCGGTGTGTGAACTTCTTCACTAATTCTAGCTGTTCTTCGAGAGCCTGCAACTGCTTCTTGAATTGACTTGACTCTTTCGAAGTGGAACGTAGCCGAAACTCCTTGAGAGCGAGACTTGGATAGGCCCCACCTCCAGAGACACTGGGCCAAACGCGATATGTCTTTGCGACCTGTCCCTCTCGGAACAGTGTCATTCCCGTGACGGTGTTGAAAAACAAAACATTGCCTGATGGATCCTTAATTTCACAAGCCTGGTCGAACGCGATCTTGCCCATCTCTAAGGCGCTGGAGGTGCCTGAGTAGCCGTTTCCCATCGGACCAGGCTTCAGTTTCCGCTTCTCCTGTTGGACCAGCCGCTTTCGCTCGACTTCCTGTTGTATGAGTATCTCCATGGCTCGGTCTTCCTCTTCCCGGAGGTCTTGCTTTTTGCGTTCCTCCTCCTGTTGCAGAACCTGAGCTTGTTTGGCCAATTGGGCCTCATGGGCTGCTCGCTCTTCTTCCAGGGAGGGCAGCTCGAGTCCTTGGGCTTTTGCTTGGGCAGCATCTTCCAGAATGTCCTGCAAACCTTGGGCGAGTTCATGAATCATGGGCTCTGGCTGTTCTTGGGCAGCAAGGGCTTTCGGTTTCGTCTCGATGAACTTCTGTAGCTTAAACACCGTAGATTCTTCCAACGAACCGTCTTCCTTGAGGCTGAGTAGGGGTGCGGATTTGGGGTACGTTGCTGTGAGCACAACACCCAAGGTGACGGCGGTGTCTTCATCTGAAAGGGCTTTGACACGAATGTCGAAGGATGGATCTGACCGCATCCAAGCAGAGTTGGCGGCCTCGTGTTCAACATAGTCCTCTCCGTAGATTGCCTGGAGGACCATGATCTCCTCGTTTTGTGCATCAACATATTGGGTTCTGGGACCTCCGCCAGGGCTGGTGGGAGTGAGCCCGGGGTAATTGGAGCCGGGATTCTGTGTGGTGACCTGCCGAGGCCCCTTTGAGGGTCCAAGAGCTTTCGACGCCATTTTGATGGTTTCAGTAATGACTGTGTCCAAGGGCAAGCAGCAGGAAGATGCAAGTGCTGCGTGTATGAGAGTGCCACATAAATGAGGATGCTGCGTGAATGAGGGTGCTGGGTCGATGAGGGTACAGTGTGGATGCGTGGAGGAGGGTGCTGCGTGGATGTTGTTGTGTGGATGAATGGTTACTGCGTGGATGCGTTGCTGCGTTGCTGCGTGGATGAGCGTGATGAGTGGATGAGCATGCAGCCTGGCAACAGATGGAGACTTGCACAGTCGCATTTGCAGCTGTGTGTCTGTTACTGAGACGATGCCATCGCCGGCGACAGGGGATATGAATATTGATGGGTGATAAATGTTGGTTAATGAATAATGAAAAGATACCTGCCTGGGCGTCACCGCCGCTCACATTTAGAGGTTTGAATTTCATTCCCAATTGCCATGAGGCGCGCTATCGTCTATTATCGCCGCTATCGCCGGATTTACCGCCATAGCCGCCATTGCCGTCATTGCCGCCGGCCCCTTGCTGGGGCTGATTGTGGCGTTCTCCTCGTTGGGACACCTGGGCCACATTTCTTTACCCCACTACAGGACAAGCTGGTGGGGAGTTCAGTGCATTGTCCGGTACATCGCATGTGCTCCTCAGGTACTTCCGTTGCTCGGCGCGCATGTCCACCTGCAGACATAAAGATTGAAAGTAAACATCTGACGCGCATCTTGGTCTCGACCTGTGGCACAACACTTGCTGCCTGACTTTGCATTTGTGCACCTCAACCGACTTGAATCCCCTTTCTTCACACGTGCATACACTTCGCTCTTCAATTGGTACTTCTTCTTGGTTGAGCACCATGCTCGGGTGGGCGTTGAAGAAGGGCTTCCAAGGCGCGACCGGGCAGCACGACGCGCTGGATGTTGGAGGTAAGCAATCAACAGCACGACCCTTTCATGTTGGCAACTGCTAACAATGGTGTAGAGGATACAACACACATCGATGTTCCAGACACGCCAGCACCCATATTCGCTGCACGCGCAATCAAGAATGCCATTTGGGGCCAACCTACTGCGACAACGGTACTAGAACCAACAGCTTCGACCAAGACAGAACGCGCTGAACCGACAACGGCCACCGCGACTGCCGAAGCTCCGAGCGAGAATAGATCACCAAACAAACCAAACAGCATCCTATTGACACCAGGCACTGGAACCTCCCGTCGAAAGCGCGTTTCGTTTGGTCATGATGTGAAGGCTGGCAATAATATTGACTTCAGCCCCCTGGCCGCAAACTCTGCTGGTACCGGCCGACATCGAAGGAGAACCACTCTACAACAAGCATTGGAAAACTCCCGCTCGGCCAAGCCCAAGCAGACTGCGAAGCCGAAAAGCGAGGCTACTGCGATTACAAGTCTGCCCGACGACGAGTCTGATGGCGATTGGGAAGACGATATTTGTAACCAGGACGTAACATTGGATATTAATGATCCCCATTCGGAGTCGGGGAAATACTGGAAGTCCGAGTTCAATCGATACCGCGACGAAGCGAAGTCAGGCATGGAGAAGCTAGTCACATTCAAAGCCAATGCTAAGTCCTACGCCGCGAAGAAAGATGCCGAGGCTAGCATGTTGAGCCAGAAGCTGGTGGAGGAGCAAGCAAAGGTAGTCAAGTTGGAGGAGAAGATCGCCGACATGAGTGCCCAAATCGCAGAGAAGAGACGACGCGGCACCGACAAGGACAATTCCGCCATGAAGAAAGACCTGGCCAAATCGACGGCTATGATCTCTGAGTACCGCGATCGCGTAAAGGAGCTGGAGGCCCTTCTGAAGAAAAGCCAGAGTGAGTCAAACTCGGCCAGGTCGCAACAGTCGCGCATCAACACCTCTCCACGGACTGAGCAGAACATCCTTGAGGTCAGCCGGGAACTCAGAAAGGCGCGATCAGAACTCCGACAGCTAGACCGATATCGCGATGAAGTCAAGCAGCTGAAGTCTGATCTGGCAGCATCACAGCGACGCGTGGCAAAGCTTGAGGAGGACAAGCTCTTGTCTCATGGTCCAGAATCGACACGGGTACAAAGATTGGAAAAACAGTTACGGGAGGTCAAGGAAGAGTCTCGGGAGAAGGACAGGGATCTGAGAAAGCTGCGAAAGGACTATGAGACTCTCAAAAACGACGCCAAGGCCCGAACGGTTGAAGCCATGCAGGTATTGCAAGCCAAAAACGACAAGATATCCGAGCTGGAGAAGATTATAAAGGCCCTGGGGGCAGCCAATGTTTCGAGCCATCATCCCAAGGACCTCGACACAGCCATTGCCGAGCACAACAGGATCACGCGTGATCTGAAGTCAGGCATTCAATCACTTACCACGGAGCCGAAAGAAGAGAAAGCCAGACCGATACAGCGTCCGAAGCGCTCGGCTTCAGTGGAGGATATTACCCTTGACATGACGCAGAGATCTCTACTCGGAGAGAAGCAACGAGCACCAGAAAGAACACCTATGGAGCCACTGTCTCGTCATAACACAGCCGACTGGGCAGTAAGCTTCGATTTCGAGGAACAATTGAAGAAGGACAGAAAAGAGCGCATCGAAGCTGAGAAGGGAGAGAAGGAACTTATCATGGTAGACCCTGATGTTGTACAGCCTCTTCCAACCTTTGGCACCAGAGCTCCAGTACCGTCCGCTGGCTCTCGGAGAGCCGTTTCGGATGTCCTCTCGAACCGCGTCAACGATTCGTCCCCGAAAGATTCAATGCGACGCGTTCGTGTGCCGACGAACAAGCGATCCTCGTCCAATAACCAGGGCAAGATCAGTGGTAGCGCTGCTGGCCTACGTGCTTCATCTCTCGCTATCGACAGAGCTGAAATGCATGGGGCTCTGGATAAGGCAGCATCACGGGCAAAGCCTCAGGCGGCTTCCAGTCGTCCACTGTCCTCCGGCAGTGAAGCTCCAGGTATCGACCTTGTACAAGATCAATTCGCACGACTTGGAGGCCCTGAGGCTGAGCGAACCAGCTCGGGAAACACTTCACGCTGCGCATTGCCTGCCGATCGCCAGGCTGCAGCTCGAGCACGCCTGCAACAGAAGAGGCTACGAAGACAGAAAGTCGGCGACCGTGAGCTTGATAAGGAGAACGTGATGATGTGAAATCCACAGCATCTTGCATGGACAGGATTCTCGGGCAGCATTGGCGAGCTGAGGTTACGATTGTATGCACGAATTGGTTTGCATTGTAGGGTTAGGATATACATGTGCGCAGTTGGTATCCAACATTGAACCTTGTTGAGCGTTCAGTTGGAGTTGTGGAGATATCTGCCAAGATAGTCTTGTTAAATTGACCATGTGTATTTCATCCCTAACCTTACCATTTTCACCTTCCGTTAGTGATCTTGACATTTCATCAATCAAACGAAATGCCACGATGAGTTCATCCGTATGCAAAACCTCTCAAGTGGAACTTGAAAATGAAGTCGCGGAACTCGAGGCCCGGCTCGCAAAGGCCAAACAACAATTGAAGTCCAGGACGGCGGCAACCGCCAGTGCTCACGATGAGAATGGACCATCATCTTACAAGCAACTACTAACACCACCAAGCCCACTCACGCAGACAGCGATAACAGACTCCTCACAACACTACCTCCTGCTACTCTCCGACTCGGCACTGCCCCTGGGCTCATTCGCCTTCAGCTCCGGTTTGGAATCGTACCTAGCGCACGCGCGCAATCACAACCACAACCACAACCGGACCTCACCAGCCCAACCATCAGCACCATCAGCATCAGCACCCTCTTTCTCGTCCTTCCTCCCACTCTCGCTCTCCTCCTACGCCAGCACGACGCTGCCCTTCGTGCTGGCCGCGCACCGCGACCCAGCCGCGCTCGCGGAGCTGGACGATTGTCTCGACGCAGCTGTTATCTGTACTGTTGGAAGGCGCGCGTCCGTCGCACAGGGCCGCGCTTTGCTGTCCATCTGGGAGAAGAGCTTTGTGAATAGCATGCCGAGTGCATCAAGTCCGGCTGTGGAGGAGGGGGCGCGGAAGGTGTTGGGGGGGTTTGGGGGGTTGTTGAGGCGGGCTGGTGGTTCTGGTTCTGGTTCTGGCTCATCTATGACGACTACGACCAAACCCTCTTCGGCTCCTCAGACATCCCCTGCGATCAAAGCAGGGGCAATCGAAAAACACGAGCCACACGAACAAGATGATGAAGAACAGACAGAAGAATTCCCAGACCCAGACCCAGCTCTCCCACCCCCCGCCTCCGCCCACCTCGCCCCCCTCTTCGGCGCCATCGCCAACATACTTGGGCTTAGCCTCCACCAGACGGCGTACGTGTTCATGCTGGCGCACGCCAAGGCGCTCGCGTCGGCCGCCGTGCGCGCGGGGGTGTTCGGGCCCTACCAGGCGCAGCGGCTGCTGGCGGGCTCTGAAGTACAGGGTTTGATAAGGGAGGTCGTCGAGCGCGAGTGGTTGACCAAAATCGAGGAGGCCGGGCAGAGCGTGCCGGTTATGGATCTCTGGGTTGGGCGGCATGAGTTGCTTTATTCGAGGATTTTTAATAGTTGATTTTGGGGGTGATGGGGGTGGGAGGTCATGGTGATGGTTGGTCATTGGATGATTTCGTGGAATATTATGTACTTTACGCATGAAGCTTAGAGCTACGCTTGGGATATGTACAAGTTCTGAGTATGATCATCTAATCTAGACGGCCAAGTACGGAGTCTGTCTCATTCATCATCCTCGCTGTCGCTACCGTATGCTACCAACGGTCCCGACGCCGCCTTGGCTTTCGGTCCTGTCAAGACCTTGGCTGTCTTCAGCGCTGCCAACGTGCTGCTTGAAAAGATGCCATTATCCTGTACCGCCTCTTGCTGTACCCCATTGCCTCCTGATGAGAACGCCATGTCATGCCCGCCAACGTCGCCATTCTCGATCATTAGTCTTTGCTCGTGCTCCAGCTCGTAGCCCGGCCGTCCTGACGGGTTCACAGACTGTGCTCCCCGCGCAAAGTATATATCGTCCGGCGCCTCATACCCCTCCAGGCCAAACCCGCTCTCGATCTTCCGCCGTTTCCTCGCCTCGGGATCCCGGCCTTCGATCTCGGCCACGAACTCCTCGGGCAACGCCCTTCGGATCGCCTCCGCTGCCTGCTCCTCGACCCGTCTCGACTCTCTTGCCTGCGCCATCGGATTGGGGTCTGCTGTGGCCCACCGCACGTTGAGGATCTCGTTGTGGTCGAGCGACTGGTGCGCCATGGCTTCCTTGGCAAATTGCGCGTTCGCCTCGTTTGTGTACGTGATGAAGGCCACCCCGCGGGTGTTGAGTACGCGCACGCGCTCGACTTGGCCCCATTCTGCGAAGTGGCGGGCTACGATCTCTTCTATGTCGTCCGTGACGTGTATTCTTCCGACATAGATTGTGCTGTAATGTCACGAGTCAGTTGTAACCCTACATAGAGGAACTGGGGGAAAAGGAGTCTTGGATCTTGACTTACCGGTTCTGTCGCATGAAGCTGCCAACACCACCCATGTCATCGCGGTAATCCGAATGCTTGTCGCGTCCAAAGCAGTCCACGTTCGGGTTGAAGAGGTCGTGGATGCCGGGCAGGCGGTGCAGGTACTCGCAGTCCTGGCCCTTGGGACAGATGCCGCGCGCGAAGAACAGACAGAAATACGAGCCCGTAACCTTGTCGGCGCGTGTAAAGCCGCTGTCCTTGGCGATGTTGCACCGGCCCTTCGCCGCGGTCTTGGACATGTACTTGTCCTCCCGATCGCCGCCCGACCACTTGTTGTACCATATGTTGAAGATGATGCCCGTCTGCGGCGGCGGTTCGGACGTGATGAATGAGGAGTCGACTTGCGGTCGCGCTGGCCGCTTCTTACGGATTATCTTCTTGACTTTCTTGGGCGCTGGCGTGGCCACCTCGGTAGATGGCGCCATAACGAGCGCTTGTTCGTCGGTCATGCCGGGGAGCACCGGCGATGCGACTCCCGGAGCTTGCGCTGTCGTGACTTCTGTTTCTTCGGACATTGTGGGCGGTGTGTGGGATGGATGTGTTGTGATGTTAGGCTGGAGAAGTCGAGACAAGGCTGAGAATCGCCCTGGATGATTTTGAAGGAGATCCACTTGGCGCTTTGGCCTACTTACTGCATATGCCCCATGAACTATGTCCCTACTAGATTATGCAACTAGACACATCACGAAGGCGCTACCCAGCTTCATCAACCTTACAGCGCCCATGTCTCCAATCAACTGCTACGAGTTGGCAGTTCTCATGGAGTAAGATCGGTTTGATGCGCTTACCTCGACCAAAACTTCGAACGAATTGAACAGAACTCTGCGATGTATCCGCATCGGACGATGGACTGACCCAATTATGGGGTCTTCCCCAGCTTTAACCCCAGTCGCACGACGGCCCGCCCGGGGATTACTGCTACCCCGCTGAAACGGCTATCGTACCTCGGCCTAAAAGACAACCACGCCCATGACGACCTCGCCTTAAAGCGCAGCTACCTTCATGTCTCTATGCTTTAGCTATAACTTGTGGTAGAATTCAACGGACTGTTCTTAGTTGAAGGTGTCACTTTCTCGACAGTTGATAAACCTCCCTTAATATCAACCAATTGGTAGCCATCATGTCTTCCAAGATCCCAGACCTTGTATGACGCCATGTATCATCTACACCCAGGCTGACCTCGAGCTCACGTTGTGTCAGGTCTCCAACCGCGTTAGCGACAAGGCAAAGAAGACCTTGGACATTGTCGCCGAGTTCGTCGAGGAAGAGTGCATACCGTGAGTGGCACCAGCGCTTGTGCGATGTGTGAATGTTTCTGACAACTACTCCTACCCACCAGAGCAGACCCAGTCTTCGAAGCCCAGATCGGCGAGGGCGCGTCACGATGGGACCACCATCCTTCTGTCATCGAGGAGCTGAAGTCCAAGGCGAAGAAGCTAGGACTATGGAATATGTTCTTGCCGAAAGGCCATTACAAGGAGTCGCCCGGCTACACCAACCTTGAATATGGACTGATGGCCGAGTGGCTGGGCAAATCAAGGACGGCATCGGAAGCGACGAACTGTGCCGCCCCGGATACTGGTAACATGGAAGTACTGGCCAAGTACGGGAACGAGGAACAGAAGGCGCAGTGGCTCAAGCCGTTGATGGACGGGGAGATCAGGTCCGCCTTTCTCATGACGGAGCCCGACGTCGCATCCTCGGACGCCAGGAACATCCAGCTGAACATGAAGAAGGAAGGGAACGAATACGTGCTGAACGGCTCGGTTAGTTGTCCCAATGCCGGCTCTTGAGTCATACTGACCGGACTAGAAATGGTGGTCAAGCGGTGCAGGTGACCCGAGGTGTAAGATTTACATCGTCATGGGCAAGTCAGACCCAAGCAACAAGGATCCATACAAGCAGCAATCTGTGATTCTGGTGCCGGCCAACACGAAGGGCATCACTATTAACCGGATGTTGAATGTATACGGATACGATGATGCTCCCCACGGACACGGCCACATCTCTTTCAACAACGTTCGAGTAGCGGCGAGCAACATGGTTCTGGGAGACGGCAAGGGATTCGAGATCATCCAAGGCCGACTTGGACCCGGCCGTATTCATCACGCCATGCGAAGTATCGGCGCGGCTGAACGGGCATTGGAGTGGATGCTGATGAGAATCAACGACCCGAAGAAGACCCCATTCGGCAAGCAGCTGAAGCAACATGGTGTGATCCTCGAGTGGGTTGCCAAATCCAGAATCGAGATCGATGCGGCACGCCTGGTCGTTCTCAACGCTGCGGTGAGAATGGACGACCTCGGTCCCAAAGCGACGTTGAAGGAGATCGCTGAAGCGAAGGTCCTCGTGCCTCAGATGGCCTTGACGGTCATCGACCGGGCCGTTCAAGCATTTGGCGGTGCCGGTGTCAGTCAGGATACACCGCTTGCGAACATGTGGGCACAAATCCGGACCCTAAGGCTGGCGGATGGGCCCGACGAGGTTCATCTGCAACAGATGGGCCGGAACGAGAACAGAAGGGGCCAGGAAGTCACGCAGAAGATTGAGGCGCAAAGGGAGAAGACGGAGCAGTTGCTGAAGCAGTACAGCGTCAAGCGTTTCCAGCCTGGGTCGAACATCAGATCCCAGCTCTAGCCCCAATATTGGGAACCCAATAGGTCCGGAGGGTGTACATTATGTTATCTTGGAAATCACATATCGCGAAGCGAGTTCCATTCCACCCCTTACCAACTTCAACCCGAGTTGTTGGCAAACCTACATTCAGCTCGCCTATTCGGGTGCCTCATTGTGTATGATTTCCCAATAACCACCCAGTCGCTTCGACCTGTGAGTTGGAAAATCTGCCTCACCTACCTATAGGTACCTACTGTCACTCGTTGCAATTGCCTCCTTTGTCAGACTTTCCCATAACCCGCCAGTGCTTCGGAGTCGTGACCGACCATCTGCATTAGTCTAGCTTATCCCTAGGTGGGTAGCTAATACTCTTCGCCAGAACTCGACAAAGAACCCACGATACACCAAGCAAGGTATCACAGGATGACTACCGCTATGCCTTTCCATCGTCATCATATGCTCTTGGCATTCTGCTACCTGGTGCTGGGCTAGGCTGGCAGGTGGAAACAGACGTGTTCGGGTAGGGAGGGCCAGAAAGGAAAAAAAAGAAAAAGACATTCCAGCCGCTAGAGGAATCGAACTGCTGTGCCTAAGAATATAGAATAATAATACTTCGCTATTCGCTAGGCCGTACCAACCCGGCTACCAGATTGACCTGCTAACTCGTATATATACCCTGTGCCGTTGGGGTGGTGAATAGGGGGCTGAACTATAAGGTATATAAGCTTTGCAGTGTGGCTTCTTGGAAAACTTTGCTGGAGTGAGTCTTCGCATGTGAGTAAGAATAAGGGCCCTGGCAAGAAGACGAAGAAGTTGGGGACAACCAATACACTAGAATCGCGACCTCTCACTCCAATCCTCCACTTCCTCCCCACACAGCAAGAAGCGTCAGCTTGGCTCCAACAACCACGACGGCGCAAGCAGCGGCGACGAGCAATTGCCTGCCTGATAGTGGCTTCCCCGGTACATTTTGGACCGGTAATCTTTGGGAGGGCAGCGTCGTGGATGCTTCCGCCTCGTGTGTGCCAAGGTAACGCCATTTTCGTAGCTGTCGGCCGTCGTGCAACCTGGAATCACGCCCCCCTTCAGCTCTCTCTCCGAGAGTCTGACCATCATCAACGAGCATCAAGCCCGCACATAGACAACACCGTCTTCTCCATCTCCACCCCATGATTGAGATCCCCAATGAAGCCAACCCAGCCTTCGTCCACCCCCGCAAATGCAACAGAGGTGTCCTGCTCTTCTCCCACTACCTGTCCATATTCGTCCAAGTCCCTATCGTCCCCCTCGTCAATGTCCTCCGGCGCAGTATAGTTCAAGTAGACCATCTGATCTCTCTCCATGCCTCGTAGATATACCGCCTTGGTGTAGGGGTACATCTCGGCCAATCCCTCTGTCGCCAGCTCACTCACGCCTGGGTTGAGCTTTGATCGCGATTGGTCATGGCCGAGACGCTCCAGTTGAGCCCGAAGCTGCCGAAGAGTTACGGGAAACGAGGGTAGAGGGCGAAGTTGGGAAGAGGAAGCCGATGATGAGGGTACCTCCATCTCGTACGTATTTGCGCAGCCGGGAGAGGATGTTGCTGTGTTTGCGTTCGGTAATGGCTGCGTCAGTCACGAGGATGGCTTGGTAGTGGCCTCGATCGATCTCGCTGCTGGCGGCGGTAGGCTCGAGGACTTCTTTGACGTTTGCTTGAGTCTGGAGTTTGCCGAGAAGCTCGCTGTACTGCTCGTGGAAGGATTCACACTTGAAGGAGATGATTAGGATGCCGGGGCAGCCAGCTTTTGGTTCGTCGTCCATGTCGTCCATGCTGGTCGATATGCTTGCGTGTGCGTTCAAGCGAGTAATAAGCTCTGTCGGTTTGCAGTACACGTTCTCTGAATCCATGGGCCGGAACCGCAAGATGTTTAGCCCTCCTTTACGTTTGAGCCATGCGATGAGCTGTGGGTAGCGGCAGAGTGCTTGCTGGTGGGAGGTCGTTTGACCAACGAACTGGAATGCGCACCAATACGCGCTGTGGACTCCGACAGGCCGATAAACTGCCATCAATCTAGCTTACCTTACCTACCAATGCTCGTGTCACATAGAGGCTGCCATCAATGAACAAGCATGCACATCTTGTGTCTGACCCAGCGGAGCGGAGCGGTGTAGCTTCGTGGCTTGATATACCTCTGTTGCCTCCGTTAGCCAGTCTGTTTTAAATTCAGTATCAGCGACTTCGCCGAAGTTTAATCCATCAGTCTCCGTCAGGATCACAAGGTTGACACTACCATCACTTTGATCAAAGTAATAATAGTTCATCTCCAGCTTCTTCGGCCCTGAGCACCTTGTCTCCCTCAACCAACCAGGCAGTATCGAGCTCAACGACGTCCAACTCAACGACCACATCTCGGTTCCCAACAACCTGCGGCTAGAATACGTATCGCCACGGAGTCCAACAGTCTTTCGAGTGCGACAAGTAATAAGGCTTTGTTTGGACTTTTATGTGGTGTCAAAAAAAAGGAGACAACACGACAAGGCAAATGGCGAACGTAGGGTAACATTCCCACCATTCCAGCCGAAACCGAAGCAAACCCGAGAGAGCAGAATAGGGGTCCAATAAAGAAAACTAATGCCCAAGCAAAAAAATGGTGCGGTGTGTGCGGATTGAACGCACGACCTTCAGATTATCTTAATGAAGTTGACTTCAGTCTGACGCTCTCCCAACTGAGCTAACCCCGCCATGTCGACACTCTCATGAAAATCTCGTCGTTGATTGGCAAAAATGGAATCGTAATCGAGTAAATATCCTGAATGTGGTGATTGTGAGTGGACCCAGCGTTGGCTGTTTATGTTTGGGTGGATGGGTTGTGGGCACTCTAACGAGGTGTGAAGTGGTGCGGGACACGGGTAGTAAAGCCGGGATGTTCTGGTTAGCAGAAGTGAAGATTTCTGCATCTAGGCCGTGACTCATCGTGTGACCCGGGGACCCGCCGTGCATGAACCGAGCTGCTAGAAATGATTCATGGTTGAATGGACAACGTCAAATGATTCGACCAGAAGTGCTTAATGAATGTTTGTTCGACGTGGCACATAGAGAATGCATCCACTGCCACCTGCCGCCGCACGGGAATCACTCAACAGGCATTGACGGGCGCTGCGGGGAGGGGTCGCGTAGCGGGAATGGCTGCCCGGCGCCGTGGTAGCTCGGTGGCTATCAAGCCTTGTAGGCCCTGTAGCTCTTGGCCCCACCCAGTCGTTCCTCCCGTTGCCCGGCAGCAACCGGCATTTGTTGACTCTGGCAGTCTCGGTGCAGCCTTTTTACTGTGTTTTCTGGCAGCACTGCGACCCCACCGACACCAACTGCGGGCCTCCAAGCACAAGCTCTTTTACTTGATAAAGAACTTGGACATCATCAATCTGGAAAGCTACAACGACACTTCTGCATCTCTCCGAGAATCACTTCGCGCAAACCACAATTACCACCACTCTGCTGCTGCCTTTGCATCGATCTCAGCTGACCGCATCTGCTCTCGCACTCGCCACCGCGCATCAACACAATATCACATTCCTCGCCGTCTACAAGAACACGCACTCCGCCGTACAAGACCAGTAATCCTGTCGCAATGGGTTCCACCAGCATCCTGTCCGACAAGGACGTCAACAGGTCCGCCGTCACCTACAACGCTGCGGACAACGCCATGAAGCCCGATGTCAAGAGCATGGATTACCACCGCCAGGTGCTGCAGTCCAAGATGGACGAAGAGAAGTACGGCGCCGCCGCTCCTGCCATTCCTGTCATCCCTACTGCTACCACCTGGTACACCACCGCCGCCATCCCTGCGATCGCTTCCCATTGTTCTCAACATCCGGTGCATACCCTTGCTGACCTCGATGACCGTAGGAAGCAGCAGTACATCTCGCCCTCAGACAACATCATGAGTCCCTGCTCCGCGAAGCTCAACGCGCTCAAAGGCCGACAGGCTGGCAAGTAAGTCTTCACCCCGGTGCCTCCCTCTCTCTCCACATCCCAACCACTCTACCAATGCATCCACCGAGATCTGGACTAACCAATGCTTCCGCAACAGGGCAAAGCCAAAGTCGCTCTTCGCGCAGGCCTCGGCCAAGAAGTTCGTCGACGGCGAGAACGTGCTCGGTGCCAAGAACGCTGTGGCCTCCTCGCCGACCAAGCCTGACAGCAACTAGACCGCGCCGCTCTGTTGTACCAATACTCTCCTTCCTTCTCCGACGGTCCTCGACACTTTGTTACTCCAGATAGTTCCAACACGGATAGATGATGGAAACGGCTTTTTATATGTACATATTGTACAGTGGGCGATGACGGATACTCAGCATTGGCGTTTCGGAAGGGAAAGGGGAACTTTCTCTTGGTAATCTGCAGAGATCCTGCGGGGGCTATCCAGACCTCCTCGTCTTGTTAGGATAGAGACAGGGGCTGAGGCTTTCATGACCCGATATGATGAATACACACATGATTCACGAGAGCAAAACATATACATTGGGCCTTTTCTCCTTGCTTCCTGTGCGTAGTCTCGTTGCAATTGTGTATCTGATAGACGTAGTCTGTGCTACGCCTTGTACCCACTGACTATGTAGACCACATCCTCATCAGCAACCAGATGGCTCAACCCCACGCGCTGCGGCACATGCCTCGCGCTCGCGCCCCACACAAGGGCGTACTTGTACGTGTCCTTCAGCGTGCGGTGGATGCGGTCGCAGACGTCCTCGACGGTGCTGTTGCTGCGCACGATGAGGGCCTCGGAGAAGTCCGGGTCGGAGCCCTTGCGCTTGGTGTAGACGCGGATGAGGCGCAGCTCGGCCCAGCAGCGGTCGACGACGTCGCGGATGCCGAGGTCGAGCTCGCAGCTCATGACGACAGTCTGCGGCTCGCGCGCCAGCCTGTCGAGGAAGTCGAGTGACACGCTGTCGATCTTGTTGTACACGTACAGGCACTTGATGTACTTGCGGTGGTCGCGCATGATGACGTCTATCAGGTCGTCCACCGTCGCCTCGTCGTCGCGCACTAGGACTTCGCAGTTTAGGAGCTTGTAGTCCCGCAGGATGTTAAACACCATCTTCTCGTCGAGCCGCTTCGGCGGCGCCGAGAAGGTTATCTTTACGCCGCCGGCTTTCTTGGCTTTCAGGTAGATGTTCCTGTTGGTCAGATACCTTAGCATGGCCCTTCACCGAAGGGATGGCAACGATTGGGAGTGTGGGTGGGTAGGTAGGTCTTACGGTGGTTCCCGATTCAACCGTATACCAACAGCCTCCAGCTCGGCCTCCAGCAGCGCGCGCTGCTCCGCCCGCTTCGTCGCATCCAGGACCATGAGGATGAGATCGCTCGTCTTGGCCGCCGAGATGACCTGCCGACCTCTACCCTTGCCCTCCGCGGCGCCCTCGATGATACCGGGCAGATCCAGCAGCTGGATCTCGGCGCCGCCATACTCGAGCACACCCGGAATTGCCGTCAGCGTCGTGAAGGAGTATGATGCTACCTCGGATCGCGTCTTGGTGACTTTCGAGAGGAACGTCGACTTGCCCACCGACGGGAAGCCCACTAGTGCTATGCGCGCGTCGCCGCTCTTGCTCACGTCGAAGCCGGCGCCGCCTCCGCTGCCGGCTCCCGGGGCGGGCTCGAGAAGCTGTGCTCGGAGTCGCGCGAGTTTGCTGTCAAGTATTCTTAGTGGTTCATCCTCGGAAATGGGTTATGATGCCAAGACGGGTTCCTGCATACCCCTTGAGAAGACCAAGATGATATTCTGGACCCCGTGTCAATATGCTGCCTCCTTACAAGTCCCTTAGAATGCGCTTGCTTGGTCCGTCTTACCAGTCGCCTTGTTCTCTGGAGGCCGAGTACCATGTTAGCACAAGCTCCAAAATCTGAAAGGTCCTTCAGCGGCTTCTTTCACAAATCGTTTCGTAAATAGCATCCTTTCGGCCAAGACATCAACCCTGCTGTCTCAGAGACAAAACGTTATCTGCAAAGCGATCCTTGAAAGGCGCCATGGAAAGACCTGTCAGATCATGGATCCCGAGTGCTTACTCTGCGTCCTCCGCATCTCATCCTCGATCCTGACATATGCTTAGCAATGGCGCCCCGGTATTTTGTATTTCACCGGCAGAGTACGGCACTCACTCCTTGATCTTTTCCGTAATGTTCACCATCCTGGCGATTTTTCCTTCGCGGAGTGTTTATCGCCAGTTGTTGGATCTATGAAGCAGTCGCTCTCACTTTGTGAGAAACGAGGAATAGTGCTATGGGCAGTGAGCCCGGTCCTTGGTTGGGAGAAATGATGTTCGCGATTCCTGGCCCCGCCTTGCCGCTGGACATTTGATCTTCGCCGGCAGAATCGCGACGTGGGGTGGTGGGGCACAGACCAGTGCGCTTCACCGACTTCCCCTCTCGGCCTCCGCTCTTCGCCATCCATATTCCCTCACGTCAGCACATCTTCATTCTCGCCTTTTTTCCCCCCTCTTGTTGATGGTGCAGTCGGTAGCCCTGCATAATTCCTAGAGTCCGCAGCAATTATAATTGCCTGAGGGCTTCCCTGTTGCCGATTGTATGAGTCCTAAAACTAGTTGCTCCTCGTCTTGGGGCGCCAACTCTACTCGCCGAGCATCGTCACCATCCTGAGTCAACATTCGAGACTCCAAGAAAACAGCAGCAAACGATGCGATCTGTGAGCTCTTCATCCATAGGGGTTCCTTTCTAGGGCCATATAAAGTGCAGTTCTTACTGCGCTACAACTCGCGTATATTCGTGCATACCGCGATATCAATTTGGTGGCGGCGCACTCGAATGCCAGAGCATTTCGGCAAAGGCGGTACCCATCGTGATTGAGGGTATTCTGGACCTGTCCGACACCACTCCAGCATTGATGGTTGCAGTGAATTGTATGGAACACAGTTGAGAGCTTGTTGGTTCAAATCTCAATATCCCATTCGATCATGGTTGACATTCTAGATATGTCTGTCATTGGCCATGTCATCACCTTCTCACTCAAGAAACGGTCGAGGTATACGCGGTAATGCGCTGAATGCGACCACTCTCGCATGGCGTATCCGCCGGAGTACACAGTCATTACCAACAAACGAGGACATATTCCATCTTTTTAACAGACGATCAGCCAGAACTCAGGCGGTTCCACGGCGTATTCGGTACCGACCTGAGCTTCTGTGGTCATCCCACAGTTCATCACACCGTTCTGGAGTGTCCCCGGCAGTTCTCGCTCGCGACGGTGCATAGGTATCTCTTGTCCAGCTTCATGAGTCCCCTAGTACTCCATTTTAGAATAACCAGAAGCTGGTAGAATGGATGTGTCCGGATTGCCATCCGGTGCCCTTTGATAGTGGAACCCTACGCAGAGGTGATAATTGTTCGAGACTTCCACTTTGCCGTCAACCCGGAGATGGCTGCCCCAGAGGTTGGGAAACTTCCAGCTAATCCAGCCGGTCATTGGGTGTAATAGAGTATTGGTTCCCAGACGACGCGTCCCCGGGAACTCCCTGCCACCTGAACGTTAAAGTGACCTTCAAGTACTTCCCACGAACAGATCTGCCGAAGCTTGCCCTGCTGCCCTGGTAGCACCAAACTTCAACGGTCATCTGGCCTCTGTGCGCATCCACCCTGAGTTCACCGGCTGGTGCTAGATCGTCATGACGTTGAGAAACGGCCAACTGAGTCATCGCATATGCAAGGACTAAGCCGGCACCTCTGACGAGCGTTTGGGACGAGAGAACCCCGACTATGGATACCTTGACAAAACGAACATCATCATTCGACGAGCGATCCCAGCAAGGCAACTCGGACTGACCGTCGCTCGCCATAGACATTGCTGCAGGATGCGGGGATGCGGGATCTCAATGACAGATCTAGCGAAGCGTACTACAACATCTCGCCGGCGCTTGAGCACTATATGAAATGAAGAGCGTCATTGTCGAGTATTCCTTCGCTCTTGCCGGATGTCTCACCAGACTACCTTAGTGTTGTAAGCTTCAACGCCGGTACGCGGGGTGCATACCCCGTGCTTGCAAGTTTGACCCATGGTTGGTGGCTAAGCGCGAACCTTATGACGGCGACCCAGAACGATCCCCAAGCAAGGGTCTTCAGGTACCTGGTACTATCCAGTAGGATGTGAACAAGCCTGGTGTGAAGGGACCTCTGAGGCATTGGTCATCTGGACGCCTTCCCGTCCTTAAAGACTACCTTCTGCCACTGAGCGACGTGTCTCGTTGTCAGGCCCAATACTTATTATTTTCCTCTGACAGTTATTACGAGACACACAAGTTGCAATGGGCCGCGGACCGTACTTCGGGTTGAGGGGCGGCTGGCTCACCTTCTGGGTGACCGTTGCCTGCGCCACGGACATGACACTGTTCGGGTAAGTGACCAGACCTCGAAATGCCCCCAGCAACTCCGCTCACCAGTGCTCACTGTAGCTACGACCAGGGAGTATTTGGCGGCGTCATTGTCACCCCAGATTTCCTCAATCTCATGGGAATCGCGGACAGTCCGAAGTTGCAAAGTACCGTGACGGCTATCTATGACATTGGTTGTTTCTTCGGAGCTATCTCTACTATCTGGATCGGCGAAAGGCTGGGCAGGAAGAACACGATTCTTACAGGGACGACCATCATGAGCATCGGCGCTGTTCTGCAAGTCGCGGCCTTCGGTCTACCTCAGATGTTCGTTGGCCGCATCATCGCTGGCATCGGGAATGGCATAAACACTTCAACCGCTCCGGCAAGTTGACCTCGCATGCCTCATCTGTCATCTCTTGGGAGGGAATTCCTCTCTTGGAACCATTGGAGGATTCTCTACTCCCAAGCCATGCATCTCGACCCAATACTCCTCGCCAAACTGTCCAAAATGAGTACTTACTGACTTCTGACTTCTGCAGGTTTGGCAGGGTGAGACTTCCCAAGCTAGTTGGCGAGGAAAGCTTGTTGTCATTGAGATGATCATGAATATTGCAGGTTTCTCATTGAGTAAGCTATACCAGCCGCCTTCCACTTAGACACACGACCCACGAACTCACCCGCGACAGGCAACTGGGTCACGTTTGGGATGTCTTACGTCCCGGGCTCTGTGGCCTGGCGATTCCCTCTCGCCCTACAATTCCTTTTCATCTTCATCTTGTTCGCGACTGTCCCTTGGCTCCCCGAAAGTCCACGCTGGCTTATCGCCGAGGGAAGGGTCCAGGAGGCCGACGTGATCTTAGCCGATCTCGAAAACAAGAACGTCGAAGACCCCTACATTGTCACGGAGTCCAAGGAGATCCAGTGGGCCGTGAATTACGAGCGGGAGAACACCGTTCCATGGTCCATGCTCTTGCGCGGCAAGGCTGGCCCGAACGGTGGTACTTGCACCATTCGGCGACTGCTGCTCGGAATGGGAACGCAAGCGATGCAGCAGTTTTCCGGCATCAACGTGACGTCTTACTACCTGCCTTACGTTTTGATACGATCGGTTGGCCTTGACGAGAAGCTCGCGCGCCTACTGGCGGCTTGCAATTCTGTCAGTTATCTGCTGTTCAGTCTGATTGGTATACCGAACGTAGAACGATGGGGTCGGAGAAAGATGATGATGTGTGAGCAATGCTGGTCTCGCTCACCGATTGACAGGCTAACCCATACAGATGCCGCCTTTGGACAGTTCTTTTGCTACATGATCATTACTATCTGCATTCGCTATAATGAAGACCCTTCGATCGGGCAGGGGGCGAATAGGCAATGGGCCACGGCTTCCATCGCATTCTTCTTCCTGTACTACGTCTTCTTTGGAATTGGCTGGCAGGGGGTGCCTTGGCTTTACCCAACTGAGATAAACTCGCTGAGCATGCGAACCAAGGGCGCCGCCCTTGGCACGGCGACCAACTGGATTGTCAACTTCCTCGTCGTCGAGATCACGCCAATCGGTATCGCCTCCATCGGCTGGCGCTTCTACATCATCTGGACCGTCTTCAACTTCTCATTTATCCCCATCGTCTATTTCTTTGTACGTATAGAACCATTCATTGATAAGAACCAAACCCTTGTTTTCTCACATGCACTCTCCTGTTTCCGTTCGTTCCTCTCCTGGAGACAGGCCCCCCCACCCAGGGATTCGAATATGATAAACTAACATGCCGAAAAACAGTACCCCGAGACTGCCGATCGCACTCTGGAGGACATCGACCACTTTTTCCAGGAGAACCAGAAGATCCTGATCCATCGTGATCGCGACGCCAAGTCCTCCAAGCGACCAGCGCGCTACGTTGAGCGCGAGCGTGAGGAGGTCAGGCGCAGTAGTTCGGTCGTGCCGGCTGATGTGCAGCATATGGTCAACATGCGTAGTGTGGCTGCGCGCGCGAATGCGGGGGCTGGGGATGAAGAGAAGGGGCTTGCGACCCATGTGGAGAGGTAGGGGGCAATAGGGGTTACTTGGTTGCGACTTTGAATAGGTTTGAGTATAATTTACACGACATATACTATCTTTAATTGTGGACTTACAGCCTCCATGAACCCAATCAGAGTCACTGGGAAGCGCCTATCTACCACAATGCCGAAGAATCGCGGATGACATTGAAAATGGAAACGCTTGGTAACTATAGAGACGTCACATCCCTACCACCCCTAATCTTCGCAGCTATCACCGTCGACTAACGAATCTATCACTCGATACCTCGTCCGCATAATTCCTAAGTAGTCGTGGACGTCAACGGGCTCCTCGTAGCCAACGAGCTCAAACAGGCGGTCCAAGCCGCTTCTCTCGCCAAAGCTAAACCCGTAATGGGAACGGGCACCGGCATCGATCAGAAGATCACACACCGTGCCCATGCTCTCAAGCGGTTCTCTGACTCCCGCCATCAGTAGGAACTCCCCATCAACCACGGGCCTCCTCGCACGGTCCTCCTCCAGCCTCTGGAAGATACTGTTCGTGAGCTGCAGAAAGCGATCAAAAGGTAGCCTACCTAGGTGATCGGGAATATTTATATGTGCACCCGCGCCGTGTGCTAGGAGGACCTCAGTCGTCGCGCAGACGCGGTCGCAGAACGCCTTCACCAACCGTAGCCAGACGGGTACCATGTGCTCATCGAGTTGTTCCGCGCATACGCACCCGGTGAGCTGTCCGCGGGGGCTGAACTGTATCTCCCGGATGAACGTGTACTCCGGGACGCCGAGGTCTTCTTCGTGGAAACACCACGCTGTGCGCTTGTCTAGGTGGTGCTTCCAGGGACACCGCCCGATGCCGTCGATGGCCTGGTCCATGACGAGCGACAGAGGCGTCGGGGCCTTCCACCGGATCACCTGGCCGGAGGCAAGGGCCTGGGCCTTGACGGCGTGCGCGCCTCCTACGTGTGCGCCTAACCGCAAGAGTGTCTTCGCGGCCTTGACGTTGAGGTGTGAGCACGCGTAGTCTAGAGCCGTGCGGCAGGTGATTTTCTCCTGGACGGCTTCGGGGATTTGAGCTCCCCAGCGCAGACCGCCGTCTACAGCGTTGACCTCGATCCGGAACTCGGTGATGAGTGTCTCGAGGAGGGCTGTGGAAGTGTTCGGGTGGTTGCAATGGTGATGGAGCATACTATACGTCGAACTCGCCATATGCGTGTACGCATCTTCGCGTGAGAGCGTCCGTGCCGTGGAGGCGCTGTTGACCGAGTCGAGGCTTAGATAGGATACATCGCCAAGCTGCTCCGCGAGCCCGTCCATCCGAAACGCCGCAGCCAGGGCTCGCGCGAAGTCCAGATTGTTCCGTCGCAGAGCACCATCCAAGAGTTCGCCGAGCAGGATCCGGACGACGGCCTTGGTCGGTCTCGGGAACTTCCTGTGCCGGTGCCGCACGCACTCGATGCTCCCGACGTAGGCGCACTGCTTGATGAGCTTGCCGAGCTGGTGGGTGAAGAGCTCGGCGCTGGAGGCCTGCAGGGCGGCGAAGTCGATGATGCGCAGGCAGTCGTCGAACAGAGCCAGGTGGTCGTACTCGAGCGCGTGCACGAGGGCGCAGCTGCCGTCTTCCTCTTCTATGGCGAGGACGTCGCCCCAGATGATCTTGTCGTGCTGGCTGAGGTTGTTACGCAGCAGGCCTGGGAAGATCATGGCGTCGAGGGTGCGGTTGGCCAGGGAGAGCTGTAGACGGCTCTTCTCTGCATGTAGCAGGAGACCAGGTGCAGTATATCGTAGGTAAGTTTCATCTCCATGTTATTTGATATCTTGTATGTGAATTGCGGGTTGTGGTGTTTTGATTAGGGAGTAGGCTCCTTGACTCACGGGCACCCGAGTTAATCAGAGATCATGATATAGAAGGAAGTCTTTCATGTAACGACAAAGCCCAATTGTCATAGGCACTTTAAGATGGATTCTTCAGTTCATGTCGGCGGATATGCTTTGTGAATGCATCTGCGTGTCGAGACAAAGACTTGATTGTTCAGTGACGGACTGCCCGAAGCGATGGACAAGTAGAACCGTCTCGAGGGCTTTCGTGTCATCATTATGGTGAATCAAGGAGGATGGAGGTAATGGAGGCCGAAGAGTTAACCGCAAAAATCCCATTGTCAGTCCATATATGCATCGCGATCTTAGGATTGCTTCTGTCGTCCTAGGAGTTGATCAAGTCCGCGTGAAGCGAGTGGGCGAGTCACCGTGCCTGCCACAGTTATTCACAACATACAGGAGTGGATTCGGCATGATGTATCGTGTACCGGTGTACAGTGTACAGTGCGCATAATGAGGATCTGGGAGTATCGCGGCATATGATTCACATGTAGATTCATACCTGTTGCAGAGGCAGGTGCTTACGGTACCTGCATGGAATTCATAATATTGAAAGCCCCACAGAACCCTTGCTCTCCTCTCCTCTTCTCTCCTTGCATGAACTCTTGACAAGGACCAAACACAAGCAAACAGACAACACACCTCGCGAGGTTATACAAGCGCGAATCTGGTACCTACCTTGAGAGCATCAGGTCCCCATTCAGGTGACTGGGCACTCATAGCCTCTCGAGAACCTCTGCCGATATGACGGGCTCCGTGCAGATATACAAATTGGGCATCGCCTCTCTCTTCAAAGGGCTTTCCGACGACGAGAAGAGATATGCACATCAAATAGCTAGGTATTCACCATAGCCGCTGCCGATCGCATATTGTGGCTTACATCAGTTTTAAGGGCAGCTTGGTACGGCTCGAGGATCATCATGCGGCAAGTCTCTCCGGAAGCTGAGGCCATTTTCGACTTCATAATGGAGCTCCACCGATCCTGCGCGGGGAACTGGCAGAGCATGGCCGGTTACGATGGAGTTACCGAGCGAGACGTCCGCGCCTTCGCAGAGTACGCTGCTACCTTCCTGTCGAACGTTGGGAACTACTATGTCAGTCATTTTCCAAGCCATGTTGAGCACCCACTGATGCGTCATAGGGATCGGGGGACCAGAAATTCGTACCCAGAATTAGCTACGGATCATTGCGGGTGCTTTCCAACCGAACGAGAAAGCTGCAGATCCTGTGGCAGACGCTGAAGGACAGCATCCTGGCAACACAGCCCTCGAGACACGGGTATCCCAGCCATGACGCCCAGAGCGCTTACTACCTCGGAAAAGACATCACCAAAGACGAAATCGCTCTTGTGTCCAGACACATGGACGCCCATACGATCATGCCAGAGAATACGCGGATCCGAAAAACAGGGGATATATCCTTCGAAGTCTTGCAGGCCTCGGATCCCGCCATGGTGATTGACATGCCATTGCCCCTTGAGGGCTCGCCGCTGGACGTGAAGCTCCTGGGTGGTGATCATGCCAGAGACTTAGCATAAGTCTGTCTAAACATTGGACTCTCTTCGCGGTACGCCGCGAACCACACCCAGAGCTACGTCGTCGGCAAGTACTTGGAGAGCTTCAGACTCGGAAGCCTAGAGAAATACCGGGACTCGCAAAGATTATGGGTTACCGACAAGGCACCGAAGGTTGAGAGCGTCTTCGGGTTCGTGGAGCCTTACCGAGACCCGGCAGGCATACGTGCAGAGTTTGAGGGACTGGTCGGCATCGCAGATGCTGAGGAGACCAAACTGTTGTCGAACTTAGTCCGACATTCCGACAAGTTCATTCGCCGGCTACCCTGGGCTTCGGCTGAGAACAATGGAAAAGGGGCCTTTGAGAAGTCGCTCTTCGACCCTCCTGATTTTGCAAGCATCCATGGTCTGTCTCCCATCGATATTGACCCGCACGACCGCCCAGAAGCTGACGTTTATAGCTCTTGCCTACTGCTCGAGCATAGTATTTCCTGGCATCAATCTCCCTAACGTGAGTGTGGGCATCTGATCGCAGATCACACTTTTTAATTGTGGTTAGTACAACGATATTCGTCATAATGTGGGATTCAAGAACGTCATCATTGCCAATCGAATGGCGGCCGAAAGCACAGCGATTCAGTGGCCATTCATTCCAGATTCTGAAGCGGAAGCGTTCAAGAAGAACATGTATCCCGCATACTACTGGTGGGTCGTGCTCCACGAACTATTGGGTCATAGAACTGGTAAGTTTATGGTGGAGGAGCAGCCTGGCAAATTCAACTTCGACATCAAGCATCCCCCTACGGACCCCTTGACCGGAAGACCCATAAAGTCCTGGTATCGGCCTGGGCAGACGTGGACTGGCATCTTTGGCGATCTCGCAACTACAGTCGACGAATGCCGAGCCGAGCTGGTTGGGGCTTATCTCATGGACGACACCGAGCTGTTGGCTCTCCTCGGATTCACGAGCAAGACAGATATCAAAGCTAGCGACCGTGAGGTATCCCGCAATGCACTCGAGAGTCAAGGAGCTGACGCATGACAAGTGACGTACAATCTCTACCAACACCTTGGGGTCGATGGCCTTCGCGGCCTCGCGAACGTCAGCGCAGATGGAAAGGTAAGTATGTGGTTACTCGTACAGGATCCCGCGCTAACTTGTGTAGAATTGGGGACAGGCACATAGCCGTGTAAGAAATCACATTTCCTGAGTTGATCCTCTAGACTCACAAGCTCACTATGAGGAACTAGGCACATTACGCGATACTCCGATGCCTCCTTCGAGACGGCCATGGATGCATCCGAATACAGCACGACGAGCAGAGAAACTCGCTAAAGGTACACGTCGACCGCTCGAAGATCCTGACGCATGGAAAGAAGGCCCTGGGTAACATGCTGCTGCGGCTGCATGTGTATCGCTGCACTGCCGACGTCCAGGCTTGCCGAGAGTACTACGAGGATCTCACCAAGGTAGATAACGAGGCCCTGAGGTGGAGAAAGACGGTGGACGCTGAGAAGCCGCCACCCATGTTGAATGTGCAGGCCAACACGTTCTTGCGAAATGGAGAAGTGGCTATGAAGGAGTACGAGCCTACCGTGGAGGGCATCATCCAGAGCTGGTATGATCGTGAAGTCTGATGAGGAAGACTCGGGGGCTTCTTTGCTTATGGTTATGTGGCGTGTGAAGAGAAAATAGATGCTCACTAGATTTACTGGCAGTTCGCAATCATGAGTGATTTGTCCTTTTACTTTGTGTTCCATCAGGTATGTAAAAAGCCAAGATGTGACCTTCGACACGATCAGCGTGTGATTGAGGGAGGGTTAGGGTTAGGGTGATACGTGACTCTTCCCTGATTCTTACGGGGCATGACTTATCGATCAAGCATTCAGACGTCATGTTCTGGGTGCAACATCTGGCTCAGATTAGGCGCCAGTGCAACACAACATCTAGTAACCCAAACCTGAGCGGAACGGAACAGATAACCGCTCGCTTGCCTGCATGTCATTCTTGCGACCATCCCAAAACCCGACCACCCGTCTTACGATCCCAAATGGTCCTCAGATACCGAAGACTGTCGACCTTCATGGACGTGGTTCACTGCAGGCCTGGAGAACCGGTAATTCTCGACAATGCGCACAGATCTTGGACGTCAATGATACCATGGATGAGTGTGCCAACGAGCCCTTGCGAGACGAAAGCGCCCGCTATTAGTCCCAAGGTTTCCCAAACGTCGCGGTCCCTTATGGGCTCAGGCGTTTGAAAGATTCCGCGAAGATTATCAGACCGTCCAGGAGTCATTCACTTGACGACCTCCTTGCCCACGTGAATATCCTCCAAAACGCGCCATCTCGGCATCGACAGATTCTGGCCTCTTTGAACAGACTTGCCCCAAAGTTCAAATGTATCGACGACCTTTCTGCCATCATCGATCAAGCTTTCGGCGCAGATGCAACCTTGACAGCGGTAGTATGGGGAAGCATTCGCTTGATTCTCACTCTGGCGTCGTCCGCCGGAGATACTCTTCAGGATGTTCTGGGTATATTCGGGGAATTGAGTCTTACTTTGCCGAGATTTCGCGTCTATGAGAACACACTACCGATGGACCATCAACTCGAAAGTGCCTTGGTGGATGTTTATACCGAGGTCATTTGTTTCTATGCTAGGGCCATATACTTCTTTCGCTCACGTTCTATTGCGGCGAAATGCTGGGAGAAGTTCCGTATGGATTTTGCGAGAACCGCTATGCGAATCATGTCAAATGGCACGCAAGCCACAGTGGCGTTCAGGGAAGTGGCAGTGCACCAACAGGGCCTCTAGAGCAATTTCGGGCCCTGCAGCTTACGACAGCAGATCCTTCAGAAACACACACTCTAATGAGAATCACCAGAATACACGTTATCAACCAGATGAACCATAATACACGCTGTTCAACAAATCAAGCGGATCTCCTCGGCTGTAGAGAATGAGGCCGACCTCGCGCGTGTGAGCTGGATGGGAACACGTATAAGGAGGTACTTGAGCTCATAAACAACCTCAGCACAAAATGGAGTGAAGATAAACACAGGACCATATATATGCATATCCCCCTTCTACAAAACAATAGATTCTCAGGTCGCTCGGAGACGCTCGCCATGATTCAGAACACCCTCGTTCCGACTCAGACGCCCTCTACGTCCACATCGATGGCGCTATTTGGGATGGGTGGCGTTGGCAAGACCCAGCTAGCACTATACTATGCCCACCACAGCTCGAATAGGTTCGGCATCATTCTATGGATTGCAGCAGACAATGCCATCACAATCGGCCAGAATTCCAGAGAGGGTAGCCCAAGGCCTGCATCTGTGTCAGACCCCTGAAGAGGTTCAGGACCCAGCAGCGGCTACTTATAAGGTGAAAAGCTGGTTGAGCTCTACGAGTAAGAGGCTTCGAGTGTACACATGTACCAAGTAAAAGCTGATTCCCGCTTAGCAAGCCCATGGCTGATCGTTTCCGACAACGCAGAAGACCTGCAGGCGCTTAAAGTTGCGTGGCCAGGAGGCTCACATGGTTCCATACTCCTTATAACGAGGGACTTCGATGTCGCACGGAACCCTGCAGCCGAGTGTCTACGGGTTGACCCCTTCGATAGTGCAGAGGGCTCCGTTATACTATTGAGGCAAATCGGCCTCGATCTCGCTGTTACGGCCAATAGCCAGCATGCAATCGCAATTACCGAATCCCTAGGCGGCCTGCCGCTCCTTTGAGTCAGATCGGTGGCTTCGAAGCACAGAGGAGACTAACCCTGAAGGACTTTCTCCCCCTTTATGAACGCAACGCGACCAAGATTTATGCTCCGAAGACCACCCAAGATGACTATGAGCATACACTAAGTACGGTAGGGAATGTATCACTCGATAGGATACCCGAAGAATCCACGAAGCTACTCAATATGATGATCTTCTTCGATCCCGATTCGGTCGACGAAGAGATCCTCTTAGAGGGCTCAAGGACGGATCTCGGAATTGATCCCAATTTCGAGTTTCTTTTGGACGAGATGGGGTAAGGATTTCTTCTCTTTCCTGATAAGTTGAGGAGATACCAATTTCCGACAGTTTCGGTGACGCAGAACAACCCCTTTTACAGGCTGCACTAATTAACAAGACCATTGAACAGCCGATACTCTCTGTGCATAGGCTCATTCAGTCTGCAGCCATTCGCAGATTGCCTGAGTCGGACCGGCCAAAGTTTTTCGACACTGCTGTTCAACTGCTGTCATGGGGCTTACCCTACACGTGGAGCAAGGATGTCGGCCACCAGATTAACGCCTGGAAGAAATGCGAGAAGTGTTTGCCTCATATAGACCATCTTTCAAGGCTTTTCAAGCGGCATTCCGTCCGATCTCCGAACTTGCAGCAGTATGCCGAGCTACTGCTTCGGTGCAGCTGGTAGGTCATCCCATATCCATACAGCACCGGTAATCTAACAAAGACAGGTATTTATACGAGCACGAAACGTATGACATCGCGAGAGGACTCCTAGATTCCGCGGTGAACACTTTTGAGGATACGTCGACCTTGGCTTATGCCAGTGCTATCGATCTTGCTGGCTTGATCGATCTAGACTTATGCCATCCCGAACGCGCATTAATGCCGTTCCAGAAAGCACTCGAGATACGCAGGAGTCAGCTCGGACCAGACGACCCATTCATCGCTTTCAGTTTGAACAACCCGGTACTTGCATATACTGAATTGAACAGCCTAGGCGAAGCATACTCGATACATCAGCAGGCAATTGATATCCGTCTTCACGCGAAAAGCGACCGGATCGGAAACTCATACAGCAACATGGCTAGCTTGCTTCTGCGGATGAGGAAGCCAGATGAAGCTGAAGAGATGCTTGGAAGGTGTCCTTTTCTGAAGGATTTTACGGACGAGACGTTCCTGAACACAGGCAACCCACGCTTCTCCGGCGACATGGTGCTCTTGTCTCGCATCCAACTCCAACAAGGTCGCGCTGATGATGCAATGCGGCTGGCTTCAAAGGCGCTTGCGTTTCGCCAGAAGGTCCTCGGAAAACGGCTGAGAACACACGACTCGCTGTATGATGTGGCATGCATCTTGCATTGACAGGACCAATCTGCATCGGCTATGTGAGTTGCGATACATACATCCTCGAGGGCACCATGTGCGCTATTGCTAATACTTCTAAAGTGAGCTGCTCAAACAGCTCGTGGACATTGCTGAAAGTTTGAATGAAGGCGAGGGACATCTCGCCAGTGCTTTACAAGCTTTCTGGCCTACATGGCGAGAAGGGGTCGGCATCGGAGAGCGAGGCTTGCAGGATACCGGGCTATATGGATCAGGGACCGCTTGCGACCGGAGGATAAGGGCGCAGCATTCGAAGAGCAGTCGTTCTCGGAGCTAACCCTATGGATGCTTTGGTGAGGGTGCTCCTGGTTGAAGCACAAGAAGCACGGAGACGGGTTCCACTGTCGTGTCACTTACAGTGCGTCATGCGAGAGGCAAAGCAGTCATTGTAAAACTCCAGTGACGTCGGATCCGTGTGGCTATCGCTTCGTGGTTGCTAGCTTTCGGTTCCTGCCTCCACATGATACAGCGAACCTGAGGGACAAAAGGCTCACAAAGCTTTCCGACTACTGGTTGCCCGAACTGCCCAATCTTCAGGAAGAAACGAGTGTAAAAAATGAGAGGCCATTTTCGAGGAGTGCATGCACCAGCGCCGCCGTGACGTGTATATTTTCGGAAGTGCTCGAGTGTCAAGGCATATTGATAGAATATGGGATTGGGAGGAGTATCTCGCCACTCGCCGAACCAGTTTTCCATGAATAGAAAGGCCGATCATCCTGTGTTCCATGCGTAGAAGGTTAAGGGAAGAGTTCCATTCTGTGGATCGGCAGGAGCAGGATCTTAGCTTGTCGCCAATCCCATGAGGCACGACATAGCGATCCTTCATCCCGTTATAGCCACAGAATAATGCCAAGTGGCCACATTTGCCTCCATTGTCGCCTCAATCACTTGGCTAAGACTATTTCAGTGTCCGGATGCCCTGCTGTAGATCTGCACATCATTGTGCACATGTCTACTTCGGTGCCCAAGCAGCCAGGTATGTGGCAGGCGTGGTGTAAGCGCTTATCATGATGCTCAGAAGTTATCCAGGTATTGGCAGCCAGGAGCCATGATGCCAACGTCACCGACAGGCATGCCTGGCGATTCAGGGTCCAACCCGGAGTACTGGCTTACACTTGTATCCCAAAGGAACCGGCTCATATTCAGGGTCTCAGATGTACATGTCACCCTGGGTCTCTGATAGGCACCTCCCAACAATTCAAACATCCACGTGACCGAACCTTCCTACCACACACGCGAAAAGAATCTCCATGCTAGCAAACAACCTTTCTCATGAAGGTACAAGAAGCAGGAAGATCCACCTCCCTTTAGGCAGTCGCTGGATTGAGCGAAGTCCACCCACCTCCAGTTCCTCCAGGCAGCGAGTGGAGAATGTCAAGGTTGAATCTATACCGGTAGACAGTTGCGTGGTCCAGAACCGATCAGCGATTCCTCCATCCATCACCCCAGTGTTAAGTGGCCTCGCCACATCGCGTTACGTCACCCAGGAACCTCTATGATACCGGCGCAGGGGAGTGACCAGACTCGCTCGCTATGGATAAACTGGCGTGTATGTGTGGAAGTTCTCTATATAAGGTATCATGCTCGTCCATCCAGACCCTCTGTTTTAGATGACCACAACTCACTACCACACACCCACACCCGTGCAGCAGCACAGTCCAACTACACTTTTCTTCCAAGGACGCCAGACAGCTTGACCAAAGCAGTCCAGCTATCACCATGCAGATCACCAGCACCCTCCTTGTCGCCGTCACGGCCTTCACAGCCGTCAGTGCAGTGCCCGCGGAGTCGGAGCACAAGCTCAACGCACGTGAGGTCGCGCGACGCGATAATGAACGACGCCAAGATGCCCTGGGTGAAATCGAAACGCTCCTCAGTGAAGTAAATCAACTGACGAAGATGTACGATTCGGTAATCGGTGACTCATCGACCACGACACCAGCGTTTGGAACGTCATCATCGGGATTCCTGACGCAGGCGACGTCAACAGGCCTAGGAAAGAGCTCGGGTGCGACAGCCACAGCGACGCTTACGCCGAAGGATGTCCACGCAAAACCGACGCTCATGCCGAAGGGTGCCCACAGACGCCAATTGGGAGAAGAAATCGAAGACGCGATGGATAAAGTTGAAGAGGCAGAGTCGCTGTACAGCCAGTTTGCTGGCGGATTATCAAAGTCGACGAAGGCGGTACGAACAGCGACGGCCGCATCTGAGGGAGCGAAGGTGACGGACCCGATCCTGCCAAGGTCGCCAGGCTTGCTCCATGATGTGGAGAATCTCTTTGGGTTGGGAGAATCAGCTTCCACGTCGTCGAGCGCGGACGCCGACGGCGATCTCACCACCGTGACGTAGGTGCGGAATGAGCGGGGCGTTCGATGAGAAGGAGGTGCTCTAGAAGGAGCAATGAATCGGCGTATATGGTATGATGGGCAACACACCCGGGCGATATGCTATGTACAACTGAGTTGACGCGCTTTATTCTTGATTTCAGGTTCGCAAGGCTGGATTTTATGCTTTTATGGCAGGCTGTGCCTGTGCCTCAGATTGAGAAGATACTATTATGTAGCACAATATACTATCAAAAATTCTGGCGAGAATCTTACGACCACGAAGGAGTATATCGCATGAAATCCGTGCTTAAAGGTAACCGTCGGCTCTATCCTGTCGGACATATTCTCCTTTGTCAGGCAGCCTCTACTTGGCGAGCTTCAAAAATACTTGTCGTCTGTAGAAGTGTGAATCAAGTCCAAGGTTTTTGCGAGTCTCCTGCTTGTGGCGAAGTTTTGCTGCACCCCTACAGCTGTCCCACATCTTGCCACACGAATGGAGATTTTTGTCTTGAAGGTGGGAAAATATCCGCGTGTTCGTCCCTGGTTGGTCTGGGTTCTAATGAAAAGGTGTAGGCCGATACGAGAAGCAGGCAGCAGGCAGCAGGAGCACCGGTTCGCGTCTACTCCAGAGCTTCTTCAGCTGGTGGACTTGATTCGACTATGGAATGCCATATGTACGGAACGACCATCCACACATGCTTTAACTCATAGCATCACGAGTTGGGTCTTACAAGCAGATCTTCGAGTAATACCGATCAATTGTTTAGCTAACTCTCGTGCAACACTCCGATCTCTTGCTTGAACGAGAACTGCAACCTGCCTACCAAGCTGGTGTCGTCCTCACTCATATAACCCTATTACGGAGCTATGAGTCTACATATCTTCACAGCACAACACCAAACCCGAAAGACTTTGATGCGGGACATCTAGGCGATAGTCTAACTTGAATTGTCTTCATGTTATACCTGACAGTTGCAGTGAGCGATTCGCTTAAGTGTTCCCTCTCTGACATAGCTACGGGAGATCTTGAGCAGTTGTAAACAAATCATGATTAAAGCGTCTCACACCACTTCGCTATTTCCACGAAACCCGAATGTGAGTTACCCGAGACCGAGACGATCCAAAAACGCACTCACCCACAGCATGGACTGGTCCATAGACAACGTCAGGGATACAGCCACACCTGATCGTAAACCATCTCCCTAATGCGACACATATCACGCAACTCATCCTTCTTCCCGAAAAGCACGCTCATGAAGACCCGCTCGTCGGACGTGCAGTCAGGCTCCGAGTGAATTGGCGAATCGTCCTGGCCCCAACTAAACCGGATAACCTGCCCCCTCTCAACATTGACCTCGTCGCAGCCGGCAAACCGGGCGGCGACTTCGGAGCGTTCTCTCCAATATTTCTCACTCCTGACTTGGCGAACGTACGGACTGTCGGTCAGTACCCTTGTCGGGGGCCCGACGAGCGTCATTGCCTACTTCGAGTGTGGTACGCGGGGCTCGCTGCAGCTGCAGTCGAACATGCGTCCGTCGTTGTGCCAGCGCGGCTCGACCCAGTCGTCGCATGGTAGGGTCATGCGTATGCGTAGCCAGCAGGACTGCGTGATGGTGGCCGCATCGGCTGGTGCGGCGTTTGACTTGCAGTCGTCTTGGGCCTGATGCAGGAAGCGGACGATCACGTCCTCCAGCAACTCATGGTTGACCTTTGCGTTCGAACCGATGAAGTCTGTGGCCGACTTCGCCAGTTGGGGAATATCGAGTGTGCCATAAAGATGGAAGGAGTGGTCTTTCTTAACGTTGGCTATGAGATTTGGCGGCAGAGGTTCGTGGTTGAAGACTGCTAGAGGGACCGGCAGACTCGCAACATCGTCGCTAGTGTATCCGTCTTGAGACATGACTGATCCGAGACAAGATCTTTCGTCTGTCAAATCAATGCCCAATGTACTTGTATGTTCAGTATACTTGATGGTGCCTTAGTGCCCGAGAAGAGGCGGTATGAAGTTGACTGTGCCTTTTCAGAGAAAGGGGTGTGATCGTCTTATCATCACCTCGATCTTTAGTGGTATACTAACACACCTTTCCACAGCTGTAGCATTTGTATGACTCATGCGTGCTGTGTATGGCTCCTGCGCGCTGTGTATGATTCTTGCGTCCTGTGATGGTGTAGAGGCGGAGGTTTGAGCTCATCACAGTTACAGAGGAACCCCGCCCAGTTGCCTGTCAGCCTGCTTTCCGACGTCGGCGTCACAATCTCGACATCCAGAAGCATTACGCTGGACTCCTTCAATGTCTTTAGCTCTCCCTTGCGCCATACGCTGCATAGAAGCACACGTCGTCGAGACCGACAGTCAGGGGTGCCCGTTAAGTGTCATACCTGCGATAGACGGCAAGATAGGAGCCAAACCCAGATGCCCCAAAATCCAGCAAAAATCAGAGCCGCTGCGCTGTACGCCAAGTCCAATAGAAAATGACAATGGATGGGACCAAGAAGACTCCCTCTACCGCAGCTTGGGGGGGGGGATCCAGCTTCTTCACAGAACAAGGCGTAACCTCGCAAGTAGATCCTCAACCCAATCTTCTCCAGGTCGGCGACTCCCAATGGTGAAGAAATAGTTGGGCAGATGGCATTGATCGCCTTCACGGTTTGGACTTAACTGACCACAGGTGATAAGTGATTGCTCATCTCTACCGGAAAGTTGCTTTGGACTTTGACCCGTCGAGGTACAATACCTAGCACTTGACTTATGCCCCTGATGTGTATTTCGTTGTAGCCCCCTGAAGTGGCGGGACGTTCTTTTATACAAATATATGGGTCCTCATCCCAAAACGAGGCTGACACCAGTTGTATGGACTTACAAGTTTCAGCGAGATCGGTATCTTCACTGCCTAGACTCATGTGCTCTGCAACCTTGGAACCATATGGTGGATTGAATCTAGAACGGTTCGACCGGGAGTAACGCAGCCAGAGCCAAGCCCGGCCAGGGCTCCTGAAGGAGCAAGTTTATCTCAGCAGTCATATGACATATGCTTTACCAAAACTAGTTCATGAGCATTTCAAAATGCCTTCTTCAAGAAATCAGCTCTCCCATTCTCCGATGTCCTGGACTTGCCTCCGGTGAGACTGGACTGTCCAGCCCCTTACCCCTGTCTTCCAGCCACTAGCCACAGTGTGGCGCATAGGAGTTTGATATTCATCAGCGCAGTCTTCTACCATCCTCATTTTGCGGCTCAAATCGGTGCAGGATCGAATGCTGAGATTGCTGGATCAACATGAGCGTTGTTAATCTTTGCCGCGACTAGCTGTCCCCCAGGTTTGCGGCGCCGCAAAAGAGCGACTCGGCTTTATTGTGGGAGTCTTGTGGTTCGACTCGGCTCTATTGCGGGAACACCAGCCCCGCGATACCGTCACCGCCGTGCCCATTTGTATGGAGCCGAGCCCACAGGCCATTTCAAGTTTCAACCTGCAGACGGTATGACATAGTTGGAGCCCCGCGAGCTTTGCTAGCTTTTGAGATAGGTGGATGCGGGCGGACCAGAGTGGGTGTGTTCGAAGCCGGCACTATCCTCCACCATGGCCCACAACGAATCCAATGCCGCCCGAGCCACGAGCATCGCACCGCAGTATCAGAGACTATCATATCAAGTCTCGAGCTAGCGGCAGCATGAAGGCTGAAAAACTTGGAATAGCTGACACAAGTAGCAGAAGTTTGCGGCTCATATTTGGTAGGAGTCGAAGTAACAACAGCGTTAGTTTTATGGAATGAATGGGTTCCCAACGCGTCTTATTAGTACGGCAGTTCTTTTCGCAGAACCCACCTGCGATAATGTCTGCGATACCCATCCTACGATCGAGATGGGGTTGGGTTTCGAACAATTTCTTTTGCAGAGGAAGTCCACATGCACGTCAATAATATGGACCTCTGGTCGAGCCATCCCCACGAATGTCACTCCAGACGTGAGTGACGCTGGTCAATATGAAGAACCCACGTCGCTCCCCGTAGCTATCAGGTTGGGGTTCTCCAGTCCTCCAGCTTCTTCTGTCCTCCAGGTCTCATCTCCAGGTTGACCCTATCATTACGCCGGCTCTGAGACCAAACTCATGATGGAGCCTACATCGGACCAAATACAACACCACCAGCCGGAAAATGAGTTCGCCAATTATAAGGATTTCAAACAGCAGCCCAACGAGAAGGGCCTTGGCGGAGAAGACCCGGATGGTCCTGAAAAGGTGCACAAAAGCGAGGAGAGCAGTCCCCCAGCAGCAGGAGGGAAACGCGAGCTGAAGGAGGACGAATGCTACGACAAACTGGCATACAGCTGGCCCTCGTGGAAGAAATGGGGCTTTCTCTCCATCATCGCCAGCATCCAGATATCGATGAATTTCAACACGTCCGTCTTTCCCAATGCGGTGACGCCCATAGCCGACCACTTTGGCGTCAGCGAGCAGGCGGCCCGCGTGGGACAGATGATCTATCTGGTCGCGTACTCGTTTGGATGCGAGCTCTGGGCGCCGTGGAGTGAGGAGTTCGGCCGGTGGCCTATCCTGCAGCTGTCCCTGTTTTTTATCAACATCTGGCAGATCCCGGCGTCCCTCGCCCCAAGTTTTGGTACTATCGTCGTTGCTCGTGCACTGGTAAGTCGCTCTTTGAAGGTCGACACACTGTCTACTCGGGAGCGTCCTACTGACAGTTTCAGGGTGGTCTGTCGACTGCCGGCGGTAGTGTGACCCTGGGCTTGGTCGCCGATCTCTACGAGCCCAATGACCAACACTGGCCCCTCGCCTTCATCGTGCTCTCTTCTTGCATCGGAACTAGTATTGGCGGAGTGATTGGCGGGCCCATTCAAGCCTGTAAGTAGCAAAGCCTGTTTGAGTATGGGAACTTGCAGCAAGGCACTGACAAGAGGTACAGTCTTGTCTTGGCAATGGAACTTCTGGATACAGCTCATCTTTGGATTCACGGTGCAATGCCTGCACTTCTGGATGCCTGAGTGTCGGTCCACCATCCTCATCGATCGGGAAGCCAAGCGGCGGCGCAAGACGGGCGAGGACCCCAACGTCTACGGTCCCAACGAGTTGAAGTCGCCGCGCATCTCCCTGAAGGAGGCGGGCAAGATCTGGCTGCGGCCCTTCGAGATGTTTGTGCGGGAGCCCATCGTGCTCTGCCTCTCGATCCTCTCGGGATTCTCCGACGCGCTCATCTTCATCTTTCTGGAAGGGTTCAATCCTGTGTACAGCCAGTGGAATTTCGGCACCCTGGCTAAGGCTTGGGCCTTCATTCCTATCAATTTGGCTTACTTCATCGCGTATTTCTCGTATTGGCCGTGGTTCAAGCGCGATGAGCGCATCCGCCGCGAGAAGGGCGACGACGCCTATATGCCCGAGCGCCGCCTCAAGTGGCTGCTGGTGAGTAATATCTCGACTGATTTTACCACCCCTTCTGTCATGACGCGGTGGTCCATCCATTTCCGTCAACGGGACTACACGCTCAAAAGACACGACTAAACTCCAAAAAAGTCGTCAACGTTCCCTGCAAGACCAATTTCTAACTTAAAATGTCGCAGTGGACGGCGCCGCTGGAGCCCATCGGACTCTTCGGTTTCGCGTGGACGTCTCTAGGCCCCGGGCGCGGCGTGCACTGGATCGCGCCCATGATCTTCTCGTGTTTGATAGGCATCGCCAACTACACCATCTACTTTTCGTCGGTGGACTACATGATCGCGGCCTATGGTGTGTACTCTGCGTCGGCGACGGGCGGCAATGCGTTCGCGCGCGACTTCCTCGCGGGCATATCGGCCATGTTTGCTATCCCCATGTACGAGAACATGGTACGTACATTTTAAGAGCCTCCCATTGCCCCTTATGACCCTGTCTTGGGGCCAAATCTCCTCGTCTAGACTGTGTCAGGACCCTTTGCTCCCGAGACATGTATCTCGGCTCCTTGCTTCTCGTCACGCCATCTGAAAGTAGTAATTGGGCTGACTCTAATTTACCAATAGAGCGACAAGTACCCGACCGAGTACGCGAGCACCCTGCTCGCCTGTCTGTCGTGTCTGATCGTCGTCCCTATCTACGTGTTCTACTGGAAGGGCCCGCAGATCCGCGAGAGTAGCAAGTTTGCGCAGACCCTGGCGGCGGATAGGAAGAAGACGGGCGGGCGCCGGGTGAGCCACGCAAGGCTGCCGTATGATGAGGTATAGGCGTTTGCCTCAGCGACAGGACTTGAGTGATGGATCGGAGAGGAGGTTTAGGATCCCTCGCTCCGCGTACGCAGGGGCAGGGCTGCAAGTAGTGATGACCTTGAGGTGTCACACCCTGGCCTAGCATCTGGTCTCCATTCTCACCGTGCCACCGATATGGCGACTCCCATTCTGTTATGAGCCGCTCGGCAGCTCGGCAGTCGAGGGCTGTATGTCTTCAAGTTGGTTTGGCTACACCGACTCGTAGTGGACTTGCGAGGACGTGGAGAACACATGTATAAAGACCGTGTATCACCACTTAGGCATGCGGGATACATAGGCGCTTTAGATAAGAATTAAAAGTCAGGATCAAGTGCAATTTACGGGAGTGTGCCCCTTCAAGCGACGGTGTCCCTATAGAGAAACTCTACTCAAGATTCGTACGGTTAGTGGCCAATGCCGCTCGCGCGGCGCCACCATAAGAGGCAGTCTCAATGAACTTCCTAGGAACACTTCGACAAGCTGAGATATCATCTTGTACTGAATCCCACGCCTTTTAAATCACAGCGAGTGGGTATGGAACAGATTACGGGGGCAATAGGGGTGCTGCTATTGGACTCTCCTTCATGGTTGCCCGCAAGCCTCTCTCGGTCGTCATGTCGTCACATATATATTCGCATACACCCACAATTCAGCACATACGACCATAGGATCAGGAGGACTTGGCATCCCGTCCGCTCTGCCTTAAATAAGCCTGATACCGCCGGATTAGTAGTTGGGTCGGTGACGACCAGCGAATCCCCGGTGTTGTATGTTATTAGTTCTTTTTTTGGATCTTTCTATTCGCCTTAGGTATTCCAAGCAAGCTTCCATGCTAGCAAGTAGTGTGTGCCTGCTAAGTAGATCTTTCGTGAAGGGGCAGGTAACGTAGGTCAAGTTCGCCAGTGGTAGAAACCATTTCAAAATCTATTACTATGAATCAACGGTACAACGAACCCTAGACCAGTATCCAAGACCCATCCTTGATCTCAATTTTGACCTCCCGGCTCTCATCTATCGCCCGCCGACCTGCCTCAAGAATGGCCGTCGTAGCGACCGTATTGTTCAACGTCGGCAGTCCCCTAGCATCCAGATCCGCCGGCTTGAGCGCCCCAGAGTTCACGCTGCGGCACCCGTCGACGAACTTCTCGAAGGAGATGTAGCCGTAGCCCGTCTGGCCGTTGAAGTTGCCCTCCTCGTCGGGCGCGTACTTCATGTAGAAGGGGTTGTACCACATGAGCTGCCCAGCCGTATCGTCCGCGACATCGTAGCCGCGCTTGGCCTGGTTGACGCGCACCTCGCCGCCGGAAGCCATGTAGTGGAAGTACTGGTTCGAGTGGACGCCGGCCTTCTGTGGCGCTGTCCACGAGGCCGTGTACACGCCCGTTGCGATCTTGCTCGGATCGTCTCGTTTCTGCCACGTCACCATCACCGTGATGGTGTCCTCGGTGGCGGGGTCGCATCCCAAACTGGTGGCTGTCCCTCTAGCCGCAGAGGCGGACACCTTGATGGGGATGAAGCCCAGTTGCGAAACCATCGAATCGCAGATGTCCACGTGGTGGCTGTTCAGGTAGAACGAGATGTCTGAGTCGATGCCGGCCCAGGCCTTGAAGGTCTCGAGTTGTGATTTCGGTTGGGACATGTAGCTGTAGAAGTAGTTGAAGTCGCCGAGCTTGAGCGCTTTGAACTTGGCATCGGCGTAGGCGGGGTCGTATCGCTTGTGGTGTTCGATGTAGACATAGACACCGTGTTTCTCAGCTGCTGCCATCAGTTCCAGGTGGTGATCCAAGGTCTTCACGGCCGGTTTTGTGATGAGCACGTGGATTTTGCGCTCAATGGCGTACATAGCTATCGGGTAGTGCGTGGTGTCTGGGGTGAATATGGTGATTGCGTCGCCAGGCTTCAGGGCGTCAATGGCAGTCTTGTAGGACTCCGGGTCTTTGACGTCGTTTGCCGGATACGAGTCGAATGAGCAGTCCAAGCCATTGTAGACCTTGTTGATATTGGTATCGAGATGCTGCCCTAAGACCAAGGGAGTCAAATACAGCTCGGTGAGGTTTCAGTAAGAGGAATGGCATACTGATGGCAGGGAATTTGGTTCCATTTGTACCAACCATGCCCAAGCGAGCTACCTTTCCGCGCCTACGGAGGTCGAAGAGGGTCAAGCCGACAACACCGACCTTCTTGTCGGACCCGGAAGCGCCTCCTCCCACGAAACCTGTGGTGTACTCTCCCGTGCCAATCTGCAATTACGTCAGCTACTGGCGGCATTGGATGGTAGGTGCCGTGTTTCAATTTACCATCAACACGTTCAACGGCGCCGGAGAGCTAGCCGGGGTGACCGCCGACTTGATTGCTTCTGCTGCCATCTTGACGTATCCGAGGTGTTCAATAACAGGATCTAGGGCGACTCGCGCAGTCGGATATCAAGGCACAACTTTTGGCAAGGGAAAAGGACATCAAAAAGAGAAACGGGCAAGTTGAAGAGAGTGTTGACTCCTTTTTGCGACGAAATCGGCCATGTAAGTAAGTAGTAGCAAGTCGCAGAGCTACCCCCTGATGGCCCAGCATCGTTAGACGGAAGAATTGAGGGGCAACCGGGGAAAACAATGGTCGCATCTGCCGAGGATATAGCTGTCTACGAGCATCGTTAAAGGGAGACGAGGCACCCGGATATGGAAGCATTGGTCTTCGTCTCTTCCCAAATCTATACTCGACGGAATACTCTCGATACTTACCACCTTTTATCAAACTTACATGTAGTTTTACATGTATGGGTGTCCGTCGTCCTAGCCCACGAGCCTCTATAGATGATGGGATTGGCCGGGACAACCCAATAAACAATATCCAGCTTGAGTGGCCTTTCCCTACCTTATCCTTAGAGCTTCTTCTCAGGAGGCAATGTCATTTGAGCATTGATCAACTACTGTGGACATGGAGCGGCAAGTGGATGTAGTATCGTCTTTGGTTTTATTAGTCGTAGTCATCCTCGATGGAGAGGACTCACAACATGAAGCTGAGTGGAGTAGAGGTACTCGGGTCGAGATTCCCGATACAAGCAGAAGTTAGAATCTCGGTCATGAGGCCTGGAGGGGCCATCTTGACGATGATGCAGTGGGCCCCGCGGCCCCGCCCCCACCTACTGCCCCGCACTCATCAGCGGAGTTTGCCAGCTGCTCTACAGCTGCAGCCTGTGGGCCGTCAACCACCCAAGATTGATGAAAGTCGTCAAGTTGAGCATTGCCTCAATTTCTACAACACCAAGAACGACCTCAATACTACCACAGTACTACATTACCTGCAAAGAGCCGAAACGTCTCCAACGCTACAGTAAGATACGATCAGGCTAAATCAATCACCTTCTTTCGGACCCTCAACGAGTAGCTACACGTCGAAACAGAGCTGGTCTCCAGGAGGCGCACCACTCACCAACCACCTGTATGCCTTTCAAACCCACAGCTGACGGCCTCTGTGGCGACTGGTCCACCTGAGCTTGAAAGTGCTTGGCCGGATGCCAGTATTTGCTACACTTTGAGTGGAGGAAAATCTCCATTGCCAGTTTCTCCGTCCGACCTAGCCACAGGCCTGTCATACAACATTGAAGACTACGACCAGCGAGGTGCCCCGGCTCCAACGAGATGGCCAGCTCGCCAGCTCCGGCTATTTCGAAACCCTCTGGTGGATTACTCATCCAGACCGCCAGTGACCCCACATCATTGAGCATGGCGACGGCGGTTTTCGATCTTCCAGACTTCCCACAGGGCAAGCAGAAGGGAGAAACTCCCGTCTGTCCTCAACAGACCCTCTCCCAAAGACCCCCTTCATGTCTTCGAGGGACGTTTCGACAGGTCTTCTCGATACATGCTTCGTGGACCTTATCCAACCCCCACTCACTGGCGGGAATCCTCGGAGGCGGGTGACCTGACGGTGCAATGACGTCTCCAGCCATGCCAGCCTTACATGCACGACTAATAAACAGTTTCGACACACCCGGGCATGTCTGACCACCTGACAAGTGCTGAACATGAAAACTCATGTGACTCGCCTTCTCATCCCCCGAGACCCTGCGCTCCGCCATGGTCGTGTACAGCAACCGTCCTCATGCACGGTGGAGCTCTCCTGTACGTTGATGCGGATCCCTCATGATATATCATCGACATCAGCCCAGTTTCCCGAGAGGTGTCATGGATGCTGCAGGGCCAACCCAATCATCGTTGCATTCTGGCGAGCACTCCCAAGCAACCTGGCTCTGCATGAAACGTAGGTACCGTTGCTTTGCCTTTGCAGCTGCCGTAAACAGCGCGCCTTACAGAGCACTAGAATGCTTCCAAACCCTTTCCGTGCCTTAAGCCCCCGTTGCAGCTCTTTCGCTATGCAGACAAGCATGGCTGGCTGTTGCTCCAACAGTGCGACATTGGTCATGATGTGCCCCTATCTCGCACAGGTTTGGGTTACGGCTTGTCTTCGTGTCGTCCCATTTGCACTATATTGCTCCGATATATGTCTGAGGCGCAAGTGGTCCGCCTGTCGCATCTCTGTCCAGGAGTTTGACCCCCATCATCGTTTTCTGGAAACTCCATGAGTTTCCGATTACACAGGAAAAGTCCCCTTTCCTTTTCATACTAGTCCACTTTTCCAGCTCCTCTATCGTGCCACGTTCTTTCGGGTCCCGATCGCAAGTGTGGTCGTCCCTTCGGACCAATGTCATTGCGAGCATGAAGCTACAGCGAGTCGGCTACCTGCTCCCGTTCTATGCTGCTGACCCACCCCCAGCGTGTGGTGGGTGTGGTGTCTGCAACCCCGAGAGACGCAAATTATTAGGTTAGAGAAACCATAAACCATTGCTGCCCACAGGTTAGTATGCTGTATTCCCTATAAATATGCTCGCCGTCCATTCTTGTCTCGTCAACTGCCCACATCAGCGCGCCTCTCTTTGCTCCTTCTCTTTTCGAACCCTCACATCCGTAAGAAACACCCCAGGTTCCAGTGTTGCGGGAATTTATAACCGTTGTCTTCAAGACTTCCACCTTTTACCCAAGAAAAACATGACTACCTCAAGCGGTTCTGAGGCCAGTGGTCACACGACCACGAGACGGCCACTTCCTTGTGGGATCTATGCCCCGACCATGACATTCTTCGATGCCGAGACTGAGGAACTCGACATCCCAACCATCAAGAAACATGCCGAGCGTCTAGCACGAGACGGCCTGGCCGGTTTGGTGACTATGGGGTCCAACGGAGAGGCTGTCCACTGCACGCGCGAGGAGAAGATGGCTGTGACGCAAGCTACCCGAGAGGCTCTAGACGCCACAGGCTTTACGAAGATGCCCATCGTCGTTGGAGCTACAGAAGGGAGCGTGAAAGGGACAATCGAGCTCTGCAAGGAGTCTGCCAAGGCCGGTGGCGACTACGTGCTGTTGCTCCCACCAAGCTATTTCCGTACGCATATGGATGAGGAAGCTATCACAGGGTACTTCACTGCCGTAGCAGACGGAAGCCCTCTGCCCCTCGTTCTGTACAACTACCCTGGAGCGGTGGCCGGCATCGACATGGACTCAGATCTGCTCATCAAGCTCGCCGAGCACCCAAACATCGTCGGCACCAAGTTCACTTGCGGCAACACCGGCAAGCTGACCCGTGTTGCCCTCGCTACCAACGCAAAGACCCCGTCCTCGGAAGGAAGCGGCTACATGGCTTTCGGCGGCATGTGCGATTTCGAAGTCCAGACCCTAGCATCGGGAGGCAGCGGCATCATCGCCGGAGGCGCGAACGTCATGCCCAAAGTCTGCGTCAAGGTCTGGAACCTGTACGCCGAGGGCAAGACCGACGAGGCCATCGCGCTGCAAAAGGTGCTGGCCCGGGGCGACTGGTACCTCACCAAGGCCGCCATCGCGGGCACCAAGCAGGCCATCCAGAGCTACTTCGGCTACGGCGGGTACCCCCGACGGCCGCTCAAGCGGCTGGAGAAGGCCAAGGTGGCGACCATCGCCGACGGCATCAAGGAGGTCATGGAGGTCGAGAAATCGCTTTAGATCGGGCTGCCAGAACCAGGGCCTCGCAGCCGAGGGTACCCACGAGCACACACACACGACTGGCTATATGCAGCGCATATTAGCCGCGTGCGACTGCGCGCTCTCCTGCGGTAACGCCGTACGCCTGGAAAAGTGCGGGGTGTGGGGTCCGGGGTGAGGGATGAGGCTCTTCTGTTCTAGATCTTCTGCTCTATCAGGACATGCAGAGAGACAGAAACAGCTGGGTGTTGCTGTCGTTTTCCCAACCTTTCGGCCCGACAATCTAAACTCGCATATGCACATACACATTCATACGTTTTTCTCTTACCTGGATGACGTCGCCGCGCTCTTCTACTGCCGTGCCGCCGGGCGAATCAGCATCAGCATCGTGGGACATTCTCTCGCATATCCAAGTCATTCGTTTCGTGACTTGCCTGCCGTGAGGGGTTGCGGTGGAACTGACGGCCCTTATTCCTTCCACATCAGCACCACATTGACGCTCGTCGCTCAGCCGCCAGCGCTAGCAAATGAGGACAGACAAGGGGAGAAATGAATGACACATGACTTTGGAGTGTTCTGGCCCGGATATCTATTCCTCTGCCACCCCGCCGGGCAGGTCGACTGCCATTGGATAGGAGGCGAGCAGGCTATTCTTCACATGCCCTTATCACGACTTTATTAAATCAGTATCATCATCTTCATCATCTTCATCATCATCGGTCTTATAGCAAGCATTATCATCTTCATTGTTCTCATAAGTAGTCAGCATTATCATCATTCAATAGACTAGGCCCGATTCAAAAAGGGGCTGCAAACAGTATGTTGACAACAGGAACTGAACTTCAAGTGCAACCAATCGCTGTCGAGGAAGTAAGCCTGTTACACTGAAACTTCATAAGTCTCCGTATACCACCAGTCCAGCAAACAAAGGTATAGCCATCGTAATTAGAATAAAAACACTGAAATAAGCTTTAGGAGTGGTATATCATCAGAGCTGCTTATTCTTGTATGCTTCCAGTTTTTGAAGTTCCTCACGGGTGGTCTGGAATCTTGTCAACGTGCGCGTACGGAGACTTATGAGGATTGAGTGTAGCTTTTGGGTCTGAAGGTCATTCATGATTGTCTCACCTAGATATATACTAATGTATGTAGTCTTCCTCTAACTCGCCTAGGGGGCCTTGATCTATATACCCAAGGTAAGGATCAAAGCCAGTCAGCGATGGGTCAGAGAATCCCGATGACCCCTTCAATCAGCTGTGGAGGGCGAATCTGGGTCGTTGGGCCAAGGCCGCGTGCTACTGCTTGTCCTTGATGTGCTCGACTCGCACATGCCCAACTAGCCAGTCTGATCCACCACAAGGTTCTGTCCGCACCAGTGGTGGTGCAAACACATAGCGTGAACCATTCGACCTTCCGCCGAAGCTCGCATCCCGCGTTAGATAGACAGGGTACCCAGCCTCCGGTCGCCAAGCTCTGTTGTGATAGAATGTCCAGTACCCCCTGGACCTTTTCATATCTTGAACTGCCGCGGATCCAGCTCCGAAGCATCGGCGCTCCGAGCCGCGCCCTCGAAGATGAACTCGCTCATCAGCTTCCCCGTCGCCGGTCCGTTCTGGATCCCCCAGCACGTATGGCCCGCGGCCACCCACAGGCCGTCGACGCAGGTCCCGCCCACGAGAGGCGTGCTCTCCTGGCCGGGCCGCATGTGCCTTGGCATGTAGCAAGCCTGCTTCGCGGCGACGGTCGCGGCACCCAGAACGCGCGAAACGGTCCCAATGTAAGCGACCAGGTCATCGCACTGCGACTCGTCGCATTCGACCTGGTCGGCCGTCTCAGGTAGGGGCGCAGCTGGATCCAGCTCCCCACACGCATACACTTCGCGTCCAGGTCGCGCGTATATCTCTGGGTCCACGTTACTCTTGTGTCGGCGGCGGCGCTCACCTCGCGCGGCTCGATGCGCAGGAAGAAAGTTTGCAGGCAACGTGATGTTGGTGAAGACGGCGTACGGGCTCACCTCGGCAGCAAACACAACGCTGTGCGCACGCACACCCTCGACACGCGAGCGCGGCAGCAGACGGCCAGTCCAAGGCCCGGCCGCTAATACTACGTCCGTCACGCCGTGGATCGTCCGCGTCTCACCGCAAACGCGGTCAGTGTACTCGACGCTCCTGACGGCTGTCTCACTTGCGTTCAGTCCGATCTTGGTCACCTGTGCGTTCGTCCGGGTCTCCGTTCCGCCTGAGCGCGCCAGTTCGGCCATGGCTGTTGTGAACTGGAGGGGGTGCACTTGCGCGGTTTCTATGTAGCCCGGCAGCCCCATCTCTGCATATTCGCCTACCATGTCGCTGTTGATCCAGTCGAGGTCCGCGGGCAGCAGGGACTCGTGTAGTACCGAGCTGGCAGCTTCGTCTTGCTTGGGCAGCTTTTGCCACTCTTTCTGTCCATACCCGTTTTGCTGCGGCTGTGGATCGTGCTCGAGCTGCTGCCCGGGCCCATTCTGTATCGGCGACTGCCCGTTCTGCTGTTGCTGCTGCTGCGAAGGTATAGTCCCTGCGCCGATATTACTACTGCTCTTCCGCCGCCGTTCGTTTTTCAGCTTGCTGCGCCTGGAGCCATTGAGCTTCGTTTTTGGGTCCTTGGTCTTGACCGTCGCGGCCAGCTGCCCACAGCCCAGGCGCCGATATCCCCACCTCTCGGCGCCTCCATGTTCACCTGCTAGCTCAGCATGGAGACGGTAGGACAGCGGGACGATACACATGGGATATGCCCATAGCGCGAGGAGGCCTCCAGCCTTCCCCGATGCGCCGGCTGCTATTGTTGCTGCTTCGAGGAGCGTGATGTGGTGGATGGACGGATTGAAGGAGGGGTGCCGCGTGAGGAAGTATGCTGTCGTCGTGCCAATGATACCGCCTCCTGGAGCAAAGGGTTATTAGTGGCAGGTCAAGCGCTACCTAGGTAGCTACCTAGCTATATGTGAGATGCGGAACGGGGTATGGAAAGAAAGAGGTGACTTGGTTGAGTAGCTGGGCGCACACACACCTATGATCACGATATGCCGCGGTCTTGGCATGTGACTGTCCATCGCGTTGCTGACATGACCGGTTGTATGGACCGTCAGAGGAAGGGTTCGAGCTCGCGTCGAGGGCAGTTTTCACATGCCTAGCCGTCACTTCTGCTGTGCGAGCTGGACGTGCGGTTTCGGAATGCAGTGGCGTGTTAAGGAAGCGGAATGGGCCGTCGATTACCCAGCAGGGTTACCGCTATAGTCGTTGAAAATTGAACCTGGTGAGGGGCAAGAGGCGGTAGGCCCTTAACAAATAATCGTGCAATAGACGATTCTCGGGCTGTCGGAGCAATGTGACTGCCGAGTCGACCCCTCTAGTGGCCCAAGCTCCCTCCCATTCCAAATGGGCATGAAGCTATCACGGCGTGCATAACAGGGGGCGGATGCTGCGTCAGTAATTACCTACAGTAGTGTGCGGCCGCACCAAACGCGTGATACGACTTTGCTCCGGAACCCACTGACAGCTATTTCGACATATCGGATCGGAAGGTTGCCGAGGTTGACAAGCACAAATTGCTGTTTTGGGTATTCGACACGCTTAACGTCTTGCTGTCGTGCTGTCGTGCTCTCGTTGAAACGGCATCCCCTGCGAATATCGTCGTATTTGTCATTGTCCATTGCCGCAGCTGGAGGCGACCTCGGCCACCAAATGCAGACATCAGCAGCCATACGCATAAGAAGGATCGGACATCCCCCTCGTCCTGCCATTGGTACATATCTATATGTAGAGTATTTCTAATGATTACTTCAAGGTTGTTCTAATCTGGAATCCAAAGCCTCGTTGCTACATGTACGCAGAGAAGCGCCGCCGCTATCGATCCTAGCTCGACACTCCACTTCGACCATCTCGACCATCGCTATAAACTCGAGTCCAACTTTTGCGACTTCGACAATTCAGAGACAGAGCCAAACCAGGTCACTCTTCACAAACACCAAACCATCCAGCACAATGGCTTCCGCTACCACCTTCTACGACTTCAAGCCCAAGGACAGTGCGTCGACTTGCTTTACCTCCCCCCCTCCACTGATCCAGCACCCGACGCGTTGCGTCGCATCGCATCTAGAGAAACGTAGAAAGCTAACCATCATCTCTCCCCTCTAGAGAAGGGCGTCGAGAAGCCCATGTCCGAGTACAAGGGCAAGGTCGTCCTGGTCGTCAACACCGCTTCCAAGTGCGGCTTCACCCCCCAGTACGCTGGCCTCGAGAAGCTATACAAGGACGTCACTGCGAAATACCCCGACGACTTCGCCATCATCGGATTCCCCTGGCATGTATAAAAACATCCCTGTTTTAGACCCCAAGTCCCCGGGTTTGGAATACACTTGAACCTTCTGCTAACTCCTCGGCAGTAAGTAATTCTGCTAGGCGATTCCAAGAACATAGGGTACGGTAACTAACCAGGGACATTTTCATACACTAGGCAACCAGTTCGGCTCCCAGGAGCCCGGCGGCGACGACGAGATCCAGAACTTCTGCCAGGTCAACTACGGCGTCACCTTCCCCATCATGGGCAAGACCGACGTCAACGGCAGCACCGCCGACCCGCTGTTCGAGTGGATGAAGGCCGAGCAGCCCGGCCTGCTGGGCATGAAGCGCGTCAAGTGGAACTTTGAGAAGTTCCTCATCGGCCGCGACGGCAAGGTCAAGGGCCGCTGGGCCAGCCTCACCAAGCCCGAGAGCATAGAGAAGAACATCCTCGACGAGATCAACAAGCCCAAGGAGTAAGTCCTGCTTGCGCTTGTCACCATCGAGTGGAGGAGGAGATGCCCTATTCGGCGCTAGGAGCGTAGATAGCGTTGACGATACCCATAGGGTTGCGAAGATATAACCCAGCTTTGGTTTTGAGCAGGCGATTCGAGGGCGGCACGTTGCTTTTATATTAAATCAATACCATGTCCGCGATCATCCACCTGTAGCCATCATTGGTCTTCTGCGACATAATTAACCTATTTCCGTCCCTGTCTTTGTGGAGCATCGTACTTTGTATCACAACGCAGTACCACCACCCTAATGCCGTGCCTCTTATGCCAATGTCTACGAACAGGATGCTCCCGGTTAGGCCGGCGTCAACCGTGGCTCATCATGCACGAGCGCTGTCATGGTCTTACCATCCACGGAACACACTTGCGATACATCTAGGATCCCCATTGCAACACAAGCAAGGCTAAATGCTAGGTTAGCACTTGTATCAGCAGTGACTGGATACGTACGAAGGGATAGAAGAGACACGACCGGACAACGCGGCCGAGTATTCCTGCCGCAGCAAGCCCATGCCCCGGACCACGGCCCAGCCATACCAAGTTTGCGTACGGCCAGCCGACACTCGACGCGTGCCCAGAAGTTGCACAGTCCATACATACGCAGTACTCGGCCAGCCTAATACGGAGGCCAGTCGTTGGTCCAACGTACACCAGAGACAAACCCCCGGCGGGTTTTTTGAGTCTTCGAAACCAATAGCCACCCCGATGACCGTCCATGAGGCGTCGGTCTATAAGCACGTTGAAATCGACTCCGTGACTTCGTCGGTGGTGCGACTTGACATTCCCCCTAGCCCCTGACTCAGGTACGCTCATTACGAGATAAGACTGTTGTATCACAACTACCAGGTCTGCCATTACGAACGAGGTGCGTTTGTAAGCCGCCGCACTATTGCTTCCAGGTAATATGTCCCGTTTCGGCAGGGCATAACATCAAGATCGTTTGTGACTTGCGAGCGCCTGCCTCCCTGTACGAGCGGCTGTAACAGAACATAGGGCAAAGGGCATCGACTGACCAAGCTCAGATCGAAGCTCCCATCACGGTTCCTTGCGAGAACTCAACTCGTTCCTCCCAACCTTACGGACGACGGCAAGAGCCGCGCCGTGGATACCATGTAAAGGTCGTCGTCAGCGCAGAGTCGTCTCCAAGCCACCTGCCGTCCAGGACCTGCTCGTCCGCCTCGACGTGGACGGTGGCATCGACGCCGTGACGTTCGCTGTCGTCTTGGATCGGAAGAAGTAGATGTGGGCTTGTACTGGCCTCTGGCTCTTGGCGTTGACACTTATCCGAGCGTTACTGAAGTGCCCTACAAGTACATCGTCAGGATATCCTAAGCCAGTTTGACTGTTTCCAAGCTCTGACCACCGTGTCTTCGTTGCAAGGCTGATCTCCACTGATGCCCGGGGGTGTCGACGACCTATCACGCTACCCTGGAAATAAATTCGGCGGGCAGGTCAACTCGTATCATAGTCCATATGCTCTTCCAGCTATGTGGTGGAAGGTCGATGGATGATAATCCGCAAAGCACCCCAAACGGTGTTTGTTCACCTCTCCTATTCGTGATAGTACTGTAGGAAACAACAAGTAGGCGGGTATTTTCCGAGCATAGCAAACATAGTTTTAATGATGCTACGGCCCGGACCATATCATTCAGCTACCGAACACGTCTTTCTTCTCATTAGGCGAACCACTTGGCTGATATGAGCACCGCGGCAAGGCGCAGAGTCTCAGTCACAAGTCCACCACGCCGTCCCGCTTGATCGACGGTATATCCTTATTTTGCCTTGGCTGTCTTTCGCGTAATTTGTGGAGGAAGAAGGGAGACCATCAACAGTAGATTCTACGGGGCGGTATGGCCGTTGATATAGCTACCTCTACAAAACGATATCCTGAATGTCCGACTCTGCCTGTTTGCCCAGTAGGTGCCCCGTATCCCATGTGTTAGAACAATTTCATCGTACTTCAGACGATGGACTAACCCCTATCTCGAGGCACCAAACTAAGTCCCCTCTTTCCCGCCTTGCTTACTGGTCGCACACTTATCCTGAAGGGAGCAATGCCGTACACAGCACATCAAAACAAAAAAACGACACCTCTCACTTACTCACCCACCCATACCCTCGTGCTCTCTCACGTCACTCCATCCTCCCAACTCCTGCCGGCGGTGCCCGGGCGGCCCGCAGGAGATCAGACGGGAAGGATCCCGGGGGGCCCCCCCCAACCCTGCGCCATGTCAGCCAGGCAGCCATCCAAATCCATTCGTTTGTTCATCGTTATCCTCTCTCAAGATATCTTCCCTGTCGTGAAGATCTATCTACACGCAGAGGACAACAAATAGAGCGGCAATTCATACCTCGGTGCATAGATTTGGGTTCGGTTTCGGTTTCGCCTTCGTCCTCGCCCGTCTCCTCTGCCGTGCGCCTTTCGCCGATGCGGGTTACCAGCCTCTCCCTGTGTGTGGACAGCGTCGGCGAGGATCCGTGTAGATGTGGGTGTCTCTACCTACGTATCTAGACAAGTATCGACATCGAGATATAATCGGGACAGGATAAGCAACGCAGCAGAGCGGTTCTGCCTCTGTGAAGCAAGGCCGCGATTCTACTGCTGCTCCTGCTACCGCCACGGAACGTCAGCAGGCATTCTGTCAAGGCCGTTCCTTACGCAGGGTCAATCCATCCATCCAGGCAGGCAGGGCCTAGGCTTCCTGCATCAGGCACCTTCTACCCGTCGTGATCGTAGCGTAAGCATGTAACATAACATCGTTGCCCGCTTGTTTTACATTCAGCAACTCAAGATGGCTACATACATACAGTAAGTAGCATCAGAGGGTCTCTCACCATCCACGGCTTTCGGGGTGCAGTGGGCTCGTGGACAGGCGTTCACGTGGTCGAACGGCCTCGCATGAACCCCTACTGGAAGTCTCCTGGATCCTGGCCTGGGAATGCAGGCTAGGGATACCCCAGCTAAGTTAGGTCTTGGAAGTGATGGTATGCTTGGTCTCGTTGTCCGTGCTCTGTCTGTCAAGTTGGCATTTGAAGCTCGGGATCCTTGGTATAGTCAGACCACCACTCGGAGATGATGTGCGCGTCTAGCGTAGAGTAGGAACAAGACAGTGTGATTGAACTGCTACCATGTCGAAGTCATACAGGCTCGTACGAGGCTGGACACCTGATCCACGGCGACGCCGACGGTAGTCTGCTTGGCCCATTTTCGGAACTGACTCTAACCTCGCTCGCTCGATTCTCGGCATCGTCAACCAACAAACCAGCAGCATTCCAGATCCACCACCGTCCCTAGCAGCAGAAGCATCGCCGTCCTCCCTCCGTGCATAGACCTAGCCCCTATCCCAAGGACATACATACCTCGAAACCCATCACATTGGGCCACCCTCTCAACGACTACTGTCGATCCGCCCTGGCTCAACTGGCATCTGAGGGGTCCGTAGTCTACCACAGCTAGGACAAGATGCAAATCCCCAGCAACCACAACCACGACATGGTTGATTCCCCCGCAGTGACTGGCAGCCACCATGTAGCACGTTCGATTAGCAAACGTCCAAACGTAATAATGCTCCGGAGTGCTCGTGACCTGGGCAGCCTGCCCGCCTTGCAGCTACTAGCGTACGGGGTATGTGCCAGCCAGGACAAGGGGACGGATGAGCAGACGACGGAGTATGTACCGGTTCGGTACCTACATACTGATGCGAACGCAGTATATCGTCGGAGCCCTCCGTCGATCGCGACATGGGCCACCTCCAGGTGGAACATAGTGGTGATAGCTACCTAGAGAGGTAAACAGACGAGGCAAGTGGCATGTGATAACGACTAAACAAGCTTCCCCGCGAGAGACCTGAGGCGCGCCTCATCCGCGGTTGTAATACACACACTACCGTAATAGTCGCCTGAGCGCCCCTTGGTCATCTCCAAGAATTCGACCGATACGGCGCCTAGCCTAGGTGGTATTACCCCAGACCGGACCGAATATGTAGAGTCTGGGCAGACCCCGGGGCAGATCCCGTGATTATTAGGCCGGCTGGGGTGCGGCCGTGGAGGGTAGGTTGTTGCCGGGGGGGGGGGGGGGTCCTCCGCTGTCATGTTCCTCCTCATCAAGACATGACAGGTCTCTTTCCAGGTGACTTTGAAACAGGCAACTGGAGCCTAGCAACAAGACCTGGTGGCGCCTGTCGTGCCAGGATGACCATGACGTCTGGCCGCAGCGATGGAGTGTTTCTCTCCGTCCCCAGATATCAATAATAGAATATGGGCACTGGGCAGCAGCATAGTCGAAAGACAGGCAGGAGTGGCTAGCGGCAGTCAGCTTCAGGGACCAGTATCACAGCCCGGGTAGGCGAGCAGCTCGGTCAGTGCTAGGGGTATAGATCGACAGATGTGCTCCCCTGGTTCGCCTTGGTGAGGCTGAGCTGAGGAGTCTTGCATGCTGCAGCAGCTCCTCCCGTGCCTCGGTGGGCGCTTTTAAGACAAGCCATGTCTCGCGGAGCAGGCTGCGCCAACGTGGGATCGAGCGAAGAAAGTAATAATAAAACCTTGGAGACCGGCGTGGGGGGTAGTTCGACACCACTCCTTCCTGCATCGCGCCTTTTGGACTGTCTGTCGACGAGCAGGCGGAAAAGGGGGTCCACGGCGGAATGGACCACGCCTGCGCGGTCAGGTTGCACCTCGCGTAGGACAAAGACTGCAGGATTCGTCAACTACGTACGCAGTGAGACAAGCCGTGAGCCACCATGCTCCGATATCCGAGTTATGTTGTGCAAGTACTATGTAGTGGCGTTGGAAGCCGCATTCTTGGCTGTGGTCGCACGACGCTGCATCTGATGATCCTCGCAGCCATCGGTGAAATGTCGTCCGACTCTGATCACCGTCCAAAGGATGCCGCAAATCACCAGGGTAAACTATAGATAAGATGTTCTCCATCGTAGATCCGCAATCAGGATCCTGGAATGTTCTTTTCAGCGGGCCGGTTGGATCCAATACCGCGAACGGCCTTCCCGATAATGTGATGTCGGCAGCACCTCCGATTCTTCTGGAGATGTCCCCAGTTAGGCACGTCAGGTTTAGGGGTTCCGATCCCTCAGAGTGCTGGACTCCTTTTAGCCCCACGCCGCGGCACAGTCGTCCAACTACACGAAACTACCGTGTGCTGTTTATAATTCCTTGCAGCTTATAGGAACGCGATCCCCGCGTCCTCGGTAGGGACGTTGCTGATTTGGCTCCTCCCTCATCGAACAATCCACAGGAGGCCTTCTTGCTCTCGGAAGACTGATGTCGTTTGCTGCCTCCCAGCAACACCGGCACATAGGGCTTGTCGAATGCTTCCTACGGCACTCAGACAGACCAGGGCCTATCCGCCGTAGCGAGTGACTTAGCTGTGACATCTGGAATGTGGAATGCTGGGACAGCGATCTACCACGGGGCCCTGCAGCTGTCACGTTGCGGCGTTGTCGAAGGCTCATCAGAGGCTGCTCGGATAGGACACTCGCTCAATCATGTTGTAGCAGGCATGATGTGATTGAGAGTCAGGGACACATGGCGGCCCTTGGTGACAATCATCCGATGCATGGGCCCCTACTCTTCTCTCTCACTTGCGATGGCCTCAGCCGACGAGACAGTGTCCATCAGGTGGCACGAAGTGAGTGCAAATGAATGATTGCGTATGCACGCCGATGCAGGTGCCTTGGTAGGTGACCGTATGACACTCCCGGGGCCATGGGTTCAGCGGGCTTGTGTTGTGTCGCGATACACATGACAGCTTGGGAACCAGATCGACTTTCGAAACATGACGGACGCTATGAATAGCATCGTGACGAGACGTCGAATTGAGCCGCATCTGCAGCGAGCTGGGCGCAGTCTTCAACCCCACAAGCTCTCGCGCCTTGGGAAGCAAACCATCCACGATGCAGTCGTGTCCGCCGACAGCTGCGGAATCCTCGACACTTGACGTGTCGATGCGACGTATCCTCGCTTGAGGGTAGGAATATGATCCTGTCTGCACTGCAGCGTAGGGGGTCTACACTGCGGCCAGTATCGCGAGTGTGGCACCTGAACTCGCGGATGTCTGTCGTCCAGCGTAGAGACAGCGGGAGAGACTGGTGGGAGATCAGTTTGCCTGATTGCATAGATACTATTGTACACGCGACGTACTGTGTAGCTCCATGTCGTCAGCCCGGTCAAGTAAGGCATGAATGATGGCTGGCCTGAATGCGCTGACATAATTGACGGGGTTGGGCAGCGTTGATGAACACTCCATCCCGCAGGCTCGTCGCAAGGTACCGACGGCCCTCATTGGCGGCATGCCGGTGCTCGACGACGGTGCCAAGAATGTAACGTCACGTCGAGAGGTGAGGGTTTCTGCAAAGAGTGCCAATCACAGACGTGCTCGAGTTTGGGATGAACAGGACGACCAGGCCTGCTAGAAACTGTAACTCTTCCCAGCACTACTGGAGCCTTATCACTCCTCACATAACACACGGCTTCGTATGAAGGACCTCACCTTGTGTGTGGTGGCACCGCAGTGACTCCATCCATCAGGTCTGCTTGCTGTTGTGTCGAGGTACGCCTCGTCTGCAGTTCGGAATTTGCAGGGACGCCAAACTGTGGGCGAGGGGCGAGATGGAGATGTGAATCGTGGATGAGAGAGGTGAAAGGGTTCCAATTACACTTACACAATATCCGACCCCCAGCGATGTGATCATAGTAGTGACAAGCGGTACTGGGCGTGATTCTGAAGAGTCCAAGTGCAGGCCGGGGGCGGCTCAAGGATGCGGCGGCTTCTCGGTCCACCTTCACCGAGGCTCCATCACCGGGCTGGCCTACTTTCAAATACTTGACCTAGCAGCCTAGGTAGAGGCTATCTAGGTGTCAACCAGGGCATACGATGTGATGAGGTAAAAGCTAATGTCTTTATCAACGACAACGATGCAGGGCTGCGGCGAGATGGCCCTGGACAGTTGCCAACAATGTATGTGTACTGTGTACTGTGTGAGCTGGGGTGCCGTGTCCGTGTCGTCTGTTCAATGTTTATCTGATCGTCACGACCCGGTCGCTTGGAAATAATAAGCTAGATGGGGAAGAATCGATATCAGAGAAGGGGATTCGCCGGAGACCGGAGTTTTCAGAAACAACCTTCATCTAGCTTCGCAAGGCGTTGACCAGTGACTGACTGGCCCTCTCTGCTCTGTGATTTTGATGACGGAGCTCGAGAATTAGCAGCAGGTTGAGTGGCTCTTGAGGATGGATGACATGCGTTGGGACGACTCGGTGATTGATCGAACCGAAGCGCGGGTGAGAAGACCGGCTCTGGTCTAGAGATGCTGCCGGTCGCCAGTCACGACTTCGTCCTACCGCCGATAGAGTCCATGTCAAGTTGGACTCGACCAGGGCCCCCAACCTGACCAACCTTGCCACAGCTGAGGTTACATCGGTGGCTGAAGGGGGCCTCGGGGGTCGCTCTTGGCAATGACTGGTCACTCGCTCGTCGACCCAACTTAAGCCTTTGCCAGGACCGAGCTCCGGCGAATCGATGCCCTCGTCGAGACGGGAGAGGCGGTGGCCGAAGGACGAATCCGTCGCCTAGCCAGGATAGCCAGGACTGTGTCTAGCGTTCTTCTATGCAGGCTTCGCCGGTCCTTCTAGCGTCGACGAGGTATCACGGAGTACCTTGTCAACGAACTGGCTGACGGTGGTGGCTGATGAAACCTGAGAGTTCCGACTGGTACGCTGGAATATCTGGGCGGTCGAGCGAGTTCAAGCCCTCAAGACCAGGTTGACAGTAGCGTCTTGATAAAGGGGTCAGGTAAAGATCGCATGTTTGCGTCTCCGTATTGACCCCCGTCGTCGCGGTCAGAGCATGATTAACACGCGTTGTAACTCATACGTGGGAGACAGATGCCAACCTCTAGCGAGAGCGGGAGAGAAGTTGGCACCCAAGAACTACAATTGTTGCGAAGCCGAGACAGTTGCAGCGGGCGGGCGGGCGGGTAACAAGACAGCCAGCCAACAGCCAACAGCCAACAGCGCTATTCCGTAGTGTTGGGTGGCTGGTCACTGTCGGCGCCGGAGCTTATTACGCCTTATTACGCCAGAGTGCTTAAGCGAACCTCTGAACTGCCGTGGTCACTGATCACGCCCGTGATAGTAGTCGATGACGGATTACAGGGGAGCACGAGACCACGAGCTCGACCACTTCTCCCAATGAGACGTTGGTTCTGGTTATGAAAACACCTCTTTCGAAGAATCCCGCTGTCATTGATGAGACCTGTAAAAAGTTTGGACGGCTGGAACTGTCATCTCGAAGCATCTTGGACATGGGGGCGGCCTTTGTCCTGGGTGATAGGTTCTATGATCCAGCAGGATTGTGCTGTATGGAGTCTTAATGGATGCTTGAGCAGCGATGGACGACTCTACGGCGACGAGCCCGGATGCGGAAGGCTTCGAGAACAGTCATAAAAGAATGATTATACCGTAGCATGCCGAAGTCACACTGCAGAAGCGCTCGCATTTGGACCTCGCAGCTTGAGGCCATTGGAGATTTCTTGGACATCGCTTGACCTGCATCGACGCGCCGTGGAACACGACGGAAAGCAGCGGCCAAGAGTCCAAATCTTGTGATAGCACCGGCAGACCACGACGGTGCTTCTTGGCGTCGGTGTTGGTGTTGCGTTTCTGGCGTTGCAGTACCGACGAAAGGGAGTCCAAGAGAAGGTGGAAGGGCGTCCAGAAGCATACCCCAACGAGCAACAGGAACAGCCCGGAACAGTCAGTCAGTCAGAGCAGTTGGTGCCCCCGTCGCATCCGCCTTTGAGCAAGCGTCGACATGGCAGCCGTCACATGATGGCATCATCATCTCCATTTCGGTGTGTTTCCACATTGAGTAACAGCAAACCATGGTATATCAGACGTTGAAGTCCTGATATCTCATAGAGTAGTATCGCCTACCATACATAGTAATGGCCGAGGTATCAGGCTTGAACTTGAATCAAGGTTTGACACCTCGAGTTTCCAACAGGCGGGTGCAGACAGGTGAGTGGCCAGTCGACGTCCTGCCCTGTTGCCGCAAGGTAGTAGGTGAGGTGGGCAGTAGATCATTGGATCCGAGTCCCGACACATCATCGGCAGCGTGGAAAGATCACGACAGATCACGACTCCCTCCCCTTTTTACTACTACTACTACTACTACTACTACGCCCGATGAGGCTGGCTGTGGATCCGAGTGGATCGAAAGTCGATTTCCTGGTGTCCACCCCCATATCACCCCCATATCACCCCCATATCATTGTCAAAAGTGGCATTGTTGAATCCAAATCGACTCCATCAACATTATTGGCCGTCGACGTCGTTGCTCTCATGTGATCTATCCCATGTGTTTCCGATGAGAACTTCGGCTTCGCCGGCGAAGGGTATCTCCTTACCTTCGCATGTACTGCATCTACTGCATCTGATGTGATGGTCGGGGGGGGGGTGTGGATATACAGGGCACCGTCGACAGCGCCAACAAATATGAGACCTGCATCGTCCGTGGTGCACTTCAGTATCCATGTACAGTCTGCCAGTGCTGTAGGCGGTGGGCTGTCAAGTGAGTCCGTGGAGTAAGCTCGAGATAACTTACATGTACTGTAGAGGTGAGTTGAGGTGATAACCTTGAAGATATACGTGGGCGAGACATGGCGAGTAAACAAAGCCGAAAACAACTAGCGAATAACAAGTAAAAGCCAACATGCAACATTCTCTGGTTGACTTGGGCTACGATCCTCACGCCATTGAGGACGGAATCCGCGAATGGTAGGGGAGACACGGCGTGTGCTCAGGCCGAACACCCCGGGATTCAACTGCCCGCCTTACTTGTGGCCCATGCTCGTCACTGCGCAGCAGACAGCGTCAAGGAATCAAGGATATTTGTTGAATACACGGATGTTGATTGATTCTCTTGATTGTTCTGCTCTGCGTGCAGAGATTGATCATCTGTCTTCTTGGTGGGTCAGATGCCCTGTGCGTCTCTGCCCCACTGGAGATCTTCCGGTGTCTATCTCCGGCTCCCATTCAACACATTCGTGCTAGTATCTGACAATATTCCCTTTACTATTCCTCATTTGGCAGAACTTAGTCTTGTCATGGTGGATTGCCTCGGGGTTCAATTTCAATATTTGGACCCCGGCCAACGGCCTTGCGTCCGATGCCCCTCAAATCTCCGAACGGCTCGAGGCGCAGGCGTTACCCTCGCGCAGATCGTGTCACATAGCTCGTCGTCAAGCAGAACCGCAGCCATACCTCAACATCAAACCGGTGACGCCAATGACGTCTGTGCGTAGACCAGACCAGTTACTGAGACAAGAGAAGTCCTCGTGAAGGCCTCAACCGCATCGGTGTGGTCCGAAAGGGGGAGCTGCAAAGAACACGATGTGGCGGAGGTCAAGATAACGATGGAAGCTCCATGGAAGCTGGAGGACTAGAGGAACTGGGGGAGCCCATGCTCGTCTAGTCTCGGCGTTCTTGGTGATGGTCCATTCGCGCTACATAACCCTACCTATAACTGATGTTACATGATCCACCGGGCATCAAAGGTGGAACTTGCTATAAGGTAGTCTGTAGATAATACTGTGACACTACTTCACCTACATATCCGATGTGACTTGTGTGCCTGTGGGTAACCCACATGCTAGCCTCATATACCCAGCCACGACTTCGACACCTGCAGACCCCATGAAGCTTCAAGGCGATCCAGGGACTTCCTCCATCCCTTCGTACAGAAGACGCACTGACGCAGGAGGAATGCGTGCTTGCAGGTATCGCTTCTTGGCTTCACCTTCTCTATGCGTGACGACATCAGGTTGGCCTTCATATCCAACATGGAGCATGTCAGTTTGCGGTAGGCTATCACGAGTTTCCGGAATCAGGGATGACGGCTGTTGCGAGATATTTCGTGATGGATGTCGTGTCGTACGATGGGTCACATCTCTAGCGTTCCAAAGTGCGTGCTTCGTCTCTCGTCATCTTGTCCCAGAGTGTGTCTATACGGGGATGGCACACATCCATATCTGATGGACCCTCAGCCATTCCTCGGGGACCCTGAAGCCCAGACACGATCCATTGTCGCTTTCATCAATCTGGATATCGTCTTCAAATTGGATGATGATGCGGCGAGGGGTGGGTCACATAGATAGGTACTGCAGAGCATTACCGCGCGACGGATACGGTAGCGTTTCCTGGCTCGCGCCCATACAAGCCACTTCTCTTCTTTTTATTATTATCATCATCATTACTGTACATGCGCTTCGCACAGATTGTTCGCTGTTACCCCTTCCATATTTCTGCCGGGTCTACAGTACTGGCGACCTTGGGCAGAAGAGGTTATAGTCGCCGCCGTATATGAAAGTCGTCATCCTGGGCAAATGTCACTCATGGAGCAGCTAGCCGTTACTAGGTATGTCAGTGGGTGGCTGGGTAACAGACTACTACCACATGTAACGCCTCAGCCTACAACGAAGGGCGCTCTGACGGTTTTTCTTCAATACAATTGGTCAGTCTCATGAGACCTGGCGAAGGGTGTGTCTGGGTTTCCTCATGATGACGGAACGTTGGTCGGTTCCTCACATTTCTACAAGTCACAGAAACAGTAAGCACGCCTTCATAGGCGGCCTTTGGGTTTCGTTCAGCCAAGACTCTCTATCACGGCTATACAGCGCCGTCGTTGAACGGACTGACCTATTATAGGATGAGGGTCTTTATTATTACTCCAGGCTCAGTAACAGGAAGCAACCTCCAGGGACCAGGATTCCAGCCAGAGAGGGAGTGAGTGTCGAGTGTGTGACCAAGATCTCCCATAGGTAGGCGGGTAAGCATGCCGCTATCTTAGCTCTAGCCGACATAGGATGATCGTCCGGGAAGAAGATGTTGCCGACACCTTAACTCAACTCAATCTGCGGTACAGAACACGTTATGCCATCCGGTCGATACGAAGCTACAGCATATACGTGGGTAGTGGGTATACTACTGCGTACCTATTCACAACGGCCTGCAGAACAGCGCCCCTGACATAAGGCACGGTGGTGGATCGTGGTTACATGTACCTAGCCAAGGCCCATGGGCCCTAAACTCGAGCGGTGTCTTCTCCGTCTTCTTCCCTAGATTTCCCATCTTCCCCGCTGTCCCACCACCGCAAGGCGCCGCGGCCCCCCCAGACCCTGGTAACGATTTGCGGATTTGCTGTCAAGGATGGAGGGATCTTTGTTCGTGATCCCACTTCGGCTTCTGGCACATGAGAAGCCCCAAATCTCCACCGGCGGATAAGCTCGAATCCTATCGCGCACGACCGCTTCTAATGCTAGCACTGGGTATCCAGCGGGACCACGGGGATCGCCATCACCGTCCCCGTCACCGTCACCGTCGCCGCCGCCCGCGCCGCCGCCGACATAAGCTTTCAAGTTACACTGCGGACCCTACCTCCCTGTAACACCCACATCTTCAACCCCGCTACAGCCTGGATGTACTAGGAGAGTAGTACCCACTAGGAGAGCGTGGCGGATGGGCCATGCTATTCAAAGACAGAGGGTCGGTCTCGCAAGTGGACTGGGCACACACTAAAAGAAAGATCGGACCGAGGCAGTGATTTGTGGAAGGCTATTATTGCACGAACAACTGGATCATGACAAAACAGACAACCCTCTCAACCACCGACGAGCCCTTGCAGTTGCCCATGCCAAGCACTCTTCATTATTATCCCGATGCCGTTTATCCTGTCCCAGCCAGGGTGGCTCGTAGCTTGTAGCTTGTAGGGGACAACAGGCACAGCACAGCAGAGAGAGAGGCAGGGAGCTCTCTCACACACACACAGCACTGAAGATGAGGAAATAAGGAGGCAGACAGGTGCTATTCCAAATCAGACACCTCCCGCTGTTTGATTTGAGCTACATACACATGTTGGCATCACGTCCTACGCTTCAATTCGCGTTTCTCTTTCGTCGGCTACTCCTGACACCACAGACTAATACCAGATACCTTCAGTACTTGCAATTCGACCTCTATGTCATAGACGTGCCTACGGGAGTCGTATGGCAAGCCATGGAGTAGCTTCATCCAGTCCGTCCCCATCGTCATCCTTTTCTTTGCCTCCCCCCCTCCTTATGCACCTCCTACAGTAATGAGCGAGCTCATCTGGTAACCGAGCGGCGGGCGAGGGTCATGTAGGCTGCAGCCGAGGCAGGTGTCCTGTAACATGTAGCATGTGTCCTGTGTCCTGCACCATCCTGCACTCCATCTTCACTGGCAAGCCCCCTTACGCATGATATGAGGCAAGCTTGTGAGCTTCTCTCAACAACAAGAGCAGCAGCAATATCACCATCGTCGTTGCCCGTACCCGCCGGCGAGCGCCACAACCAGAACCACCTCGCGAACGGCGTCGGCAACCTCCAACGGCCAAGTCGCCAGCGGAGTGCCATTGCATCAATGTTCCCAGAGTCGTGTCTCAGGCCTTGCTTTGTTGGACGCGCTCATCGGCTGTCCCACCCTGGTCCTCTGGTCCCCTGGTCCCCTGCCCGAACCTGCAGCCTGATGAAGGAATCGCCTTCGCGGTCGCCATGCTGCCATGTAGGTACGAAAGTACAAGTTGAGATGGCGTTCCCTTGCACCCCGGTCTTTGCATCGCAGTAGTCCTGCAGGGCCATCCCCGGCCGCCGTTCTGCTGCTTCAACTTGCTCCTGTCGCCGTCGAGTGAGGATACAGTACTAGTATATCCCGCTGATGTGAATTCTGGGTGGCCCACTGCTTTGCGGCCACGCCATTCGCTCCCCTCCCTTCATGATCCCCCATCTTGATCTCCCATCGCCTCTCTGCCTCTCGACTCTCTGCCAGCGCGCGCGTTGCCCCCCAAAGGACACAGGGCCGACCCCCCCTTCCCATCCTCCATGGGTAGATGGGCATGGTGGCTCTACGACATGCACGCTATCGCCCCCTTGGACGGCAGACCCGTCAAGGGTGGACGAGGGTTCTCCTGCATGTACCTTTCCCGTACCGTGCCGCGCTGGACACGGTGGGGCCTGGACATGGAGTTCTCGATCAAGATGCCATTCCGTGGGCAGCAGAGGTGCTGCCTCATAACATCGAGCACATCTCAACCTATATCTGGTCTTCCCATTCGCCTTCGTCCACTACCCCCCCAAGCAATGCCAATGACCTCTTGCTTTGACGACCAACTTTTCCATATTAATGCCATTTACCCACACCAGTCAACTTCCTCTGAGCTGAGGGACAAGACATCTCAAGCTACTTCGAGTCCAGAGACACCATCCCGCCTCCGAAATACCCATATGCGTATCTGCTTGAAGCCGCACCTGCATTACTCCTCAGCTATAGTACATACGTTGACATGACGGTCTCCGGTCCTCCACAGCCGAATCCGTCCAAGGACGCACAGGCGGCCCGCAAGCGTCGGAGACGGGCACCGGCCGGAGGGGCTGCCGACGACTGCTTTACCTGCGTCAAGAGGAGCACGAAATGCGATCGACGGCGGCCGTACTGCTCCCAGTGTCTCGAGATAGGAAACGAGTGCTCCGGATACAAGACCCAACTGACCTGGGGCGTTGGCGTGGCGAGTCGGGGCAAGCTTCGTGGTCTCTCGTTACCTATTGCAAAATCGCCTCCTGTTGCGCCTGTGGGCAAGAAGGCTGCGACGCGGCACCGGGCAAGCTCCTCGACGAATTCGAACCAGTGGAGTGACACGGAAGAGGGGTCTCACAAGAGTCGGCGTAGTGATGTCGATATCAGCGCTGGACAAGCTGGCTCCGTCCCAACGACTTCCTATGGAACGTATCCGGAATACCCAAGATTCTCCCAGGGCGAGACCATACCGTCGGCGGCACATACCGCATGGGGCAGCCTCCCAACGTACGCCGGAAACATGAACCACCACGAACAGCCGAAATTCCACAAGCTCAACACCTCGTTGGGCCACTACCCCATCCTGAACGAACCGTTATCAGGCTCCGTCGACTCACTGAGCGATGTCGAATATACTCTATCGCCCATGGCGCATTCGTTCCAAAGGGAGGAATTGCCTTTCATGAACAGCCCCACGCTCATGTATGAGAGCTATACCGGCCAGAGCTCCCCTGTTCCACAGAGCCCAGTTTCTGCCATCATGATCGACCAACGGGCACCAACATCCTGCCCAAGCCTGGTCTACGCGCCTTCGGAGCACAGCTCAAGCCTGAGCTCGCACCATGACTCTTTCGAACCGCAGATGGGCCACAGGCTGCTCGCAGATAGCGATACGCTGAGTAAGGACTACCACTATTCGTACTAAGTCGAGCCCGGGTCACTGATGATTTCTCAGGTGTTTCAGACCTGGATGGTTACAGCACCAGCCCGCACTCGACGGGCGGCCATTTCTGGACTCCATCTCTTTCGAGGGACGACGACATGACACCTCATGTCATGGAACCCACCTCGGCTCCTCCGGCTGTCTCGTACGAGAGTCACTCGATACAGGTTAGCCCTGATCTCATTGCTAAGATGCCGTTCTTCATGGACTATTACGAGAACATCATGTGCCCGTCCATGGTCCTCATTGACGGGCCGAACAATCCCTTTCGAGACCACGTCCTGCAGCTGGCATCGAACAGCCGAAGCCTCCAACATGCCATATGTGCCCTGTCCGCCTGCAATCTGAGGATGAAGAGAAGGCTAAGCCGTGGTCAACACACCAGGAACTCTCCGATGGCAGAAAGTGGTGGCTCTGATCATGTCTCGGATGCGCAGTCGGATCAGCATCCCTTGTCGGAAGAGCACCAGCACCGCAACTTGGCGGTTCACCTCCTGAACCAGCAACTAAACGACCCCACGAAATCGTGCCACGACTCCGTCCTGGCCACCATCCTTCTCCTGTGTCATTACCGAATGGTTGAGTCTGGGGTGGCCAAGTTTGCCACGCAATTCGCAGGTGTCAAGAAAATACTGGATATGCGAAGCTCAGCCCCCTATCAGGCCTCGAGCGACTCTGCGTGGATGGAGGCTATTTTTACCTACTTCGACTCGATATCGGCCAGTATCAACGACCGAGAGGCCCAGCTCACCCACTCTTTCTACGGCCTTCCCGCGGAGGCGAATCTGCTACCCCCGGGCGCCGAAAACTGGGTCGGCTGCGACAGGGAGCTTTTTAAGACTATCAACAAACTTGGACGTCTGAACCTCTTATCTCAGCACCGCCCGGTCCAGAGCGTTATGACGACGCCTACGGGCCGTGTTGGGATTCCACATATCACTTCTCCTTTGAGCTCTTCACCGGGGCGCGTATTGAAGCAAGATACCTCAACGCCGGATTTCTTCAGCGTGGGCCCACATCGGTTCGACGGCAATGGCTTCTCGTCGCAACTTGACGACGAAGAAATGCTGTCCTCTGGCATGTGCTCGTCACCCAACTACGACGACCATCGCTCGAGCTTCTGGCGCGAGTGGAAAGATGCACGCATGGCTCTACAGAACTGGGAGTTCGATGCGCAACGGGTTCTAGCCTCGCTCCCCAACTCGCCCACGCAGAGCCAGATCCGGGACCTCAACTCCCTGTCGGAGGCTTTCCGCTACGCCGCTCTCCTCTACATCGAGCGTCTGGCGTCCCCCAACGTGCCCTCGAACCACAACACCTTCCGCAACCTCGTCAGCCAGGTGGTCTACTACGCGACGTCGCTGGAGTCCGGCAGCAGCGCCGAGAAGTTCCTGCTGTGGCCCCTCTTCGTGGCCGGGAGCGAGTGCGTCAACGAGCTGCAGCAGAACATCGTGCGCAACAAATGCCGCGACATCATGGGACGCAGTGGCTACATGAACAACCTGGCGGCGATCGACGTGCTGGAGCGCCTCTGGGCCAGCGATTACCAGCACGCACCGGCGACCCGCGGCAGCAAGCTTGGCATGAGGAGAGGTCCGTTCAACTGGACGAAGTGCATTGGGGGGCCCAATGTCAACGTCGAATGGATCATGTTCTAGAATCGAAGGCGACGTGACCACACCCAAAACGGGGATGTCTTGAGAGTGTCATGGGATCGGAGTCATTCGGGTCTTGGTTGATTTATTCCCCATTTTTATCGCCTGTTTTGTTTTCCTTTGTCTTGTCTTGTCATGTTTTTCTTAATACCTCCTGTCACGAATGTAACTATAGAAGCGCGCGCATTGGGATCACATGGGTTATGGCTTTTACGGTGTTACGACCTGGATGGATATGGACTTGACGCTTGGATTCCACCTTTCGAAATGTACCTAAAATTGAGGGAAGCAGGCGGGTGGGTGTAGATAGGTAGGCATGTCAGTATTGGGAACAATGAGCCCAAGAACTGTCAATGAAGGTATCAACCGAGCCATACGTTTGTCACTGAAAAAGCTCCCGTGATCCCGACTCCGCGTTCTGCCTCGATGTCAGATGAGCAGATCTGACATCTCCAATCAATGAGTAAGACGTCACGCTCCCTCTGCCTTGCCTACATGACACCCACCACACCAATGGGTCGAAGGGTAGCTTGTCAATCCGTCAAGGATAAGCTATTATCTACCTCGTGTCTACCTCAGCAACCACGGACAGACAGCTGATCGAGAGATGACGAGCGTAGTCTTGGCTCTTGTCTGAATGGCCTCACTGACCTCCTTACATCATGCCTTGACAGCAGTTTGATGCCAGATAACCGCAAACCCTATACTACTACCTTGGCGCGGCTACTACCTTCTCGAAGCTTGGAGGCTTGTCGATGATCCTCCCCCCCCCACCCACACTGCAGCTCAAGCGAGTGTTTTGCCAGCGCTGGCAGGCGAGGAGCTGTCCCGTCTTGGACAGTAGATAGATAGTAGATGCCAGAATAGACGCAAAGCAGACGGGTAGACCATAATAAGGGCCAGCATGTTCATAACGCACATAACTCTGCCCACGTACCAACCCAGTCCTGCCGTCAACGCGAACAGACGTCAGCTTCAGTCAGTCAGCAATCTCAGCCCAACTCTGGCTCGCACCCGCACTAGAGGCTGAAGAGCCCCGTCGACGATGGAACCTGGGAAGCCCGGCTCAGGAGTGATACGTAGACTAGGTACGCAATAATCAGTGGACTATGGTGCCGCTCAACAATGGATGCTGATTCGGGGCCCACCCACCGCCGTCAACCAAGGCTTGATGGCTCCATCTCGTCACGATGTTGAGATAAGCTAGGGGCTGCCGCGACGGGGAGTGTGGTTAGGTAGAGAGATAGGACTGGGTTTGTCTACATGCTACTGACTGCTGCTGTTGGCTGCTTGCTGGGCCCATATACGTGTACGTGTGGGCGTACGACATGCATACGGACTTTTTGATACAGATGATCGCCGCCGCACAACTGCTCGTCGTCACGGTAACGCAACCGGTCTGTGGATCACATGCCAGCGAACTGGCCGCATGGCTGCCTTCTTGGGACTTGTCATCAACTTACACTGTCTTGTACGTGAATGGCCGCGTTGCCGTCAGCACGGCCAGCTGAGCTCACGCGCGGTTGCACAGTCACACACCTAGCCTACCAAGGTTACTGTAGGTAAGCTACAGACTTCCGACCTCAGCTATGATACGGAGCCTGTAGAGACAGATCCGGGTTTCCTAGCCCCAGCCCCATCCTCAGCTTACCCCCCTTTACAGCTGCCTGGGCCTTACCAACAACATCATCACCATCATCATCGCCGACGAACCGGAAGCAAGTTGCTTCTAAGCCGTCAGGCACAGGGGCCACGAACAGGCAGGACTTGAAGCTCGCAAACTCCCTATCCTCCCGGAGGCCCGCTCTCAGCCAGACCAATCATCCAACCAACCTCAGTCAGACGAGGCAACAGTGAGTGGTGCGTCTGACGTGGGCGGCGGCAGGGGGAGCTCGGATCATCGGATCCTTCAGATCTCGAGCCGTGAGTGACGAGATGTCTGACTGCAGGATAAGGACGAGGAGGAGCTGACGAGAGGCGTGAGTGGGAGGGAGGAAACAAGGCGGGCGGGATTCAACGGCCGTGTCTGCTCAGCCTATGAGATCAGGCGAATCGGCGATACCCGCAGGATCGCAGGCAGCAAGGAGATCAATAGATAAGATCCAGCTGGGGAGTGGATCAGGCCATAATATGTCAAATATAAATCTGACCAGACGAGCATTCCCATTGGACTGCTCGCCACGGCTCAGGCGAATCAGTGCACAATCAAATGGAATTAAATCGGTCCAAGTCATTGGAGGACGAGCAGGATGGGAAGAAGAAGAAGAAGAAGAAGAAGAAGGAAAAGGTGGAGAGGAGGATGAGGCAGGCCTGGACTGAGACTCTTGCAATCCGAAATCGCCGCCAGCGAGCGAGCATCGTCGTCCGGGGGTTTGTTATTACGGTAGGATATGATAGACAGAAACGGAGACCGTAAGAAGGTCTGTAAGCTGAAGGGGAAGCCCTAGCCCAGCTGGGTATCTGTCGATCGCTGAAGAGAGTGGGTGAAGACGTGGTGCATACTATATCACGAACCGCCGTCAACGATGCTACTGCCAAAGCACACAAGCATGTGACTTACAATACCAACGCCAACCCATGCATCGGCCATTACACGGTTAACCGAAGGGAAATACACCCCCTATCGTGACATGTTCCTCGTCCTCTTCACTTTCCATCGACGTCCGCATCATCCTCAGAGTCCTACTTCGATGTCAGACACGTAACTGCACGCGCCATTAGCGCAGCTCGACATGATCTGCGACTCCAGCGTCCATTTGTATGCCTGCACCACCCAGCCAACCAGCGCGGACAGCTCACAGCCCTCGGGATCGGCTGTTTGTCTACTGCTTCTGTTGAGCCAGCTTCGACGTGCGAGCTGCCTGCATGATACATGCGAGGAAGGAATAAAGGGACGCAGAAGGGAATTGGATATGCAAAGAAGAATCTACCGAACTGCAGTACCGTATCCACCGCGCAGGTAATGCCAGTCTTCCGTGCATATGCTTCGACATATCTCTGCTTCTGATGGCTCCTCCCTAGATACGACTCTGCGCCGTTGTACCGCCCAGCAGGAAAGACACGGTAAGGTAAGGCAAGGCAAGGCAAGTAGCCAAGGAAGCTCACCAGAAAGCACCCGCAACGGCCGGCCATGGCCGCTTCGGCGGTTTCCAGTCGCACCATGGCTGCCGATTGGGTAGTGCTCGAGGCGGCGCCCCTCTTCGGCTGCAGCTGCACCGCCGTGAGACTATATACCCTTGCCCACCTGCATGTCCGTGCCCTTGTCTGCAACACTCCGTGATGGTGAGGGTGCCAGGGTGGGAGCTTTAGGTGGTGGTGGTGGTGGGTGACAACGCGGGGGGAAACGCATGGGGGTCATTCGAAGCTCGAGGATGGATCATGGGGGGCAGCAGCAGCAGTAGTGGCTTCAGGGTATGTATGCTTGTGACAGCGTCACAAGCAGAACGATACTGGTGGATATGTATGCATGGTAGTGCAGGTACGGGAAGAGGTTGCATGGCAGGTCGTCTGTCACTCACATTGACAGGCCACGGAAATCATGGAAACACACCATGGAAGTAGAAGCAGCTTCTTCGACCACTCACTCCCCAACCCCCCAGCCAACCAGTCAAGTGGGTGGTGGCATGGAATGACCTTTGCTCCATACGCAGGACGCAGGAGACGGCATTGTCTTGGGTGGGAATGGAATCTTCAGTCGTTCACCTGAGACCAGGGTCAACCCGCAGCAACTGCACACACTACTCCTTAAGGAAATGGAAGGGTCGGCAACGGTAATTGTCAATGCCATACTCCCACTCATCCACAACAAGTGATAGATGCCATCTTGCACAGCCCCTTTCTACTCCCCGATAACTTGAGTTAATACCCAAGTGGGCGAAACTTCCGTGTCGGCGCGGACGTAGTAGCAGCCACACTCGTCTCGTTTCGAACATTATCATGTCGATGTCTCCATCGTAGATTACATAGGGGCTACATGCGTAGGACTTTGCCCTCGTACTAGAGTAATGACAGATCGATCTCGAAAAGGAGGGTAGGTAGGAATCGAGGCACTGCTCCACCATCACTACCTCTCAGTCCTCCACCCTTCGTTTGGTATCACCAGAGGGAAATCGTTCTCTTCTACATACATACATCCACGCCTTGCCTTGCCCTGATCTACGCAGGCCTGTCTGGACCAAAGAACCCGCAAAACCCCCAGGTGGAGATGATACGGGATATCCTCGTATCGACCTGGCCAGAAGCCCCCGGCCGCCGCCGCTTGGATGCTTCCCTGCTCGATATCGCACAGGAAATGGCCCCCAAGCCTCTCCACCTCAGTACTACTGAGGTGGATAGGAGTACGGTACCACCTGAGATTCGCCTTTTCCCCTCGATTGGCTCCCCTTTATGGAATGCGTCCGAATGGACGGCCGGCGATCATTCTCGGGGCAAAGACACCAAGTCGGGTTACTATCTCCGCCACCGCTCGACAGACGGCAACCGGGCCAAGCCAGGCTACCGACTTCCACTTCCACTTCCACTTCCACTTCCACTTCCAGTATCAGGGGCTGGAGCAGGAGCAACGGTCGTGAAGATAAGATACTGCTGTGTGTAGGATGTTTGTTTCGTGGTTAGTCATGGTATTGACTACACGTTATTCGCTTTTGATAGCCGCCCATGGCATGGGCCTGTACCATCCCCCACCCCCTAACGGGACACACCCCCCACCGGGACAGCCAAACCCCACAACCACCACCAAAAGTCCCCTACCTCACTTACACGGATTACAGCCCCCTTTGAGGCTATCTATACGCTCTTTAGATGGTTAGATAGCCCTTTTCTTGGTGTTTAGCCGGATATAGATTAGTGAAGTTTCAGCCATCGGCATCGGTGATTAGGAGCCTCCGTGCCCCGCCCCTAAATGCAAATTTGCTGTAGAATTCTCTCTCTGAGTCCCTGACCCTTATGCCACCACAGCATTGTGAAGCCAGCCACGATGCCTCCGCCCACGTACACTGAAGATAATGTGGCGGATGCCTGGCTAGATGTGACAGATAACGGCATGTCTGTGAGAAAAGCCGCCCAAAAACACGGCATCCCTAAGCAAACGCTGTCAGCACGTATCAACGGCAGAGTCACCCGAGCCGAGGCCCAGGTTAGCAAGCAGAGACTCTCCCCTCAACAAGAGAGTAAGGTGGCTCAATGGATATTGCGCCAGGAGTCCCTAGGGCTTGCCCCTTCTTACACAGCCGTGCGGGAGATTATTGTACAACTGCTGAAAAAGGGGGGGGATTTCGCATCACTGGGCCCGAATTATATGGAGGGCTATAAACGCCGTAACCCTATCATCCAGACTAAAATCGGTAAACGGATGGAATCCGCTCGGTTTAAGGGGTTCACCCCTAAGTCTGTCAACTGGTTCTTTGACATATTGGGGGATTATCAATGGGTGAAGCCAGAAAATACGTATAATGTCGATAAGGGCGGCATCATGTCGGGTTTTGATTAGTCTTTTAACCCCCTATTCACCCCTATCCTGTCAGTTAATTAGCTAACCCCTATAGGCATCGATTCCCTAGTCTTAGGAAGTTCTGAGACTACGAAAGCCTTCCTAAAGAGTCCCTAGGGGCGTGGCTGGACCTCCTTTATCGAAGCCATCTCAGCCACGGGAAAAGTTCTCAAACCAAGCATAATTTTTAAAGGAAAAGATCTCCAGGCCCAATGGTTCATCAAAGAATTCTGCAAAATCGCGGGTTGGTACTACATAACGTCAGATAACGGCTGGACCAGTAACGAGATTGCGTGCCTATGGTTAGACCACGTTTTCCTACCCCAGGTGGATGCTGTACGAGAGGAAGACCAGGCAGAGCCGATCCTTTTGATACTAGATGGCCATGGTAGCCATACTTCCGTACGTTATTTATTTTTCAGGGGTTGTTTAATCAGTTAATTAACTGTATAACTAACAGGACGAGTTCATGTTGCGGTGTTATTTTACCAACATCTTGCTTTGTTTTTTCCCAGCCCATACCAGCCACGGCATGCAACTACTAGATAACGGACCATATAACGCGCTCAAAGCCTACTACCAGAGATTTCTTTCGCAGTTGAATTCTCTCATAGATGCCTCGCCCGTGGATGAGATCAACTTCATCCGCTGTTATTTTCAGGCTAGGGACAAGACTTTTTCTAAGCCGAATATCCTCTCGGGCTTCCGAGTGACGGGGTGCTACCCAGTTAGCCGCAGGAAGTGTTTGAAACACCTGGAAATCCAGGAGGATAAAAGAAAGACCCCAGAGCCAGAGGAAGTTGAAGACTCGGAGCCAGAAGACCAGCGGACCCCTACCACAAGCCGACAGATCATAGATTTCGTAAAGAACCGCTCCCCAGCCACTCGGCTGAAATTCAGGAAGATCTCTCACGCCTTCGAGAACCAGGAGACGGAGCTGGCCCTAAAAGATCATAAGATCAAGGCCCTGGAGGCTGAACTAGAGCGGCTACGGCCCAAGAAGAGGAAGAAGGTCCCAAATCCGAACTGGAAGTTCATGAATATGACCGAGATATTGGCCCAGGGGGGGTGACCCGTTAAGGGCCGTGGTTATAGAGTCTTCAGAGTCAGAAGCAGAGCCAGAGGTTGTTAAAGATAAGGATGAGGAGGAGGAAGAGGTTAAGGAGGCTGAGGAGGGTAAAGAAGCCCCTATTGCAGAGCCCCAGGTGACGAGAAGCGGTCGGTTAATTAGGGCGCCAGATAGATACGTGGATTGAGGAGCCTCAACACCACAGAATGATAATTTTGTTGATTTCTTTGGGCATCTACAGCCTCAATTGCGTGTAAGTGAGTAAGGGGGTATTTTGGTGGTGATGGTGGGGTTTGGCTGTCCCGGTGGGGGGTGTGTCCCGCTAGGGGGTGGGGCATGGTACGTGGCAGGCACTAGTGGTGTGATAGTAGGCAGAAAGATCTATGTGCATACGATGTACTAGGTAGCAAGAACACCCTTGCAAGGCCTCGAACCGTAAGGCAGTTCTAGATACTATTACGAAGCTTCACTTCACGAGTCGTTCGTCTGGGAGCTAGCTATCAGATGGGAATAGGACGTCGGGTAATGCAGTGACCTGGCAATGGAATGCAAGTACACCTCCCTCGCCTTACCATGCACAATCGCGCCTCTATCTCTCCTCAGGTTACAGATCTAATAGCTTGACCCGATGGGCCATGCGAAGCAGACTCACCGAAGACAACTGAGGTCGCAGGAGGCTCTTGCTGAACGCGGAGTACCATCGAGCACAAGTGTTTTATTAGTGATCTCAACTGCAGGAGGCATTACAATACTCACACACGCGCTCACCGCAATGGTATGGATGTATTACATCATAAGTCTTGTCCACGCAAGCGCAGCCAAACCCTCCTGAAGAGCCCCGCGGAATACTGGGCCAGGCGCCCTTATCCTATGACTTTCAGATCTGGTTGCAAGATCCAGGAATCGAAAAACTCTCAAGGTTGCCCTTCTAGACATCATAAGGACTATACCGTCTGCTTGAGATATCTAACGTGATGCCTGCCTGACCACCCCCCTGGTATCAGCTCGATATCGAGTAAGGCAGTTATCACCCTGCCGGCCAGTCTCGTCCCCTCCCGTAGACGCGAGGGGATGTTTTTGATGTTTCTTGGAACAGTTGCGCTGTCGAGTATTGCTGGTTGACATTGAACACGACACATGTGCTGGAGCCATGCGGATAGGTAAGACACGGGCGTGAATCGGCTTAGCTCACCCATGGCTCTGGTCCGTGGCTCTGGAATGTGACTCTGGTCTGTGACTCTGGCGTCTGTGACTCCCCGTGATCGGGGCTAATGGTCAAAACTGTAAGAAACGGATGCTTTATCTATTGATATAATGATCTAAGCAGGAGTCCTAGCCACCACAATATCATGTCTAACAGTCGCCACTCACTCCTCTGGCACCTCTGGCACCTCTGGCTATGATCAACCCCTAAACAAGGTGTACCGACCGACACAGTCACAAGCCCAAGCTGAACTATGGGCAAGGTCGCTGAATTCCAGAACCGGGGATCTTGATCAAGCAAGGAAGACTAGATTAGATCGATACGACTGATGGGTGTCCACGCAACCTCCATTCCCTCCAACAAAAGCACTAGCGACCACCGAACAGCAAGGAAAGGACCTTCAGACAAGCGGGACAAATGCTTAGCACCAAACTTCTCAGATCAGTGGAGCGGCCACACGACCAGGCAACCCATTGCTCGCACCCCTGGGTTTCTCCTGGATCTGTTTCTGAACAAGCACCCTCAACCCATTACCTCGGGGGAACCCGGAGAACCACTCATGGTAGGCCTTCCAGTCCTCGTCCTTCGTCTGATACATGTACATACTGAAACCGGCGTTGGGGCTGAACAGGCGCGAGACGGTGAGATAGGTGTCGATGGTCGCGAGCTCCATACCGAGACAGAGTCTGGTGCCACGACCCCAGGGCAAGAGGTATCGGTTCAGGCGCCTGCGCTCTTCGACGCCGGCCCAGCGGCCGGGCTGGAACTCTTGCGCGTTGGGGAAGATGGAGGAGTCGTTGTGGATATCTTGTGTCGTGGTCGAGATCGTGGTCTGTAGTGGTGGGATGTTTAGCAAGGCTTCAACCATGGGGCATGAAGAACGAAGAAGGCACACTTACACCGCGGGGAATAAACCATTTTCCATACTGGAGGTCCTGATCCTCACACACTCGAGGCAGGCGAGTGGGGGTTGGATTGGCAAGTCTCAGTCCCTCGTTGACGACACCAGTGATGTATGGGAGATCTTTCAGATCTGAATATTCCAGGCGAGCGCCTTTAGCCTTCTCAGCATCACCGAGCTCTTCCATAAGTCGGGTTAACTTCTCAGGATCATTCAGGAGGTAGGCTGTAATGCCGACAAGTAGACTGGCCGTCGTCTCTGTGCCAGCCATAATGACACTTCGCGTTTCGGAGAAGAGACGCGGGAATGTCTTCTCCTCGGGAGGAAGAGACGAGGCCATCAGCGTCTGGACCATGTCGGGATTGGTGCCAAATGCTGGCTCTGGCTTATTCATTGACTTCCTGACGCAGCTGGCCATAGTCTAGAGCACTGTATTTAGTAAAGGTTCTTTGCGACACGGCCCTTTCAGAGGCAACATGGATGACTTACCCCCATCATCCACTTCACCCTACCAAAAGCAGGGTTCATCTTGCTGGCAATAGTCTCGGGGATACTATGCAAAGCCGGAAGCAACATTCCGTAGGTGTGCCGACTCCATGTACTGACTTTGACCACTGTCCTCACACTGAGATTGAACTCGCGGTCAAACGTCGGCTCGTCCAGATGGCCAAAGGGGTGATTGAAAGCGAACCCAGTAGCGACATCAGTCGCGAGACATCTGAAAGCATCGCTCAGGCTGACCACGCAACCGTCTGCGGCGGAGAGGCGGTAACATAGCTTGTCAACCTGAGCCACAATCGTAGGCATGTACTTCTGAATATTGGATGAAGCGAAATACGCCTGTAATGGTGCACGACGCAGTTGGTGCAGGGCATGTGACTCGGCTATGTTCGTGGAAGGGAACTTCCCGAAGAAACGGTAGTAGAACCGCCGGGGCTTGGATGCCTTGGCTGAGTATTTGTATACAGCGTTCCAGTCCGAGTCGGCGATATGTACCTCCCAAGGGTTGATACGAACGATGGGACCTGGAAAGTCGTCCAGGTGTAAGCAAAAGTTCGCAGTGTTAAGTGAGCTTCCATACCATATTGCTTGTGCATCTCATTGATCTTGATCCAATATCTACCTCCGCCTTCCACGAGACATTGGAAGTAGGCTTCGTAGAGGCCCGTTGATGCCGCGAGCCGCGGGCCGGGGAAGCGAGAAAGAGGGTGAAAAAAGAGCCGGTAGGCAACCACCACGGCTGCTGCTATGAAAAGCGAGAGGGCGGCTAACGCCAGGAGCCGGGTGCCATCAAGGCCGGAAGGAAAGAGAAGACTGTTCATCTCGGGAGGATGGGCGGTCAGCTGATTATCCCTGAGCAGATGAGATAGGGATGGCTGTGCTTCTCCGGTTGTTGAATCCCATGGATATAAAGAGGAGTTTATATCCAAGACCTCCCGGAACCCGATGATGGCTATCACGTAACGTCATGAGGACGGGATCTTGCAGTACTGCGGGAGATGAACCGGACTCCGCCCCTTGAGTGCGGACATCATACCCCTGAGCGCTCAAGGAAGCCGACACTCGGTCACTATCGCCAAATCCCCGTGTGAGTTCGACCTGTCGTCTATCCAATAGATCAACTGGGATAGCTAGTACAAGCAGTTCGCCTGGTTGCAGTCAGATGGAAGGTGGTGGTGCAGCCCCTGGCCCATTTCTGTTCTTCACAATCTCGCGGTTGAAAATACCGATTGGTACAGCCCCAAGCCTATTCTGTTCTTCGGTTCTTCCTAATCTCGAGGTCGGAAATGCCGATTGGTCCCTCATCGTCACTTGGTTTGTTCGGATGCATATCGGACAACGCTAAGAAACATTCCGATATGACGGGTGAGAAGCCAATCCGGGGTGCTTCAAGGTTAAGCCGGGGGCTTGATGACCGAGACACTACCGTTGGTAAGGTACGGTAAAGGGCGTTCCATCGGCGCTCGAGTGTATAAGGTTTGCGGCACTTGCGGCACTGGCTAGCTCTACTTACCGTATCTCAGATCAACTGACGGCCTAAGGGGAATTTAGCAGACTCCACGAACTATGATCTCTCTTGGGAGCTTCATGGCCGAGTCTCACTTCCCTAGGCGGTCGAATGCATTGATCAGACCCGTCTCCCGGTGGCATCCGTCGGTGGCATACTGTTGGTGGCCGGGGTTGCTTCTCAACCGGGCCGGAGCTTGGAAGAAGCTTGATGCGTAACCTGAGCAAACCCTCACGGTCCATTGCACCTAGAGCGTGATATATCACGAACTGGAATATCGGACTGAGGGAGCTTGACACAGGCTTTGGTGACATGCGCCATATTTCTCGACACGCGATGACGTTGGCGTTAAGAGTCTGGATCATGCTTGCCGTTCTAGCCGACGGAACTGCAGAGGAGGTCCGTGACTCTAGCTTATGTCCAAATGCCGCCAGAAGGCCGACGTACTCCAATCATCGTGGCCTTCAGCAATGAGGGTGGTGTGGAGGGCAAGCCTGTATGATCGAAAGAGCTCTACGACCGAGAGCTCTATGATCGAGAGAGCTCTCGGCCCCTATCGACTAGAAATGGCCATGCAGCCTCCTCAACCTCACGATACATAGTCCTGAGCAAGCTATACGTTGACTAACGTGGTCGATGAAGCTCGGGGTTCGACGAAATATTGATAAAGGGAGAATTGATGTCGTGTTGCTGCTGGCTGGACGGCGTACATGAATTGATGGCGGGCAGCTCAAGACCAAGCCAAGATAAGATAAGCCACTATCTTATCTTATCGTCCCGCGGCAAAATTTTTGGTAGACCGCCCAAGATCGTGAATTAGAAGCTACCTTAACCATACCTACGCCTACCAAGTCTTACTACCTTATTTACAGCACATCCGCACATTGCACCGTCTAGAAACCCCGGAAGCCGTGATCTGGGAGCTCTGCCATCGCGACCATACCCTGCCAAATCGAGCCCCCAGCACCACACCGCAGCCATGGGCCGCGACCTCCAGAAGCGCAAGCGGCGCTCCTCGCGCCCCACCATGCGCCAGCCAACATCGACGAAGTCCAACCGACTGCTGAACCCGCTGGGCAACAGCATCGTTGCGAAGAACTGGTACGTCCACCCCGTCTCATCTCCCGCGGGCAAGCAAGCACATACCTACACAACCCGTGCCGAGCTTCTTCCAACCCCCTCCCCACTCCAACAGCTCAAGATATAAACCATACTAATCCCCCCTCCCCCCATCGCAGGAACAAGAACGAAACAACAACGCAGAACTACCGCCGACTGGGCCTGATGTCCCGCCTGAAGGCGCCAACCGGCGGCGTAGAACCGCGCTTGCAGCCCACCAAGTCCCAGCAGAGCAACGACGACACGCAAAAAGCAAAGAAGCTTTCCACAAAACCCACCGACCCCTTCGCCATCAACCCGGCCGGCAGCATCGCCGCCGTCGTCAGCGAGGCGCGCGTCGAGCGCGACGAGAGCGGGCGCATCGTGCGCGTGATCGAGGACCCGTCTCTGATAAAGCGGCGGCGCGCAAACCCGCTCAACGACCCGCTCGTGGCGTTGGATTCGGACTACTCTGACGCCGAGATCTCCAACTCCGGAAGGGAGGACAGGGCCGCCGAGGAATGGGGCGGTATCGACGAGGAGGACGGAGAGGGAGAGGGCAATGCGATCTTCAGGCAGCTCGCGGCGGAGGCCAACCGGCCGGTCGAGAAGAAGCCCCGCGGGCAGAGCACGCGCGAGGTCGAGTGGCTGGAGCGGCTGACGGAGAGACACGGCGCTGACACGAGGGCGATGGCGAGGGATCGGCGGCTGAACCCCATGCAGCAGACCGAAGCCGATATATCGAAGCGGATTCGGAAGTGGAAGGGGGAGGCTGCGGCGTAGGGTCGAGCTGACGACTTGAGTAGGTAAGGAGTGACTGCTAGGCATTGCATTGGACGGCGTTTGTGGCGTACGAAAAGGGGTAACAGCCAGTTTCCCAATGACTCCAATTTAAATAGCTAGAAGCGCTCAAAGATTTGGCGTTGTCGACTCTGTTTTGTCTAGAGCAGAGTGAGTGCTCCACGAGGGGTTTACCATGTCAGAATACAAAGTCAAGCTTTAGCAAAATCAGACTGCTACACATGGGCAATCTTCACAGGCAACCTTCACAATGTCGTCTTGCCGAAAGTTCCATTCAAGCAAATGTCAATTTCACCAACCGCGGATAACACTCTGGTATCTCGTGCGTGGTGAGCATATCCGGAACACCGACCACCAATGTCAAAGCCAAATTTATGTCGTGATGCCGCGCCATTCAATCCCGCTAGTTTGTATCCTGTCACAAGCAATTCATACAAAGCCCCTGCACCACCTTGCCTGCCCAGGTTTCGGCTAACCCATCTCTCTCTCGAGTCTAAAACGCTTAATGCAGCGTCCTGTCGTAATTCGCGTTAGGGAACTGGGCCGGTCTCCCATCATCATAGTCCTCCGCTACAGGCGGGGCATATATCTGCGGTCCTGTCGATGGTGCCCCATAGGGGTCGGCGTAAGGGTCGGTATGCGGCAGCGGCGAGGTGCTGTGCGTCCGGTAGTTGTTGTCGAAGGGGTTGTCGTTCGAGGGCGACGCCGTGTGTTGGGGGCGATACGAGGTTTCCGTCTCGTACAAAGGTCGCGCGCCGAACGAATCAGGGTCGTATGGATTATCGTGACCATCGTGGTGATCGTGGTGGTCGTCGTGGTGGTCGTCCAGTTGTACCGGCGCGTACGCCTCCTCGTCGTGCGGCGCCATGGAGAAGGCGGCCTTGTCTGGGTCGATGTTCTGGCGGCTCAGGCCGATCTTCTCGTAGCCCGGGAGGTCGCCGTTTGCCTGGTAGTACCGCAAGGTGTACGCGCTGACGGCTGTCGACAGAATCCATAACAGCCTACGGGTCGTGTTAGCTCAAGAGTCTGGAGAACAGCAGTTTTGGCAGGGGTATCTCACATCTCGAAGAATGCTATTCCGACTACGGCCTTGCTAACCTTGCAGCCATCACCACACGAGTTGGCGGTGTCGTATGCGGCCTGGCTGGCAAATGCAGACAGCCAGAAGATGGCGAAGAGGGCGTCGAAAGAGACCATAACACTAGGCAGGGCAGCCTTGCGCGTCCGCTCGAATCGGGGAGTCATGGCCAGGTACAGCCACGCGGGGATGGACAGGAAACACTGTGGTAGGGGGACTTGTCAGCCAATACATGTTGATATGGACGAGGGCATGTTGTAGCCGGCTTACCAAGCCAAATGGCCAGCCATTGTTTCCGTTTATGGAGGCATTGTTCGCTTTGAAGACTATGATCTCGAGGATAAAGATGACCAACGCCAGCACCACCTGGGCGATGTGAAGGGCGAGCTTGACGTTGGGCACCTTATCCGGGTCGAAGTCGAGTTTCTCGAATAACGCCATTGTTGTTATTCTTGTGTAGGGAGACCGCAGGCAGAGAATGCGTTGCGCGTTGTTGTATCAATCCTTTTCTTGGTGTTGGCAGGCTCGCCCAACGTCTAGGATATACTGATAAGCTCGCTTGCAGGATAGACAGGCCAAGCTCGCGACGTTCGTAGTTGTAATTACGGGGCGAGGCTCGGTTCGGTTTCTAGAAAGTTTCAAAGTGAAATAGGTAGCACAGGACCTGGCCGCGGGTGTGAGTTGTGGATTCGTTCTTTTGTTGGCGTGGTATTCGCGTAGGACTAGGGTAGGTAGACGGAGATGGTCGAGGTGAAGTCGTCGTCGCAAATCGTGAAGTCAAAGTCGGAAAGATCAGAAGCCTGGGTCAGATCACTACTTATGAACTGTTGTTGTTTGTGAACTGAGGTCAATTGGCTGAGCCGGGTGGGTAGATGACGACCTGGGAACGCGCGGTGCATGAAGGCAAGTCAACTTATTACCAGTCAATTCAGGGTTGTTCTTTTTGCAGCTCAGCAGCTCAGCCCCCAGCAACAACACAACGACACAGCATTGAGGCAGAACAAGTGGCTAGCGCACCATCTCGAACTGTTGCGACACCGGTTCATCGCCTTGCACTGCCATTCGGTTGCTACGGCTAAGCGCTAAGCCACACCATCCGCGGGCCAGTTAGCGCTGTCGCAACTGAACAGCCTAGCTCGGGGCGCTGAAGCAGCCGCCAATAGTCACTGCCATTGACGCCATCTTCCAACCTTGGAACCTGCATCTACAGTCTACAACAACTCAAGATCTTCCAACTCAAACTGGAACCACTCCTTGTCTCAGTGTCTACTTGTTGCTGCTTCGAATGACTTCTCGCTTCCCAGCTCTCTTCATATCCTGCCAACAACATGCCCAGATCTCAATGAAGGTCAGGATGGAGCTGCGTGCACCGTATTACATCATCGGCCAATATTCTATGCAGGCAACCCCGGCATTCTCCCGCCATCAGGTAGCGAGAGCGAGCCGTCGTTGCGGTCTTCCGTGACGTGAGAAGGTTGCAAGCGGTCGCAAGCAGCCGCACTGTTTTCTTCTCTCCCCTCCGAAGACGTACGCGGTCTCTGGTCACGAGCCAAGATCGAGTCAAGCCGTCAAGGTACCGTAGACCCGGCAGACAGGCTTGACATCGCTTCATTGAACTACATCTGGATACATATCACAGTCGCCTAGCAACTGCCTAGCTCACCTGTCTCTTGGAGATCACCTTCACTGGCCGAACATCAGTGCGAGGGTTCTGTCTGGAACTTCAATGTGATGGGTCCTCCCTTGATATTCTTTTCTTTTCATCCCAAGGGCCAAGTGGTCTCAAGTCTCCCCGTTCGATCCAGGATGCGCATTTTTCGGGGGCATTGTGCTTCGTTGCTGTCTTTAGACATTCTGAAGAAGTTCAAAGTGGAAAATGACGGGCAACCCCGTGATTCAACGTTGATATGTAAACGGCCGGCTCGGCAGTCCGAGATAGGAGCCGATCATCGGCGTCAATGACAAGGGCGTCGCTCCACGTCCGACGCTAACCAGATCATCGACAAGGCGTACGATTTCACCTCATCCTCGACTCTTCAACCCACCAGAACACGTCTTTGAGACATACAGGCTGTCGACTTGGCGATTACGGATGAGACACCTCTCCCGTGTGGCATAGAGGACCCAAGAGACAGCGCGCAGTCAGGCACTTGGGGTGGCGCAGTCAAGCGAGAAGCGTGGCAAAAAGTCAGTTGGAGCACATTATCAGCATGGCCGAAAACGAGGGCATCTCTGCCCAAAATGTGCCGCCTGCACTTGCGGATGGGAGTTCGGCCGCGGCAGAGAGCAACGAGAGGACACCGCTGTTGGCCGAGACAAACCAGCAGCCCGGCACTAACGACAATGAACAGATCATTATTGTCGAAGAAGTGAAGGGTGCCAAGCTTTGGATAATTCTCTGCTCGTGCTGGATCGGCGTCTTCCTGGGAGCAATCGACTCGACCATCATCGCCACTCTATCCGCTCCGATCTCGAGCGATTTCAAGTCTCTGAGTCTTCTATCGTGGCTAGCTACAGCGTACCTCATCTCGAACGCAGCCTGTCAGCCCATCTCCGGACGCTTAACCGATATCTTTGGCAGGGGCCCTGGCCTCATCTTTAGCAACATATTCTTCGCCGCGGGTAACCTGATATGTGGTTTTGCACAGGATGCCAATGTCATGATATTTGGCCGAGTCATCGCTGGAATCGGCGGCGGTGGGCTCATGTCCATCAGCACCTTTCTAGGGACCGATCTCGTTCCCTTAAGGGACAGGGGAGTTGTTCAAGGGATAGGGAACATCTGCTACGGGGTTGGAGGCATGCTCGGAGGTGTTTTTGGGGGTCTCGTCAACGACAATTCGGCTTGGGGATGGCGTCTTGCATTCCTGGTACAGATCCCTCCCGTCATCGTCTCGGCATGTCTTGTTGCATATCTGGTCCGAGTCCCTCCGAAGGTATCAGAGAAATCGTACCTGGCCCGCATCGACTTCACCGGTGCCTTGTCACTGATTGTGTTCCTCGTCCTCCTCCTGCTTGGTCTCAACGCGGGCGGTAACATCGTCCCTTGGGTCCATCCTCTGCCGCTTACCACGTTGCCGCTGTCTCTCGTGGCATTCGTTGGTTTTGTTTCTTGGGAGTCTCGTGCCAAGCAGCCGGTCATCCCCGTGCGGCTCCTCCTCGACAGGACAGTTTTCACAGCATGCATGACCAACCTTTCGTGCTGCATGGTTAATATGATGGCCCTCTTCTATGCCCCGGTCTACCTCCAGACGCGCGGGAGCAGTGCCACAGATGCCGGTCTGGTGATCCTGTTTGCTCCTATCGGTATCTGCGTCTGCTCAGTCGGCAGTGGATATGTGATGAAGAAGACGGGTCGTTACGTTGGCCTCGGCATCTTGGCCGTGGCTCTTCAGCTCGCCTGCGTCATCATCCTCACGACGCTAAACGAACACTCTCCAAAGTGGCTTATGATGGTCGCCTTCCTCCTCCTGGGTTCCGGTCAAGGCGCCATGTTAACAATCACTCTGCTGGCCTGTCTCGCGGCCGTCGACCACTCGCACCAGGCGACAGTCACGTCCGCCACGTACGCGTTCCGGTCTGTCGGCGGAACCGTCGGCATCACTATCGCGTCCGCCATCTACCAGAATGTGCTCAAGACACAGCTTTACGACCGATTTGGGGACCTGCCGGGCGCCGAGGACGAGATCCGCAGGATTAGGGACGACCTGGGGGAGCTGAAACATCTCCCCGAGGGTTGGTACGATGGTGTCATGGCGGCCTTCATGGAGGCTTTTCGGAGTGTTTGGTTCACGATGTTGGGACTCATACTGCTAGGTTTGATCAGTGTGTCTTTGATGAAACAGCACAAGTTGCATACGACGTTGTCGCGTGCGGAGAGGAACTGAGGGCTTGGCTGTCCAGTGTGTTTTAGTAATACGTAGCTATTTGCTGGCTGGCGCATACCGAAGATAATCGCTGGATATAACTACTGCATAGCATAGCGTTAGGCTGTTTGACCACATCATACCGACACAGAATTCAAAGCGCGATAGAACTGCCACAATGAAGCCATAGCCAACGTACTTTACCATATGGGTCCAATCAATACCCGATACCTTACCGCAGCTGAATTTCAACCACTACGTACGCAAACAGTGTCCACTTGATTCTCTCCAAAGAAGAGTTCGCGACTCTGCCTCCTGATTCGCAAGATTGTGATGCATGGTTTAGGCAAAACACATCCCAAGACGACCACTGGCATACTATGACCCGCGCCGACAATTCCAAAGAGGCCGCTACATCTCAACCATCTCCTTCTGTCGCCTCCGACCCACCGTATTGTCTTCCGCCTCTCTCACTCCTTCGCATCTACGCCAACTTTCAATGTGGCTGGACTGGCGGCTTCAACCCCTCCCGTGACGGCCCGGTGCTGTTTTGGATCTTACGACAATATCGGTGTACTTGTTTATCAGCACCCCGCCGTACCCCTTCTTGATCGGGTGCCGTACACCCATTGCAGCGCGGCCGTCTGCTGCATGGTCGGGGATGAGGGCACGAACTAGGAGAACTTCTCCTAGGTGTATGACGTCCGGGATACTGGTGCGTGTTGGTCCAATTAGGGGGGAAGCGGCGTGGTGGTTCAAGAGATGGCTAGACGTTCTGTTATTCAGGCACGGCTTGCTGTGAGTAGACGGCGACGGCAGGGGGAGCTATGGTGCCAGTGTGTGGAGCGCAGCCACCGCCCGCCTGCAACGCGCCCATGATGATCATGTCGTGCGCGTGGCCGCCGGCAGTCTGAAGAGACCGGCCCATGACATACTAATGGAGGTATGCATAGAAGGGTGTCGCGCTTTGTCGATTATAGGTGCTTTTGAATTGGAGGTGTCCGGACCGTCGACTCGTCGAATTGCTTGCTTTATGCATACATTATGAGACATCAGCTACTCAATGGGATTATCGTCGTATTGTCGGGAATGTGAGTAAGATATATTTAGCATGCAACTACGTGGAAATCGGTCGCATTCATCCCTATGAGCAAAGTTTTCCGCAAACAATGTAACAAAGGAGCGACCCAACTATCAGAACTCCCAAGTACACTTAGTTTCAACCAGAGCAAATCTCATGGTTTTCACCGCATACTTCAATATTGCTGCATTTTAGCTCGATCCTACCTTACAATACTTCAATTGAGCTCTGATCTGCTTTGTTTCCCATAATGTCCGCCTCAAGGCCGCCTGGAGAGCTCGGCGATGGTGAACTCGACGCCGAAATGCAGGACGCCCAATCGCGGGAACCGCAGAACTTTGAAGAGTTATATCGCTTCGAGAACTATGTACATGCCCAGTACCAAAGGGGGCGAGCGAGGCCCGGCCTGAGCTCTTTCCCGCCAAGTTCGTTGTCCTCGTCTACCCATTCTGCTGTGTGCATCCCTGTATTGGCATGGCACATGACCGCCTGGCGGATGACATCAATACAGTGGTCTGAGCCAAACGAGTTAGAAGCAGCTCCTTGGACGTGTTCATGGGTGAGAGGAATTACCAGCATGGCCTGTTCCAAAAGCTGCTTGGTCGCCGAATCCTGGGAAGCGTGTCTCATAGTAGTCCCTGTGTACTAGTTTTCGTAGATTGTTGAGGCAATGCAGATAGTGAAACACGCCAACGGCACCAAGGTAGTCACCGCCGTTGACCTGTACTCTGTTCATCGTATTGTTACCCAGACTTGCTAGTTCCTCTTTGCTCACGCGGACGTTGAGGGCTTCATTTCGTTAGGCGTGTACATGCACAGTCACTTGGGTACAGATACTGACCGTAGAGCAACTCAGACCATGCAGCGTCGACTTCTTCAGAGGGTTCCTGGTTCCAGGGATCTTGGGGCGGATACCACTCCCGTCGTTCCTCAAATTGCAGGAAGTCGCCAGGCAGTGCTGGTTTCTATCAGCAAGTAGTTGACAATGGCGGTGACTTGGAGGGTATCTTACTGAAGTGATGGTCCATGGCCTTATTGTGTGGGCATTGGGCCGAGTATGCGACATCGAAGGTCAAAGCCACTACCAAATAGAGCAAAGACAGGAGGATCGCTATGAGAAGAGCGTCTTCACGGATGAATTGGCTGACATTCCGGCGAGGGCTTTCTACCACAATTGTCTCCTTGAATTCCTCGCTACTTTGCAGCAGCGGCTCTTGGGATTCTTCAGGATAGTCCCCCATAGCTCAATAGGGGTAGACAGGAAGGAGCTGGAGTTACAGGTTCGATTCAGTATTGTGGTTGAATGAAAAGGTAAATAAGTTCGAGTGTAGAGCGGTGCCTGGGTTTCCCTACTATGGGTTGGGAATGTGTTGATGATGGGCACACGACCAGTGTGGCCAACGTGCGGGACACCAGGATATCCAACAAATCGTCGATCAAGAGCTCTAAATAGAGGCCAGGGGTGACATGCCAAAACAGCGGTGCGGCTTCTTTGGTGCAGGTGGTACCATGAACGTTACATTACCTAAATTGACTGGCTTCTCCTCCCCTATCAGCTTAGAGATTAGGAGCAAAGGGCGGATCAAGTACGCTTCTGGCGCGGTGAGTACAACGTGAGGAGCAGGCAGCTCAGTGATGGATGCAGTTGGATCCTCGTGGCCGTCTCACGACATCGTGTTATTGGAGAGGATGCAGGTGGGTTTCAGTACCTAATACTACATGAATGACTTGTTCGGTCTCTGCCCTCGTTGCCGAAACTGCAGGATCCAGTACCAATATGAGCCGAGAGAGGAGGTCATGGGAATCATGGTTACTGCACCATTACCGTTCATATAAGAGATTAGATTCTCGTTCCTCTTGTACCCTTCCCAATCCAGTCACAACACTTCGAATTCGAGCCCCCAGACTTGACCCTCCAGCCCATACCACATCATCTCCACACAGCTGCACGCCGAAGCAACTACCGACAATGATTCTCCCCAAAACAAACCTCATCGCACTTCTAGGCTTCGGTCTCCTTGTTCAATCAATGGCTTTTGGTATGTGATGACGTATCCGGTCTCCAGAGAAAAGCTAAACGTCTTCAACAGGTCCAAGTCATGATCGGCAAGTCGCCAAACGTGGAAACACCGTTGTGGCTCGCGGAGCGGAAGACGATATCTTCATGAAGGATGCTCCTATTATCGACGACGTGGACGAGGAAGAAACTTGAGCATATTTTCTGCAGCACTTGGCGTGCTTGGCCTTTTCGCGGAAGCCGGTGTCGCCTACTGGTGACGCTCTTGAGAAGTTTTGGGGGTCAGGCAAGACACCAGGGACAGAGCTTCAGTCAATATTCCAATGCACATCTGAATGAATTCTGTACGACACCCTTCTAGATGGAGTATGCGCCTCTGGATAGCTTGAGCCTGCGCTTCCTGGCAAAGACCATGTCATGTGTTTGAGACTGTGATCTATGTAAGATGCATCGACTTCAAACCGGAAGGCCCCTCCTGGGTGGACGGGACTCAAGCGTCTGCTGTGGTTCAGAATTTGTAGAAGTCATTTGGCACAAAGGGCCTCTCTGAAGTGAAAACTTTTGTATTGATTACCCAACTATGTTTGACAGCATTGGCGCTTCTAGCGCACCTTTCACTCCCAGCCAAAGTTGTATCTCTCGGCAGGAGGAATGTTTCGTGCCGCTTCTTGACTTTGTAACACATTGATATCAGTGGTGATCTCAATATAGTCTCTTCTGTCTCTGCCCTAAGATTCCAGTGCTGCTGGGTCAGACCGACTACCTCCAAGTGAGGGTTTGGACAGTTTTGTCAAGGCAAACTTCGAGGTGAAGGTAGTGTTGTTGGCCCACACAAGACCGGTCCGCAAAGAACGGAATAACGGCCAAAAATAAACGACGCAAGTAGCCGAGAAACTGGTGAAGTGGACGAGTTGAACGCAAATGTAGTATGGGAAGGCTCTTCTGGTGTAGTCCGTTTCGAAGAGTCGGGGTAAGTAAGCAAGTTGACATATGGTGGCGATGACGACTCTTCAACTGGTTAGCATATTGATAGAAAACAAGGACGGCGAGATAGAACGTACAGTATCCGCGTCAAGTAAAATAGAATGACGGTCATCCTTGTGGCAAGGGACATTCGTAATGGGTATACGATACCCACGGGAATGGCAGTTAGCGCCAAGTCAGTTATCACGTTGATGGTCGTCACGTATATCAGAAGCGCCCTCTTTTACCACGTTAGTACGAACTTTCACAAACGATAGAGAGTCGAAATAGCCTCACTTGGTTTCCACACCTCCCATCTTCGATCGTCCAGGGCCATCGAGTTCCGCACTGAAATGTCGTACCGAGAAGTGAACTGGCCATCCAAACTATTACGAGGGCACCCAACGAATGTGTAAGTCATTGGTGGATCGAGCTTGGTGATAGTGCAAGGAGATTCGCATAAACGGATAGTTTCGAAAATCCAAGGCAGACGATGAACAGGAGATCCCTGGCGTATCCTATCTACACAGAATGAGTTAGTGACTGCACCATGGGGAGGTTATAAATAGGAATGGACCAACTGAACTAGTCAGCAGCTGCCTACCTTGATGCCAGAGCTTAGCTCAATTGCAGATAGCGTAGTGATTTCTCTCCCGAACATGGTGCTTGCTGGTAGGACCTTGAGCACGGATTCCCCAAGGCCGAAGCACTGTCTAAAGGTAAACGCTTGGCCGAGGACAGGATCACGTGAACTGACATAGGCAGCAAGAACCACGACATCTTCCCAGGCGAACGGTCGACTAGTCTTGATGTAGAAACGGGTGAGCTGTCGAAAACAGAGCATAAGAGACATGAACGTGATAAGTAGCCACGTTATCATTTGGACAACTGGATTCAAGTCGGAGTCGCTCACACCTTTTCCTGACCCTGCTGAGCCACTGCCGCTTTCGGCAGCGCGGCGGCTGTCAGAAAAAATGACGGAGGTGCTACGAGGATGAGATCGAGACAGTCGCGGGACTGAGCGAAACTTCCAGTATTGTGTAAAATGCTGCAAGTATGTACATGAGGACACCATGCTGCCCAACAGGTGCGGAGGAAGGCCTCCTGTAGCATGCGTTTCGTCGAGGGGGGACCTGTCCAAGAGAATTATCCAAGCGACGGGACCACCGCTCTACACTGGCTTGAAGGCCTCAAGGCTACAGGTCTGGGCCAATCTTACATATGTCACCTCGGCTGGCTGCGATCTATCATGGGTTAAGGGCATCGCGATTGGGCAGCGGAACGACATGCCTTCGTGATCTGCCGTGGCCCAGTGTCACCACAATTCAAGTAAACCGACCAATTCAAAAAGCTTAACAAGCTTAAATCAAGCAAACTATAACTAATTAGTTTACTTAATAAGGTTATTTAAGACTTGATTTAAATATAAAGGTATTAACCCGGGTAAGTTTTTCTCCGATAAAAGGTAAAACAAGTACAAATAAAGGCAATATGTACTTATTACTAGTTATCTTAAGTTTTAAAAAATACTAGCAGTAAGATTTATACCTTTAAGCGCTTGAAAAAGCCATAGTTAACTTTATATAATAGTGTTTATAACAATTTTTTTTCTTCGAGATATTTTAAACAGCTAAACGGGACTTTTACTTTTTTAGAACATCTCGTTTTAAATGATTCTAGCTATTTAAAAATCTTGAAAAAATCTTTATAACGAGATTTGCACTTTTGAACATTTTAAAAAGCCGTAGCTAGCCCTATATCATATTATTATCAATAACTATTTTTATACAAATTAAAATAATAACGTAATTAATATTTAAATTTAAGCTTTATTTCTTTCTTTAAACTTAACGTTTTATTTCAATAAAATTAAAGTTAAACGTTTAAGTTATAAAAGATCAGCCTTTACACTATTAAAGGACCTTGTTATTAATATAAAACTTGTTTCCTTAATTATATAAATAATCTTTAAAGTAATCGCATAACCATAAATAGGCTGCAAAAAAGGCATAAAGTTAATAAAAATACATGTTTTATACAAAAAAGTATATATAAAAAAATCAAAGGTAAAAATTAAACTTAAAAACTTTTTTTTTTAAAATCTTATAAGCTTTTTTTTATTTTAAAAAAGCTTGTCAAATACGGCTTTATATTAAACGTTGAATTTAAATTTAATCAAATAAAACTATATTTTAAATATTCAACAACATTGTTATGAGTATAAAACTTATTTTTTTAATCGTACATATGATTTCAAAATAATTATATAGCCGTACAAGAAAATACGCAGTTAATAAGAAAACACGCTTTATATATATATATAGTAATAAAATATTATATCGGAAACATAATAAAGTAATACTATTTATACGCTTGCTTAAGTCTTGTTATAGATATAAGGAAATTAATTTTTTGAAACTTATTAATAGAAAAAGGTCGTCTTTAAAGCAATTTTTAATTTTTTTTAATTACGTGTTAAAAATTATCTTTTAACTTTTAACGTAAATGCTTATAACGTCGTTCATTCTAATTAATTATAAGAAGTTAGAATAATGGAATTTTAAAAAACTTAGCCTTTATAATAAGCAAGTAAAAGAAAATCTATGTCATGATGCCTGCGGCGTTGTGTGAGAATCTGGTGTTGTATTCCAAAAATAACAAGGTGAGGAGGGAAAGAGAAGCCAGCCAAGGTGTGGTGCGTACACCCGCCTTATGTGATAGTCCCGTTCCTTATCTAATCTACACGTGACCTAATGACTCAGCATCCAACCAGGTGGATACAGCTGTACACCGTCATAGCTAGGTTTATTAAACGATCGAAATATTATTCGAAGCGGTTATTAAATAATTTTAACGTTTTAAACTTGATAAGATAAAAATGTTTAATTTAGGTATATAATCAAAAAGAGTTTTTCTAAGCTTTTGAATTACTTATAACGATAAGAACGTCTTTTAACGTAAGGCTGTAAACCTCATTATTATTAAAACTTATACCGGTATTATTAACCTTAAAAGCTTAATTAATAGTTACGTGGTTAAAAAACTCTTTTAACTATAAAACTAGTAGTAGCTAGTAATAACTAGTAAAAAGCTAGGCGAAAGTTGAAACTATATTAATAATTTCCTAGTTAATATCTTAAGCTTAAAGGTATAGCTTTGATATTATTTACCTTTTTTCATTATTTTTAGATTTCTAATCTTATTAATTTTAATGATTTATAATTAAAAAATAAAATAACTGGATAACTTAAAAAAGTATTAGTTTTAATTGAATCTTTTAATAAATCGAATAATTAAGGCATTAAAAAGGGTTAAGATTCCTTATCTTATTATTAAATAAGCTTATTAAATAGCTTAAAAAGATTATTTATTTAGTTAAAAAATACGACGATAGTACACAAGAACTAAGTACGTTATAATTGTTTCTTAATATATTTAAATCTATTTTTCTAGCCAATTAAAATGGTTTATTGATTTATTCCCTTTAAAAAACATAATACCTTTATCATTATTCGTTTATAATCTTCATTATTTTTATCATATTGAGATGTTCTCGTATTTATAATATCGGGGTAACGTAAGTATTTTATATAATTATTTTATTTCTTAAAAGAACTTATTTTGTTAACGGCGTAAAAACAGGAAATAAAGCGTTAAAAAATAACGTAATATGAATATTATTATAAAAGTTTAAGTATTTTTGAAAGTGATTCGAGTGATTAAGCGGCTTTACGAAAAAAGTCGAATTAAAGCTATAAAAAAAGCGCGTAACAAAAGCGTGGTTTATTTATTTTTAAATTGTAAGTTATTTCAATTCAATAAAATGTAACAATTTAATAAAGCAACAAACCTAGTAAAATAAATAATTTAATTATTCATAAGACTATTTGACACCAGTAATGATAATTAAAAGCTTTATACGACTTCGTATATTTAATACGTTTTATAATAAAATGTTAATCGTAATAATATAAATAAATCGATAAATCTTGTTAATAAAAGATTATGTCATAATTATTTAACGATATATACTAAAATTAAAAGAATTGTTTGATTTAAAATAAATTCAGAAGTTAAAGAAAACAAAATTTAAAATTTAAACCGAAAATTACGTCAATAACTTTTGTTAAAAAACGTAGATAATTAATAGTAACTATATTATAATAAAAGATAAGATAAAAATATTAACAAAAAAACCTATTAATATTGGTATAAAGTAAATAAAAGTATTATATTTATTTGGGGTTTAAGTATAAATTATGTGTTAATTATTATCGGCTTTTAATGTGTTGCCGGTTTTTTACGCTTTATATTATTAAAATGAAATATTTTTCGTGTCGTTATTCTATAAATATTTAATTATTAGTAATAAGCTTTAAAAAGACTTATTTTCTATTATAACAAAGTCGTTATTATTTATATTTAACGTATGTGGGAACAGGCTTGAACGATCAATCATAATACTTGAGTATGGGGTCAAGGTCATGATGTTGCTAATGGTTGAATTGTGAAGTCTAGCTGGACCTGCAGGTCTGGCTAAGTGACCTCACAATCTGGTATCTAATCTCTTATCTAATCATACATGTGGGTTCTATATAGATGGTTTGACTGTAGAATCACATGGATCCAACAACGTAACAATATTGGATAACATAATCTTATTACATAATTTTTAACTGTTTGTTTAATTAATCTAGATAGTTTATACCGGAATCTTTAAGTAATTTCGTTATAGTTATTTTACTAATACTATTACGCTTTTAAAAGTTTAGAAATATTTTGATAGTAATATAAAAGTGTTATTATATTTTATGTTTTATCAAATACGCTTAATTTTAAACGTTTTTTATTTAGTTTTTGAACGATTATAATCTTAATTTTGTTTAAATAATTTCAATAACGTCGATTTTTATATCAATCCGTTTAGTAGTATTAGAAATTAAAGGTTTAATAATTTACCTCGTTTATAGCATAAAAGTATATATAGGTTTAAAAATAGTATAATTTTTTAAATCAAAAATACGAGTTATTATATAAATATTTAGTTAACAGTTTTATGGTTTCTTATTATATTATAACATTACGAAGTTTGCTTTTCTTTCAAAAGTGAACATAGTAGCGGATGTCGTAGTGGGTATATCTAAAAATAGTTTTAATTATTAAGTCAGGTCTAAGTTATCGAAAAATTTTCGAAATTTTTAGGCTCTTTGTGACGGTGTACAGCCGTATCCACCTGGATGGATGGATGCTTAGTCATCAGGTCACGTGTAGATTAGATAAGGAAGTAACGTGACCACCACTTAAGGTGTGTTCTGCGCACACCACCTTGCCGGCTTCCTTTCCTTCTTCACCTTGTTATTTTCGGTCAATCCACCGGATTGCAACACAACGTCGCAGGCATCTTGACACTCTTTATTTATTAGATTTTTTTGTTCTTAATATATTACGATAAGCATATTTTTACCCTGTGTAATATTTTTATTTTTATTAATAAATTCTATTAATATTCTAAAATCGTTATCATATTAATAAGTTATATCAAGTATATTAGTTTTATTCATTTAAGTAACCCTTCAAAAACTTACCGGTATTATGTTAAATCTTACGTCGATATTTTTATAAATCTTTTTTTACGACTCTAAATAGCTATATATCGGTTGAGACTATTAAACTTACCGGCTTTTAAAATATTTTTTAATAAGAGAAAAAATGAATTTTCATTACGGGTTTATTTTTATAAGAGGTACGCATAATAATATTTTAAAAAGTGTATTGATTATCATAATATAGTTAAAATACGGTTTACTCAAAAAGGTTTTTTTTTTAAATATACCACCGGATTTATAACCGGTATGTTTTACTTCTGATAATTGTTAAGATATGTGCTTTATAAAAACTGGTTATTATGACAATAAGTCGCTTTTTTAACGCTATAATTAAAAACTTTTATTAGCTTTATACGTTAATATAAATGGTATCTTTACTTTAAATATATTATTATGCCGTATTAATTTATTTTTTGTAAGCATAAAAGTAATATAGTGGTATTTTGAAAAATTAAGAGTTATTTATCAGCTTTAATATTAAGTTCCTTTATTTATTATAACGGCGAGGATTTCTTTACACGTATTATATTAATAACTTACTAGGCTAATTGTATAAATGTTTTATTCAACTAATAAAAAATTAACGTATATGAAAATAAAGTATTAGTATAGTAATGACTTTTTATATAAAAGTGAAACCTATAAAATAACGTTGTAAAACTAAATCATTTATATGTGTAATAATATTTAATAAGAAATTATTAGATATACCAAGCTTGGGTTTATTATTAATAAGTTAATATTCTTAAAAGGTTCGTTTATAATCGTTATTATTATCCTATTTGTAATAATTACTCAATGTTTCACGCGGATGTGTCACAAAGCGCAGATGTGAAGTGGACGTAAAAGTCCTGCTTTTACTATGTACATGTAATAATCTCTCGGTGAAAAAGGAAAGAAAGATCTGGTCCACCAGCCAATTCTGGTGGGCTAGAAGATCTTTCAGTCCGACCCATAATTACCCAATCTAGTGGCAGTCGGAGCCACACGTCCATTGCGCCAGGTCACCTGATGCTGCGCACTGACCACTGCAAATGGGATGTCAGACCTGATGGGAGGTCAGACTATCACAGGATGAAATACATATTTATAATAGTTACTAAGGTATAAATTATAGTTAAGTTAAAGCTGATTAAATGAAACATTTAAAGTAAAAATATTATATATTTTTCACAAGTTGGCTATTTAAATTAATAAATGAACTCATTTTAGTAGCTTATATTTTTATTTAACTTATAAAAGAAAGCTTATACTTTTCATTTTATAATAATATGTTTATAACTTTTTACTATTAGAAAAAAAAAGTTATATTGATAACGGTACACGGTTAAGGTTTTACTTATATTAATTCACTTTAATTATTCAAAGTAAATATAGTATTTACTTTTAAAGGGCCAGGAATTGAATTTATTAAATCGATTTCAATTAATAAATTTTACTTTCTCCTATTTAATTCGTTAAAAGATAGTTTATTATTCTTATTATAAGTGTTTATTAAATTGACAGTATTCTATATAAATAAGCTTTTTGGTTAATATTACTCATTTAATAGGAAATATTTTCTTTATTAAATAATGTATTTAAAAATTAAGTGACATTTTTAACGGTTTATACGTTTATTTATAATGTGACGAGCCGTCTAACCTATAAGGCTAAAGGGTTTTATAGGGTTTATGTTCTGGTATAAGTCAACACAAAGGATGATAGAGGCTTCTGTCAACTAGAAGACACTCAGATACTGGGGCTTGGTCTGAACTGGGTTCACTGTGTAATCGAGTCGTCAGGAGGTTTCTCCCATCTTAGGGTTGGCTAAGATGTTTAGATTGATCACTGAGGTAGAGACTGTCTATCTATCTAGCTGGGAGATGTCCGTTCTTATATATCCAATCTCTCCCTCACTGATGGAGTAGGATCACCTTGTCCCAGAGTGATGCTCACTGGCTCACTCCCTGATCCAGTGATCCTGTCACGAAGCGTAAAAATGGAGTGGACGTAACAGTCCTGCTTTCACTACGTACGTGTAAGAATCTCTCGGTGAAGAGGGAAAGAAGGATCTGGCCCACCAGCTAATCTAATAGCAGTTAAGGCAACACGTCCTGTGCGCCAGGTCACCTGATGCAGCGCACTGACCACTGCAGATGGGGTGTCAGACCTGATGGGAGGTCAGACCCACTTCGTGATGCAGTGATCCGTCACGTGACCTTTTGTTATTTAATCCGTAATACCCATTGTCCCGTTCCTGGCTTCTGATTCCATTGGTTCTTGGTGTACTCCCCTTGGCCCTCTAACAAGCCATGGTATTTATTGGTTCGTAACAGCTAGTTATTTAGTATAAAAAAGCCGAAATTTAAAAGGTATTATTTTTTTGGTTTACGAAAATAAGCGTTTAATATATTACACAGTAAAAATTTTAGATAAGGCGTTTAAGATAAATAAAGTCAATGAATTAATAAATAAATATATAATGTTTAACAAAAATTCAAATAAAGATCTAGTAATAGAAAACAAATGGTTAATAAAGGTGAGATTCTAGAAGAGTCACAAGCCTTGGGGGTGTGAGCGGTCCTTGTAAATATTGTTGTCATTCTCAAGTATGCTTGGTAGGGCTAATTTACAGCTAAATACCATATTGCACTATGCAAGAGTGGATCCACTGGTCCCACTATATCTGGGATCCAACATCTGATAATAAGTAATAAAAAGCGGCGGAAAATGACTATTATAATCGAAAAGTAGTCGTTTACTCCTTATAAACGAAAAGATTTCGTTTGTTAAAAATTGAAAACATTAAAATAAAGTATTATATAATGTCTCGTCGTTAAAAAGATGCTATTATTTTATAAATTGAAACTAAATATATTACAATTATTTACTAATCTATTTAAATCTACATTTTTGACCGATTAAAATAGTTTATTAAATTATATATTTATATAGCTAATGTATAACTAAGCTACGCTTAATGACGCTTAACTACAGCTATAAATAAACGCAGTTTATTAAACGAGGTTAATAATACCTATGTAACGCTCGGCCGTACACTTAATAATCGCGATTCTTGTAATAACGTTTATAGCTACCTTTATTAAAAAATACATCTTTTAAACGTTATAAACAAGCATTAAAAACCTACGCGAACCTTTAATTTCTTATTAAAGAAAAGCTAATCGTAAGATGAATTTATCAAGTAAAAAAAGCTCGAGTAAAAAAAAAAGCGCTTAAAGTTTTTAGGTTATTAATTTCCGTGCTGTTATAAATCGCGCCCCTTAAAAAACGCTGCTTTTACTTTTCATATAAAAAGTTATTATAGCTTATTACTTATAATATTTCTAAAAAAGCTACTCTTATTTTTTTCTATAAAAGTAGTCGCCTATGTTGAATTATATTAAAATAACCTTTAATATATTAAAAAAATTCTTTATATTAAAGTTAAATTAACGGGTAAAGACTTGTTTTAAAAAATAAATATAAAGCGTAAATATTACGGTAATTACGTATAATATTCGAAATTAAATAATCGAATCAATTATATTACGAAGTATAAAGCGTACTTTCGTGATACTTATATATCTAGTTATAACACCTTAAAGTTAGTAATTTTAGAAGATATTAAAAGCTTTAAAAGGCTTAAGACGAGCTCGCAAATATATAAAAGTGCTTTAAAAGATTAAAAACATATTATAAAATGGTGTTTAAAGGTTTTAAACTAGCGATTAGCACTAGATTTACTAGGTTTGCCGCTTTATATATAAGGAGATCTCGGCAACCATCTCATTCAATCACAGTTCTTTTAATATATTACATTATTCCCTTTTAAGCTCTAGCAGCCTCTAGGTTAGTATATGCAATATAAGACGTTCATCGAAGCGGCCATAGTCGGTGCACTAAGAAACCGGGTGTACAAATGGGAACTGGATGCGATGGAATCCGTACTCGTCCTCTGGCAGGGTTTCAGGGTCATTGATGTAGAGGTCATCCCTATCCGAGCTGATGTACCAGGCCGCGTACCAAGGACTCTCTTTGACGTATTGTTCGTAAGCATCGATTACGACTTGCATGTGGTAGTACTAGTATGAGCTTCTTGAATGACAAGAGAGACTCTCTGATGTTGCTGAGTGGCGGCACAGGGGCAAGATAGTTCATTATTATCCTATACCTATGGTGGAATAGGGGTTGGCAGCGTGGCGCGAGGACTGTGTCGATTCTCCACTTTGGACCCAGGACGTCGACAGCCATGAATTTGATCTTCTGTCGAGTGGCTTTATCCAGAAAGCTGAACATTGGATGTGTAGTCCGAACTGGAAGTAGAAAATGACTACATCTCAGTTGACGAAGAAGTATCTCAGATCAATTCCATCATGTGGCAAGTGGGTGACCGTGACGCTGAGCAACCCGTAATGACCTTGACATAAAGGGAAGATTCGCTATCATCGGGAAGGCGCACAAGTTGACGACCTTGCATTTCTTCTTTCCTGGCCTCATGCCTGACTTGCATGAGCTGCCTCGCGACCGAGAAGGTGGTGAGACGGATCCTGTCAAACGATGCATCAGGAGGTGAGGCCCTGAGAAGAAGACTAGCAGGTGTCGCGTCTGTTCGGAGTCGATGTGGACTGTGACCACCAAAGACAACAGTATGTACAGAGTAATTGGAAGCTGCGAGTGCTAACTGATGTTTTTGCGTGATTGCTGGGTTCAACTGCTCCTATCAATGTTGAGCAGAGACCTGCATTCCCCATCGTGGTCCCTTGCCCTGACGTAGGTTTGAATTGGCTTCGGAAGCCTCGATGAATGTAGCACAGAGCGTGGGCCGCTTGCCACGTCCCATAGTCCTTGAGACTTCGGGGGATCACGCTGCTCCGCAGCTTCCGATATATGTCGCATACTGGAACCAAGCTTGCCCATCATGGTCTCTCGATCAATAACTCACCATTCACACACTTCGAGACCACGGACACAGCTTTATCCCAATAATCATCGATTGCAAAGCAACATCGGCGTGCGAAAATCTTCTACAGCAAAACGTATCCCACATCAAAACAGCAAGACATATCCTACAGCGATACAGCAGACAAAGCAACCGGCACGACCCATAGAACCTTACCACCATCGGCCTCCCTTATCTCTCGACAAATCACGATCGAGCAAGCCATAGCAACGTCGACCACCTGCGCCCTGCACCATGTGTCAACATCGCCGGATACAGCCCTGGTGCGATTATGGACGCCATTTCTTCGGTCCCCAGAAATCGCACGGCTGGACGAAATGCCAGGCTGCGCTAAATAATCGTGTGGCACCACAGTCATGTCCATACAGCAATACGACAGTCTGATTAAGAAGAGGCACAAAGTCATCTGCGATGCCTGCCATTCAGCGCGGAATGTCCAGCCTCCATCATAACAGCTGTAAGCCAACTGAGCTTGTTCAAGTGTGGGTTTGGCGTCTGGATGCAGAAGGGCGGCCCGGCAAAGTGTCTTTAAGTGGGATAGACGGACAAGCGGGTTTGAGTACTGGTCAATTGCGCCGAGCATCACGTTCAGTTCAGGCAACTCAGGAATTCCAACAGCGTTCGGGGGACATTAGATGGTTGATCCATATGTTATAATTGTCACTCTTTACCTCCACTCCAGTGGGTGGAACTTTCATTCTACCCAACCTCTCCTCTCGTCTTCCCGTCGTGATATAATGGACGGAGGCGGGAACCGAGATGCTCTGCTCCAAGCGCTTTCCGGTCTGCCCAATCATCGAAACTCTTCCATTCCGATTTTTATCGATCAGTTCGTCCGTTTACTTGCGTGGCCTCCATGATGACAAGCAAGTCGGCCTTTGACATTTCTAAAATGAATACCTAGGCGAGAAGTATTGATACATATGCCTATGCTGTTTGCCGGTAGCAGCTATAGCTCTACCACTCATTGGTTTGAATAGAGTCATGTAACTCCGAATGGATATTGCCTATCAGGAGGGACGGCGTCGATACTTTACCATAGGTTTATTTTGCTGCCAAGACGTAAGCAAAGGGCTTCCCCTTAAGTGACGGTGGCTCTTAAGTGAGCAAAAACCTCACAAAATACGGGCATAGTAGGTGTATCTCACCAAGCCAGGGGTAGCGTGGGATGAGACAGCATTACTGAACTGGCACTTTTTGGTTGATTAAGCATCTAGAGCGCCCTATTCAACGGCGGCACAGAGGTCTAAACCCCAAGAGATCTCAACCGCCTGCCACGCCGCCAACTCCGCATCATCAAGTCGCAGTCCCCGACCCATCACGCCGCTCTGGGCGCTACACACCCATTTCCAGGCCTCTCCAGCCTGGCATTTGATAGAAGCAAAGTGGAATTTCAGCTGACGTTGTGTGCCAATCTTGGAGATAAGTACGACCTGGTCGAGGCCGAATTCGAAAAGCCGTCTGAAGAAGCTGGTCAGGTACGCTTCATTGACCACTTCGGCAGGACCGGAAAGATAACCACGCGGCAGCTCATTGACCGTGGCTGCTGTTGCGTCTTAATTCTGTTGAGGCGCAGGAGAGGGCGGCGGCCGCGACCAGCCACTCTCCCTTCTGCAATTGTTCAAAGAGTCGATCCACCGCAATGCGGTTCCAGAAAACAATTTTTGCAGCGGCTGTTCGGTGAGTGCCGCTCGGCGCGGTGACATTGCATCTGTAGACTTTGCCCTTGCCGCGAATCGTGGCCAGTAGCATTCGGACGGTACAGTCGGGGGGCAAGTTGATGATGTACACCGAGGTGCTCTGTTCGTAAGGGATATCCGCGGATTGATTGGCGGGATTATCGGGATTTCCTTGGTAGTTGCTGGTCTGGGGGACGACTGACTCTTTGCCGGCCGCTTCGCTGTCATCTTGGGGAGTAGCTTCGGTCGCTGTGATCGAAAGGCTTCGGGGATGGTGCATGGCCTGTTGCAGAGGCGTCTCGAATGGAACGAATTGGACGCCGACAGGTCCTCTCGTGCGTGCAGGCAAGTGCTCCATGATCACTCCATCCCGGACAATCCTGTCTCGAAAACCGAAGGGATCTCGATAGATCCAAATTCCGGCCATTGCCTGGGGGTTGGATCTGCTCTGGAAGGGGTGTTAGCAGCCGGAAACTCGACTTTTCCAAATTTGCACACTCACAGCCTGGTGAAATGACTTCTAACTTCCCATTACAGCAGATTGAGAGATGGTATCGATGATGTAGTGTTGCGGAATCAATCCTGGTGAAAGTGAATAATGATCGTGCTTGTGGTTGAGCAAGAGGAGATTTGATAAGTGCAAGAATTTGTACGGAAATTTACAGCTTGTGCACAAAAAAGAACAATGCAAAATGTCAGCCATTGAAGTTCACTGAAGTTTGGATGACAGCAGGGTGGTCGCCGACAGCGTAACTGGGGAGACGCAGGCAGTGCTGTTCTGTGGCAACGGCCTCAACAACATCATCAACAAACAATCCATATGGACACCTTCAAGATAGCACAACGACGTACGATCATGCGATAGCTTGAGGACAACCTAATTATCTGCCATATGTATCAACCTCTGCAATTATATTCTGGCCTATGGAATAATGTAGGGGCCAGAGACTTAGTATGGTCGATGATGTCGTAACGCCTTACTTTACTATATATTGCCCGTGGTCTAGCGTGATTCGTGTCCGAAAGTATAATGCAAGATAGGTAGGTAGGATGGCTTGCCAATACTACGAATTTCGGGGAATGTATACTAATGCGATAGGCATTCGGACCAGTTAAGTTACGAGCCGGCAGAATCCTTTTCTGGGAGGCCAGGGTTACAAGGGCGAAACACTTCGAAATCGGTTGCAACGCTGCGACGCCGCTTCTGGTTGAAGAGAGGAGATCAACTGGGGGTTCTGCCGCTGTTTGATTTCGGTACACATGTAGACTTTTACTGTGTCTCTAACTGAGGCTAGCAACTTTTTGACATCGCAGTCGGGTGGCAAGTTTGTCACGTAGACGGGGGTGCTGTCGTGTTCGCCGATGTTGGCGGATTGATTCGCGGTGCTGTTGGGGTTTCCACGGTAATTGCCGTGGTTGGGATTGTCTTCGAATGCGCGCTGGACGCCAAACGGTCCGCGGGTGCGGACATTCAGTCCCTCCATAATGACTCCATTCCGAACTGCCCGCTCCTGGAACCCAAAAGATTCCCGGTAGATCCAGGTAGTTATTTCTTTCTCGCCGTCGAGGGTCTCCATGTGGTTGCGGTGGTGATTGCGAAGAGGCCATGATTCAAGAATGGTGGGATTGGGAAATCAGATATGGTCAAACCCGTTAGTGGTGAGCAGAATTGTAAGTCTACAGTGAACGCGGTAAAAAAGTGGGGGGGGGGGGGGGGGGGGGGGGGGGGGCTACAATGAATGCAGTCGAAAAGAATGGGAAATCCACAATGGACGCAGTGGAGAAGAATGGGAAGGGTCCAGCCTACCAATTGAAATTTCAGTGAAATGCGGGCTCAGGCACTCAAATTCAAGGTGTTTGAATTTTCTGCAGTCCGGACAACGGCAAGGTGGACTTGTCGGCATAGTCGCTGGGGAGATGAAGGCAGTGGTGTTCCGTGATAACAACTACGACATCATCATCATCACCAGTAAATAAGTCATATATTCGACTTCACAAGAGCTAACGACATATAACCAGCATGAAAATATCCCCATTAACATCGAACTAATTGTTTGATACCTGGCACTTGGTAGATATGTGCTCGCTTGCCTTCATGATAGGGGCTGTGGACTCCGTCCAATCAACCCTGTCGTGATGGCATAATCCATTACATCAAGTCCTTCATTTAGTATGATGCCACTGAGGATGGTAATAATAGAATAACCATAGAATAAATTACTCATATTTCGAATACTGGGCAATACACAGATCTTGGTGTGTTAGGACGCGTAGGGAAGTTGATCTGTTTATTCAGTCGTCAGCAGGTGTCCTAGAAGGAGAACCATCACCGATCAGCCCCCTCGATGTTTTACCTCTTGCAACATTCGAACAAACAGCTAGTGCGTGATATGGAACGACTGCTGGGAAGTTCTCATGGCTATGCCCATTTAATTGTTGTGACTTACCTAGAATTACCCGAGGGTTAGCCATTGCTGGTTTCAGTTCGCCCGGCTATTCATGTACAGGTCCAACACGAGTTTTTAGAGTGTTCTTGTGGTTGAGTAACACTTTAATAACGAAGGAAACGCCATGAATATGACGTCGATTCTTCATGGTCCTCTTGTGCGTTCCCGATATGCGAACCGTCGAGACATGGATCACGTGAACACTTCAAAACATGTCCTTCTAGACAACTATACTATAAGAAAACGAAAGACAAACCTGTATCTCATCAGATCTAATGCCAGGCGGCGCAGTGGGCAGCATTATATGGTAATTTCACTCATCTGAAAAGGGTTGACGGACTCACTCTCTGACCACGATGGGAAGATTTGCTCTTCGCGTAGTCAAACAAGCTTCTCCGTTTGTTGATAAGTCATATCATTAAGAATTTGGGTTTTCGTGTGTTCTACGGACATGTTCTCTCATTATTGTTCCTTTCTCGTGTCGTGTTTATTGCTGAGCTGAGCTAGCAGAATCGCAGATCAAATGATTAGTTACCACCATACTGAAGACGACGGCATATGTCTGCATCAAGATAGAGCTCCTATTGAAAATCAACGCTTTTCGATGGGCTTAAATCAATGTTGTGCGTCTCTCATAGCTACAGGCTGACCCAGTTGTCATTAGTCCATAGTCCCGTAAGATTGACTATGTCCATATCGCAAGTTGCTACAAACGAACATGCATTGGTCACCAGAAGAGACCTGCTTCATATTAAGGTCACGATGACAGCTCCGCAACATGTCCAGCTTGGCGGTGATGATGGCCATGGTTCATATTCCACCCCTCAGAGCCGGCAGCCTCGTGAACCTCGAATTCGGCTGGCATACGTGACCCGTCCATCAACTCAGAAGGTCCATAACCATTTGACTCGGTCCCATACGCTTTGTCCGCCACTAGCTCTCTGCCATGTCCGTCGGTGCGACTGTTCTCACCACCGCCTGGCACCGCCTCCACTCCTTTCCGCTTCGCCCGCGAGCGTCGGAACAAGAAGACTGCGGCAGCAATGATAGCGAGTGCTCCCAGAGCGGCGCCAACACCTATACCTGCCTTGGCACCCCCGCCCAGCCCGCTGGACGCGCCCGGCATCCCCACTGGCATGCTGCTGGCAGTCGCAGAGATCGATGTTATTGTCGTAGGCGACACAGTCGGGGATGTTGAAGCCCCCACCACCGACGAGGTCGTGGCCGTGGCACTCATGCTGCTGGACACAGGGCTCTCCTGAGTGATGTTGAAATAGTGCGAGCTGACGGCCAGCGCGCCCTCGGGACCGCTGGTTGTGCTCAGCAGGAGGTAGAATACATTGGAGGGGGCCAGGTCGAATTGGAACAGCTGTACGGACCAGTCGAACTGCGTTACGGCGCCATTGATCGTTTCTGGTTCGAGACGCCCTTGTCAGTCACCGGTTATACAGACGATGGTAAGGAAGCTGTCGACTTACGAAAGATGACCGGACCCAGGGTCGCAGATCCTTGTCCGATGTTCTGTTGCCATAGGGCGATAGTGTAGTTCTGATAAACGGTCGTGTATTTGATCGACTGAGTATCGCCAATGGTCCAGACTGGGTTGCTCGAGAAGTCGGTGGTGGGCTCTGCGTCGGCATTTGGCGGGTTGAAGAACTTGCCCACTTTCAAGGAGTCTTGCTGTGCTGATACCATCGACAAGAGCGTCGCGGCAGCGAGCCACATTGTAGACATCATGGTCAACTTGGCATGGTGAACACTTGATGCGGTTTTGGGAAACCAAAGAAATCGAACAGGCCGACGACCGTATAGATTATAATTGAACCATGATCTTCAGCTGGTTGTGAATTGTGTTGGCACTGGCAAACCTGAGACGAAGTCCCCGGTCACCGTTGTGGACAGCGTCAAATGTTGTTGGTAACCAACAGCAGTTTTCCAATGGACGACCTGCCTCGCGGGATCCGTATCCGAAATTGGCCATTGGTTTGGTGGTGGCTGACTGGCGCTTAAAGCAGGCTCCTGCAGATCGGTCAACAAGGGCACGCTCAAGCTGTGGTGTTGCATTACGGCCCGAGAATACTACAAAACTCGCTAACATCTCACCGTTTTCCTGTTTGTTTGATCATTCCCGGTGCTCACGTTTCGTCTCATAATCCCCATCATATCGCAGATAGGTACCTAGAGACCGCCGTTGTTGAATGGGAGAATATGGACGCGGTGTGCCTCGGTGGAAACTGGGGTACCTCAATACGCGCCACCGGTCCCGACAGTTCGGATCGCATACAACAACGCCGCCAATGAAACACCAACATGGTATGCAGTGCAACGCAGGACGGTGGACCAACGAGTCACCGGCTGTTATCGACATTAAACGCCGAGCCTGCAGACACCCCTACCCATGATGCCAGCTGCATGACGCTTGGCGCCGATGCCCGATGCCCGATTCCCAAATCCCAAGAATACTTTACACGCCTTTTAGCCCGAGTCCCGACCTCTTCTATGAGTCTGTTCTCTTCTCTTTCTCTTTTACTGTTCTCGCCATTCATGCCATGATGCGGCGACCCTCCAGCCTGACGGCGCTCATCGCCGGCGTCATATTGAGCATCCTTCTTATAAGCTTTTGGGCAAAGAGACAGGCTTGGTTTCCAGCAACCGCCTATCTGCATGAGCCGTCCGCCGCTCACTCGTACAAAGCACCGTCGACATCCTTGGGCGCGACGGACAGCGCAGTCTCTCCAGACCCCGATCTTACGCGAGACATCTACAACAGCACATTGGGCGTAGGCTATTACCTTCCTAGCTAGATACTTCCTGGAGGACGGCAACTAACTGACGAACTTGGTTTCTCATAGTTCGAGAAGATATTCGTCGTCAGCTTGCCGTCTCGCACAGACCGACGCGACAGCATAATCTTGGCCGCCGCGCTCAGCAACATCGAATTCGAGTTCATCGACGGTGTGGATGGCTCCCTAATCCCAGACACAGTCATCCCCAGCGGCCCAAAGCAGGGCCGCCTACCGGATGCACCACTCGGATGTTGGCGTGCACATATGAACGCGATACAAGAGTCAGTAAACTTCTCGCAGCTTGGATCTGTCCCGAGCATTTTTGTGTGGAGTCATTGATGGTGGGAAACAGGACTGTCCGCAGGAACCTGGGCTCGGTCTTGATATTGGAAGACGACGTAGACTGGGATGTGCGGATAAGAGATCAACTGCGCGACTTCGCGTTGTCGTCTCGGGCCCTGACGCAGCCCCTCGCATCCACACCCAAGTCATACGCCGACAAGACGTTTCCGAGACCATCGGACAACTCTCCGGTAGCAGTGCCAGATATCCATCTGAACGACTTGCCGGCAACGATAGCACCCCAAAAATCGCCGTACGGGGATAATTGGGATCTGTTCTGGCTTGGGCACTGCGGGATGCACTTCCCCTTCACCGAGAGCAAGGCTATTCCCAAGGGCCGCGTGGTCTACACAGAAGAAACAGTGCCCCAGACGCAGCATCTGTGGACTCTCTCAGACCCCAACGACATCAAGGAGCAGTACCCGAACCACACGCGCGTCGTGCACCACGCCCAGGACGGCATCTGCTCGGGAGGGTATGCAGTGACCCAAAAGTCGGCGCGCAATGTCTTGTACGAGCTGGGTCTCAAGGACATGAACGCGGCGTACGATATCCTGCTGCGGTGGTTCTGCGAGAACGGCGGAGAGCCGAGCCGGGGACACCACCATTGCCTGACAGTGCAGCCGCCGCTCTTTGGGATTCATCTGCCGGCCCAACCAAAGTCGCACAACAGCGATATCTCGGATCATGGGGAAGGGTTTCAGGAGAAGAAGACGGAGAATGTGCGATACTCGGTTAAGATGAACATACAGGCGCTGCTCAAGGGCGGCACGGACTTGGTGGATCAGTTTCCCGATGTCGATTGAGGGGAAGAGGACGTGAGAACAGAGTCATCCTCCCCATTGCATAGCTTCCAGCGACGTTGGCTCATGGGTGGCGTTGGATTGTCGAACTTTCGAGGAGCAGCATAATTCCGGAACATTCCCTAGATACCAGCGCGAAGCGAATCGTCCATACCAAACCAAGAACCATGACCTATTCCCGGTACCAAACCACACACTGCCTAACCATGTACCTCTGTTAGCTCAGTTAAACAAGGATCCAACGACAAGCTTGCGCTGCACGCCCAGGTAGGCTGACGACGACTGGCTTCAGTGAGTTCATCTCATCCAACTGCCTTCCCAAGTCGTTCGATCTCACCTTTGTCAGGGTGGCTGAGGCGACGTGCTGAAAATTCTGTGGTATTTTGAATATGCTAAGATGAGGAAGAAAAGGAAACCAGCGCGGAGCGCGGCACCATAATACTTGTCTCCTGTCTAATCTACAAGTGACCAGTGCTGTCCACCAGGTGGAACCAGCTGAATGGACTGTCACACATCTGGCTGAGCGGGCACCCTCCACTCATCCGGTGGCACGCCCGCGCCGCGGCTTGGACCCATCTCCCCCAGCTTCTCACCGTAGCGAGGAAATCCTGCTCTGTCATGATATCGTGACACAGAAGCGACGTACACTCTACACGCCCATGGTGTACGCCCGCCGTTCGTTGCATTCCCCTCTCGATCGACTGTCTTCATGTGAGCAAGTGATTTCCAAAACTAAAGGCCACCCGACTTCAAGAACGCGGGGATAAACAACCCAAGCCAGGTACGACGGGACTGCACCTCCCCCCCCCCCCCCCCCCCCCCCCTATTTCTGTATTCGGTCCACTTTTCTTGTCCGCCGCGGTATAAGGACCAGTGTGACTGGAGATATCGCACAACATTAACCTCGGAGCCGGGACCTGAGACTCGAGAGGCGGGGTGAACGGGAAGCGGTGGAAAGCTGCATATATCACCCGGCGAGTGGCATCCGGCAAACGCACCCCAACTGTCGTACAGTGACCCCCACGGCTCCGATAATATTTTGGAGCATCGGATCTGCAACGCCTAGTGATAATTGCAGTACGACACCCCAGACTTCGGGGTGGTGCATTGTGCGATTTCTGACAAGACCGCCATGCGGAACATGTGAATCATGAAACATGTGCCTCTGGTCGATCGGAAGTTGAACGTTTCCCTTCTCTCTGTACCGCCTTAGGTACCCCGTAGCACGAAACGATCTGTTGTCCAAGCAGACTCCACACGGCGATCATCAGCCCCCTGACCCATCAGCACCTAGGTGTGACCAACGTTGTACACACACATGTTCGTGCCCCTATCCTCGAGCGTCTACAGCCCTCGCACATAGGGCTCCCTCAACACAGCCGGGCCATGAAGCTCCTCATTGGAGTACTGTCTGTGATCATCCTGATCATCGCCGGGGTGTACACAAGTCGTCGTCATGATCTCCTCTTCATCCTCTCCCTCCCCTTCCGCTTCTCCTTTTCCTTCTTCCGATTCCACCGCACCCGGCTCATGAGCACCAGGTCTCGAGGGCTGCATCGTCTCCAGCTTCCCCACGCGCCTCCAGGCGTTCTGCTTCATGCTCTCGTGATTCGTGCCGATGATGAAGAACCGCTGGCCCGAGTAGTCCTGCACCAGGTGTTCCAGCGCCGTGCCGCGGATGATGGCGCATGTGCCGGGCTGGTAGGGCACCTTGAGTCCGAGCTGGGGTATGCAGAGATGGCCACCTGGGAAGGGGACTATTGTCAGCCATACATACAACCTTCTCCAATGTCTATCTTCAAACAAACAGGCACACATACCTGTGTAGCTCCCCAGGGTGCACAAGCCCGCCAACCCACCCTTGATGTCGTTCCCGTCCCGGTGCCGCTGCGTATAGCCATTCACGCCCAGAGCATACAGACTAAAGATATCCTCATCGTCGGGATCGACAGGCACCTTGATGCCGTCCGCGATATTGGCGAAGATCTCAGCGCATTCACTGTAGTGGGCCGGGTCCAGGGGCTTGATCATAAACCGGATCATCGCCGACGCCTTCCCAAGCGCCGCCCGAGCAAAGGTCGGGAACAGCAGGTTGGAGTAGTCCTGGTGCGGGTTTCGCGAGAACCGCGTGTCCTGCGTGCGGACGGGTCTCAGGCCCGTAGGACCGCCCGTCTTCGCCCAGCACCCGTAGTGGGCAACGGCCATCTTGGCATTGGGCAGGTCGTCGACGGTGGCCTCGGAAGGGTCCAGCTCCGGGTCCAGCTTTCGGATGTGTCCGTCGATGACGTGCCGGCTGGACTCCGGCGCGGGAAGGGGCGTGAAGAAGGACCACATGTCGAGGCAGCGCTGCAACACGTCCGTGGCGTGGTCGCCGAAGAGGAGCTGGGAGAGCTTTTCGATGTTTGCGAAGATCACGCGGCGATTCTTGTCCGTTACTACGAATATGTCCTCCTGGACATACTCCCATGCATTCTTCGCGGATTCTTGGTCGAGGATGTAGCGTCGGAAGAAGTCTGGATGCCACTTTTTGCTATTCCAGGTTCTTTGCCAGTTGATCTTTACGAGATCCAGATTGGATCTTATCCGCGAATCTCCTGAAGGGCCGTCAACTAGGGTCTCCGTTGCCGCTTGACGTGTGTCCTTTCGCTCCTCTGGTTTCATGTGAAGCCAGTAATGCTCTTGCGCTGACGACCGTAGCGCGTAGTAAAGGGGGCGCTGCGCGTTCGCGCTGCTACCACGGCGAGGGGTGTCCTCACCTCCAGGGACGCCTCGTTCGTCGGATCCTGCTGATGAGGTCTGCCGTTGTGTGAGTAATGAAGCCATGACATACTGGGTAACCTCCATCGACATGGGCGGATCAGCAAGTTGACCCACCGTCGCGTCAATGGACTTCTTCGCTCGAAGGGTTTTGTTGTATGATTCTTCGTCGGCTGCATCAATATTGAGGCATTGCATGAGTCTCACGCTCTTCCCTGCCAAATGGAATGTGAGGACCGATTCTCGCGGGGTGTCCCGGATTGCACAGTGCGTTTTCGCGCACCCCATGATAGCAGGCACGTTGCCAAGGGGAGTGACAGGTATCGCTTCCAGGAGCTTTCGTATTAGCCGCACCTCGTCGTTGTCGTTTATCACTGCCGATGCCAGCTCTCTGCAGAGCGGTTCGATTATGTCGAACATCCTCTGGTCTTCTGGGTGGGCAACGTTTCCCGCCCACTGCGATACACCCGGTTAGCCCCTATTTATCTCCCAACGACCTTGTAATCATCGTGGTGTACGAATGATGCTCCGGCGTGCACAGACATCAGTCTTCCGAGAACAGAAGCCCCAATACGTGTGAGTAGAAAAGGGATAGAAATTTTACTCACCGAGAAGTATATGCCGAAGGGGTCACCTTGAATTTGCTTGCAGAACGTTCCAAGGGCGATGATTTTCTTCCGTTCATGTTCCTCGCTGGTCAGCTGCTGTAAGGTCTTGACGCGGTCAGCAGAGCGCGTCGACCGATTCATTTGTCCGAGCAGGCTCTCGATAGTCTCTCAATCCAGTGTAGATGCTGGAGCATCTCGACGGCGGAATGGCATGGTCGATTGATGATGCAGGGGGTTAATAGGGGTGGATGGAGGGCAAGATCGAGGGCCTTCCAGCTGCTGGGGTGAGAAGCAGTCCTTGTAGGCCGGAATTGTTGCGGGGCAGAGTAGGATTCTCTTGACTGGAGGCACCGATTGCGTTTGCTTGTGTCTCAGGTTACAGTGGTGCCTGCGTTGTCACTGCAATGGTAATCCGGGGGTACTAGGTAGGTCAGAATAGGTAGCTATTTGTACATCGTACTCTGATTGCCCCTGAAGGTAAAACTTTTGAGCGGAGTAACGGCCAGTTGTCTCTTGCCCTGCGAGGGTTTGATTGTTCAATGGCATGGGGAAAATTGCGTTTCGGGACGTTGATTTGCGCTGAGATCGGTGATGCGTCAGGAGGTAGCTACTGGATGGTTGCCTGAGGTGACCGCCAAGAACTCAAATCGACAGCAAACAAATTAGGGGCGGCAGTGTAGGTGGCAACTAGCTGGCACCTTTTAACTTAAAATTTCTTCCACAACTGTTGCTCGGAAACAAGTAGCCATCACTATCTCGCTGGTTGCTCCGTTCCCCTCTCTGCGTTAGGTATATAATCATCTTCGGCACCTTCCCCTCACGATCTCAAGGCATCAGCGAGCATACACCATGGCGCAATTCTCAGCCAGGGAAGAGGATCCCGTCGACAGACTGACTCGATATCTCACTGACTTGTCGCTACTGCATGACAGCCCCTTCGCCTCGGAGACTTTCACCTTCATCGTCGGACATGAGGCAAAGAAGTTCTTCCTTCATCCTGTCGACTTCGCTTACCTTGGGCCTCATTTCCAATCCCTCGCCAACAGCGGTGGCAACGAAACTTCGGGTAACCTTGCCGTCTGGAACAAAACGGTCACCATGGTTGATACGGAGTTCGAGACCTTTCAGCGTCTCTGCCAGTTCATGTATACAGGAAGATACGACCAAGTCAAGCCCGAGCCCATCGAGTACTTGATTTGTGGCGGTTCCTGCGCTCGCCCACGAAGGCGCGTTCATCATGTCGAATGTCATCGATAAACTGTATGGCCCGTGCAGTCCAAAGGGCAGCGAAAAGAATCGACAATATATCGCCAACTTCTTGTCGTCCTGGGACAAGAAAATCCCACCCATGACGGAATCCGCAGTCCCCTATACCGGTGCACTCAACTACCTCTCGACCCTGCTCTGCCAAGCAAAGACCTACGTTTTAGGACTCCGTTACGACATCCAAGACCTGCGACACTTCAGCCTGATCAGAATGTACCAGACGCTCCGGGTTCTCCCGTGAAACTACCGCCTGAAGGATGCAGCTGACGTCGTACGGTTCATCATGCCCGCAACCAATTCCGGAGATGAGATGCGCGCTCTTTTAGCAGGATACATCGGTTGCTTCAACTATCTTGAGTCCGGCTACGTCCACTTGAAGGACTTGTATCGGGACCAGCCCGAGTTCGCTGTCGAGGTTCTGAGCACAGTCAATGCTTAGATTGCCTAGGGACAAAAGTAAGCCACATACATGATACGATATTCGATCCACCAGACTAACAGTACCCAAGGGAAGAATTGGGCTACCGGCACAACCACGTTCGCACCGGCAACAAGGAATGCATCATGCACCATAGACGGTTCTTGTGCTATAGGACAGATCAGTGTCTTGAGCGAAGGATGATGGGGAGACTACCGCATGTTGGCAGCCATAGACAGGTACATGGCTGCTAGGGAAAACACTTCAGGCATGCACTGAAAATTGATGGTATGAGAAAAGGACGTTTCCGTTGGGTGATACCTTGAACAAGATTGCTTGCGTGCGTAAACTAGGAGACGTGAACCTACTACGCTCTCATTCGGACACTGGTGAGGGAGCTTGACTTGTCATACGTCATGCCCCAGGGCCCCTTGTGGCTCCCCGTCCTGAAGGTACCGAGTGCTGATACTTGCAAGTTGCTTGTGGCCTGGCGTCTGTCTCGGTTCCTGGCTTCGTGCTTGCTGTGGGGGTGGAACAGGTGGCTTGTAGGAATGTCCTGGTCCTTGACGATATATATCAACCCCAACCCCGTTCAAGCTGCCGGTGAACCATCACGAGGGAAGGAGCTCGCGCTACGGCCGTCCTTGAGACGGTGACGCATCGGTGTATGGGAGGTCGGAAGCTTCGTGTTCGCTCTTCGGAGCCCCAAAACATCAGGCACGGTTCTAAATGAGTAAGCACGTCGCCACAAACATAGACATTACACTGTAACCAACCAACCCCCTTCTTAGCGATTTCCCATACCAATCACGCTCTTTAGGGTTTATGCAGATATCGTCGAAGCACAAATGCTGGGGATATGTTCTCGACCCTCAGCTGCGGACTCCGTGATATCCTAGAGCTGGTGACAGTCCGAAGGGGAGCAGATGTGTCGATTCCACCTCCCATGGGAGAGGGCGTGCGTTATGCGCCCTTTCGATAGACGCCGTGACCGCCTGTCAGGGGGGAACTCTAAAATGTAGATCTTCACCATTGCTCCCTTTATGTACGTAATCCCCCAGACCAGAAAACAAGCCTGCCGGCTATGGAGACCAAGCCCACGGGGTGCAGTGGTCCAACCCAAAGCAGCCGCTGGGAAGGAAGACGTCGCTCAGAGTCAGCAGTACCCCATACTTAGTCCGTGCGGATCTCGTGGGAAGGATGTGGTGGAGCGCGGCGCAGCTCGCATATTACCGGTGATGATCGCCTGCAGGCATTGCCAGACAAGATCCGCCTGTCAGGATTCAGACGAGATCGGACGAACACCCCCAGCCCTCTCCGATCATGCCCAGAGACCGGATTCCCGAGAAACCTTAATTCCATTATCCGGCAGCCTGGACAGTCTACAGCCGGCCGGCTGTCCACCTGGCGTAGCAGGCCGAGGATAGACTACCACGACACCACGGGTAATGGCAGCAAGGTCAGCCAGCGACAAACCAACAATTCGGATCCCGGGGTAACGGAATGGATGCTCATCGTCGACTGAAAGTAGCATAGCATCACTAATGAGATATCCATCCATGCAGTCCTGTCTGCACCCACCGTCATCATCGCCAAGTCCGAACTCCCTAAATCTCATCACCATCGCAATATCCCAAGTCCTCATTCACCTCCCAAGCTCACAACAAAAGTTAAAACGACCTCAAGTCATCCCCATAGCGACCGGCCATCCCATCCCATCCCATCCCATCCTAACCCATCCACCCCACGTGCCCACCACGCGGTTTCAAAACTTTCATCACGGACCCCAAACACACACAACCCCACAAGATACAACCACATGTGTTTCGGGTATTGGTGCCGGCGTCGACAGCTGCCACCCTAACGAGATTTCACAACCCACCCATACCACCCACACTCATTATGTTTTTAATTATTATTATTAATGTAGTGTACCGCCGGGGAAGGTATAGTAGGCGAGTCCGGGATCGGGATCGAATTACCGACAGGCAAGCGTAGACGGATGCATGGATCCGTGTGCGTGCTTGCGCCAGCGGGCCACGCAATGCACCTCGGCGAGCGGGCCGCAGCACTTGACCACCACCCTTACACGCGGTCTGGGTGGTCGCGATCGTGGGTGGGGGGTGCGCGCGCTTCTTGGCAAGGCACACGCCACGCGGCACAGCACACAGCACACGGCAGGATCTCACGGGTGACGGAGCGGAGGTGAGGGGAAAGAGTAACACAAGTGACTGCTAGGAGCATTATGCGGAGATGGGGGACCGTCGGTGAGAGCACAAAGATCATGGCGTGTCAGAAGGTCAGCTTACAAATGCACGATGATATGATAGGTCCGCCAAAGGCTTACATGCTCCTGACAAAGAGGGAAGGTAGAGGATCTCACCGAGGCGCAGTGGCACGGCCCGCGATCTAGAGTTGCGGCAAGGAAACACTGAATATGAGGCAGGGTGAATGCACGATGGGATGGAGGCATGTTTCATGTGTAAGTGTCAATTGGCGCAGTGCCGAAGTCTATGCGAAGAGCGTGGTAAAATATGTACATCAGAAGATGAAGTCCCTATATGTCCAAGCCAACGAGCGTTGAGAATGGTAATGAAGTCATTTTCCCCCAAACAAAGGGAGTCGGGTGCTGCGAGAGAGGTATCCCAGCACGACCTTCGAGGTCGTGAAAGCTGCGGTCGACCTGCATTGTGACCTGCATTGAACAGGTGGAAGGCCAGCTTGAGACGTGGCAGAACACCCTGAACCTCCAAAACTGCCCGAAAGTCATGATGACGGATGATATGTCCCATGCTTCTCTCTTTGGGTGGTGCGCCGAGCAAACACCGTCCTGATCCCCTTTTCCCTCCCAAGTCTATATCCAGTCCAAGTGGACAACCCTTCTGTGTACAAGTGGGAGCGTGCTCGCTATGCATGGCAGGCGCGGCGGTGAAGTGAAGTTATGCGGGTATCTGAAGGAATAAGAACTGTGGTAACGTGATGTCGTGATCGTTGAGCGCTCAGCGCGTTGTGTGCATGCTAAAGCAAGGCTAGGTGCTGCTGCACTCGCTCGTCGTTTAGAGCTTGCCCAGAACATAGTTGCGGGAGACTAGCCCCTCGCCGACATCTCGGGACACGAGGACGTTGGAGTTACCCAGGGTGCAGATCAGATCCGTCTCCGGGGTTGACACAGTTTGAACGTCGTTCGGGTGGTAGTAGACAGTAGGGCAAGGGAAGACGCTGCAGCCGGAATACTTGCTCTTGAGGGTGGCCTCGACTTCAGTAGCTGGGTAAATTTCTTTGACGCCGTTGATGTCAGCGGGTTTGACAATGGCTGATACGTCAAACCAGGTAAGGTCGTTCCAGCCCTGGAAAGTAAACTCGGCCAACATGCCCGGAACGTTCTCGGCGCCTTCACTGACCGAGTAGGCGTTTCCGATCCAGCTAATGGGCATTGAGACCTTCATTTGGGCATTGCCGGCGATTTCGACTTTGTCAACGGGTGCGGTGCCCGTGAAGTAGATGGTTCGCTTGGTGGCGTCCTGGTTGACGAAGGTGACAGAGTTGGCGCTGGCCAGTGTGACCGCGGTAGCCGCAAAGGCAGCGAGTTGGGCGAAGAAGCGCATATTGCTGGTTGTTGGGGTAAGGATGGTGTGTTGTTGATAGTAGTAATAGTTTGTCTGGCGGGTGATGCCTGTCACGTTGATAATGCCGTCAGGTGAATGTGGTAACATTCAACGAGTGTTGGTCGTCCGGAGAGATTCTTCGAGTCTAAATCGAATTTGATTGTAATATAGCTAGCTTGTTGCTAAAGCTTCGTGATGAAAGAGTGTATCACTGAGTGTAGGAAAAGAAGGAATGATAGCCACGGAGAGCTCAAGGAGTGAGTTGAGAATCGGAAGATGGTTAGGACGCAAAAGGGCTCAGGAGACGACATAGACACGATGGGCTCGAGGCTTTTATAAAAGAGAGCGGACAAAGACTGTCGGGCCCCGACAGGGCATTGTCACCAACAGCCAATAGCAAATTGCCCCGACCATGAGCAACAAGAACGAACCTAGAAGCAGCGGGTCGGTATTCTCCAACGATCCATAGTCGTCCAGTGCCGCGGAAAGAGCAGGGGAGTCCGAAACCACATCTCCGAGAGATCGAGTGGGTGAGTGGGCGACAGACTGCGGTGCTAGTCCTGTTCCTGAATCGAGACAGCGACCAGAAGGTTCCAACCCTGTCGGACTGGAGGGTAGCTTCACGCAGTCAGAGGCCGTCTCCCCAAGCGCTGTCAATCCAGGAACTGGCGAACCGAACTCTCGGGCAGTCGAGTCCACCGTGTATCCAAATCATACATCGACGCTTCGTCTTTCCGCGCAGCACGACATCCTCAACGTCCAGCTCATCGCAACCTGGCGGAAGCTGATTCGAACCAAGCTGACCAACCAGGTATATTGATGTTATGGTGCCTGTGTCTGTCTTTGGTACAAGTACCCCCACCAAAGCCTTGTTAGTAGCCAGTCGGACAAGTGGGATAAAGCACCTTGGCATTGCCAAGCTTAGGGCTGACCGGAAGGGGGTGTGGAAGCACGCAAGGTACAGGCAGGACCCGACTCGAAAATGACCCACCTGGGCGCACAAAGAACGACTGGGATGTCGGTGACAAATGAAAGAATTTTCACCGCGTCACAGTGACATTGACATTGTCAATGTCACTGTGACGCGGTGCTTATTGTGTGGCTCTGAAATCCGATTGGCCAGTGCGTGATTGTGCCTGGTACTCTGGAACCTCTCTAACGACACAAAAGCAACGTGCATGCAACCAACAGTTATTGGCGCTCGGAAATACCTACCTTTCCCGAACGTTGGGCCTGCAAGGCTCACAGAGGCGACTCCCCGTCGGTTCCTATCGTCTATGAACTGTCTCGGACACAACCTTGCCGATGGTGCTCAAACACGTGGGACGCGTTGGCAGGATCTCATCGATTCTCACTCGGGCGACAAGTCGCTGACTGTATGCACGTAGATTGACCGACACTTTGTTGGCTGTCGCAAGAAGAGCTGGGTCAGGACGGCAGGTATTCCCAGGCTTCCCGTCAGACCTCGTACGTAGCAGACCTATGGAACTTGATCTCTGCCCAGTTCACAGACAGGTGCCCAGCTGCGATCGGGGGAGGCAGATTTCAGTAGCCCTCTCTCCTCCAGACTTGTCAAGAACGCATCTCTCTGCAACCATCCGTAATGCGCTTGGAAGGCAACTTGATGCTGACGAGACAATTTGTGGCAATGTGGCCTGAAAGTGTTACAAGCCGCCATATTGTAGAGTGCTTGCAGAGGCGTTGCACTAGGGTCATGCCCGGTCTGACTGTAGACGGACTGGATGCGACTGAATTTCGTAACAGAAATGTACCCCGACTTGCCGGCCCCCACCAGCGCCGCTTTCCCACGAGTGACAGTCGGTTTTGAAATATGGAAATCTAGACGTGAGAGAATTTGCAGAAAAATTTGCGGTTGTGATGAGAGGGGCAGGGTGGACGGAGGAGGCGCGGGGGAGGAGAGAAAACCAGAAGTCTGACCCGACGTTAAACTAGAGTCGGGTTCCACCAGTGGGTTGCGAGGGCGACAGTGGCCTGTGGGACCCAGTCAGGATCGATCATCGACCGTCCTTGGCAGCTTGAAGTACCGTGGCCGGAAGAGGGCCGAAAGCTAGGCAAGCAGGCTAGAAGCCACCGAAAGAGCCGAGAGCCATGGCAACGGCGATCCGATCTGATGGGAAATCCGGGCAACCTGATCGTCAGGCACCGGTACCGGTAGTCTACTTCTACCACACCATGCGACAGCGATGTAACACTGGGTCCAATGCAGGTACAGCGCACATTTGTGCATACGTATTGCCTTGGCGCAAGACATACGTACGTGCCCAACAAACCTGATCAGTACCGCGTGGCAAGGTTGCAGATGTAAAGCCTCTGACATGGCGGGCTTTGGGTCCTTTTGTCAGTATATGATCTTCCCTCATGATGTTGTGCTTCTTTTAGCAGACGCGTTGTCGTTCATCCAAGGCCATGTGTTTGGTTTCCCACGGCGGAATTAGGGTCACTCTCAGAGGGAGTTGTTGCCAAATCGAGGCAGAACGGAATGAGACCATCAAACCCAGCCAGTTCGACGTGGCGAGGTTGCCGAGGTTGACGTCCGGTATCCGTCAAACCGGATCAGTGAGCGAGACATTTTGCCGTTGATACTGGCCGATGCTCACAGGTTGAGAAGTCCGCTCAGCTTTCTTCTAGCGAATAAGTGCTTGCCTGGAACAGCACCCTGGTTGAGATGGGAGTCTGGACCTCGGGAGAGTATCTGCATTCATCCACATGTTGTACGCGGTCCAATGAGCCACCGAATGACAGCGGAGCGACAGCTCGCAGGCGGTGACAGACCGGGAGGATATAGATGCAGCATTCTGACCGAGTGCGGATCGAATGTGGTATGCGCCGGTTATGCACGTTGCTGACCTATGTTCTGCTGCTTCTTCCAGGAGCATTCTCTCCCATTCATTGAAGAAAAAATCTGGCTGTTCGTTAGGTAGTTCGAGGGGACGGCATTTTGTGGGTGGCGGTCTGCTATTGGCTGTGGTTGACAAGACGGCATGTACCTCGGTAGTGCCATACGCCGTCGGTGTGAGGAATTGAGGGATTATCTTGCGATTCTCTCAGCGGAGTACTAGGCTTCACCTCCTATTGGGCCTGACGGTTGCCTGCCTGTCGAGGCCAGCACAAAGGCCGTCTGGAGAAAGGCCGACAATCTCGCTCGATGGTCCCATGGCAGGGCACAAGGCACCGCGTCACTTCGCATTTTATGACCATTATCTCCAGAGGAGAATTCTGTTGCTGGTATGTTGTCAGGCTTTGTTCGTTGGTGCTGCAATATCACACGTGGTACGTGATACTTCATCAGTCGCAACGAAGATATCACTGAGATTGTCGAGGAAGTTGATGAAGAGCCGACTTTGTCAATGCTGAGGTACAGTGAGTATGGAGTACTCAGCGTCATGCTGTGGTGTGAGGGCAGACAGCAGAAGGGTGTGAGTCGGTCAAAAGGTTTGACGCCGTTGCTGTCGAAGCTACATTGGAGATAAAATGAGCATATTCTAGCACATGGTGATAGTAGTAAGTCTCGCGATCGGTGTGAATGGGATCAGGCAAAGTGGTCGGCAGTCCACAGGAGATTGAAGGAATGTTCAAGAGGTCAAGAGGTCAGAGCCTACTATAGAGATCAAGGGACGAGGAAATCGGTGGAGGGGCAGCATTTCTGTCAGCTGGAGGATGTGACTCCACTCATATCGTGCAGGTGTGCAGGTGTCGCTAATCGATACGCTGGCTGGCAGCTGACTGGCGGCTGATGACTAGAAGTCGGGAAGTCTGGTGGTCTTATCTCTTATCGCAAGGGGCGGTTGGGGGGGATGGTTGTGCAACCCGCTCTCTGATCCGATCCATCTCCATCCATCTCCTGCCCTCTCAGTAACGTTATTTTCAACGGCCTTCATCTTCCATTGACGAACTAGGTACTCATGTCGAGATGTCCGATTCACTGACAGCAACTAGAGGCTCTCCTAACTTGGCCAATAAATCATCCACCTCAGCTCTGTGCTTACCGCAACGAGTGGTGGACAGACATGACAACATGAGCATCACGGCAGCCAGTGAGTGGTGATGCTGCATTTCCCATCCTCGAATGGCTATCGAGCGCCCAAGACCTTGTCGACGTCAACACGAGCTTTTCACTCAGCGTGCTCAGTGGCATCGTTGCATCATGTGCCGCAAACGGCGAAGACCCTCACTGCCAGCGCAGAGAATATTTCTCGACTTGGCCAAAGAAAGCAGTCGAACACCATGTCGCGCCCAATCATCATCTGCCAGGCACGTCAGGGATGCATCGCAAGGCCTATCAAGCCCCCGGATTGATCCCCGACCCCGCCTGATTTTCTTGTCTTCAAAGTTGGCATGCACTGCCAAAAGACTGCATGCGATCCCACGATACCCGACCCAACATGAGGCCGTGAAGGTCCGAGAAATCACTGCTGCTGCTGCTGCTGCTGCTGCTGCATTCAGTATCAATCACCGAGTCAGTGAGTAACCCACAAAGTAGATTTGTGACCTCGAGTCTCGTATTCCCTCCTGGGCATGACCATTTGATCCATATCGGCCCGCTCGCTCTGCAGAGCTCGCAGTTATGAGGGGTCTCAATGTAACGTTCAGTTGCTCGAGTTGCTCGAGTTGCCTTCTGAGAAGCATCGTCGTTTCTCACATCCAAGTTTGCATCTACGGTTGTCAATGGCTGGTCGTCCTTGGCCAAGCGTACCGTCCATGGACTTCGAAGCGGGCTGTTGCGATGTTCATGAGCGACATTCGATCAGCAGATAGAAAGCATGACTGGCATGGCATCTTGCCCGTATTGGACGACCAACATTGAACCCTTGAAAGATAGTACGAGCCTGCCGCATACCTACCTACGCAGATAGCCAAGGTAGGCACATCCCAACCACGCGGTGCTACCCTGGCCTGGTGTATTCAGACGGGATGGGAGGCATCAACCGGTGTGTCATCATACCCTATGTTGTACAGGCAAGCACACACCCGTGGACATGGCAACTACTAGGTACTTATACATATCTGCACAAGACCCAGGAAACTACCACTCAATGAGTCGTGAGGCCTTGCAAGTGCGGGCTGTCAGATGTGTGGGATTGACGGTCGTTCGTTGCTGCCCTTCACTAAGATATGTTCAAACTACCACGCGCCTTACTCTCGAATAAGTACCCAGGCAAGGCTTCATGCCGTCCGCAGCTCCAGTCTCTTCCACCTCCACGCCATATACAACCACCACTGTCAATCGCTGTTCAACCACTCAGCTCGGTCGAGTCTGTATCGACTTTACAATCGTTTCGCCCCTCCAGTCTTGGCCACCAACGTAGTTGGAACACCATATCGTACCTCCTGCTACCTTAATAAGTCACCCTCACCTCCGCCGACATGAGATTGAACCAAAGCCTGGCCACCGCTACTGGGCTGGTTGCTGCCGCCAGAGCATCGGTCGAGCACACGGTTTGGACGACTGTCGTGACCACCGACTACACCACCTACTGCCCGGTATGTCACCCATCAAGCCCACCTGCAGCACCGTACCTCTGGGAATATACTGACGAGCCACCCAGTCCCCGACTACTTTCGCATGGCATAATGTGACATACACTGCTACATCAGAGACGACGGTCACCATCACGAGTAAGAATCCCACTCCGTATTGCGCCGCATTTGATGTTGACTATTCCTCGCAGACTGCCCGTGTACTGTCACCTACTCGCAGCCTCCTCCAGTGACCACGACCTGTTACCCAACTGTCGTGCCTCCCTCCTCAGGAACTGGCACCATTCCGACCTACTCCTCCTACTCCAACGTGAGCTCGACGGTTATCACCTACACGCCGCCTGTGACGACTACCATCTCCGGCACTGTCCCTATCACCACTTCAGGTACCCCTAGCACTCCTGGTTCTCCCAGTGGTACACCCGGTTCTCCCAGTGGTACACCTGGTTCTCCGGGCAGTACACCTGGTGGATCTCCTGGCTCTCCGGGTAGTACACCTGGTGGCTCCCCGGGCTTCCCTAACACTTCTGGCTCTGTCACCGCAACCACTTCTGGCTCTGTCACCGCAACGGTTCCGACTAACACTCCCATTGCGCCGACCACGACGCCAACCATTGTGCCTGTGCCAACTATTGTTCCTGTGCCAACTGCCGCAGCTGATAAGGTGTCTCCTGTCGCCCTTCTCGCAGCTGGTATCATCGCCCTCGTCCTGTAACCTTTGGGACTACACACACGACCACGGCAGGACGATGAACAATGGATAAGATATTTGGGCAGCGGCATGCACCCTTCCCCTACCTTTTTGAGCAATTTTGAGAGATGGCTGTCATTTTGGGGCGGTGAGTACTTTACGGAAGCGTTCTATACCCTCATTGAGACCGGGAGAATACCCCTGAAAAGGTCTTAGCATGTTGTTACGGTATCTTGGACGAGATCATATTGAAGTGGCGCAATGCCTGTCTTCGGAGTTGAGAGCTGATGGAAAAGGGGGAAAGATGCCGGAGTCTACCCTATCTGGCCGGCGGAGTGCATTCATATTACCTAATTCGAGGTTATTATGGCCGGAACAGACGCTCACTTACACAGGACTTGGCTTCTGGTCGCAAGACGAGTGTAGATAGACCAGAAACTGATACTTGTCCAGAACGGCCTTTTGTCTCCTGATATCGTGAACTTTGATAGTCTGCTGGAGGCTCAACGAACGCAGCCTACGTCGCCAGCAGGCAATTGAAGTTCATGTTCCTGCGGCCTGGAACCCGGCACTGCGCAGATTGGCCAACACACTCCATCACAAGGCCAGCCGACTTTCTGCTCAAGCTTCTGCAGCTCATCCTACCCCATCTCGCCAGGTCAGTACTATCGATGCATCTACTATAGATGCGACGTCGTTCACGGTACGGTATGTTACCCCGTCTGTCGTCCAGTGCTACGTGGGCTCCTGTAGGCTGTCCCTACAGGTCTCTTACCAATCGACATCGGTCACATCGCCCTGCCCCAAGGTCCAAGCGTACGAACAAGCAGATGGACAACGGTCCTGCATTCTTCTTGCAGGTTTTACGTGATGTTGCCGTGACGCGTGGGCGATGCTGAGAGGCGAAAACCTCGGGTATTCATCCACCTCCATACGCTGTCACTATACATGCACCATTTATACATGCATGCCATAGCATAGGTAGGTAACTTAGGTTACCTAGAAGTGCTAGGCTGCATACACGTCTGGCCGAATGTGGTGATATGCCCTTTAAGAACGGCAAAGGATTACCGGCCGCTTCTCTTTCCCCTCCACCTTTCCCGCTCTCCCTTCCTGGTCTGGACTTGAGATGGTCGGCGGCGTGATGGGTAGCCTGATATATACGGGTACGCACCACCGTTGCATCGTAGCCCGTCGCTGTGTGCCAAGAGCCGGCTGCAGCTCGTATTTTGCGCCTGTCTGCGACTCGGATGTAGATTTAGATACTACCCGCTTTTGGCGATTGTGAGGGTTGGCACGCAAGATGGGGAGAGATGGGCATAGCTGTGTTGCTCAAGGGCTATGCATGCGTTCAAGTGGCTACAGCTTCATACAAGGGCAAACTCCCTAAGTTATAATGCTCTAGTTCCTAAATACTTGCCTAGATTAACACTTGCCTAGATTAACACTTGGGCACTCTTCGCTACGATATACAGTAATCTATGCCCTGTCACTGGTTTGCAAGGCACAACAAGTTTGGGCTGACCATCTGAAATTGGTATTGTGTCGTGAGACTTATTCTATTCTATGTTGCTAGTGTGCTGCCGCAAGTGGATGTGAAAGGGGAAGGGGAAGTTTAAAGGAGAGTGTAGGGGGGGTACCCCGGTTGATCATCGGCCACTGTCGTTTACGTGTGTCCTCCATCAGTCAAGCTTGTTTCCTGTTTTTCCTCTTGAAATGTATTCGTACTCATGCTCATTGGGGTCAGAGCCGTCCCACAGACGAACCCTGAGCCGCACGAGTTGTGAACTCAGTCGCTGCTGCTGCCGCTCTCGCCCTCGCTCTCCCTCTCTTCTATTTTGTTTTCTTTAAAGTACTTATTCTGCTCCTCCTCGGCATCCTCGTTGCATTTGTCCTCGCATTTCTCCAGCTCATCATCAGCTGCTTTCTTCCACTTGACGGCATCCTTCTCCTTGGGCTTGTTCAGGAGTGTCTTGGTATACGCTTTCCCGCATTTATCCACGCATTTCTTAGCGTCTTCCACGATGTCGCCTAGCGTTAGCGCCCGCGGCAGTGAAACCGCCTGAGCGAAGCCGCGGGCGAGGTGGCCCTCTGGTCCCGAGGCTGCTCTTAGGTGGACTCTGGGTCCCCTGTTCGCCGAGGGCATTGCCAGAACTCCTGCTGCGGAGAGCATGATGACGAGTGCAGAAGACGGGTGCATGATGACGACTGCTGCTGCTGCGATGTGGATATAGGTAGTTGGACTGTTGTGTGGGAGAGAGTGTTGGACTTTGATGTGAGGGATGTACTTCGATGTGATATGTAAGAAACGGCTGGACTTTGACGATGAGGAGACCCATCGCCTTATAAACTCAATCACATTGGAGCATCTTCCGCATCATGGCAAGGAACTTTGCTCAACTCTCCCCTTCAAGCATTGTCGGGTCTTCCTTCTCTTCGAGCGACATGCTCGCCGGAAGTGAAAACCCTGCACGGAAATCCCATACAGACCGAGCAGTATCTTATCAGCAACAAAGAGACGAGTCGGGGATGTCTAGAGCTTACCTTTATCCGTAAAGAACTTGTGGCTCAACTTGGCCGAAGTGAGGAGCACCTGCGTGGACTGCCCAAGTAATGCAATCATCTCCGCCAGGTGGGCACGGCTGCGATACGTTCGATACTCCGATAGTGTACTGCGAACATGTGGCCACGTTCAAAGAGTGCCAGATCTGGCGACTCGAACAAGAATTAGCCCCTGGACTTGAAACCTCGTGTTCGGTCTAGTACTTGCCATGCATTGGTCCATGGACTAGGGGCCCAGAGTAGACGTCTGTGGGGATGATGGGACATATTCAAGGTGTTTGCGCTTGGCATTTGGCTGAGGCGGACCATTCGTGATATGCGTACGAACTATTGCCCGGACGCCGCGTAAGGCGACAGCCCTAGACTATGCGTCCAGCCTTCGTCGACTGGTTGTCTAGCTAGGAAGGCCCTAAGCAAGACTTCCATCGCCTCTACAGCACCATTTTTCACGAAGATCCGCTGACATGTCCGGTCCTTGTCGTCTTGGGAGTCGACAGTGTTTCAAGCACTATCATCATCCAATGGAGGGACGGAAGAGATCTATCAATGGTTCCAATACCATGTTCCACTGTGGAACACAGCACGACGTTGCAGACGTTGTCTAGGCAGATGAAATCAGCTTTGAGTAGTTCTCCAAACCATGAATCCATACCGAGAATAATCAGCGCCGGTGCGGCAACGGGATAGGAAGCAACCTACAGAGGTTATCTTGGGGTATTGAATAATACTTCAGATATCGTACGCGTACTGTGGTCGCTGCGCTGGCGAGGGCTCCCAGCCCAAGGATGAACATGACGGGTATATTCTTTCGCCTCGCGAGACTCAGCTTCCGCACTACAAAGCAGGGAATAACCGCACACGTCCAATCCGTAGTGAGGTCGACAATAATAAGTACGTAGCTGTACTTGATAACCACATCAACCGGTGCAAGTGTGCCGAGCAGTGTATTCCATTGAGCAGCTGATCGCGTGCAACGAGCTAGTATCACGACGATAGCCCCAGCCCAAGCGAGTGACGATATCACCAAAGCTGCCCATAAATGATATTGATACCGACGACTCGGAGTCAGGCGTGTAAGTGCCACGGCAATGGAGGCTTTCACAAGTGGTATGGAAATCGCGTGACATATCTGCCAGTAAACCATGTACTCGGCGGCTCGCATCATGAGGAGAGGGTTAAGTCGAACGTCTCGAGTACCTAATCCGTAGAAGGCTCCATAAATGGCGTACACAAAGCCGGGCACAAATGTAATCAGGAGATGCAGCAGGTGGTTAGCCAGAGTAACTGTTTCCCGGGTTGGAGACACCAACGAAACCTAATATCGCGAGGAGATGATCCGCGCCCCAGACCTTGCATGACCTGAACATCCAGAATTTAATCCAAATGCGTAGACCGATGATAGTAACGCATATGGCCACTAGGGCCAGGTTGACTCCTATCAATGCAGCGCCCAAGGCATCGGGCTTGATCTTGGGCTCGTTGTACGCCGAAGCGGCGAGTTGCTCGCCGGGGAGGTTCTTAGAGGCCATAGATGAGTTGCACGATCTATTGAGTCACCGAAACTGGGAGGAGCCAGGTAGTGTGATAGAACATCGCGTGGTATGATCCAAGCACCATCGGAACATTGTGAAGTTTATCTACAAATTTCCCACAGCACTGTCCTTGCAGGGCTTGAACAACGTTCAGTTGGCTGAGGCATCCTCTGCTTCCACGCGCCTCGCTGGCAGAGATCGCAACGGGAACACCCCTTTTCATGGGGAATGAGCTGAAGGGAACGAGGTGGTCGTCTCATCTTATCTGCTTCCAAGGGGCCTGGTTGGAGTGATGAAATCTCACCCAAGCCGTCGGGTATTATGCTATCTCATTCTCTGCGGTCGCGGCCCGATCGATGCTCCCTTGCCTCGCGGCCTGAACACCGGGGCGAGCATTACCACTTTCCTATTGCCGGCATGGGGGCCTTGGCTCTCTGCACTTGGGCCTTTCCCCTCCCGTGCGTGTTGGGGATCTACGGCCACTGCGCCGTCAGTACTCTCCTACTTCTGTTCAACTTCCTCTCGTGTAACAACGCATTTTGACTTACGCTCGTGCCGCAACTCTCAACGATCCGGTTGACCTCTTTCACTGAAAATGGACGTGATCTCAGCTGGTGTACTGGCAGCTCTTGAGCTGGGAATGCTCAGAGGAGCAGGTTGTTCACCCAGTTCCACATTCAAGGCCACTGTGATCTCGAAATTCCGCTTTCTCTGGATTACCCAGTACCTAGCAGTTAAGTACTACAGGGTCTTCTTGTACCATAAGTACTTCTCTCCGTTGCGCAGTCTTCCAGGGCCGACGGTCAGTTCCTAGATGCTCACCATTCACCACCTCAACACCATCCCCTCTTATACTCACACACTGTTGTTGTAGGACAGTCAGTTTTTCGTTGGACAAGTAGTCAGCCAAATCAGGGCCAGGACACCCACCGAGCTTCATATCAGATGGATGGAACCAAGGTCTCAACCAACTCAATCTACGTTAACAGGACCCTTTCGTGGAGTTAAGTTGACACTATCTACGACCCTGTCGTCGCTTAATTAATATGCGTATATTAAGGAGAAATTTTAATTTTAGAAATTAACATCACCGACACTCAATATAAAATAAAAGGACATTTTTCCAAATTATTGTTTTCAACGATAATAAATTAAATAAAATCCTATAAGTAAGATCTCAACGTTTAAGCGTTTAAAAAAGCCGTAATTACCTTTATATAATTAAACGGGGCTTTCACTTTTTTGAAACGCTTTGTTTAAAGGATTTTATTTGTTTAGAAAATTTAAAAAATGCTAATAACGAGATATACACTTTTAAACGTTTAAAAAAGTAGTAACTAACTTTATATAACATTATCTATCAGTAAATACCTTTATATAAATAAAAAAATAAACTAATTAAACTTTAAATCTAAGTTTGTTAATAATAAGAGTCACTAAGCGGACCCACTGCAAGTGCGTGCCCTGGCTAATAGAGTGCGGCTAAGTAAATAAGATAAGGGAGCGGCCACCATATAATAAGCGCAGTCCTCCCACTTAGCTAGATAGCCAACCCACGTATAACAACATATTTACCTCCTGTACTTGCTTGCATTAAAATTATAAGCAATATATACTTTTATAATTACGTATAAAATTAAAGGAAAAACTTTTTAGCTTTTAATGTAAGTGTTTATAAGGTTATTTATTTTAACCAAACCTAAAAAAGTGAAATGATATGATTTTAAAAAATTTAATAATAAAAATTATAATAATTAAAAGAAATCTTTAAGTATATATAAAGAAACGTAATAGTAAATAGCAAAGTGTCAGATGTTGGATCCCAGATATGGTGCCCTTAGATTCAGTACCCACTAAGGGCTGTCGAGGGAACAGTGGATCCACCCTAGCATAGTGCAGTATGGTATTTAGCTGTAGATTAGCCCTGCCGAGCATACTTGAGAATGACAACAATATTTGCAGCGACCGCTCACACCTCCAAGGCTTGTGACCCTTCTAGAATCTTACATTGTAGCATCTTGTTCAGTTTACTGTTGAGTTGTCACTGCAATCATATAAATCTGTTGTTCCTTTGACTAACAAATTAACAATACAATGGATCCCACCACACTGACTGCTACAGAGCAGGGCGAGCCCATGGGCCAAGGAGGCCAGCGCATCGTCACGCCTCACACACAGCTACGAGCGCATGAGAAGGTGGTTGAAGCGGAAGATCGCGATGACAATCGTCAGCACGCCGCTGCCGTTGAGCAAGACGAGGCTTTAGAGTATTCAGATGCCCAAGGAGGCATTAAGGACCGCCAGTACGAGCCAGTCATCGGCAACTACGAGAGCAAAGAGGGCCAGGAAGAGCCCTATGACAGAGACACTGATCAGGACAGCGACAAAGACAAGGCCGCTTACTACAAAGGAGACAATGAGGAGATCTCCCCTACCCTCCAAGCACAAACCTTGAAAGGCACACGTGCCAAGAAGGCACAAGAAATAAGGTCAGATCGTCACCTTACCTTCGCAGAGATCCAGAACCTCTCAAACATGAGAGATCATATCAACAAGGTCCAAGAGACCAAAAGAGAGCTCACCAAGGAATACAAGCGCGCCCAGAAAGAGCGCAATATATACAAGCAAGCTCTTACTGAGGCCAACAAGAGACTTGCCAAACAGCAACAATCAAGAGCCCAGAGCGCTAATACCTTTGAAACAATAGGTGCTCGCCTTGACCCTGAGAATCATGAGGGATTTTCAGGAACAGAATTGGAGCCTTGCCCTGTCAAGAAGCGGAGCAAGTATCAGGATCCCCCTATCACAGATACAGGGCTTTCAGCGCTCCTTGGACGAGGAGTCATCCTTCAGATGGGCAATAGAGACATTACGAAGTCCATTAAAGGAGAAAGATTGCGCTGGTTGCAATCAATCTTTGAGCCTCCTTCCCAGTTTGGCATGCAGCGCGTGTTTGGCGGATCAGGCCCGCCTTCTGACTCCTCCAGCTCATCAGATGACTCGGATGACGAGCGGCACCACTTTTGGCACCATCGCCATCACTAAGAGAAGAAGAAATCCCGCAAGAACAAGGACCTTGCCTGGGATAAGCTAAAGAGCGGTAAATGGCCTAAGGATCAGCTTCTCACTGGTCCTAACAACTTTAAAGAGTGGCTTGAGACCCTTTCTGTCAGTATAGAAGTGATTGGTTACAAGCCAGGCCGAGAGCTCACTCAATTTGATCGTCTGAAGCTTGCAGAGATCATACAGAAGACCTCCAAGACTGATCCAAAGTCAAAGCTCAGCCCTGTCGCACTAATTAAAGGTATCAGAGATGGTAAAGAGATGTTAGAGCTCTTCCATCGCTCATACACGCTCACCAGAGAGTCCAAGCGAGGCCTCGTCTAGAAGCAACTAATGGAGCTCATGTATGGCGGCAACTGCCCAATTGCATATATCACAAAATGGCGCAAGAGAGTGCGCGCTTACAAGGACTACGGCATCAAGTCAGTTACACATGAGGATGAGCTAATCCTTCTGTTTCTTGAGAAAGCACGTCCCAAGGTCAGCTTCTGGGTGCGCCGTATCGATATCGCCAGGGAGTCGCAGCCCATGACCCTTGAACAGATCATCAATAACTTCAACAAGGAGTTTCATGATCATATTGGCAAGAAGGCCAGTCCAGAGAAGAAGGGCGGCTCCGTCAACCAAGCTGAATCTCAGCAAGGCCGCTCCAACAACCAGAATGGTGGCAACCCTTCAAATAGGGGCCGCAGGAACGGCAAAAACAGGGGCAGAGGCCGCGGCGGACGCCCTAAGCAGTCTGACCACAACAATCAGAGTGGCATACGTTGCTACAACTGCAGCGAAACGGGCCATATTGCCAGAAACTGCACCAATGAGCAGAAGACCAACAATAACGCCGTACACAGCGGCGGCAATCATGATGACAAGGGAGCAGAAGCTTCACAAGGAGCCTCCCACCATGCTTCATAATCACAGCCGCATCCGCCAGCAGGGCTTAAAGAGTTTGCTAGCACCCCAAGGAACGGCTAGAGTAACTCTGCCACGGGAGGCAGCATCATGATTGACCTCTATAAGTGGTACAATGGAGAGATTTGTACCAGGGCTCTGGCTGATCAGGAGTGTCACAGCACGCCTGATCAGAAGCGGGAAGGTAGATTCGCCTGGATCTTGGCCAAGGTCAATACCACTATGGCAGACCTCGCCGGCAGCCTTGTTAGCTACTCCCCAAACCCTAGGGAGAAGGCGCTCTCACGAACCAGAAAGAGAGCGCCGCAAGGGGGTCAGATCTCCCCCATAATGTCAGGAATAGCTGTGGCATGTGCCAATTACGCATTTAGCAGCAAGGCAATGTCCCCCAGCCAGCTCTTGCTATAGGACAGCGGATCAGATGTTCACATTATGAACGAGCTCAATGACTTTGAGCCCAAAACCCTTGTGAATCTCGGCAATAAGCCGTTCCCTGTACAGACAGGAGGAGGCATTATGTTTGCCACCCACATAGGCACCGCTCTTCAGCAAGTGCAATCGCCAGAGGGCGAAGCGCTTGATGTGAGACTACGATACGCTTTGTACATCAAAGACTTCCCGATCAAGATCTGGTCAGGGGATCTCTTCTATCAGCACGGGGGCTATTTAGAGGGCAACCTGCTGAAGGACCAGGACGGCAGCTGGTTTACTGAGCTCAACGTCCCAAAGAGAGGTTTTCTTATCTGAAAATAGGGTGAGAGAGAGCCTGATCTAGGCAGATCACAATGAGGGTACGCGTCAGAGGGCGAACATGAGATTTGAGAGCTACACAAGGCGCTCCTGACCTCGCTCTCTGGCACAACTTATCGAATGATGGATGAGCTACTTCGAAAGCTCATCCTTTGGCACCGACAATTATGTTATCCAAACACTGAAAGGCTGCGGATAACGATCAGGATGATCACAAGGATTGACCTGAAGCCAGAAGACATTGTTGATATCCCTTGTGCTGCCTGTGAGCGCGTAAAGATCAAGAAGTTCATCTTTAAAGAAGCACACGAGCGTGCTAAGTATGTCAGAGAGATCAGCCACATTGATCCAGGCACCTGTATGCCAATCTCAATAAAAGGAACGGGGTATTTGACATCATCACAGACGACAAAAGCCACTATCATAAGCCCGCGTTCCATCCAACAAAGCACGGTGTTGCTGATCACCTTAAGGAATACATCACCAAGATGAATATTGCGCTTATGGCAATGCCACCTATCAATGGCCAGGCTCGCCGCATGAGAATCATCTACGCAGATAGAGGGCGCAAAATGGGCATATCACGCCTTGAAACATGCTGCAGAGAAGATGGGATTCAACTGATCATCTCCTCACCAAATAACCAGTACCAGAACGGCGTTTCTGAGCGCAGCATCCAGTTCTGTATGGAAGAGGCTTGCACAACTAGCCTTGAGATGAACATCCCAAGCTGTTTCTGGGATAGCACAACGTCCTGTACGATCACCACTCTGAATCGAACAGGTCAATCAACTTTAAAGGATTGCACTCTGTATGAGGGGTATATAAGCGGGATAGACTCCTTTCATGAGTACTCAGTTTCTATAGATCAGTTTAGGATCCCGGGATTGTGATGCTTTGCCCTGATCGATAAGAGCCTTTGTATTACCTCTAAAAAACTCGAAACAAAGGGAGCCAAGGCCATCTTCCTTGACTACTAGGGCACACAGAACTACGGGGTCTGGCTGATTAAAGACAGCTGTTATCTGATAACGCTGCATGTCCGTTTCTTTGAGCACGTCGGACATGACGATCCCCCAGATCCTCGTGATATCATCAGGTCCATGCCCCCAGCCGCGCAAAAGCGACTGAGGCTCAGGAAGAAAGGAAAACCAGCGGTTAGAATCAAGAACCGCGATCTCAATATCGTTAAAGGACATTACAAACGACGAGGGTACTATGAAACGTAAGCGTGGGCGCCCAAAGAAGAAGCATCATGACGTGTATCAACTGCGCGTTGACTTCCCTGACTCCGATGAGATCAAGAGCGCCCTGAAGATGCTCTCAATCCAAGAGGGCGAGAGTGGCAAGGAAGGCGGCTCAGTAGCTGCTTCTGACTCTGATCAGGACAACTCTGACGGCTATTTCGATCCTAAAATGTTTCATTACAATGCGTACTTCACAAGGGAGCACGCTGCGGCTATGTTCCACAATACAGCCGCCACTATAGATCAGATGAACACTCAGATTATAAAAGAGCTCCTCAAAGACGAGCGAGAGTGCCTATTCGACCCTGACCAGGACGACCCTGGCGATCACAGTGCAGCCATGTATCATATGAGGCTGCTATCGCCTAGCTACAGGCTGATGGAGGCCAGAGCAGTTACAGACCTTACCTTCAAAGAAGCCATAAATGGACTAGAGAGGGAGCTGTGGATTGTAGCTATCTTCAAGGAGATCAGAGAGAACCTTGAGCGCGGCATCTTCGGCTTCAAGTGCACCAGCAAGGCTATCACAAGCCATCTGATCGACGCAAAATGGGTATTAAAGAAAAAGTTCCTATTTACTGATGAACTTGACAAGTTCAAGGGCAGGATCTGCGCAAGGGGATTCACACAGCGCAAGGGTATTGACTACAACAAAACTGCGGCTTCTATAGCGCGTTCAGCATCATGGAGGATACTAATGGCGCTTGCCGCTTTATTAGAATAGCACATCATCCAGATCGACTTTATTGCCGCGTACCTGAACGGCGAACTTCAGGAGCGCATCTTCATGAAACAGTTCTCTATGCTGTATGAGTATTTCCAGGCTCATCCTGATCAGGCCAGGCTGTATTGCTATGCTCCTGAGAAGGTCATCAAGCTGTTGAGACTACTGTACGGCCTCAAACAGTCAGGCGCAATATGGCAGAAGAAGATCCGTAAACTGCTTAGCAAGCGCGGATTTGAGCTCCTGATATCGGATGACGCGATCTACTTCAACAGTGCTACAAGCGAGGTGATTGCCTTGTATGTGGATGACTTCCTCCTCTTTGGATCTGATCTTCGGCGCCTCATGGACCTTACCAAGTCTATTAAGAAGGATGCACTGATCACAGGCGAAGGAGCCGCGGACTGGTTTCTTAGTGTTCGGATTGTTAGGAATACTGACGACGGCGATGTGAGACTTGATCAAGAGCAGTATGTTACAAAGGTCGCAGAGAAGCTGGGTGTACAGCACACCAACCCTGTGGTCTCTCCTCTGGATCCCATAACGGCTAAAGAAGCCACAAAGCACACTGGAGGAGAATCCTCTGCAGACAAAATCCACAATTACGCCTCAGTAATTGGCCAGTTCATCTTTCCAGCACATATCGCGTGTCCTGACCTAGCTTTTGCGGCTTCCACCTGGGCACGATTATGAGCAACCCGTCTCTTAGCCATCATCAGTGCCTCAAAAGGGTTGCCAAATACATGAACGGGACCTGGAAGAGAGCCATACGATATAGGCGATTGGCAAAGGATCATCCTTATCGCCGTTTTAACAAGCTGGGGCTCTATGGAGCCGTGGATTCGAGCTTTGGAACCTGTCCAGATACCGGCAGATCAGTTACAGACTTTGTATTCTTCCTCTCCGGCGCTCTTATCCTGTGGCATTCAAAGCTGCAGACAGTGGTAGCAAAGAACACCTCTAAGGCTGAATACATCGCTCTCTCAGAGGCAGCAGGAGATGCGGCATGGATCAGGAGCTTCCTCACAGAGCTCAACTTGATACCAGAAGGGCCAATTACTTTGCTAGAAGATAATAATGGCACAATTACGTGAATAAAAGAATCACAAATGTCAAAACAGAAGCACCATATCCGTATCGCATACCATTACGCTCGCAGGAAGCTGATGCTGGCCATATCAAGGCCCAGTACATCAAGAGCGAGGAAAATCCAGCTGATGGATTCACCAAGGCGCTCTCAGGGGCAAACCACAGGGAGTTTGTACGGCTATTAGGCCTGGAGGACTTCGAGTAGATAGACAGATGGATCACCAGATTGTTGGCTTGGAGTGCTATAGCACGCCTGCCGTGATCCAAGATAGATAGATAGACCGTGATTTTGCTGATTTCAGAGTGCAATTGCACCTTTCGGGCAAGAGGGCGTGTCAGATGTTGGATCCCAGATATGGTGCCCTTAGGTGCAGACCCACTAGGGGGCTGTCAAAGGAACAGTGGATCCACCCTGGCATGGTGCAGTATGGTATTTAGCTGTAGATTAGCCCTGCCGAGCATACTTGAGAATGACAACAACATTTGCAGCGACCGCTCACACCCCCAAGGCTTGTGACCCTTCTAGAATCTCACATTACGTTAATATTACCTTACGATAGCCTTATTATTAAGTTAGTTGTTAAGGCTGTGAGGGTATTCGTAGATTGAGTTGGTGTAGATATCCACGTCTATATCAATCCACCGTAGATATCCGTTGAGTTATTCGGGACCTTAGATAAAAGAAAACCCGGATGCCCCCTTCATCCGTTACCTCAGTCTTGCCAACAAGGAAATACTGGTCTGCAATAGCGTCAACTCCCACAGGGAGCTTCTGCAGACGAAGTGCTACTCGTTTCGCAAGACGGACCATTGGCGCGGCATGGTGGACGAAATCGCTGGTCATGGCGCTTTATCGATGGAAGGAGAAGACACCGATCCCACCGCAAGATGCTTTCACCCTCCTTCTCACTCGGCAATATCCGCAGGCTCGAGCCTATCCTCAGGGTCAAGACGCAGGAGCTCTGCCGACTGATTGACCAACATATAGATCCCGATGGTGAGGGTTCGGCTGGCTCCATTGACTGCGCCGAGCCATTTTCAAAGGCCACCCTGGACATCATGGGAGTCCTGGCGCTGGGAGTCGAGCTTTCGAACCTCACGTCGGACAAGGGCGACAAAAACGAGTACTCCTTCCACGAGGCGTACAAGACCATCTTGGCCCCCGACAAGACCGGCTCATCTCTCTTGTTCATCAACGGCTTCTTCCCAATTCGCTGGCTGCCGATTCAAGCCAACCGGGAATTCCTTCGCGCCACCAGGTGGGTAAGAAACGCACTGACCCAGCTTATTCGTACTCGGCATCGCGATGTTCGCGAGGCGAGGGCGGCGGGAAAGGATATCGCATGCGATAGCCGCGACATCCTAACGTTCATGGCAACTGAGAGCCTACTAGGCGGTGCCGCCGAATGTTAAATATGGTAGTAGCCTAGGGCTACCTAATCCACTTTTGCCTCGTTCAACACCGAAGGCATCACCGAAGAGGAAACGGTTGGCCATGTACGTGAGACTTCAACTTAGACTTGCACAACGATCGGTACTAATTTTAGCTTCATAATATTTACTACAATTCTCGTCTGCGGGTCACAAGACCAGCGCAACGATGCTGACTTGGGCCTTGTACATATTGGCAACAAGGCACGATATCCAAGACACGCTTTGTGCCGAAATCACAATACTCGCAGCCGAACATCCGGACCCAACGTTCCTACAAATAGATTCTCTCGTTTATCTAGAGAACTTCATCAAAGAAACAATGCGAGTATACGCCCCAGGTTAGTGCCCCCCTCGCCTTCTACAACACGCCATGAGGCAAGCTGCTGACTTTGCTTTAGCCACTGTTACTTATCTGCGAGCCGAGGCTTATATGACTATCGACGGCGTATTTATCCCTAAAGACACGGTCATCGACATGATCATCGACATGATCCCATCGGTGGCGCTACTAAACCCGCTCATATAGGGCGAAGATGCCGACGACGTCGACCCCACTCGCTGGGACAGACTGGAAGGGGATCAGTCATCCCCTTACGCCTACAATGTGTTTTCTAACGGCCCGCGAGTCTGCATCGGGAAGACGCTTGCACTTGTCGAGATCAAGATCATCCTGTTCGAGATCGTCCAGACGTATCGATGTGTGAAGGTCGCAAGGGACTTCACTGTCGAGAACCCCTCACTATCGTTGAGGCCTGTAGGTATGGAGGTGCACCTGGCCAAGATTGGGAGCATTAGGCTTTTGGGTGCCCGGGTATGGACGCCCAAGGAGTTGTGACGAGTTCTGGCTTGACTACCTTGCCTACAGTATAATAGAGGGTATCGGGGTTCTCGCGGGGGGTGAAGGCAGCCATGCATAAAAACTCTTGTTTTTAAACGAGCCCTTGCTAGCCTTATTTCTTATGACATCCTTTCAACATCCATCTTAGCAAAACACCGCCAAATCCCGCCAGATCCCATGTATGCAACCTACATGCAGTCAAAAATGCGTGCCCGGCCAGATCACGCGCCCGCAAACTTCCAGCAGCTGATGAGTTCGCCGCTCAAGGTGCCGTTGATGGGCGCGCACTTCTCCTTGGCGGACCACGCGCCGATCGGGTCGCCCAGGCATTTCTCGAAGTCGACTTCGAGGCATGCGTCCCAGTCGCCGACGATGTAGACGAACGTCGTGATGCCCCCATGGATGTCCTCAGCCTCTTCAACTGGGCGACGACGTTGAGGTTCGGGTCTGTTTGTTTGTTTGTTTGTTTGTTTTGTATTTAACGTGGGGGGTAGCTCCTCAGTAGTGCAAACCACGCCTCCCAGAGCCATTGCATCGCAAGGTTGTAGAGGTGTCAAATTAGATACATTCAGATCCGCGCACGAGCCTATCCTCGCTGTAGCGGTACCAATCTGGAGTGTTCAGATGGTTTTAGTCAATACCTAAGCACGATTCCGTCAGAAAAACCTCCTATCTAGTGACAAAGCGACCCAGTGAACCTCAGTTCTCTGGTGTACATATCGTTCTAGTAGCCGTTCGATATATGTCGCATTGGTGGGTGGAGTAGGTGTTTGTTATCTGCTGGCGAGGGAAACCACAAGGGGGAAAACCTCGCAGGAGTGGGTATTATGGAGACAAGCTGTTTGGCTATCGGGCTCTGCGATAAAATGGGGCCTCTCCACTATCGTGTGCTGGTTATCGACTCGCACAAGCCGGGTCAGAAAGGGGGCCATAGCAGGATTCGAACCCACTTGTTCTCGTCGCCCACCGCACAAACGAGAACACAACCAGGCGCATTTGACCATTGCACCATACGGCCTGAGGTTCGGGTCGTGGGGGTCGTGGGGTGCTGTTGAGCGGAGGAGGTTGGTGCTGGCGTTGCAGTCCCCCTCGCTTGGGTATTCGTCGATTCTGAAGTCGGCGCTTGCGGTGCTGGCGCTGGCGAGCGACAGTACGGTAGCAGCGAGGATCGGCGTGTAGTGCATGGTGGGCGGCGAGGTTACTGCTGGCTGGCGGATGGGACTGTTTGTAATGGCAATGTGCGTGTGTGTGTGTGTAGAGCCAAGCAGTAGGTGACCGATGCTTTTGGAATATATCCCACATTGAAGTGAGGGCCTGGCTTTGCCTTTTATACAGGAAGCCATCGATAAATGGCCTGTATCTCGAGTTGCGTACGTCATTAGCGGCTTTGCATGGTTTGCTATCTTACACTTCACAGTTGACGAGGACCTTTGCCGGTAGGATGTGATGGATCGGCGCGTCAGACATGAAGCCTTCAACACCATAAGCTCGTGTAACCCTTTGGTAACCAGGCAAAGGGCATATCACCAATCACTCTTCACACCCGCCGCCGCTATCACTTCCCAAGCCAGGACGATACGACCAGGGGATCCGACGTTTAATGTCATTTGGAGGAAGGCACGGATTATCAAGGGATCATGAGTGGGTAAGCTTTCAACAACAGTAGCGCGGAAGATCCAGACGCGGAAGATCAAGCAATGGAAGATCAAGCTGTGGTAGATCTAACTAGTCTATCAGCGCATATATTGCGCTGTGGCATATCTTCCGGCGGAATGATCCGGTTTGCCAGAGTCGCTATTGAGCTCGTGTTACATATTGGTCACCTACGACATGGCTCGCCAGCGTCTCGTCGAGGGCGGCTCAGAGCTGGGGGGTTCTCAGTTGCGTCTCCAACCCCGCGAGACTCCTGGTATCCCCGACTCAGGCTGCTTTTACATTCATTGCCTCACTTATACTGTAGGGAAGGTGCCTATAGTCAAGCCAGGACTCATCCCATGGTGTGTCTTGGGCTTCCATATCTAGATCAGAGAAAGCAGTCTCAGGCCCAGAAATAGCCATATCTTAAGATAGGCAAACGGTGTAGGGTTAAGCTCGTGTCAGACGAGCAAGTATCGTCAGCTCACCGACCGGTCGACGAGCCGCATCCGGGAAGACACAACGCAGCAGGTTCTCAGCCTCGAGGTGAGGTCTCCACTCTGAACTACATCGCATTGAGCCGAACAGCTTTCTCATGTAACAAGTGTTACATATGGCAAGCTTTTGCCGTTGACCCAAGCGGTAAAACGTGAAGGTATCTATACACAAGAAGTGAACCCAATTCAAAATTCATTCCCTGGACAGCACAGACGCCTCGCTTCTCTGCCTACTACCTATGTAATAGGCAGCCTGAGATATTCCAGCCAGCCTTCCAGCCTCGGCCCAGCCTTTCTGGAGTCCCTTACCAGTTTTCTGAGTTGGCCCCCTACTAAAACCCAAGTACAGTCGCCCCATTCTCTATCCCGGAAGGTGAATGGTCTGCTAATTTAACCCCCCCACCTCCGGTCAGTTCTTGCCTCCTCCGATCACATCTACTGCCCAAGTTGACGAGCATGTCTGCGCTTCTTGTGCCCAGCACAGTAATGAGTAGGATTGGCCGCGGCGCTGGTGTCCGAGGCAGCAGCCGTGCTGCTGGCGCCGAACGCACCGGTCGAGGAGCTCCCGGCGTCCGACACCGTGGCGACCACGCTCGTTGAGTCAGCGTCCGCGGAAGCCGAGGTGGAAGAGGACGCCGCTGCGGTCTCTGCAGTCGTCTCTGCAATCGGGTATGCCTCGCCCGTAACAGTAGCAGTAGCGGTGCCAGCAGCAGTCTCCGACGCCGTCGCCGTCGTCGCACTGGCGGTGGCAGAAGCCGAAGTAGCAAACCCTCCCGCTCCCGACCCATCCTCATCCCCCGCATTCACAGCCGCCGGGATATCCGCCGCAGCAGCCACCTCCCCGCTCACCAGCCCAAACGCCGGCGGGCCCTCCCAGTCCCTAGCCGTGCAGTGCGCATCCAGGTCGTCGCACTTGGTGGCCCAAATCTTGCAGTTCAGCCCGCCCGACGCGGGCGCCTGCGCCCAGCAGGCGTCGTTCTGGGCCCAGCACTGGTCGACGGCGGCCCAGCAGCCGGTCTGGTCCGCGTACGCGGGGACCTCGACGCCGCACCAGTTGGCGTTGACGATGAGGCAGGAGTCCGGGATCGCGCCCTCGGCCTCGGACTGCTTGACTACGTTACCCGACGGGGCCCCGGACGCGGGGGCCGGGGTCCAGGGCACGGGCCCCATCATGGGGAACGGGATCTTGGGGTCGGCGTACTCCTCGTCGTCGTAGATGTTGTACGTCACGGACGCGTCGTCCGCCTGCAGGTAGTCCGGGATGCTGACGCTCTGGTTGGCGGGGACGGCGGCGGCGAGGTCGTCGGCCGTGACGGAGCTCTCGATGAAGACCTGGGCGCACCCGACGTAGAACTGCGGCTGCACGGCGGGCGTGGTGTTGTGCATGGCGACGACCTCGGGGCGGAATAGGTAGTTGCCCGCCGGCAGGCCCGTGGGGATGTCGATGGAGAGGAGGCCGTCGTTGGCGATCATCTTCTCGGTGGCCCACAGGTCCGCGGCGGCGTCGTAGCCCTCGCCCCAGAGCTTGAACCAGCCGGGCCCGGAGGCCGTGTCGTCCAGGCTCGCGAGCTTCTTGGCGTACACGGCCACGGGACCCTTGTGGCTCGGGTCGATGAAGCCGGGCTGGGCCTTGTCCGGGTATTGGCGGTACTCGAAGGTGAGCTTCGCACCGGCGGGCGCCGGACACGTGAAGTTGACGGGCGTGTTACCGCCGACGTTGCAGGCCATGTTGTCGCTGCCTAGGTCGACCACAGGGGAATTGGCGTGGTCGATGTCAGTGCTCTGGCGCACGCAGGTGCCGTCACCTTGCTTCGCGTCGTTGATGTATAAGGTAGTGAAGAGGGTGTGAGCCTGTGCCATCCCAGTGAGGGATGCCGCGAGACCCATGACCGTAAGAGACTTCATCTTGAAGGATTCTGGTTGCTTGTTGAAGTGTGAAAAGTTTGTAGAAATCACGTAGTTCAAGACGGGATCTGATGAAGGTCAAGATGGCTCAGCCTGAAATCGTAAAGAATGGAATAGCGAGTCGAGGCTGGGCCGACTGCTGGTGAGCGAAAGAGTGTATAGAAAAGAATGAGATGCCCTCAGAACGAGCGTCAAACGAATGAAGTCAGGAAAGAAACCAGAAACCGTCAAGTCGACTGTGGTCAACTCGACCAGGCCGTTGGAGCAGGCCGCGGTGCCTTAAATAGGGAGCGAGCGCTTCCATCTCCCAACAAACCAACCAGCCAACCAACCAACCAGCCATCCCCCATCCGTAGCCAGCCAACTATATCGCCGACCTCCTCTAATCAAGGCCTGCATCCTCACTCCTGCGGTCAGGTACCCTCTCATTTACACGCGGGGAAATGTCTGTCGGGACCAGGTTCCTGGGAGTCTGTCTTGGCAGTGTCAGCGAATAAGCGCTTGGCCAAGTGTTTCAAACAAAGTCTGCCAAGGACGCCCTCACGAGAACTGGAGGTTGTTTTTGTAAATTTGGAAACAAGCCCCTGAGTGGGGCGTTAGGCGGTATACATGTAGGCAGGTCGGAGCCGGCCACGGCGTTATCAGCTGCGGATGAAGCCCAGCTGGGGCTGTCAGGAGACAACCGGCATTTAATTCGCGCCTGTGCATTGCGGTTGTAGTTCCGAGAGGTTCTGGAGATCAGCGGGACGACATCAAGCTGCTGTTTAAGGACCCAATCTCATCTGATCGAGAGCTCGAGGGGCTTCAGTAGAGAGAGGTACTACTCGACATAAGGTAGACGATAGACTATAATAATGACCACAAATGGACGAAAATAATAGTTTACGATAGATCACAACCAATACCGCGTTGTTCGTGGCGAGTTACACCACTAAACTTGAAACTAGTTCATCTGCCGTCTGATGTTCGGACGGGAGCTTGAACAGCCTGGGCCGCATGCCGTGGAGGATATCTCAACCTCAGGCAAGGACGGAATGAAGTCACTCTCGGAGCTCAAAGAATGCCCGGGAGACCCAGAGTCGACGAAGATCACGTATACAATACAGATCACAATTGCCTATCTCGTCTGTGTAAGAGGTCGGCGAACCTCTTCAAGAATGCGTATAAGATCATACAAGGGCGCGTGGGTGTATGCAGGCTGCACCACACCTGCTCACCCAGTAGCAGGGCCCGGACTCCAGTACAATGTTCGCTCCATGTTCTCCCAATCGTGGATATCGTAAGTCGTCGGTCAAATCGCGGAAAGGGACAGGGTACTCCATATGACCATTCGCGCCTCCAAAGGTCAAAGTGCCTGCGCACAGCCAATGCGCGCTTCACTTCGCAGGCCCCCCTACGTCGGCAGCCTCCATCCTGGATCTGACCTCTCGGATGAGAGCTTTGGCCTCTTCCACCTCAACACCGTCTTGACAAAGCTCATTTGCTAACCGGTTTGCCGTGGTATAATCCTCAGACCTCATCGCATGGCGAGCGAGCCACATCCTCGCCTTACTAGTGGCGGCTGTAACACCCGTGCCTTCGTTCCCTCCTCCATGTCCCCCGCCTTCTCCATCGTCGTCCGAACCTGGCGAGTCGTGATGTATAGCGATGCTCTCCCCTTGACTGTCACCACCGCCGCCGCCAACTTCTTGGTTCACGCACATCTCCATGTATGCCTTGGCATCTTCATCTTCACCGAGCCCGTCGTACATGCCAGCGATCTGTAGCAAAATATCCGGGTCCATATGGGCACCGCGCATGCTACCGGAGCCGCCGCTGCCAAAACTACTGCCTGTTTCGTAGTAGCTGTCGGCAAGCAAAGCACGCTTCAGGGCCTTGATTCCGTCATGAGTCCGGTTCATGCGCTGCAGGCAGGAGCCCACCGCCATCCACATCTTGCCATCCCATGGCCTTAGTCCGGCTGCCTTTTTGTAGTACCAAAGAGCATAAGCGTGCATCTCCAGCACTTCATACGTTTGGCCCAATCCATACCAAGCGCGGTAGTCCCTTCTGTTGACGTCCACAGCTCGCCTGTATGATTCGATTGCCGCATGCGTATTCTTGAGCTCGACGTACTCGTGGCCCATGAGAGTCCAAGCCGAGAGACAGGAGCGATCTAGCGTCAGTGCACGACGGAAGTACTGCACCGCTTTCTCATGCAAAGAGAGTAATGAGTAGTAGTTACCAATGACAACGCAAGACTCGGGACGAAACTTGTCAACGCTGCTGCAGAGGTGTGCCAAGAACGCGAGCTTCGGTCTCGAGTTCATGACATACAGAATGTTGGAGTAATGGTCTAGAGAGTCGAGTCGATGCGGATGCAAGGAGAGTAGGCGGCTAAAGTGTTGTTCTGCAGCCACAAGGTCTTTGGCGTGGTATGAGAGAAGCGCATCGCATGTCAGCAGGAATGAGGACGTCGGAAAGATGTCTAGTAACTGTTCGAGGGAATTGGCGAGGTTGGCATCGTGTTGGTAAAGCTCGAGCGAGGTATGAATGTGGAACATGAAAGAGACGATGTTCTGTGGCAATCGGGGCATGATTCGATTTAACTGCTGCTGTTAGTAAATATCTCGAACTGCTCAGCTGGCGACCTACGTTTTCTACTCTGGAAATAAGTGAACTCATTTCCAGCCAGCAGCCCCAATTCATAGGGAAGAGGTGGACACTGCGAGCAAGCCAGTATAGAGCTAACTCTTCGTTCTTCTGTCTTGCGAGAACCATGCCGTAGCTGCAACGCCTGTCAGTCTCTTGTGCATACCAAATGCTCTGCACGCCACTCACAGATATTCCAACCACCCTTGACTGTCTAGGTCCTCTCCATCTTCGGCCTTGCGACTCTCAAACCAGGCTTCCAAGACACGGCTGACGGTGAGCAGCTGCTTGTTGACAACTGTGCCGAGATCTTGAGGGCCCATTACCATCTCGGTCTCCTCGTCTTTCCGCTTCTCGCCCGATAGATATTTGGCATACAAGGTAAGAAACAGACTTCGCTGGCTAAGCTTCGGTAATGTCTGTCCGGCGGCTACTTTGGTATTACCAGCAGTAGCCTTTCCTTTACCCTTGCCCTTCGGTGTGGTATTGACATCCTTCGAGGCCACTATGCCAGCGAGAGTAGAGTCTGGTAGGAAGATGGCGGCACAACGATCGAATTCTCGGCAATCGAAGAAGGACTTGGCCAGCAAGTATTTGTTGATCTCCTTGGCTTCCATAGCTGCTTCGTCTGGATCTGCATTTGGGGCCAATGCTGCCGGTACATGGCCGGTAGATGCATCTGAGAGCTGCGAATCATCGAAAGAAGCCTCGGGCTCGGGAATGGCATTGAGGAGCTCGGCTGCCCTGTCGAAACCAGCAGTTAGCCTCCATAATGGCTCAACCCAGAGGAAGGTGTCTGTATGGGGGGGAGGAAGGGTACTACCATACCATTTAGACGATTGATAGAGGCATCGCTCGGAGCACTTGACAACGGCTTCTTGCAAGGCGCTTCGCAGCTGCGATTTCTCCCGGTCGCTGAGAGACATGCTGGTGACCTGTATATGCAGAAATTCGTGGTCGATGAAGAGTGGCTATTGCATCGAAGTGTCTCCGGTGTGTTGCCAATCACTAGATCTCCGAGGTGCCCAGCTGGTCTGATCTCGACAGATGGGCAAGCCGCGCGTGGCTTGGAACAGCCTCACCTGAAGGCGCACAGCAACAGTCTCCAGTTGATGCCTGGGGCAGACTGAAAGCTGAATTGGTCACCTGGGAAGGCGGTTGACGCTTCCTCTCTTTGTTGCCAACCCCACATGCGCGTGAAGCTCAAGCACAGCAACCAGACCAAAACAACACCCAGCTGCTGCTGCCCCTCTGCAAAAAATCACGCTACGCGTATCGATAACGATAAACCACCACGATAACACCAGCCAAGACGCTAACGACGCGATAACGATAACACACCAAGATGGCACCCAGATTCTGCCAGCTCGCCTCTGGCGTTTGCCTCGGAGGAATGCCCAAGCTGCTTCACCTGCAGCCCGGAGCTCACCGCCTTCGGGAACTTGCCGCTAGTGGAACCAAGCCGCTGGATGTTGCTGGTGCCGCTGTTGGTCCCCCTGAAGGTGCCGGCACGAAGCCAATTGGAGCTACCGATCTTAGCGCTGCCAATGGTGGTGGACTGGGTGGTGGCCGTGGACCCCTGGACGGCCAGGGTCGTCTGCCCCTCGTGCCCCTCAACACCAACAATATTTCCCTCCTGCATCTCCGCCCTCGTCTTGAAGTCGCGATCTCGACTCTGCCGCTTCGTGCCTCTTCCACCTTCGAGCAGCGCCGCTACATCAGTTTCACTCTCAAGGGAGGTCTGAGAATCCTCGTGCCACCGCCTGAGTTTTGGCCCAAGGACAACATGGCGAAGCAAACCACCATCAAGGAGTTCGAGGCGGTCTTCCCGAAGCTTCAAGATGACGTCTTGAGCTGGGCGAAGCAGTACAACCTGCCTCAGCAGCAGCTCGACTGGTACAAGGCGGTATGTGATTTAGTCCCATTCAATCTCGTGTACAACACTTCCTCGCCAATCTCGCTCCACCCCTTGAAATGATCTCAAATACTATTACTCTCGTATCGAGCCATTGCCTTGAACACACCGCTTACCAGACATCAGGCCCTGGAGAACAATGCCTACGGCGGCAAATGCAACCGTGGCATGTCAGTTCCTGACTCTGTCTCGATTCTGATCAACAAGCCGCTGTCTGAGGACGAGTACTTCAAAGCCGCTACCCTCGGCTGGATGATCGAGCTCCTGCAGGCATTCTTCCTTGTCTCGGACGACATGATGGACGGCAGTATCACCCGCCGTGGCAAGCCCTGCTGGTACCGCCAGGAGGGTGTTGGCATGATCGCCATCAACGACGCTTTCCTGCTCGAGTCGGCTATCTACACCCTTCTCAAGAAATACTTCAAGACTCACCCGGCCTACGTCGACATTATGGAGCTGTTCCACGAAGTTACACTGCAGACCGAGCTCGGCCAGTTGTGCGACCTTCTAACGGCTCCCGAGGATGTTGTGAACCTCGACAACTTCAGTCTCGAGAAGTACACATTCATCGTCATCTACAAGACGGCCTACTACAGCTTCTACCTGCCCGTCGCGCTGGCCCTGCACATGCTGAACATCGCCACCCCCAAGAACCTGAAGCAGGCCGAGGACATCCTCATCCCCATGGGCGAGTACTTCCAGGTCCAGGACGACTACCTTGACAACTTCGGCCTGCCCGAGCACATTGGGAAGATCGGCACCGACATCCAGGACAACAAGTGCTCGTGGCTCGTCAACCAGGCCCTGAGGCTGGCCACCCCCGAGCAGCGCAAGGTCCTCGAGGAGCACTACGGCAAGAAGGACAAGGCCCACGAGGCCGAGATCAAGAAGCTGTACGACGAGATGAAGCTTGAGCAGGTCTACCAGGAGTACGAGGAGAAGATCGTCGGCGAGATCCGAACCAAGATCTCCCAGGTCGACGAGGCGGATGGTCTGAAGAAGAGCGTCTTTTATGCCTTCCTCTCCAAGATCTACAAGCGAAGCAAGTAAACGGCGTCAATGCCCGACAAAGCTTTGTAACGAGACACATGTTGCTTTTTCTTGCCAGGTTTCTGGTATTAATTGACGAGCTGCTTGGCCAAAAGAATTAAGGCAGGACAGGAAGTTTGGTCCAGATAATTCCTACCTAGGATGTTGACTAAGTGAACAGTCAGCAATAATACCCTCCCCCGCCTGCATATGGTGGGTAAAAAAGATAGTTTCAGATCATTCTCAATAGACTGGATTTCTGAAGTATGATACAGGTGAACGAAAGGAGATACCGAAACCCCGTGCTCCCCACACCATTATCCCGATGTCGAGAGAAGCCTGGTATAGTGAAAGTCACCCTCTCGAACTCCCTTTCCCACTATTCCCCTCTCGCATATGGTTGAGTAATTCAGCAGACAGCTGCAGCGAGAAGCCCTGGAAGCCAGCTACTGAAAGCGCCCTCCCCGTGCCATTTCTCTCATAGCAACATTAAGTGTCGGCTCAGCTCAGCACCCAAACGTTCCTCAGTGAGACCCCTCGCTCAATGACCTCGTCCTCGACGCCATCCTCCCCCTCGCGCCGCTGGAAATGCACCATCAGAGGTGCCTCCTTCCACAGCATATGCATCTGCGCGCGGCCGAGCCAGTCCCCATGGTCGCCTACAAGGCTGATGTCGTACGTCCACTGCAGCGATTTGTGTCAGTAACTGCCTCTCTAGGAGAATATGAAAGAGACGAGAGACGTTTCGGACGCAGGCAGGTTATCCGAGACTACCGTCAACTCAGGAACGACAATAGCTCGTCCTCGCCTTTCGGGTAGTGGAAAGGGGGCATAAGATGAACCAACCCCCGGCCCCCAAAGAAAAAAATTAAGAAAGGAAAAAAGGAAGAAGGAACAAGGGAATAGAGAAAAGTCGCTTACCACGAGCTTCGCAAGCGCAATCCGCAACTCAAGATAAGCCTGCGCAATCCCCAGACAAGCCCGCGGCCCCGAACTGAACGGCAAGCCCCTGGGCTGGCCATCCGTCCCACCTCCTACACCCTCTCCCTCTCCTCCACCCAACCAGCGCTCCGGCCGAAACGCAAACGGCGCCTCCCAACTGTCCCCCCGATGCAGCACAGCCCAATGCGGCGCGCTGACCACACTTCCATCCGCCACAAATCTCCCATCCACGACCTCGCCGGGCGACACGCGCGGCAGCCCGAATGCGATGGGCGGGAAGCAGCGCATAGTCTCCTCGAGAACGGCATTCAACCACCGACACCCCGCCAAGGCGCCGCCACTCATGACCTTTGGGTCCATACTACTAAAAGAATTGCGGATCTCGTGTTGCAGTGCGGATAGGGAGGAGGGGTGGGTGGTTAGGAAGTAGAAGGCGCCGGTTAGGACATGGCTGACGGTGTCGGCGCCTGCGATGATGATGGCTTGGGCGAGGGAGACGAGCTGCTTTTCGGACATGTTGCCGTGGGCGATGATGGGGGCGAAGAGGTCGGTTGGTTGCTTTGGCTTATCCTTTCCCTCCGTCTTCTCCGTCTCCGTCGTAGTCTTTTTGACGGCGTCCTTGCTGGCGTCGGGGAGCGCGCAGGGGTTGGCGTCGGCGTCTCGCTGTACGCGGCGGCGCACCGTGGCTAGCGTGTAGGCGTAGTGCTTCCGCAAGTTGCGGAGCGAGGAGAAGGAAACCATGAAGGGGAGGAGGGGCCAGAGCCAGGGCAGGCGCGAGATCAGGGACGGGAGGATGGCGGCGTGGGCGGAGTCTCGGAGCAGCGAGATCCAGAAGTGCGGCTTCATGTTCTTGACGGTGCCGAAGGATTCACTGAAGGTGAGCTCGCCTGTGTGGCGGGTGCGGTTAGCTAGTGCGCTTTGTTTTGGTTTTCCTGGAAATCTACGTGCGGTGGCAGGTAAGTGGTGAGGGGTTTCGGATTAGGGGTTAGGGGTTCGGGTCAGTCAAGGGGCATGGGCCAGTGGAGAATGCGTGAGAGAGAGAAAAGTGCCAGACACCACATACCCATGATATCGAAACCCAGCCACATGAAAGCCTCGGTCACATTGAAGCCGGCACCGTGGCTCTCCCTGTCCAAATTCTCGAGCTGGTCCACAAACAAATCAGTGTACCGGTGGATGACGGGCTCGTGGAATCGCATGGCCGCCGCCGAGAAGCCCGGGGCGAGCAGCTTGCGCTGGCGCGCGTGCTCGGCCGGGTCCAGCTCGTAGAACAGCGTCTTGACGTCGCCGTTGTTGTAGAACTGGCCGTCTTTGAGGAACGGCTTCTTGGTCTTGCCCGTCTTGGACGGCGTCGAGTAGATGTCGCGGTGCGCCTGGACCGTGGCGAAGGTGAGCTCGTTGGGTGCTACGCGCACTACGTCGCCTGTGATGTGTGTCAGTATCTACCTATCCTTTGATTTGGGCTAGGTTGGAGCGTCCCAAGTTCCGAGGCGTGAGTGAGGCTTACCGTATTTCTCGTGGGCGGCTTGGATGATCTTCGCATAGCGTCCACTGAGCCAGGTCCGAGCCAACCATACCTATGGGAAACCCTCTTCAGCAACCCTGATCGACGTAGAGTAGTATATGCTGATCGACTTACGTCGGACACGGCAGCAAGCTTGGGACCGGGGAATCTGGCGAGGGGGTGGAAGTATAGACAGTACACACACCAGGCGAGCTGGTGGAGGAGTGCCTGTGGGAATGGTGAAATTAGCATATGTGCGAGGGGATACCAGGATAGATCCCTTACAATACCCACGCAGACGACAAGCCACTTGAGCCAGAAGCTGGGCACAAAGCCAGGCAATAGCTCGGCGTAGGAAGCCATCATTGTGGTCTTCAGCGAAGTAAGGTTGCGAAGGGGTTCTGTGCGTCAGGCCGGTCCATGTGGTTGACTGTAGCTAGAGTGGCAAGTGAAAGAATTCCGCAGCGAAGCAAAGGTCCAGAATAGAAATGTTGGTGTATCAAGCAGGTGTATGCAAATGTGTGTTGCTGAGGTGGCTAGTGGTAGGTCCCTCGGAGAGCAAGGACCGTGGGACGTAGTGCGGTCAATGCTCTACTACTGGGCAACGGCTATCTGATAAAAAATAGGAGATTGCAGTCTTGTGCGGTATCAGTCAATGGCTACCCGGGTGATAGCTGTAAGAGCTGCAGCAAGTAGGCTAGGTTCATGAAAGCGAGAGGGAATCTAGGCCCAGTAACGAAAGAATGATTTTCCATTGTCTACTTACACTCCCGCATCATCACACCGGTAGGTCCACACTGAGACTGGAGCTCCCGCCACAAAGGAAGATAATGGCCTAGATTTATCGTCTCTTTACACCATATACAGCATTGCTCGATACGATACGGCGGTAGCAGGCAGCCTATCATCCCTTCCATGTACAGGCCACCTACGGACGTTACACGTAAAGCCGAATAAAGTCAACGTGGGCGAGACTCACTGAAGTAAGGCCGATGTGATAGCCAAACCTCAAATGATTTCACCGAATTCGCGATAAGCAGCGAGTACCGCAAATAATCACACCGTTCATCTGCCGAAGACACGGTGTGCTACGGGATCCGCTGCCGTCACAAATCACGGCACGTAGGACCCGAGTCAATAGGGGACGAACCGATCTTTGTGGATGGGCGGGCCATTGAGTCAACGTCACGACACCTACGGTGTGCTCGGCAGTAATCCCAATGAAGTGGTTGGTGTATGCGAGGTACTTATGATCGTTGCTTATGGGTCCCGGAGCATTTAGGCGCATCCAAACTAGCATGATGGCATTAGCAGAGCATAGGTTAGGACGAGATTGCAAGCAGCAGAAGTAAAACGGCACATTGGCTACGCCGCCTCCGCACACTGCTTTTCTGTCATCGAGGCACAAGGAGCGCGTCTACGGACCAGAGACATGCTGCGGACTGTTGGTGAACTGTAGAGCATGTCATACCCTGCCGGCGAATGAGAGACAATCCCGACCAGATCTTGTGGCATGTCGCCAATCGATCCTTGAATGCGTCGTCCGCACGGCACGAAGCTGGGAAACCGGGACTGGAAACAACCCGAGTACCCGGTTCTGCCGTGCGGAGTCCCGACGTTGCTGGGCTTGTGGACCAACCGAATCCATTGTTAGGCCCCGGCAGATGGTCACATTTTGTGTTGCCATGCGGCGTCGCGGCACAGTAGAAGCGCATGGGGAGCCATATCCTGGATCCAGTTGCCAGCAGCGTCGATGGGTCTCATTGCTTGGAGTGTTGCCGTGGCGGCAATACTAGCCAATGGCATCGAATACCTGGCCAGCGTCCTGTCACAGTCGTTCTGAACCGGACGCTCGGTACACATAGCGCAAGTGCTTATCTTTGGAGTTTGTTGGTGGTTGAGTCGAGTCCGTGCTTGTGGTTGGAACATGATCGATCACCAGCGGCGTGGTATGTGACTGATTGGCTGAGAGGCCGTGACAAGAGGATGCCGCGTGAGCAATGAGATGACATGGCATCGGCCGCGCTGAGTCCTTGCATTGGTACCAGCGCCGGTATAGGTCAACTCCTGGCAGTATTCGTTTTAAGCCCCTGGCAATACCATCCCCCCCCCCCACATCTCATACACTCCCACATCTCGTACAGCAAAACCCCACCACCACCACCAAAACACCCCCTTATTCACCCACATGTAAAAGAAGTCATTCAGGTCAGAGAAATCCAAAAAAATTATCATTCGAGAGCACTGAAGCTGACCATTCGTAATATCTAGTGGGCGCCCGAATTAATCGCCCCGAAGGGGTCTGCCTAGGCTCCTGTATGGCCTCCGAAGCGGCCTCTTCAGCCGAGTCTTCGTCTTCTGCTTCTTCTTCCTCGTCATCATCAACCACAACTTCTGGTACATCCGCAGAGGCACCAGGGGTGATGGTACCACCTGTATTTAGTACCTCCGTGACTGTTCTGAACTTCTTGTTAGAATTAGGGATCTTCTGCCGCTTCTTTGGCCGTAGCCGCTCCAGTTCAGCCTCCAGGGCCTTGATCTTCCTGTCCTTAATAACAAGATCGGTCTCCTTAGCCTCGAACGCAGTGGCTATCTTCCTGTATTTTAGCCGGGTGCTAAGGGACTTATTTTTGCCGAAATTAATGATCTAGCGGCTCGTAATAGGGGTCCGTTGGTCCTCTGGTTCAGAGCTTTCAGGGGTCTTTTGTTTCTCTTCCTGGATTTCTGGGTGCGCTAAGCACTTCTTGCGGCTGATAAGATAACATCCAGTCGTTCTGAAGCCAGAGAGGATGTTTGCCTTAATAAAAGCAGCAGTTCTGGTCTGGCTATAGCACCGAATGAAGTTGATCTTGTCAACAAGCGAGGCATCCGTCAGAGAATTTAGCCGAGAAAGGAATTTCTGGTAATGAGCCTTCAGGGCATTATAGGGCCTGTTATCTAGGGGTTGCATACCGTGACTAGTATGTGCAGGGAAGAAACAGAGCAATATGTTGGCGAAATAACAGATAGTCATGAATTCGTCCTTATAACATGCATTAGCCCTTATTAAATCAGGAAAGAAATAGAGGAAATTTATATTAAATAAGAAAAATCATATACGTACGGAGTTATGGCTACCATGGCCATCTAATATTAAAAGAATAGACTCAGTCTGATCTTTTCCTCGTATCTTGTCTACTTGCGGGATAAAGACATCTTCTAGCCACTGGCAGGCTATGTTATTCGGAGTCCAGCCATTTTCTGAGCATATATAATGCCAATTGGCAGTCTTTTGAAACTCATCGATGAACCACTGGACCTGGAGGTCCTTCCCTTTAAAGATAATACCTGGTTTGAGGCAGAGATGGCCTCGATGAAGGAGGTCCAGTTACGGCTTTAAGGGCTTTTCAAGAAGGCCTTCTTAGTAACAGAATTACCTAAAACCAAAGAATCGATGCATATAAAGCTAACGTAGCTGACAAGCGAGTTGACATTACAAGCGAGTTGGCACTCGTCATGAACTTTCTAACCAATACGATTCAAACCATCATATCTCCACCAACAACAATGGCACCGCGTTATAACGAATCAGACTTGCAGCTAGCTGTTCAAGCTAAATGACGTGACCCTCATATTCCTATATTTCAGCTTACAAAACTCTTCAACGTCCCTTGTTCCACTTTGAGCAATAGAGTCAAAGGAATGCCATCACGACGCGACAGCATGCCCAATACTTTGAAACTTATGGTTTCCGAAAAGAATGCCATTTGTTCCTTCATTCTCGACCTGGATGCGCGAGCATTTCCGCCCCGGTACAGTTATGTTGAAGATATGGCGAATCAATTGTTGGCGGCGCGTGGGGCTGGACGCGTTGGAAAGAACTGGACGCGGAACTTCATCAAACGTACACCAGGCCTCCGGACGCGTTTTCATCGGAAGATAGACTACCAGAGGGTCTTGAACGAGGATCCAGACACGTATCGCGCGTGGTTTTGCCAAGTTGCAGTGGCAGTCGCGAAACATGGTATCCAAGACGCGGATATTTACAACTTCGACGAGACTGGGTTTATGATGGGCATTATTGGGTCCGGCATGGTCATTACAAGCACCGAAAGACGTGGCAGGCCTAGACAAGCTCAGCAAGGCAACAGGGAATGGTCTACAGCAATCTCTGCTGTTAATGCTGATGGTTGGGTGGTCCCGCCGTTCATCATTCTACAGGGCAAAACCCACCTCGCGTCATGGTATCGCGACACGATATTACCACGCGATTGGAAGGTGGCTGTGTCCGACAACGGGTGGACCACGAATGAGATTGGTTTGGAATGGATTCAGCATTTCGATAAGTATATCAGACCGCGTATGACTGCCGGTAAACGCCTCCTCATCCTAGATGGTCACGAAAGCCACTATTCCCAGGTCTTTGAGGATTATTGTCAGAACAACGGTATTATCACCCTTTGTATGCCTGCCCACTCGTCACACAGGCTCCAGCCTCTAGATGTCGGCTGTTTTAGCCCGCTCAAACGAGCTTACGGTCGCATGATTGAGGATCTCATCCGGCGTCATATAACCCACGTTTCGAAGGAGGACTTCTTTGCAGCGTTTTGTGAAGCACATAACGCTGCTATGACGCCAGGAAACATTTGAACAGGTTCCAGTGCCACTGGGCTTGTTCCTTTTGACCCAGAAAGTGTCATTTCAAAGCTGGATGCTGTCGCTGTTATATGAACACCGTCGCCAGACCCCAATCTGCCACCTACTACTTGGACTTCGAAGACGCCTACCACCATTAACGAAGCGGTAAACCAATCGGTTTATATCCGAAACCGAGTCAGAAACCACCAGGGAAGCTCACCTACATCAATAGTTGATGCGTTGAGCTCGTTTTCGAAGGCTACATACGGTCTTATGCATAAGGTCGCTTTGATTGATTCTCGGGTCCGCGAGCTAGAGGAGGCCAATCACCTACTAAGTAAATGCCAGAGAACAAAAAACAAACGTCTAGTGAAAGGAGGAATACTTTCTGTTGAAGATGCAGTAGATCTTTAGGCTGCAAAGGATGGTACTGAGCTGGCAAAACAGGAAATGGGTGAAGGTAGTCGTTGTCCGAGGCGGGCGGCAGCGCGTGGGCGACGGTGTGGCGTTTGCGGCAATACTGGCCATAATGCGCGAACTTGTATAATAGAGATAGAAACCTCTGAGGAAGAGGAATCCGATTAATTGAATTGAACTGAATGCGTTGTGGTGAAGTTATTTGACATGGCAGTTGGAGAGTTCATGACGAGTGCCAACTCGCTTGTAATGTCAACTCGCTTGTCAGCTACGTTAATTAGAATTTATACAGATTTAAAGGGTTAGTTATAATTACCAAAACCCGCCAT